TAACTATCTTATTATATTCCTTCCTTAATAAGCTCTGGTTATACATTGTTCCCTTGCTCTAGGAAGCTGAACCCTTCCGAAGTGGCTTACATTAGTGAAGCTAGTCGGTATCGGGAAAGTATTCCTAACACTGATTACAGTTCCTGGTTAAATAATATAGATATAATAATCTAGATAATAATATTTAGGAACCTAAAAATACTTTATTTAAAATAGTAACTCTTACTAAATATAAAGTATAAAATATATTTTATATTAAATAATTATAATATAAGCTTTAAGGCTATAATAGCTTAACCTAAACCTAAATAATTAAGCCTGAATACCTAAACCTAAATAACTAAACTTAAGCGCCTGAATTTGAACAACTGGGCCTAAATACTTAAACTGGAATATCTGATAATCTAGACCTGAATACCTGAGCTCAAACTCCTGGAACTCCCTTTCTAGGCCCCTCTCTGGAGGCTTTGCTAGCTAGGAGGGGGGTACTATTATAGGATTACCTTTATAATATATAATTAGTATTATCTTATTATCTAATTAATTAAAGTAGTACTAATATTAGCTAATATAACCTAATATAACCTAATATTATCTAATATTAGTTAACTGGACTCCTAAACTAAACTGATTTCCTAATTTGATTTCACCACGCGCGCGCCTAAATCCTAATTAGGAAAGGTATGATAAGGCCCCCTTTATATTTTTAGTAAGAACTACTTTTAGGCCTTCCCTTCTTTATATAATATTTTGATTATTATACAATACTTTAGTATAGCATAACTAAATAGATAATTGATAGCCTTATTAGTTTATCTTATATAACAACTTAAGCAGATCACTTCTAGTGGTTCCGTGATAAAGAGCTTATAAGAAATTATTAAGCTTAGGTAACCTAAACACTTTCTTATATAAATCTCCTAGGTATTAGTTAAAATATATTTATAATATAGTTAATCCAGTTAATATACTCTTATAATATTTTTCCTTTATACTCTGGGAGGTCTTTTAGGTAGATATCCTTCCCTTAGGGTAGGGTACTTAATAGTATTAACTCAGGGATTTTAATATTAGTATTTTCTAGTTAACTATCTTTAATTATAGTAGGGGTATTATAAATTAACTACTCTTTAATTATAATCTCTATTTATACTACTCTCTCTTTTAATTTTTTTAAGTTGGATCTTTTTTTAAAGGTCTGCTTCTCTTTTTTTTAATTTCCTAATTTATTTATTAATTAATAGTATTAATAATAAGGATTCTGGTTTAATAATAGGTATAGAGGTACTATTATTATATAATTATTCTGATATCCTAATATTAGGCCTATACCTTTATTTTGGTAAAGAGTTATCAGAATTATAAGGGGTAGATATAAGTGTGATATTAGGATAGGGAGTAATAAATATAGATTAATATTAAAATTAATAACTAAGGAGTAAAACTAAGGTAGATACTATATATAGCTTAAATACTGCTTCCTCCTGGAGCACATGACCCGCGGCCTGAGCGCAGCCGTACCGTGCGTATGTTCCTACTCCGTTCCTCACATATATAATACCTAAGGCCCTTACCCCTATATTATGTGACGCCCTTCAGAGTATAAACCATTTTCCCCAGTACAATGACTAAGGAAGTAAACTAAGCTAAGTGCTATATATAGTATAAATACCTCTCTGTGGTGGGGCACGTGACATACAAGTGAAGCGCACGTGACCCTTACGTCGGTGTTCTCTGTGTTCCTCACAATGGAAGCGCTTTTGCTAGACCTGGTGCGCGCACAGAGCAGACTCCTGATTCACAAGCATTCGCAGAAGACAAATTCGTCCCGAATTGATGCAGAAGCATGATATTTTTTTGCCTTCTGGTCCACTGCGCTGTTTAGCTGAAGAACAAGGCGACAGAGAGGCCAGGGGAAGGATGAGAATCCCATCACACGTGGCTGACCATTGTCACGAGATACGAGCGATCACTGTTCAGGTGCAGGCAGGCCGAAGGAGCGAGATGAGATCCGGCATGAACGATCCGAGCTGGCGTGTGGTGGGCGTGCTGTGAGTGGCCACCGCGCACGGCAGCCTGCATAGAAGCCGGCTCGAAGAATAGTCCAGACTCGTCGATTGCGTACGCCAAGCTGAGCTTTGCGCTTGGTGGTCCAGAGCACCGCTGGGGTCGAACGGAGGATGCCACGGAGACGCTGGCCGACCAGCGTCTGGTGTGGCAGGTCCAGCAGGAAGGAGGCTGCTGGCTGTGGGCAAGCCTGAGTCTGGGGATCTCCTGCTCTGGGGCATGGTCGACGGCTGCTGGGCTGGCTCTGTATGCCGACCACCATCTGCGTTGCAGCCATGGCAGAGGCGGGAAGCGAGAAACCATTTCAAGGGCCTGCGTAATCCGCCCGTTTGTGGGCCCCAGACGTCGAGTGGGTCTGAAAACGGATGGTCCAGAAGCAAATGCAAGCAGGGACCGCCGGCCGAGAGGCTTCGAGCGGTTCCACAGCCCGACAGCAAGAACAGAGGGCGAGTGAGCAGCCTGACGACACCGCCGGTAGCAGTCAGGACTTGGACGCGCGACTGCAGCGCACCTTATGCCTGCCTTCCACATTTCTTCGGATCTCTGATGCGCCAGCGCTGGATTCGTCGTCGTGGTTGTTCGTCCACGGCTGTGGAGTGTTGCTCGTGTGCGCAAGATTGGTCCATTTTCTTTGACCTACGACCCAGACCCGTGGAACGTGACGGGGGGCCGTAGACCGCTCGATAATCAATCTACTCGATCCTCAGGCTTCTTGTCGCGCAAATCGCTGCAGCAGCACTGATCCTACCCAGTTTCTCTTGCTCAACCAAAACTGACTTTCCGGGCTCCAGATCTCGTCGTTCTTATCCCCGACCTTCCCTGCCCTCGCCTTGTCACTGCCCTGCAAAAGCTTGTTGACCCGCACAACCACACGTCTTCCGTGCTCGACCCCAGCTACGGCTTCTCAACGCTTGTATCCACGCGGCCTTGGAGCATTCTGCTTTTGGTCTTGCCGTGGTCATTTCTTTCATCGCTGGGCTGCAAAGCACAGACGGGTTTTCCTTCTGAAGCTTTCGAGGGGCCGCTTCCTGGATCTGCGCAGGTCCATTTCGTGCGCAACCACGGTCGACAATCCGACCCTCTCTTTCAGTTGCGCGTGTGCACCACGCATCCCGTCTCTTGTCGGCGACCTATACACCGTGTCTGAATTGCGCTCAAATCAATCGAACAAAGGAGCCTTGCCGGATCTTTGCTGATACATGCGTCTGCTACGAAGGTGGGCCGGTCTATGTCCAGTATGGAGAGCGGCGGTGCAGACTCCGGCGAAAAGCCTCCGGATTATGTAGAAAGAGACGACTTGACCATCTCACGGCCGGGAAAGGCCGGAGCTGTTGGTAAAGGAGATGAAGTATTCTCCAGTGAGGTTCGGCGTCTGTTCGAAGCAGCCGAGAACAATGGTATCGAACGCTTGACAAAATTGAAGGCAAATCTAAAGGCCGCGAGAACAGCGGAAGAGTTTTGGCCTATGGCTACGCGCGGGTTAGCGGAGCTCAGCGGAGCGCAGTACGCTTTCATTTCGAAACGAATGTTAGTCGACGATGAGGATGCGACTGTTGAGATGCCGCCCTTTGGGGCTCCAGGATCGTGCCTCATGAGCCAGGCACTCTACTTCAATGATGGTCATGGCCAGTCGGGAAATCCACTCAATGTCAAATACCAAGTGTACGGTTGCCCATGCGAGCATATGAAGCACAACAGAGTCCTCTTGATCCCGGAGAGGCTTGGGGAGATCTTCCCAAACAATCCGAACGCGTCGATGTTTGTAGTCCCTGTGGAGGCTTATCTGGGAGTTCCTCTGTTCGACGACGAGGGAAAGTGCTTCGCCCATTTTGGTGTAATGTGGTCAAAGGAGGGGGTTGAAAAACTTCGGCTCAGCTGGGCGTTTGTGGAGATGATGTTTCATGCACTCGAAGACGCTCTCCTGTCCGGCTTTTTGGAACGTGGACGGTTTGCATCTTCTCTTAAATCTGTGACGAGGCCGAACGCCGTTATTCCTCATGAAGCTATTCCAGGTGCGCAGTCTCTGAAGCCATATGCTCGAAATCTCTCACATGAGCTTCGAACTCCAATGCAGGGTGTTGTGGGCATGCTCGATGTCATGTACGCAACAGTGCAAGAGGCTACAGAAGGCCAGCGCGACAAACAATTGCGAGCTACGCTTGAGAATCTTAAGGAGAACATTGAAGTGGCGCAGGATAGCTCCCGTCGCGCCGTAGAAGCTGCCGACAATGTCGTGAGTTTAATGTCCTAGAGACTGCACTTTAATCTCAAGTATTGATTGCAACAGGTTCACGCTTATGACATGGGGATGGGAGTCCCCGAGACTCCTGTTGTGCATTTGACCGTGGAAGAAGACTCTGTGGATGGCACGAGGCTGCCGCGCCGCGAAAAGCGACCAGAGATTGTGGTCACCGGAGAGAACGTCCCAATCAATTTCAAAGGCCATAAGCGAAGAAGAGAAAGTCGAAGTACGTCGAGGTCGTCTTCAACGAAACAACGAAGGGTAGAGCCGGCACAGGAGCCTCAATTCGTTCTTAATGAGTATGCACCAGCGACGTACCCTAATTTCACGGACTCTGGGTCTAGAGCCCTACCTGTCCCTACCTCGCCAACCATGGCGCATCTGGAAAGTAGCGAACAAGCCTCAATTCCTCCTGGCTTGCGACATACGAACCTCAGAGATCTACTGCAATTCCTTATCAACGACCTGTTAAAAGTTGGGGGCCGACCTGAATCGGCCATTGCGTTAGAGATCGACGGTGGTGAGGACATCGAGGTCCGGGTCCGCACACAGAGTGGTGAAGAGAAAATTAAACACATCAGATGGGTTGTGGAATCATCGGTCCCAGACACAATTCTTATCGAAGAACAGAGCCTCGTAAAGGTCATCTCCTCGGTCTACTCAAACGCGATCAAATTTACGGAAGAAGGCAGCATTTTCTTGCATGCTTGGCTGAATCCGAAGTCTCGCTACATCGTTATTCGAGTTCGCGACACCGGTGTAGGCATACGGGAAGAATTTGTACCCCGTCTATTCCTCCCCTTCTCAAAAGAGGATGATTCATTAACTCGGATGAGTGAAGGGCTGGGACTTGGTCTTATGGTTGCCAAAGGCCTTGCTCGAAAACTGGGAGGAGATTTGACTCTAGTCCGCACACAAGCATCCGGCCCGGCACGTGGGAGTGAATTTGAGATTCGAGTTCCCATGACGCCATCAGACATCGCGAGCCGTCCATCAACACCCTCTGGGTCCCCGGCTCCATCCCACCGGTCCCGTAGGTCAACGGTCGAAGACGATCTCCAAGATTTCAACCGGACGAGGTCAGGCAGCATTCGATCCGCCCAGAACAGTCTCATGTCTGAGTCTAAGCGACATTCAAATACATCACCGACACGATCGAATCAAACTCCTTCACCACCTCGTACAAGCAATGGAAATATTACCAATCCTCATCGAGTCACAAAGGTACCAAGACGATCATCGCCTTCAAAACGAAATTCGGATTTCGATCGCACGCTAGCTCAAAGGTTCCCGTTGAGATTTCTGGTAGTGGAAGACAACAAGATCAATCGAAAGCTTCTTGTCAACATGCTCCACAAACTTGGCTATCGGGATGTTCACGAGGCGTATGACGGTTCACATGCCGTGCGACAAATGGATGCCCTCCGAGGTGAGATCGATGTCGTTCTCATGGATTTGTGGATGCCTTACATGGATGGATACGAAGCGTCAGAGAGGATCTTGAAAATGACATGGGATCCGCCTCTTTCCGAACCTCTTGAAGGAGAGGCTAGGTCTAATGGACACAGAAAACCAAACGTACCCACCGTTCTCGCCGTGACCGCTGACGTGACCGACGGTGCGCTAGAACGAGCTGCAGCTGTTGGAATGAAAGGTTTCCTCACAAAACCATTCAAGATGGTCGACCTAGAGAGGTTGATACTTGAATACTGCGCAACACGCCACTCGGATTGAGATTTCTCTCTTCCTGGATGTGATGATGAAACTTATCAATACAATGTTCAACTACTTATGAAGTCATGAACTCATTTTACTAAATTCAAGGCTTATCTGGCGCATAGCATATTGTGGGGCAATATTCAGGAGTCTGTGCAAGAAAATCCGGAGCCGTACACTGTGAAGACTAGCATCGTGGTCTGGCGTTTTTGTCTCGGGTTGCAGAAGGAGACAATTTGCATTGATATTAGAAGTCTCAGACATCAATTCATAAGGTGGCGCCAATCGCCTACATAAGTGGAAAGATTTTCTTTTAACAAGATCCATCGAACTTTTTAGCAACACTCTTCACTTGCAAGGACGTTGAATGCTCAATCGCCATGAGATGTGTTTGCCTGGTTCTTGCATAATTTAGTATGAAGTCCGTCAAATTGACGAAATAGTTTGGAACAGACTAATCAGAACGACAATATCACAAGCTCGGCTGATGCAAGGCACGGCAGAAACCGGAGGGTGTTAAAAAAAAAGAAGAAAGAGTTAAAGGTACCTCCGTGATGTTAACTTGCTTCGCAGTTGCGTCTACTTGATCATAGTTTCGCCCGTCTGTCTGCGGACTCGACAATTAAACCCCTCTCTCCTTGAATACTGGATCTGTGCCATAAATTGATGATCCCAGTAAGGTCACTGTCAGTATAGCGAAAAGACTGCAGAGCCTTGCTCGTCATGGCATTGTCGGACGCGTTGGCCACGTTTTCGTTCTCTTTCTCGCTGACGCTAGTCATCTGATGCCGTTGGGCAAGATGCACGTCATTTCTATGATTGCGAGCTCCGAGCACGTGAGCCAGCCTTATCAAAATTCTATGTATGGTGACGGCGATGAGTGAGCCGACAAATGGACCGATCCAGTAGATCCAATGGTTCGACTTCCAATTCCAACTCACGACATTTGGACCGAAGCTCCTTGCAGGGTTGAGTGAACCTCCGGTCCAGAAAATCCCAACAAGCTCCCCAAAAACGAGCGCAAGACCAATCCCCAGCGGAGCGACAGAGGTGGTTCTGTGCTTCTCCCTAGCTAGCATTAGGATTGTGAGCACGAGCTGCGCTGTCATCGCCGCCTCGATGAATAAGGCGCGGGGAATTGAAACATCATCACTTGGGGTGGTCCGAAGGGGGGCTATTGTTTGGAAAAGAGCAAGCGCAAGCGCTGAAGCCGCGATGGCGCCCATCAATTGTGACACGAGTAAAACAATGGACCGTGCCAGATCATTTGTTCTCGTAAGCAGAAATGCCAAGGTGACCTAGGTGGCGTTAACATATGGCGATGTGGACTGTGACTGGAGCGAGCACGTACTGCTGGGTTGAATAGTCCCTCGCTTGCTCGAAAGAAGACCCAGACGTTTATCAAGTATGAAATGCCAAAGGCAAAGCTCATGTACAGCAGCCCAGATAGATTGGCATCACCGGAGTCTGAATTCTCGGTTGCTCTGGAAGAATTACGAGAGCCGACCGCGGCGACGGAGACGCCTCCAAATGCCGTGAAAAGGAAGCACATGGTGCCCATGAATTCACCTATCGCCGCAACCAAGTGACTTCTAGCTAGTAACAGTAGAGGTCTTTTCCGAGGAGATTTACTGCTTGCCCGTTTGGGGGGCAACGTCGAGTCGCGGGAACCCTCTCCTTGATCCGAACACGACGAAAGTTCAAACTTTACGCTGGGGAAGCCTTCTTCTTCGTCCCTACACATTCTTTCGACGGGCGAACGGCTTCGCGCCCTTGGAACTTGAGGTGAAAGGGATCTGCTTCTTGAGATGGTTGTTGTCGGGGCCGCCGACACGATCTCTGCCGCACGAGCTGTTATGGGACTTGGGCCTTCGTACCAAGAGCCTGGCCGAACGATCCTTCCCGAGCGCATGAATTGGCGGGCGTCTTGAAAAGAGAGGCCTCGAGGTTTCCCGTTGCCAAACGAACCATTTCGTCTGGGTGGCGGAAGCTGCTGATTGATTTGCGGCCTCGCCTGTGTTCTTGTGGTCGCCTGGGTTGAGACGGTGTTCACCTTCGTGGGGGAGTGGAAACGAGCCTGAGATGCAGCCACAATATCGGCATCGTCTTCAATGTACGAGAATCCATCATCTAAATCGAGTTCGAATGGTGTCCTTGTGCCTGGTGGAGAGCGTGCAGAGTCTTGTCTTTGCGGAGTCTCTGGTGGTCCAATTTTTGGTCGTCCACGATCTAGAATTGGCCGATCACCACTTCCTCCCGCTGCTTGTCGAACAGCATTCTGTGCTATTCGTCGTGGATCATCATCCGAGTTCTGTGATCTCCCTAGCCTTCGCGGAGACGGCTCAGAGAAGCTTAGCGACCCATCGGGGTTGTCGACGATCCGAACAGAAGGTGCCTTGCTCAGATTTGCTGGCAGAGATAATCTTTGTGAAGATTTGAGAGGAGGTATAGGGGGTACACTGGTCATGCTTTTTTTTTTTTTTTTTCTTTTTGTTCGACGGCGGATTCTGAGATTTGGTTCGAATGACGAGAAACGCCAAATGCAGTCCGTGAGAGCACACAAGAAGCACAGTGCCACCCAAGTCTCACAAGATCCAATGCAGGTGCTTAAAAGACGTTCAGCAGGCTGAATGATAAGGAAGCAAAATGCGCTTCCACAATTGCAGATTCGTTGCGTCTTAATAGAGGAACCGGAACCAAGAGATCTCATCTCAAATTCAGATCCTAATCTCAATGACGGTGCGGTAAAGCGCGTCAAGCATTAATAACAATGTCATATGAGCGGAGGTTTGTGGATGTCATTATAGACTGGTCAATTGTATCTTGACGTGGTCAGCCGTAAAGCGACATCGTCGACGTGTAGAGAATTTCACAGTGGAAGAGCGACAATCCCCCCTAAACAAGATTGTGCCAAAACGCATGAGGCTAGGGGTCAATTTCCGCAAGCTGGGATGCAAGGACGGCTTGAATGGTGATCGATCTGAATACAGCGATTCGGCTAGGATCAAAGTGGAAATTTGCCCAGCAAGGTATGTGATCAGCATCTGAAATTAAGATAGAGAAAGAACTGCGTGAGATCGAAGAAGTGGGATTCGATATAGAATAAAAAGCACAAAATGATTTCGTCCGCACTAAATTTCGCAGAGGCTGCTCTGCAATCAAAATATCCCATGTTCGCAGTGCTCTTTGTAAAACGAGTACATTACAGGTGAGGATCGTCAAAGTCATGAGTCTTTCCTAGAGTGGAAACCCGCATGCACACCTATCTATCAGATAAGATGGACAGGGAGTAATCTCGTGCGAGAAGAACGCCTCACCTTACGGTAGTGTTTCCTCACCGCTCATAGCGAGGTAAAGGCTGAGGCGGCGATGGTGCTGAGAAGCCGAAATGTTCTTCTTCAGAAAGCAGCGGTGCTGAAGGTGATGTTTGCTCGAACATCTCTGCGAGAGGAGCAGATGGTGCAGTGGGCGTTCGCAGCGACGATGGACCGGCTGTAGAAATGTCCTCCTCAGGGAGCTCAGGTGCAGAACGCTCCATTTCGAGCCTCCGACGACGAAGTTCGTCTTTCTCATCAGTCGCTGGTACCGCGAGTCTGTCATCATGTTCATACGCCGGTGCATTGGCTTCAGCGTCTCCTACGTGATGCACGGTGAGGATGCTGGGCGCCGAGGGGGCTTCGGGGCCAAAATCGAAGTCTGGCGGGGCAGATGGTAGTGGTGGCAGAGGTCTCTCACTGCTCAATTGCGGCGCAGATGGAGTAAGCACAGCTCTGGGAGCAGACGGTTCTCCATTTTCTGGAGGAGCACTGGGCAGCAACCTCGCTTCAGCCCTCCGCATGCGCTCCTTTTCACTCAGTTGCTGTTCATTCTCCAAATTCGGCAGCGGAAACTGTTCGATGGGTGGAGGATGATCATTATTATGTTGGTCCGGTGGATGATGTCGCCAGTATTGCTCCCAGGACATTGTGCGATGTGATTCGTAGCCGTTGTTGTTCCGCGCGGCTGTCGTTGGCTCTGCAACATTTTCCGGTTGAGCCCCATGATTCTGAGTTTCCTCTGGTCCCATTATGGTGGGTCCGTCTGAGGCAGGCTGTTTCCACGGACTCCGCCGCTCGCTATCTCTTGTACCAACGACCACTTCGAATACGGAATAGACGACACTTCGCTCACGCCTGATCTCTTCCGTGTTGACGAAATGGCCGCCCCAGGGAGTGTAAATGCCTCCGTTCGAATCACCCATACGTCCATTCAATGTCGCATTCTGTGGGGTACCGGCAGTTGGTAGGTATTTGTCAAGTCCTGCCAACTTTCCCTGGATGTCGACTACTACCTCTACGTAGTACTTGAAGCTGATCATGGCACCTGGGACGGAGGCGATGCTGGGGAAGGCTTCTTCCGGCACCCTTAGACTGACCTTGACATCGGCCTGTAGAGTAACAGGATTGACGATGAGTGACGCAAACTGCTGATCAAGATCTTTCCGGTAGGTATGTGTAGATCCTGCAGACGAGAGTGAAAGTCCGGCCAGGCCGATTTTGGGCTTTTGATGCACCTCATCCTCTCCACCCCGAACTACGGGCAGGGCTGGGTTCAGGTCCACCCTTGCCCGACGGTAAAACGTAACAATGACTCCTCTTAGGCTCTTTACCGCCCGAGTATGGGTGAGCCAGACTCTGACAGGTATCAAATCACCCCTTAAGAATCCGGCTTTTTCTATGCTGATAGTAGCCGTTATTGGGCGCTTTTGACAACTTGTGCAAGTATTCGACCTTCCGTTGGTATGCCTGCTTTCACATGTCCTTGCCGATGGAGCGGCAGAGTCAATCGCGGAGCCCGTACCGCCGCTGCTGACGTAGCTGTCGAAACTGACGTCGCTCGGTACAGGACTTTGCGGAGGTTCCGCTCCCGTCTGACTCTCTGCTTCCGCAACTCGATCGTTCACCCCAGCCTCGGTTGCGGTGTCCTCTGAATCGGCTGTCGAATTCGTGCTCGACGGGTCAATTGCCATGGCTGTAGCAGTGACCGTGGCTGCTGTGGTGGCATTTGTTGCTTGACGTTTAACCCTGTGCCTCGTCCTTGACCGACGCATTATCGGCTCTAGCGTGATGATTCGTGGTTTGGGCTGTGATAAAGGCGCGACGTCAATGTCTTCCTGGAAACTTACGGGCCGATCGCATGTTGATGTGGGAGACAGCGTAGTGGGGCGCGTCAGAGTTGCGGTGATCAAATACGATACTGTGCCCCGCTCAAACTGCGAACTTGTTAGCGACACGAACGAACGGACCAAATTCAAATGCGAGGCGTACATCTATACTACTTGGCAGATGTTCCCTTGGAAAGATCAGTTCGAAGTTGAACTGGTATGTGCCCTCGCCGAGACGGCCATCGCGGCACAGCATGATCTCGTCCTCAAACAATGACACGAAGCCGTTGCCATAATATCCACCCGACTTTCTCGCCTTTCCTGAGGCAAGGATGGCATTGTAATGTTTGTAACTTTCTCCAGGACTGTTTGGGGTCTTGTAGACCTGCGCATAGCCATGCAAGCAGACGACAATGTGCGTGACGCTGAAAGGCCTCGTTACCTTCAACACAACGCTACCGGTAACGACGTCCCCAGGTCCATATACCCTATGCGGATCATCTGGCTGTATGAAAAAGTCGGAATAGAGGCGGGCCTTTGGGCCGAACGGCTTTTTGATACGGTCGATGAGCGAGCGCTTGGAAGCGGGGGATGGCGACCTTGCCGTCGAACGCGCAGGCATTGTGGGCGATTAGCTTGGCAGCATGGTGCGATTAGCGTGAATGTGTACGTTCACACCGGCCTTGACGCGAGAGGGCGGCAATCACAGGACCGATATATCTGCTCTACAGGCTTGCGAGATGAAAGGACGTGGGTGGCTGTGATGCAGACTTGTCAGCGCCAGGTTTACGCGTGAGTCGAAAGAATCGTGCGAGGTTCCGGGAAGGTAGCTTCCGGGGCGAGGTGAGGTGGGTGGTGTATCTTGAGGGCAGGAATGATTCTCGCCCGTCTGGAGAGAAAGGATGGCAGCGGAAGTCGGATGGCGAAGGTACGGCGTTTGGTGACGGTTCAAGGATAGGTCGCACACAGTGTGCAAGACTTGCGGTTCGGCAGACCTGGCTAGGGAGGCGACTGGAGCAGGCTCACAGGAGAAGGCGGTCTACGTTGGATTAGTCGGAGGGTGTATCGAGTCGTGGTTCAGATCAAATCGCAAAGCCTTGCAGCAACACACGTGTGTGGGCGAGCGTGGAGCGGGCGAGAGAGGCTGTGCCTGTGCAGTGTTTCGGCAGATGGCCTGGCGAGCAGGTTTCTGCTGCGGGCGAGTTCTACGAAGCACAAGACGTGGCACACGACGCCGCTGCACACTTCAGATCAGCCACCCGATAATAGAGCATTGTTTCTTTTCGATCTAGGCGGGTGCCTCTTGTCCTCAAAGGAGGGAGAGACGTGCCGGCCGCAATGGCGAGCGCTGAACTTACCCGAGCTCCCACTTGGCCTGATGCCAAGACGATGGGCGATGCGTGATGGCGTGCGTGGGCGAGGGCGGGGTATATTTGTACGTCGAGAGCGCAGATCGCGGCGGGCTGTCACATCTGATAAGCAGCCGGTCGTGGTCGGGATCATGCGTTGCCAGAGGCCTGGGACGGCGCCTGGAGAGCGCGGCTGAGGACGACGGCGTCAAAGGCCGGAGCGAGGGAAGAAAGAACAAAGCCGGCGGACGGCGACCACGCAACGACGCCAACGGACCAAGATGGAACGAACGCACGCGGCACGGGACACGGGCGACAGAGACAAACGGACGGGTCGACAGGAAGGGAGGACGGGCGAGATGCAGCGAGACGAGACCGGCGGGCGGGCGAGACCAGCGCAAGCGCAGGGCCAGCGCAGCGCAGCGAAGAGCGCCGACCGGGCCGTCGAGCGCAGCAGCTGAGCACCGCGACGGTGCTCCGCTGCGCGCCCGGCGCCCGTTCTTGGGCAAAGTCCAACCAGCAGCGTCCGCCGCCTGGTCGTCGTCGTCGAGTGAGGCGCCTTTGTCCCAGGCGTTGTCGCAGCGGTCGCGTCGAGGCTGTGCGCCCCGTCGACCCCGACCAACGACCTGTCTGAGCCGTCTCGCGCCGACAGAGCGACGACCATCGCCTCCGCGCGAACTTCGCGTCTCCTGTTGGCAGCCGAGCCAGCACATGTTCCCCGTCCGGGCCACCGTCGGCGCGCGTTGCTCCCGGCCTGTGGGCCCCACGTCGCGTTGGACCGGCGGGCGGATGCAGCGGGCCAGCAACGCAGGAAGAAATCCTTGACGGCGTCGTCAGCTAAGACACTCAAGCTTTTCGCCTTTTCGTGCTTGTCGCTTTTCCTGTCCGCCTCAGCCCCTCCCAAGCGCGCTCCCGCTTCCGCTCCAGCACTGCGGACGGGGCCTGCCGATCCGTTCGTCCTCCAGTCATCTTCGCTCTTGACGGGAGACGAGCTGATGCGACACTTTGCTACGGTGATGAATGTGACTGGTCATCTGACCAACAGCCATGGCGATCGCCCGGCCAGACGCGCATTCAATTCTCTTGAGTCAATCTTCTTCTCAGCAGCGACCGACTTGCGTTCGAGAGCCACGTCCTCGTCCGAGAGTCCGACACGTCTCGTCGAGTGATCCCACGGCGTCCAAAACGTTCAACCGCCCACTCTCGATCTGCAGAGAAATACATGTTACGGGTTCACTTCGGACGCGAGCTTGACATGAAGACTCCTTTCTTCTCCTAGTGAGTTTGACTGCTGTTTACATTCGAAGGAACATCGCCCCCTCCTCGTCCTAACATCACAGACGAGATGAACCCGCTTCCTTCAATTCCACCGCTGCGTTCGAGATTACCACCTTGCCCTCGTTTCCAGCCAGCTGCCGGTAGACAATTCGGCTCCCACCGTCTTCCTGCCACATTTCCGTTCGAATCACTTCTCCGGGATACACGGGCTTGCTCAGCCTAAGTTTGACGCTCTTGAATCTCGACGAGTCTCCGTTCCCAAACGTGTCGATGACGTGCTTGACGCCTATTCCGATCGTGCAGGTGCCGGTCAAAATCGGGCCCTCGAACCCTCCAGCCTTGGCCACGGCCGGATCAATGTGCAGAGGATTCAGGTCTCCCGAGGCCGCTCGATACAGAGCGCCTTGCTCAGGCGTGGTTTTCTCCTTCACAACCGCGTCAGGCGCTCGCTTCGGCGCTGGATACGACGCCGTTGCCGATCCTCTGGGAACGACTTTTGTCGACGCCCCTGCGCCAGGCACCTTCATGACGAAGCTCGTCCACTCGTTGTAGCATATCTTCTCCCCATCTGCCGCATCGGTGGTTGTGATGCCGACGCACACCGTCACCCCGCTCCGTCGATCGACGATGTCGACAATCTTAGCCGTCGTTTGTAATGTGGTCTCCCTGGCTGGAAATGGTCGATACAGTTCTAGGTAATGCTCGCCGTGGACGTGATTCCAAGGCTTGAAGTTAGGTAGGAATTGAGACATCGACTTGGTCACCTCTCCCATGATTGCAATGACTGGTATCGCACCGAATGTTGGCAGCGCGTGAAACTTTGGATGACCCTCGAAGCTGCGACTTAGATCTCTCCCACTGGCCCCGAGGGCGATATTGTATGTCAATATATTGGACGGGCCATATTTCGTCGTCGTGTGCCAACTTTGCTGTTTGATCCGGGGTAGATCAATGCTCGTGGCCATAGTGGATGTGATCCGGCAACGCTGTGGCAGTAATCGTAAGAGTTATAATTATCTATTTACTTGCACGTGCGAAGTTCTCATTTTTAAAGCCCAACACGATGCGTTCAGCGACTTTGCGTTATAACTAACCATTTCGTTTTCTCGCCCACAAAACGCTAATTGCAGCATGTGGCATGAGGAGTCGTACCCCGCTAGGCTCCGCCGAGGTTGGCTCCGACGCGGTTTGCGCGAAGTCTGACTAGTTTCTCCATATCCATGGATATCAAGGGCAGGGAAAAAAAAAAAAAAAAAAAGAAAGAAAAGAAGGAGTAAAAAAAAGGTGAGCGAGAGTGACTAGAGTGAGCAACGGCTGTGACAGCGACATTGCCTTCGGGCGCTTGGTGAGAAGAAAAGAAATCCCAAGTTGCTTCGCTATTGATGCCCTGCTACATGAGAATCTGCCCTACGTGACTCTGCTGCATCCGTTGCGAGATGTCTGTTTACTTCTGTTTGCAAAGCACCAGAGATCCCACCAAGACTCTGTCGCGGCTTGCCAAACAAACAATTCCACAAGTCCGCCACATCAACAAGCTCGCCCTCACCTTTACCCTTGGCCAAGAGTGTACTTATAGGCGCCTGCTGCATCTCGAAATTGTTCACCACATCCAATGAAATCTCCTGCATTGGTACTGGCGTCTGGACTCCAGAATTCGATTGGGAGGCGGATGACGGATTGGATGCCCTGCCCAAATGAGACAGACGCCGACTCACTGAAATGTCGTATATTGCTTCCTCAACAGTATCGCTGATCAGGTACATATAAACCGTGGTCTCCCGCATTTGACCAATGCGATGAACACGGGCAATGGCTTGGAGCTCGATGGCTGCGTTGACGAGAGGCTCGCAAAGGAAAACATGTGTTGCATTCACCAGGTTCAGACCAGATGAATCACTCTTTGCATCGAGGAGGAAGCATTCCTTAGACGGATCAGCGCGGAACTTATCGATGCCCTTGTGCTCGCGGATCGATACAGCAGAAATTTTGAAGTATTTCAACGCAGTCGCAAGTACTTCCAAAAAATCACTATACTGGGAAAAGATGATTGACTTAGCCCCCGGATCATTCTCACGAAGCCAGAGCAAATGGCGACAGATAGTATCAACCTTGGTCCCAAATGACCCGTCTAGATCCACCGACTTAATCTGGCGCATCGTCTCCTCACTTATGTTCGAATATATGGACGAAGTAGTCGATCGTTCGACCACTGTATTCCTTTCTCGTGAAGGTGAAGGTGATGTTGAGCCGGAAGCTTCATTTTGCTCCTCCTTGGCCTTAAGTTGCTGAGGGCGGTAAGTAATGTCGTGCACGTCGTTCCGAGTCAGAACCCTTCTACATTCTGGACAAGTGCGATGGTTCCGCCACCAGGCGGTGATGCAATCTTTGCAATACTGATGTCCACACACAGTTAGGACGCCGTTTTCGAATGAATCGGTGCAGATGACGCAAATACGTGCTTCATTTTCCTTGCTTGATTCAGCACGAAGATGTAGAAGAAATCGCTGTTTAGTCTTGAGCGTGGCAAGGCGAGTGAGGTACAAATCCTCTGTCGAAGCCTGTTCCTCATATGCACTGCGGTCAAGTTCGTCATCCAGCTGTTCTTTCCAGGGCGCAACCATATCGGAAAGCTCTTGCAGTTGTCGATAGTACTCCACACGAGAATTCATGCAAGTGTGAAAGAGACTAAGCTCCTTCTCGAGAGCCTTGATAGTCTCGCGTTGTGTCGAAGTGACCTTGCGTACATCATCTAAAACTTTCTCGATGAGCGAAGCTTCGACTGCAGCGCGCCCAGATGGCGTCGTCGCGCTCAAAGCTGATGCCATCGAACGAGCTTCAGAAACTAGAGCCTGTAACGACCCATCGCTTGGTTTGATACGTATCTTTTTGCGCTCATCCACAATCTGGTACAGAAGCTCAACAGCGTGCCCCTTGTTAGCGTTCTCTCGATCACTCCTCGAATGTGCGACAGCTTGTTTGAGCTCAATGTCCATGAGAAGATTAGCTTCGCCGGAGATACATTGCTGTCTGTCTGAGATTATAGCCCTCAAGCCCATAACATAGACGTAAAGTTCATCCTGCAACTTAGTTGATTCTTCGTACTCTTCACCAGTGATTTCCTGATCCTCCTCAGCATCCACCAGAGGTCCAGTTAGTGTCTGAATGATCTTTTCGCGCCATTTGTTGATCAAGTCGGCCTGCAAATCTAGGATTTTGGCCAGAACATCGAATTTTTCTAGTATCTTTCGGTTCTCAATGCCTCCTTGGCCACTCAATGAGGGAATCTTGGTGACTGTAATTATGCCATCTTTCGTGCGTTGCATAGTTTTGATCTTGAACATGGCTACAGTGGCCTCTTTGTGTGCTGGCTGCAGCAACTCTCTTCGAATGCCTTTTGCTCGTTCGTAGTGCTGGACCTCTAGCTCTTCTAATCGCCTAAACTCGTCCGTGTCTTCTGTTTCCTTTGTAGCTTTCTCGACCTCCTTCATCTGATAGTACGATGTGGCCACGAAAAACACGCAAACATGAAGCGCTTCTAGAGCGGAGCGAAGTTGTTTTTTCAAGGCAGCTAACCTCCTTCTCCTCCCACGGGCTTCTGGATTGTCTTCAGAATCTGAACCGCTGTCCACTGAGCTAGAATATTCTATGCGTTTTTCGGCACATTTCAGCTCTTTGAGCTTTGCTAGTTCGGTAGCGTATTCCTTTCTGCACTCCTCGACAAGGACCTCGGCTTTTCCAAGAGCCTCTTGGTAAAGTCTAAGGGCGGCTTCACTTCGTGACTCGTTGCTCTTGTCATTGTTCACTATCTGGCCACGCACAACTTGTGCCAGGATCAGGGATCGTTCTTGTGCACGCAACTCACTTTGGTTCTGCTCGATCATGGTTTCTAGCACTTCATTGACAGTACGCAGGGGGCCTGTGCCCCTACCAAGGGCGCGTCGATTCTGCGTTCCAACTTGCGGATGTAAACACGTCTCTCGCAAGCGCTTTAACCAAGACCGCATGGATTCAACATACTGTTCCGGTTGCCAGTCATCGACTGCTGGCGAGCCGTCTGTGTTTAAGCCAAGTGAGCTACACATCATGCCGTACAATTGGTTATAGTTCTGTTCCTCAATGGCCGTGAAAGGCATTGTGATGACGACACGCCTTTGGGGAGGCAAGCGCAGTTCATGGGCGACCTTGTGCTTGTTGTGTCGCAACGCAATCGTGCTGAATATCTGTTTGAGAGTCGCCTTGTCGATGCGTTGCCAAGACTTCTTCGAGGTAGCAAATGGTTCGTAGCCAAGAAATATCAGCAATCCGTGAAGATCTTCCACGTTTTTTTTCAGAGGTGTACCAGAGACGGCCCATGCATTTGTTCTGGGTATTAAACGAGCGACAGTAGCCGCTTGTGACACACCACTCTCAATCAATTGCGCCTCGTCAAGGCATACCCGCCACCACTTTGTGAGTACCAAAGGGCTTCTTCTACGTTTGTATTTGGGCGCGTGCCGCATTGATCGGTCCGGAGGTTTATCAGCGAAATGGATCTCCCGCGCAAGCACATTGTACGTGGTGAGCACGACATCGTACTCCATTAGCTGACTGACTGTAATATCTCTCGTCTGACGAGCATGACTTGAGCTTGCGGATCCATTATCTGCGTGCTGACCGCTTAGACCATGATAATGCAGCACTTTGAGATGGGGAGCATGTGTCGCTATCTCGTTCATCCATTGCCGTAAAATGTGAGCAGGAGTTATGATAAGAGTAGAAGGGGACTGTGTGACTTCACCCGTCCGCTTACCACACAGATAAGCTGGAAGTTTATGCAATGTTGTCAGCGCAATCAACTCAACCGTCTTGCCTAAGCCCATTTCTTCGGCAAGAATACCGCCCTTGAGCTCAGGGAGGTAATCTAAAAGCGACCATTTATTCTTGATGAACACCCTATGTACGTTACTGAAGTAACATTGATCGCCGCGAGCGTCACGAATGGCTCGAAAAGAAGGAGGAAGAACATGATCTGGACTTTGAACATCTGGCTGAGCAACTAAACCACAACCGTTCGGTGTCACGCCTTCCCTTTCCAACATCCATTGTACGGCTCGCTTCTGGAATGGATACAAGCTGCATGTCAACTCCGTCTTCTCTAAATACTGCGGCGTCTTTAGATGGGGCGGAGGCACGTGTACATTCTCGTAAAAGTCTTGTGGCGACCAACGGGAGCCGACTATGTCGCCCACAAAAGGCAAGTATTTTTGCACCAAGGCATCAATGCCTCGTGATTGTCTGGAGTCGATCCACGAGCGTTCTGCGGCAACGAAAATCTGTGTACGTAGGACGAGCACCCCGCTCTCTGTGTGCGGCTGCAACCTACATAACGACCAAGCCGGTGTAACGTTACTCAAGAGCGAGGGTGGTAGTGGACATATATCACGAAGTCGAGCCACTAAGTCGTCCGACGGATTGTACAGGAGAAGCTGGAGTTCTTCGTTCTTCTTCTCGCGACGGGGGTGTGCGGGAAGCACTGTGATAACTGCTGTGTCGTTGGAATCGAGGGTTAAGGAAGTGATATTTATTTCTCTCGGGTCCTCGTCTATCACAGCTGACGAATTCGAGTCGAAGTGCTAGAAGAGAAGTCAGCCTTCGTCAAATTTGCGCTTCGTAAAGGCTTTCACACCTACCAAATAGATATCCTGCTCGGCCAAAAGAATAGCACTAGAGCTATCAACAGTGTCCTCCTTGAGATCACTCGTTCTCTCTATCTTTCGCCGCTTAGACGGGGGTTCAGCGGCGGCGCTTCCCACTTCGTCGCACGCATGAGGCCATTGTAAATAGTCGAAGAGTTGGGTATAACTTGTCACGATCCCGCTAACGACTGCGGTATATACATGCCATGGGTCATCCATCCGGGTGGACAAGGGAGACAAGAGTGAGACGGGTGTAGAAAGGGTGCGATTTCATCGAAGGAATAGTTACTTTAGATGCGATTTCAGGACCGATTTGTCCGAGCTTCACCCCACAGCGTCTAACCAAAACAAGCCTTAGTCACTAGGCTGCAAATAGGCAAAAACATTGACGCAAGGCTGAATTTGATGTGTTGACGAGGCGGACGAAGGGGACGGACTGGTCTCGATGGCAGGAAATGTCAACCATACCATGATCTAAAATTTGCTGCGATCTTGTTGACTGCACTGCAGAAATCACGGTTTTTCTGAAGTCTACCAGACCGAGGTTCGAACATGAACTTTAAAAGTCTGGTCGAACACCTTCCTCTGAGCAGTGAATACAACTTCATTCCCGGATTTTCCCAGTCCTTTCTTTTCCACCTTGCTGACTCGAGATGTATACATAAGCCGTTATATATATTACAGTATGGGCAACTTTAGTACTAAAACGGGCCAAGAGCCCATTCACTTATTATGTCGTGATTTTTGCCAAAGCAAAGCCGGAATGCGACTTGGAACAAGGAAACCCGGCATGTTGCCGTTTTGTAGATGCAGATGGCAAGTCAATTAGCTACTCTTCACAGCAAAACTCGAGTCTCGACTCTCTTGCCCCACATGATTAGAATCCTCCGCTTCTTTGTCGATTGCTATCATGCGGACCACGAATTCGCGTTGTAGCTGCCTCAACCAACTAGCCAACACTTCTCCTTCCATGACCCCATTCCTTGCCTGCGTTAGATGCTCTTTTAGACTAAGGATTACCCTACGCCTTTTCTCGCGAACAATCCCTCTAGATGCCCTTTTTTTCACCTGATTCTGACGCTCTAGTTTTGTAACAGCTTGCTCGGCCGCTTCAAGAACTGCTGGTGGGAGAGGAACAACACGTGCAAGCTGTAATCCATAATGCTGCTCTCTTGCGGGTCCTTCTGATAGTTTATAGAGCATGGTCAAACAGTTAGGATCGTGTTCGCGTCCTGTTTCCATAGCTAAATGCAAGTTGACAACACCAGCTCGCTCAGACATGATTGTGGCTAAGTCCCGAAAGTGTGTGACAAACCACACCAGTGCATTGCTTTCAACAAGGGCCTCTGCGATAGCAAGAGCAATGGCAAGGCCATCGCGAGTGCTCGTGCCTCTACCAAGCTCGTCAATTATTGCGATAGACTTTCGATCGATATTTCTCAAGATGAAGGCTGTTTCCCGCATCTCTGACGCGAAACTGCTCACATTTGCTTCGATAGAGTCGTCCATATTGACGCGAGCGAACAGTTGGTGCATTACAGGAAATGAGGCATAATCAGCAGGAACGAACGATCCGATTTGAGCCATAACCGTCATCAACGCAATGCTTCGAATATACGTTGATTTTCCAGACATGTTGCACCCCGTGATGATCTGAAAGCGACACTGATGAGAAGCAAAGACGTCATTCGGTACGAATTTTTGGGAATGGAATACCTCGCGGATTGGATGCCGTCCAGCATGTATTGCAAGCACGTCGGCCAGCTGCGGGCGAACGTAATCATTTGTAGTACCCACGTACGCAAAGGCGGCAAACATGTCAAGGATACTGATGCTTTCACAGCATTTGAAAAGAATTGACATTCTTGTTCTGAGCTCGCCAATGAGATTCTGGACGGCTTTATCGCTCATGGCCAAGATTTCCTCATGACAGACGGAGATTTTTTGGTTCAGTTTCATTAGGTCAAGGATTTGACAGTCGATCTTGTTCTTGCTTTTGTGTATATTGATGAAAACTGGAGGTAGTTGGCGATTCTCAAGCTCCTCAGCTGGGAACCTGATGAAGAACTGTCGCTGGGAATCAAATTTTAACTGAAATGAGAAATTATACGCTTCCCTCAACTCCTCTACCATGCGATAGGCGTCTTCAGTGAGCTCTTTATATGCTGTACGAGCTACATCTAGCAGACCGTTAACTCCTGACTTTACTGCGAAGGTTCGCTGGTTTCGCAACTCTAGTGGGCTGTTTGAATATTGTGCATCTTCATTAATAGTCTCACTGATGAGGTTGAGAAGCTCCAGCAGTAACGGAGAGGCGCAGTTCGCTCTTATTCCAACAAGGAGATCACTTCGGGCGCCAGCAAGCACATGACTGACGAGCTGGAGACATTGAATAAAATATTTGAGTGCAATTACTTTGTTGATCGAATCTTCAACCACAGCCAACGGATCCCGAACATCAAGGACAATAAGAGAAGTGAGAAGTTTTTCTGCATCAAGAAACGGCTTGAGAGCCTGCCGAACAGCGTAAAACATGTCCTCTTTCGTTGAAAGTTCTTCGACTGCGTCGTAACGTTTTGTAATTGTTTCGACATTACAAGACGGCTGCAGAATATTACTCCGTAGAAGCCGAGCGCCCATCGGGGTAAAAGTTTGATTCAGTAGGCCGTATAGGCAGAGATCGGATCTTGTATCTTGCAGATTTTGTATCAACTCCATAGCACATATCGTTGCGGAATCGATCATCATTGTCCCCTCTGATGGCTCATACTTCACTCGAAGAGAGTGATGCTGAAAGGTCTTACCAAGGTGGAGTTCAATGAATTTCAAAGCCTTTTGTATATCAGTATGAGGCATCAATGTTTAGGTGCTAACTTAACAGCCGCAAAGCAACAGACGGCAAAGTAGTTACCGCCGATAGCTATTTTAATTGACTCAATATCCTCTGAGAAAGCAAGTTGGCGAATTGCCTCCAAACCAGTTGCCTCTGCATAGTGACGCCGATCTACAGCAATGAGGTTGGCATTGATTCTGTCTTGGTTGTCTTCAAGGATACAATAAAGCTTGGAGGGCGGAGATGTGGCTGTTGAAGGCACCAGGATCTGCGATGGTGAGTACACTCTGAGCTTGTTTAAAGTACGTGCATAGGTCTGGCTGTCGCTGATTTGACTCAGGGCTGCCTCGCCGGTTTCGAGGTTAACAAAAGCTAGCCCAACTGTTGGGGAAACGCCACGAGCTTCAGTCACCGCGCATATGAGTTCTTGTTCAAGAATGCCAAGTGTGGATGTTCCAGTCCGAGGACGAGCAGTTGATGACCGTACAGTGCTTATTGGCGCACCAGGAGGAGGGAGATACATGCCTGTCCTTTGACTATTAAAGGTGTACGGTTGATAGGACGTAGTGGCAGACATGAAGCTTGTTGAGTTGCACAAATCCGGACGAACTCTTCAACTGTAGGAGCTAAGATTAAATCGCTACGCATTGAACGAGCCAATAAAAGGCCACGAGAAAATTAAAGAGACGTGAAGCAGATAATCAATTAAGCTGAGAGATAGCAAGCAGTATGTCGAGCGATGTAATGAGGAAAAGGATGACTTAGGGCGAAAAAAGACAGAAAACCTGGACTCAGGAAGGAGCGCAGCATGAACAGCAGGAAGGTGGTAAGTGTACGCTCATTGCGCTTGCTTGAAGAGATCGATACAGAGATGCCAAGCAGCATTGCAATCACGATGACTTGAAGTATGGAGACGGTCATGCAGCGCTTAAACACTGGATTATGCTCCAGGGACGAGACGAATGTTTTATCTTGGTCCGTAGAAAACGAGGGTTCATCCATGTCAGGATACTCTTCGTATCGATAAGCACCAGTGCGCCTGAAACTTTTCTCCATGCGATTTTGCCTACCATCCTCTCGTCTTAAAACTGCTCCTAGCTCGCGCATCTGTCGCCTTTTGCTTCCCTTAACTTGCTGATACAGCCATGGCAACAGTCGTGCCTCCTCCGTCGAAACGTCAAAAGCGTGAGGCTACTGAACGCGCAGCAAAGCAAGAAGAAGTCGAGTCAATACCGGATGGGTCTATTCGCGTACAGTTCGTGGATCGCACCAACAATTCGCCAACTGGGCCATCAGTTTCAATACCACTATCACAGGCTACGGTAAAAAATCTTGAGATCCTCCTCAATTCTCTCAATGGAGTCAGCGAAACGTCGGACAGGATACCATACCGATTCTTCCACGAGCGGCGAAAAAAGGATGGGACAGAAGAAGAGCTGGCTCTAGCCGACACTACGGACGTATATTCGGCTCTAGTAAAACCTGGAATTGTGAGTACAGAGGAGGAGCTTGTATTATCATACACGCCGCAAGCCGTATTCAGAGTGAGGGCTGTGAGCAGATGCGCAAGCTCGATAAACGGACATGGTGAACCGATACTTGCTGCGCAATTTTCACCTTCCTCATCTTCAAGACTCGTCACGGGAAGTGGGGATAGTACGGCTAGGATTTGGGACTGCGATACAGGGACACCTCTGCATACCTTGCAAGGACATACGAGTTGGGTTCTCTGTGTGAGTTACTCACCAGACGGAACCATGATTGCTACGGGCAGTAACGATAAGACGGTACGGATATGGGAAGCGAAGACAGGTAAGCCGCTAGGGGGTGCCATGAAGGGTCATAGCGGTTTCGTACGTAGCCTGGCATGGGAGCCATATCATCTGCAAGAACCAAATCGGCCGCGAGTCGCGTCATCCTCCAAAGACGCAACGGTCCGAATTTGGGACGTCATTGCTAAACGCGCCGATATAGTGCTAAGCGGACACAAGGCTAGTGTCTCTTGTGTGCGCTGGGGTGGCACGGGGTGGATATATACCTCAAGCCAGGATAAAACAATCAAGATTTGGAATGCTTCAACTGGTACTCTTATTCATACGCTCAGTGCCCACGCGCATTGGGTGAATCACCTAGCTCTGAGCACAGATTTTGTCCTTCGAACAGGCTTTTTCGACCACACTGGGAAAATACCATCCACAGAGGAAGAGCGTAGAGCGGTGGCGAAGTCACGTTTCGACAAGGCGGCGACAATCAACAAGCGGACGAGTGAGAGGCTCATCAGTGCTTCAGATGATAACCTTGTATACCTTTGGGATCCGTCTGGACCTACCCCAACCAAACCGGTTGCGCGTCTCAATGGTCATCAGAAGCAAATCAATCACGTCACGTTCTCACCCGATGGCCTATACATTGCATCCGCAAGTTTTGACAACAGCGTAAAGCTGTGGAACTCACGTGATGGTAAATTCATCCTCACATTTAGAGGACACCTCGCGCCTGTGTATCAATGTGCGTTCTCAGCAGACTCTAGATTGCTGGTGAGCAGTTCCAAAGACACTACGCTGAAGTGCTGGGATGTGAGAACCGGGAAGCTCGCAACAGATCTGCCCGGTCACCAGGACGAGGTCTATGCTGTAGATTGGAGCCCGGATGGCAAGTGTGTGGGAAGTGGGGGAAAAGATAGAGCAGTCCGACTATGGAGAAATTGATTGCCCTTAGTGATACCCAATGAAAATTTTCTTGAAAACTTTGAAGAAGCCTAAGTACGACTAAACAACTGTTGCTAACCTTATCCTCTATTGCACCAGGCTCTATCCAAGGTACGCTTGCCTGACCTGACAGCAGACATGCTTGCCAATGTTTCTCGCAAGCGCCCAAAACGCCGCCAAAACCAGGTCCATTACGCTGATGCATGAATATAGAACTTTAAAACTAAATAATCGCAAAACACCAAAGCAAGCCCCAATCACACTGAACATCATCTTCTCCGCCGAGCCCTGGAGACAGGAGCAGCGGTGGTCGAAGCAGTAGGTCGCCTTCGCTCATCCACATATGTTGGGTCTCTTGAAAGTTCGTCTTCGGATTCATCCTCGTCATCGTCGCTGGTCGCGCTGCTGGGGTCGTATTCATTCCCCAGCCCGCTTGGCCCACGATCAGAATACTGCGAAGACAGATCAGAGCCGCTGGGATGCATGCGACCGCGGCCAGAGGCCGTGACAGGAGCGCGACGATAGACGTTCGAGTAGGCGACGTTGGGAGGGCCCGAAGCAACGCGCCTGCCATCCGGTGGAGGATACGCTTGATACTGACCGTACACATGTGGGTAGTATTCATACTCCTGGTGCATCGACGACGGACGACCACCAGAATTGGCTCGCGAGGGATACGGTGGACCTTCGTAAACAGGCTGACCACGTCGACTACTGGCACTTGTTGATCTTGAGCTATCGCCTGAGCCTGGTGGCGAATACCGTGCATTGTCGGAGGCTGTATGACGTCCTGAGGGCGGATGGTAATATGCCACCGGTGTATACACGGGCACGCCACCAGGACCCATCGTCATGAAACCAGGTGGCATCTGTCGTCCCGCGGAATAGGAATCGTCCGGGTCCACAGTTTGCTTTTTCTTGGGTTCTTTTGTTCTCGATTTGGCAGGTGCTAGGGCTGTGGAGGGCGCAATTAAACTTGCTCGTCGCGAATTGCGCTTCCGAGTCCAAGCTCTATTGTTGCTGCTAGGGCTTCTCCCTTTGCTAGCCTTGTCGCTAGAGCCTCGTCTTGCACGGTCAGGGGAATCGCTCGATGGCCGCGCGTATCTCTTTTCAAGTGCTTCGATCTCTTCATGTGTAAGATTAACAGATCCCTTGCCTTTTGCCTTGGCCCTGTCTATACGATCCAAAGCTCTTTGTGCAATCAGTTGATCAGAATCGCGCCGCACAAGCGAACTTGACGGCCGTCTCCCACCGTCCCCGTCCTCCTCACTGTCTTCCCCTGGGCTTTCGTACCGCTCTCCATACGCCAAATGCTCATCAGAATAAGATGTGTTCGAGAGCCTGAAGGCCCCGTCATTAAAAAATAACTCATCAGAAACAGACCTGTTGCTTTGCTTAAACACACTCGCAGGAACGCCGTGGTTGCCAAATACAGCATTTTCGTCTTCGCTATCCAGTTCCTGAAAGCGTAAGGCATCCTCGTACAAGAGGCGTTCGCGCTCCCATCGCTCTCGTTCCCGTCGCCCCGGTGGTGGTCTTCCCCAGGGGGGCATAGAGTGTGGAGTTCGCGGCCGACCACCTAGACCGCCTCCTCGGAAAAAGCTGACTCGATTGGCTTGTCCATCAAGGCTGCATGGCCCAGGATGGTTACACCACTAGCTCCGATAAGCCAGAGCATGGTGCTGATCGGTCCGGAGAAGATGAGGAGCGGGACCGAAACAACCATCAGACCTGTGTAGAGCTGGCTGGTCGTAGCCGTGAAAGTACCGATGGTGAGATCTTGCCCTTGTAGCTTGCCGATGCCCCACATACCGCCGACCACCAGAAAGATGACGAAGAGAAGGGTGAGGTTGGTGATCAAGCTGTAGATGAAGAACATGATGAAGACGACAGAGTAATTGCTGGAGAAATAGCCCAAATTGTAGTTCATGCGCGACTGAGCCTCGCCAAAATTTGCCGGCTTTGAGAGCCGTCGCAGATCGAGAAACTCGCTGATCGGCTTGAGGTTGGCAAACCGCTGGGTGAGCGACTGTGACCGAACGGAGTCGAAGCGACTTTGCAGGTTGAAGCGAGACGTCAGGGCGTCAATGGGAATGTTGATAGATGGTGCCATGATGTCGACAGGCGGTTGGAGATGATGAAAAGGGCGACGAGACGGGACAACCGGGTCGTTTGCACGGTTCCTGCAAGGTGTGTGAGCTGAAGCTGAGGCCAGATAGACACGTTCCACAAGGGTGTCAACGTACTAGAAGACGGCTGGTTGCAGACGGACGTCTGATGGGATGAAAGTTGACCTTCGGGACGGCTGAGCGACCGATGACGGAGTTTCTGGAGGGATAGAGAGTGGCTTGAAGAGGTGATGGATGCGAGCGTGGTACTTGAGCAAAAGCGTGTCTTGCAAACGGCGCGGCTGCAACAATCAACGTACTTTCTCCTTGGGTGGGCGAGAGAAAACACAGAAAAGGAACTGCAAGGGGACAGGGAAAAGGAAACGGAAAAGGAAACGGGAAAGGAGCGCTTGAGAGCTCAGCCACCTTTTTGGCCGCCCTGAATTTAGGGTCGGGTGTGGCGCAGACTCCGATCCCGTCTCTGCTGGAAAATCAGATCTGGGGAAGAGGATGAAACAGACAAGAGATGGCACGGCGAGACGAGAGCGAGCCCTATTTGAATGGCAATTTGTGCACCCGCTGGCCCCGGAAATCACTTTTTTGACCGACCTGCACGATTCCTGCAGACGGCCTGCCGACGCAATTGGCCTTTCAAGGATTTCCCTCTCTAGTCACCGTCTTTTTTCGAGCCACGTAAAGCTAGCCTCGCATACCTGTCGGGTGTCACGAAATTGCTCTCACACGCAACGCTTCCTATCCAGCACGCGCTCAGTTGCGCCAATCCCTACGTGCTCATCGACACCATGAGGCCCACCTCAATAGCAGCGTTGCTGTTGTCGCTGTTCACCGTTGCTGTCGTCGCATGGAGCAAAGAGGGTACGTTGGCCTGTCTGACGCCTGCATTGCATTAAGCTAGCTGCGCCTATGGATGCGCGGCACTGACAGCGAGCATCACAGACCACGAGATATTCCAACTCAATGACGCCGTGCGCAATGACATTGGTGCCAATGTCACTTTTTACGATTGGATTGGCATCTCTCCTTCGGCCGATCAGAAGACGCTAAACAGTACGAACGCCGATCCCAGATTGAAGCCGCACGCACGTATCACACACAAGTCTTTGGCAAGGTCCTATACCTCGCCAACGGCTTTGTGGTGGCATTTTGGCGCGCAATGCTACACATCTTGTACTGACTTCTTGCGCCAGGGGCGTATCGGAAGAAGGCTTCGGACCTACATCCAGGTTAGCACATCGCAGCCAGAGTGCTTCCCAACGTGATCCTAACGCCCTGCCAGACAAAGCCAAGTCACGCTTTATCTCGCAATACAAGAAGAAGCATGGAAAGGAGCCCACAAAGAGGGAGATCACAGCTTACTACAAGGAGGCTGAAAAGCGATTCGGGCGTTTCAGCGTAGTCGGGAATATCATGCGCGGCGAAGGCCGGGACCGTTACGACTACTTCCTCAAGAACGGCTTCCCCAAGTGGCGAGGCACTGGCTACTACTACTCGAGATACAGGCCTGGCACGGGCACGGTGCTTGTTGGGCTTTTCGTCATGATGGGAGGTGTCGCCCATTATGCAGCACTACAGCTCAGCCACAAGCGGCACAAGGACTTCGTCGAGCGATATATCAAGCACGCGCGTAAGATGGCCTGGGGCGATAGCACTGGTATCGCGGGAATACCCGGAGCCAGTAACAGCCCCAACGGCACGACTGGCTTCGAAAGCCTTGCCACCCAGCAACAAGAGGACGGCCAGGCGCAGAATTGGAACCGTAAGCAACGACGGTTGCAAGAGAAGGAGAACAAGAAGTTGAAGAAAGATCCTAAAGCTGTGAAAAATGCGCGTGAGAAGGGTATCAGCACGCCCGTAGATGCGGAGCTCATCTCAGGCCCTGTTGGCACGAAGAAGCGTGTCATTGCCGAGAACGGGAAGGTACTCATCGTGGATTCCGTAGGAAATGTCTACGTTGAAGAGCAGACTGAGGAAGGTGATACTATTGAACTTCTGCTAGACGTGGGTGAACATTCCTCCAGACTTTTTTTTTTCAAGATGTATTAATGAATCACTTTTAGATTGATGCTATCGAGAAGCCTACCGTCTACGATACCGTTCTCTTCAGGTTGCCGGCCTTTGTGTATCGCAAAACCATTGGTCGATTTCTGCGCCCGCATGAAGCTGTGCTAGAGCAGCTGACAAGAGATGAGCACGAAACGATCGAAGATGCAGCTCTTGACTGCGCGACTTCCATCAATGCCAATGAAGAATCAGAACGAAGGAAGCCAAAAGTCCGGAGAAAGTAAATGTTACATGTTCTGATTTGAATCATACCGGCTCGGCGCGAGATGGGTTCTACAAGGTTGCGAGATACCAAAGCGATGACTAGGCAGCCGGCGCAAAAATGTAAAGCGGAATCATTTCAAGTCAACATTGAATCATCTTATCAAAATAAGTAGGAACAAGAGTCTAGCTCAGGGTATATCGAATTAGTCATCTTGCTTTAATTATCAAAACCCAGACGTGACGGCCAAACTACGCGTTCTCACCGATACCCAAGACCTCCACGAGGACATTGCTCACTGTGCTGGCCGTCCAAATAATGACTAGGCACCATCCAATGAAACGATCCATCTTCCACCTTCGCAAAGGCACAATGATCAGCAAGCCCAGCAATGTGACGAGGAGTGTAGCACCACTGATCATGAGTGTTCTGCTAACTTCAATCTCGTAAGGTTTAAACTGCAATTGTTTGCCAGGATGCTTCGCATGCTTCTTGCGAGCATGCTTGATCGTCAGATAGCAACCGGATAGACCAATGCCAAGCAGAATATTCAGCATCGGTCCACCGAAGCATGCGCTGAGCGCCATGACTGGATAACCCAGCTTTGCGACCGTATAGTCAGCGACAAGGTCTCCTAGCGAGTTTCCCACAGCAAAGATGGTTAGCCCTAGAATGGCATCCGAGATATTTAATATGACGCCAATTGCCTTCAATACACCCACGACCTCGTCGGCAATACTGCTGATCCATGTGATGCTGACCATGAAACCCACAAAGCAGAGTCCCACCCGCCATTTCGGGGCACGATCCGGTGATGTAGTTGCCAGAACGAAAGCGAGTGCAACAAGCGAGCAGATCAATCCGATCAACGCAGGCCGGACGAGTTCTCGAAGCTCTTCAGCATCGTTCATTTTCGCCCAGTATATAAGTGCAACGAAGAATGGAGCGGTGAATATCTGTATAATAACGAGCCAACGTGTCCAATCTCGGGAGGAGGGTAGTTTAGCCGTGGTTGGAAGCTGATCTGGTGATTGTGTTATTTGTCTGTCCACTGGTGAAAGGATTATCGGCTGTTGATGATTGGAATCATAGGCACGAACAGATGTCCTGTCGGATTCATGTCGAGTATGTTGATGCAGATTTTCGTTTGAAGCCATAATTGTCACTACTGTGCCATGTTCAGACTGTCCACGTGAGACTGGTGTGGGGACGTTGCGAAGTTGAGCGGTCTGGTTATGTTCGCTTTCATACTCTTCCGGCTCGACCAAAATTGGAATAATGCTGGAATTCCTTCGATCCATGGTCGCGTTTTGGTAAGTACTAGAAAGGGTGAGGTCTGGAATGTCGTCGTCCAGGCTCTCGTTGTCCACGTCAGTTTCAACCACAGGCAGCGTTATTGTCAGGAAGAAAATACTCGGGGCCGCAGCTAGTCCCAGCATTCTCTCCCACCAGGACTTTTCGACCCATCCGCATAAGGTCGGAAACAAAGTCGACCACAATTCAAACGGCGCAGGCAAAATATTGGTAGGCCACCACCTAGGAGGTTTTGGAGAAGTGGATCTAAAGTGGATCTCAATTGGATTCTGCTCTGCTAGAGCCAGGCTAGGTGATGGCAGAACAATAGTTGGGGTTCGAGCGCTAGGCGAGATGTTATCACTGTATGGAGCAAAACCCAAACCGTTGGATGGAATCCGAAGCAATGGTCTCTGTGGTTTGGCGCTGGAAGGACCATTAGCGCAATTGACTGGTGCTGGTCCTATGGGGGATCGGGGGATTGTTAGATGAGGTTGATGAGAGAAAGGATTCGGAACTGCAAGGTGTGGCGAAGAACTGGTAGTCTGAGTATGAGACTGTGTAGGACTGTTCGACCTAGATGTTTGGCTCGACACTGTCGGCGATGGCGATACCGCTGAAGAAAGGGGTGCTGCAAGTTGGACGGTGTCTTGACGGTTTGGTGAGCCTCTAGATACACTATCATCTTCGGTAAGCGGCCCAAGCAAATCAGTATTCGGTACGGTCTCTGCTGCGTGACGTATCATAGCCGGATCAGGTGCGGATATGGCTCGCGAACGTAAGCCTTGTATCGCTTCTGAATGCTGATGATAGGGGTTCCAAGAATCGTCACTTCCACCATCTAGCTGAAACGGTTCTCGTGAGGCAGGCTCAGAGATCATGGACCTCCCGTCTCGTGAACTCGTGTTGCGAAATGTGTTAGACCCTGCTCCGCCGTCATCCGAAAGCCGTCTGTGCAACGGAAAAGACTGAATATTACCAGATCTTTGAAGACCTGATAATACTGACCGAAACTCCAATGCGCCGATCAAGCTTGGACGAACCGGGTTGTGGGTGCCGCTTCTATCTCGCAATCTAGGTCGAGCAAGCCTCATCTCGTTATTTATCTCCCCCAGCTCCCGTTTTCTGCGATCCTCCTCGTCCTCTTCATCATCGTCATCATCTCCTCTCCCTCTTTCGAGCAACGATATATCTTCTGTAGAAATGCCTCGTCGTGGGATTGGTCGATCATCTTGTTCAGGTTCGTCTTCGTCACGGTACGCTGGGAATTCGGCCACTTCAGAGCCCGAAGAAACAAACTGAGCCCTCGCGGCAGCCTCAGCTTGTTTTCTCCGCTTCCGCCTACTGAACCACCAATGCCAGATCACTACAGATATGACGTAAAATATATATAGACCAACCATTGCCATAGACTCCCAAAGATAGAGTTTTCCGTCGATTAAGAAGGCCATACTAAAGGACGAAGCGACGATGAAGAAGGAAACATCTCTTACGAAACTTCTGCGTGCAACCTTAAAAGGCCGCACAAATGCCATGGCCCCTGCGACGACGGCTGTAATGAAGCTTGCTGCGCCTATTAGTTCGCCCACAGCTAAGCTTCCGCTGTTGGTGCTCATCGCGGCAAAAGTGGAAAAAACGTCTGGGCTGCCATTGCCAAATGCGAGGAATGTGACACCAGCAAGACTTTCGCTTAGGCCGAGCAGATGCGCTATCGTACTTAGATTGATGCAAAAGAAGTCGCTAGCCGCTATTCCAATAGTGCTAAATAGAAGACACAGCCACAGAACTATGATACCAAAAGCGAGGGGCTTCACATGTTCCAGGTCGCAGTAGTAGAGTTGAAGGTACGAAAAGAGACCGGCTTCTTCGTCGACGCAATTCTCTTTCACGAATGCGCACTTGTCGTTCGCTCGATGAACCAGGCGACACTGAGCATGTTAGCAATGGTTTACGCATGTCTGAGGGCGTTACCGCATTCGAACCTCCAAATCTTCGGCTGGAAGCGCTTGCGTGCCGCGCTTGACAAACGCGGTTGCTGGGCCATATTGCGCAAGTTGCGGATGCAGGGCACTGTAAATGGCCAGCACGCTGATAAAGAAGCCAACGAGATAAAAAGTGGTGGCGGCCGAGCGGTGTATGCGATCTTTTCTCGCGTTGCGCTTCAACGCGGCATAACGAGCCGTCATTGTTTCGGCGGGACGGAGTGCGGGTTCGGGGTTCCAGACATGCTGGTTGCACTACGAAGGAAGTAATCGGCGGCCGGGGAAGAGACTGTCTCTGTATATGGACTTAGAGAAAGGGTGGGCCTAGCATGGGTGGCGAGGTGGGTTGCAGGTCGCCGTCACACAGCGGATCTTAACAATGAGGAGGTGAGCAGATGTGGCTACGTAACTCTACTGTGGTAAGAGGACAGACGACCAAGAAGGGTGACATCACCAGCGTGCCAAGACGCTAATTGTCTTGAGCCACACGTAAGCACAAACAGGTATTGATAACGAGTGTATATACACCCACATCCACATGCAGATGTACATACCCATACGCACAGAAAGCGAGAGACAGGGACTGACAAAGAGAGAAAGAGAGAGCGTGTGTGAGTGAGAGAAATAAAGTCGACGGATCGTGGCTGATAGGTCCAGTTCCGACGGGGATTCCGCTATGGAGCTGCAAGCGTAACAATAGTGAGCAACCAAGAGACACTTGCATGCGTCTCTGTGCTATGACCGAAGACTGTCAACTTGCGGAGTGCCCATCCACTTGCACCTGATGGAGTCTTCTCGACGGCCATGGGCTTCTGCGCTTGGCACAAATCACATCGTCGGCATTTAGCCTCGGGACAATCCCGTTCTTGGCCTATTCACTTCCCTGCTTGCTTGTAATGATCAAGCAAGAACGTAGTATATGCAAGCTGTGCGGGGAGATGGCGCATCAAGCCACCCTTTCGTGCGAGCAGTTTTTGCAGAATCGGCACGCTGAGCTTATTCTTGCCTAAACTTACGCGAACGAATCAGGACTCCTGTTTGCTTGCGCCGTGGCTATTCTTGCCAAGTGCCAATGCAAAATGCTCGCCGCAAATGGCTCAAAGGAGATTCACCGAGTCTTGCATGCTTCTCCATGTCGTGGACTTAGATGATCGGCACACACTTTCCTCTCTCTCTCGGGCGCTTTTAAGCCGGGATGTGCTTGGACTGCTTCTTTCATTTATCCCCTCTAGCTTTTATCCTCTGCTTGTATGTCTTGCACGCTGCCGAGCCTTAAACACGTAATTACTCTTGTGATTTTCGCTAGTCGTCATGGTGAACGATCTGGATGAGAAGTCTGGTCGTATAAGTCCGGACGAGGAGAGAACTCAGGATCGCGCAGATGACGTCCTAGCGCTAGAGTACCGTAGCCTACCACCAGATCCTGATGCGCACCTCAGTCCACAGGAGAAGGCCGCTCTTGTATGCAAAAGTCAGATTCAACTCGAGACCTACCTTTTAACGAAGTCGACAGGAGAAGAAGCTGATCCGCAAGCTGGACTGGTATCTAATCCCGTGGTTGTCGTTTTTGTACCTCATATCCTTTTTGGACCGCACCAACATCGGCAATGCAAAAATCGATGGTCTTGTAAAGGACCTTCACATGACCAACAACCAATACAACATCTGTTTGTTGCCCCCTGGCCTCTTTCTCAGGAAGATAAAAGGGCTAATCCTTCTGTCAAGGCCTTACGGTCTTCTTCATTAGCTACTCCCTCTTTGAACCGCTGACCAACATTCTTTTGAAGCGACTACGGCCTTCGATCTTCCTGCCCATTATCATGGTACTATGGGGAATCTGCATGGTTACAATGGGGCTCTGTCATAATTTCGGTGGCATGGTAACGGCTCGTTTTTTCCTTGGTCTCACCGAAGCGGGTCTCTTCCCGGGTACGTCACCATTTGTTCTTTTCCCTTGTGGTCCTTCTTACATGCTTAGGTGTGAATTACTACCTGTCATGTTGGTACAAGAGATCAGAGTTCGGAATACGAGCTGCCATATTTTTCTCTGCCGCAGCCTTCGCCGGCTCCTTCGGCGGTCTTCTCGCCGCTGCGATTGCTCAAATGAAAGGCGTAGGCGGTAAACCTGGGTGGGCATGGATCTTCATCCTAGAAGGTCTTGCCACTGTCTTGGTTGGCATAGTCTCTTACTGGATGGTCCACGATTTTCCCGACGAAGCAACGTTTCTCTCCCTGGACGAACGTGCAAGAGTTCTGCGGCGACTTGCAGAAGATAAACAGGGCAGCGCACTTCACGAGGATTTCAAAATGGAATACTTTTGGGCCTCTGTCAAAGACTGGAAAACATATTTGTTTGCAATCATTTACATGGGTGCGGATGGATCTCTGTACGCATTCAGTCTATTTGTCCCAAGTATCATCAACGAGCTTGGCTATACGTCCACCCAAGCAAATCTTCTCTCGGTGCCACCATACTTCGTCGCGGCAATACTAACAGTGCTTGCTGGCTGGTATGCTGATCGAACTCGCCGTCGCGGATTAACAAATATAGCGGTATCTATTCTTGGAATTGTTGGCTTTTCCATGCTCCTTGGTGTCAAGCACGCAGGTGTTAAATATGCAGCTGTGTTTTTGGGAGCCATGGGGATTTACCCAGCCATCGCCAACACTATATCTTGGTGTTCAAATAATGTAGAAGCTAGCTACAAACGGGGAGTCACACTTGGCTTTGTGATTGGGTAAGTCCTGCCAATACGCTCACGAAACCAGGCTAATCAATACAAGATGGGGTAATCTGAATGGAGTGAGTCCTCTTCTTTCGCTAAATCGTTAAAAACTTGCCTCCTAGCATACAAAATATTTCCCAATTTTCATTTCGCGACCGTCATAGAAAATTAGGTCAATTCAATTATTACTTTACAAATGCCACGATTTTTCGGTAGAGCCTCTAACACAAAATGTATCTAGGTCGTCTCGTCAAACATTTATCGACAATCAGATGCGCCGGGATATCGACGTGGACACGGTGTAGTGTTAGCCTACCTCGTCCTATTTCTATTCGGAGGCAGCATATTTACAACCTTAGCGCTGCGGAAGGAGAATAAAAAGCGTCTTAATGGTGAACGGGATTATTGGGCGGAAGGTAAAACTCCTGAGGAGATCCACGCGCTTGGTGATAAGCGTCCAGATTTCATCTACGTGGTGTGAGGATTAAGGTGGGAAATTACCTTTTTCAAAAGAGGCCCTTGGCACTTGATACTGTTCAGGATTCAAAGCTCTAGGACAAGATCAAATTGATGATATATGTGTGCTCTTCATCCCAGCATGTGCAGAGTTCAGTTACCCGCCCAAACTTGAATAATCACGTGTGATCCAGTCGTGGACAGCCAACGAAGCCGAAGTCGGTGAAATTGAAAACCTTCCACCGTCGACTTGAGATTCAAAGTAATCAGTCGTACCCAATTACAGCAATGCCACTCGAGAAGTTTGACAACCTAGAACTGCCGGCGACGGCTGACTTTCACGTCCATCTACGAGATGGAGAAATGATGTCGCTAGTCACTCCAACCATTCGTGCAGGCGGCGTCAATACAGTTTATGTGATGGTCTGCAGCACAAGGATATACCATTAAAATACAAATCAACTAAAATGAACCAATAGCCAAATCTCGTGCCACCAATCACAAGTGTTGAAGCTTGTCTCGACTATAAGAAGCGCCTGCAAGAAATCGAGCCGAATGTGGAGTTCCTAATGTCTTTGTATCTGCATCCAGATGTAACTCCAACGACGATCATCGAGGCTAAAAAGGCTGGTATTATTGGCGTCAAATCGTATCCTGCTGGTCAGCTGCTTTTCGCATACTACAATTTCAACCTTGTAATCTGACTTTGATCAGGTGTTACAACAAATTCTGCATCCGGTGTTGTTGATTATGAGAGTTTCTACCCCGTCTTTGCCGAGATGGAGCGCCAGGATATGATTTTGAACATACATGGCGAGAGTCCTGCGACGAAAGACTCAGACATCACAGTTTTAAACGCAGAAGAGCAATTCTTGCCAACCCTAAAGTCGCTCCACCAAAAATTTCCAAAACTTCGAATTATCCTGGAGCACTGCACGACAGCAAAAGCGGTCGAAGTCGTCAAAGAATGTGGCGATACTGTGGCAGCTACTATCACGGCACATCATTTGTTTCTAACAATTGACAATGTGGTAGCTGACCCATTTTGCTTCTGCAAGCCAGGTAATAGCAGAACAAACGAATCCGTCCAAGAACCGTGCTTATCAGAATGTTACAGTCGCCAAAACGCCGGCAGACCGGAATGAACTGTTAAGAACCGTCGTCTCTGGCCACCCAAGAATATTTTTGGGCACAGATAGCGCCCCACATTCAGTCGTAGCCAAACGTGGCGGAGATAAGGGACTAGACAAAGCAGCTGCAGGCGTTTTCACTCAGCCATATGCTACTCAAACTGTTCTGGATGCTCTTGAGGAAGGCATACAACAGAACGTGATCAGGGAGGAGGATGTGACTGTGGACAAGCTCAAAGGGTTTTTAAGCGGATTTGGTAGAGCCTTTTATCGTGCATCAGACACGAAAGGGGAGAAAATTGTGCTGAAACGCAAGGCAGATGTAGTGGTCGATTCATTGAAATCGGGTTCGCTTGAAGTCATTCCATTCAGACGGGGACAAAAAACATGGAAAGTGGAATGGAGATAAAACTATGTCCTATTACATGCACGGCATCGCTGATCTTGATGACAATGATGACCTAAAAGGAGTGAACGTTAACAGCAGTCATGTTGCATTGGAAATATGTCGGAAGCTTGAAGTTCCTTAGAGGCTAATTGAGCGCATTAAAATATACATTAACGGTAGAACAACTTGCGTGGTTCAAGTACGGCGTAAATGGTAGAGTTGAAGAGGCATTTCGATCAATTTAACATGCTCTTACGATGGCATGATCTGCCCATTTGATGGTGATTCCTACAGAACCATATCTCTAGCGCTTTTTGGATGTATCTCGCAAAGCAGATATCTGTAAGGAAGGTGCTCTGTTGTCTCAATTGCTCAACATATCAAGCAAGCTTCCATTGATAGTCATGTGATGCGCAGCACACCCTACTTCTCTCGTAACCATGAGAAATGTGCTTCCTGCCGACACCATTTCAATCCACTCCAATTTGATGTCGTCTCTTGAATTATTAGTGGTTTTTAAATTGAGCCACTAAGACTAGTTCTAGCTTCCTTCATAAATGATATCTCCCAGCTTTGTCAAAGCTTATTTCACGTTTGCCGATCCCGTTTTTTCCGAGCATTGATTCACTATTAAGAGTTTGTCGACCCACCCGGCTCGCTTGACTTGTTTTGTCCACCGAGCATGTGCTGATCCGGGAGTCTGTCGTAATACGAGTGGTGGTGCTCTTTTCGCTCGGTGAAGATTCGTTTGACTGCGATGAAAGCAGCAATGAAAGGAAATGCAATAACGTAGATCAAGGCGGTTGCAAGGCGTTCGAAAAACGTTGGAGCTCTTTTTGGGTTCGTTGCGGAAGCTGCAGGCGCGATTGAACGTACTGCTGACATGTTCGAGCATAGAGGAAATAAGATATTGGCCTCTCAAGTAACTGGCGTCTAAGAAAGGTACACCACAATCAAGGAAGTCGGAACATGGCGGGAAGGTTTTCCCAGAATCTGCGCGCTAGCAGCACAGCGCTGTGCTTTGATATGATGATGATGTCACGTTAGGATTGACTGCGGATCTGCTGCAGTCTACGGCTGATTTAATGCATAGAAAACGTCCAACTGCCTGCCGAAGTAGCGAAAAAGGGCTGTAGATTGACAATAATGAGAATCTAAATCGGCCTTGCTGATTTCTCTGCGACTGTAAGGAGTGAGAATAATGATGCAAACTTTCAAGTTCCAACAGACGCAAGCATGACCCATTCTGGTTTAGTGTCATCGACCGTCCTGCCTTTGTGGCAGCACGATGCCTGTTCTTCGTAACAGGAGCATCCTCGTTAATTTTGGATTAGATTGTTGTCAATCTATTGCCAAGAACAAAGATATTGGAGTGGTCCTTGCCTGTTAATCACGCAAAGAATTGCCGGGTAATGAAGTCCGCTATCGGCGAAGTCATATCCTTAGCCGTACATATTTCGGAAGTATCTATCGCTCCACCATCCACAGTGGCTGCACTGAATATGTTACGAGCTATCTAACATAATCAAAAAATGGCACCTACGAAAACTGCTCGATGGATCCTCAGGGCTCAAACTGGCCTTGATGGCCTTGTTTATCAAGAATCGTCACCAATACCAGAAGTCAAGGCTGATGAAGTACTCGTAGAGCTTCATGCGGCGTCGCTCAACTATCGAGATTTGGTAGTAACTAAGGTTTGCAGTCGTGGTAACCAAGAGAGTAGATATTCTGACACACAAGGAGGGTGGATCCGGTTCAAGCATTCCCAATGTTATCCCAAGCTCAGACGGTGCTGGTATTGTACGGGCCGTTGGCAGTTCTGTCACAGGTTTTGAAATTGGAGACAAAGTCTGCACCCATCTTGCCCCCTTTATCGCAGACGACCAATGGCCAAACTTTGGCAATATCACGGCTGGCTTGGGCCAGCAGGTCAACGGCACGCTTACTGAGTATGGCGTCTTCCCGCAGACGGCAATTGTGCACATGCCAAATAATTGCAGCTTTGCGCAGGCAGCTACTTTGACCTGCTCGGCTTTAACGGCATGGAATGCACTGTTCGGTCTTCAGGGTAGACAGCCAAAAAAGGGGGACTGGGTTCTTACACAAGGCACCGGGGGTGTTTCAATAGCGGCTTTGCAGGTGGGCAATTCGATATGAAGCCCATGACCACGCATCACTGATCAGTCAAGTTAGTTCGCAGTCGCGGCTGGTGCGAATGTAATCGCTTCCACTAGCAGCGATGAAAAAGCCGAGCGGCTGTTGGCCCTAGGTGCCAGCCACGTTATCAACTACAGACAAACACCACGCTGGGGTGAGGTAGCCAAAGGTATGACTCCAGGCAAGCAGGGGGTGGACATTGTAGTGGACGTCGGTGGCGAGAACACTTTAGGAGAATCAATGAAGGCGGTCAAAGTCAATGGCTTGGTTGTTGCAGCTGGACTGGTAGCTGGCACAGTTGAGAACGAGAAACCTGCCCTAATTGACACCCTCTGGAATCTGTGTATTGTTAGAGGAGTGTTGCTTGGGACGCGAAATCAGTTCAAGGAGATGAATCGGTTTGTGGAAGTAAAGGGTATTGACTTGGCGGTTGATGAAAAGGTCTTTGACCTAAAGGATGCACGCAGGGCCTATGAACGACTTCAGCAGCAACAGCATTTTGCAAAAGTTGTGATTAGGATCAGATAAATAAATTGGAGATCAGAATGCTCCGCGCCTGATCAGATCCCGATATCTTGTGGGCTCGAACTAGTGGCACGTACTACCCGTGGGTGAGAGCTGCCTTGGTTAGCCTCGGTGCCTCAACCTCGGTCAAATTTCAACGATTGACCTCAAAGCTTCCTACTGAAACCAGTTACACTCTCCATGATGTCCGCCATCGTTGCTATGCACCTGCTTCAATCTCCATCAAGATGACAAAATCAGATATGAATAGCTTGAACTATCCCTTCGCTGCATCTCCAGACATTATCCGCGCTCATCAGAAGGATGCATATTTTCAAGCTGTTCTTCTCGAACAGATATCAGACATAGTTAGAAGCCTCAAAGGCGTCCGTTTCTCGCACAATTACACTTCCGAACTTAAAGCTGTGGCGGATCTGCTCTACCTTGGTCTAACAACTCTCGTGGGAAATCGAACACTCGGTGAGGAATATTGCGACATTGTCCAGGTGGAGGAAGAGACACGTCGCTTGCCCGCGATTTACAGACGCTCAGGCTACATTGTAGCCACGATACTTTTACCATACGGCTTAAATAAGATTTTACCAGCTTTCAGGCGACGGCTGCGTGCAAAATTGGAGGCGGTTCTGCGTCGAAAATCAGCGAAGAAGAATGGAAGACCTCCTGCAGCGGTAGATAAAGTGCAAGCATACGTCCTTGCCAACCTCGACACGATCACATCTCCTGCATCAGTGTATGCGATCAACCTCGCTATCTTCTACTTCACCGGGGCGTACTACCAGCTCAGCAAGCGACTATGTGGTCTACGCTATATCTTTACACGGAATGTTGAGGAGACGTCGCAACGCGTAGGATATGAAGTGCTCGGTGTGCTTTTGGTGTTACAACTATCTGTTCAGGCGTGGATGCATTTGCAAGACACATACAGGAACGGCCCTCATACTGTTGCCAACGCCGGAACAATGATGGGCGGAACAGCAATGGTCGGCCCGGGAGTCGAAGTGTCTCTCGACCCGCAAATGTACTCGAGCAATAATGCACTTCTTATCGAGTCTGATTCACCTTATTCAGAGATAAGCAAGTCAGCCATTCAGAAAGTTACTCATACTCCTGTCCTAGAGAGTGCCCGCTACGACCTCGAACAAAACGACGTCATGGCATGGATTCATGCGCGGCAGCAGCGAAAATGCACGCTTTGCCTGGAGTCGATGAAAGATCCAAGTGTGACTACTTGTGGACATTGCTTTTGCTGGACATGTATTGGCGACTGGGTCAGGGAGAAGCCGGAATGTCCACTTTGTCGGCAACACGTTCTAGTTCAACACATTTTACCCTTACGTGGCTAGCCCAGAATCTGTGTTTGGAACTCACCAATGCTAGGTTCGAGACCCGAACACTTTGTCTTTGAGTGAATTCAGTGATAGGACTGGCAAGCGGAATCTTGGGCATGGTGCTTCGGCTGAATTGAAATAGCACTCCACAAGCCCTTGTCCAAAAGCGTCTGGCTAGGTATGTATGCAGTTCTCTTCGCAGTTTTCTCTTACCCCTATCTATGATGATTTCGAAACAAAAATACGCATAGTTCATCCGATGATCGGAAGGTCGCTGTGGAACAATGTTTTCTTTCGCTCCTATCTGACACTGTCTAAACTTCCATCTTGCTTGCAGCCCTTATGAATTGAGACGAGTTCTAACATATTCTAACATATTTTTCAACTACGCAGGATTATCAGCAGATATGAAATCAGAATGCAACTGATGCCATCGCCTGTGAACTCTTGCTCAGTTCAGTCATCAGTACTGCGGACTTTGCAATTAACTATGATAAATAGTTTAACTCTCTCAGCACTGGGGTTTTATTGTGAATACTTGTCTCATAACCCAATTTTGCGGAGTTAGCCTGCGACGTGCGAGAGCGAGGGTTTTATGCCAAGCCGGAAAAATAAGCGACCTTTGTCTACTCCCCTTCGAAAGTCTACGATGTCTCGAAAACGGAGCTTTGGAAAATATCCAGCATCCTGAATTCGCTCCTCATCAGTGTTGTGATGCTTACCACCAATCGAATTCAAAGCCTTGCGTCAGCCCAAGTTCTCAGGATACTGCGTTACTGATCGGGCACGATATACATGGGTTCAGACTTTGTCAGACAGCTCATTGCGCCGATCATTTTATCTCTACTTAACAAGTAGCCTCAGTTCAAGGCTAGTACGCTACATCCACACTAGTTCAAAATCCGAATGCATCCTGACGGATTTTTTTTTTCCTTCTATTGAAAAGATTAAACTCGCGCCAAGACATGACCCAGACAGTAGACTCAACGCTTAGTCTCAAGTGGCCGGAGCTTGCCTGTTTTCATCCATGCTCCGCATCTGTCACCCCAACTTTACCCCAATGTGTGGACACTAAATCTGGGGTAGCATGGTAGAGCCTTAGGAAGAATGTGTTTGGTCTTGTTTTAGGAAATTACTTCTCCATCAACTGCAATTGGTCTAAAGCGTGTCATAATATGAATTTAGCTAGGCTATATGATGATAGTGTAGGAAATGGATATCCATAGTTTGGGAAGAAATACAAATATGCTCGTTATGATTCCCAAGCTCAGCTCCCTACTTTGTGATTTTCTTCAGTGTCAGCAGTTTCCATCTTCTTTTTGCTGAAATTTCATTTGCATGATGTCCTCTTTACCCGATGACAAGGTTAAGATCAACCGCGTTGATACGATCGAACCGGCTCCTATTAGTGCATCTGTTCTTTCTGGGGATGAACAGATCATCTATCAGCTTGAAACAACCGGCGAAGAGGTCGGCGTGACGTGGAGGACTGTTATGGCCGCAGCAGTACGTAGCTCTTCGATTTTCTATTTTGCCGCACTGATTCGACTTTGACATTATGCTAGTCGATGGCGCTCTCCTACAATGCATATGTATTTACGCTGTTGATGCCGCCGGCAATTTTGTCCTATATCAATGCAGACTTGGGCCCTGAACCTACCTACACTTGGATATCGATCTCATGGAATCTTGGTGGCGCTATTTTCGTAACCATCGGTGGTAGGCTCTCAGATATTTTCGGTCGCAGGTATTTCTTTCTTGCTGGCGGCTGTCTTTTGCTCGTCGGCTCGATTGTAGGCGCGACTGGACAGACGATCAATCAGATGATTGCATCTGGCGCTATCTTTGGTGCCGGATCTGGCTTTCTCGAAATGGCTTACGGAGCTGTGCAGGTACGCTGGCTTACTCACAATGCTGACGGGCACACCTTGAAGCGTGCTAATTGTAGCAATCAGGAAATCGTACCAAACCAGCATAGAATGGTCACGATTGGTCTCTTCGACGCGGCTGCTGTCATTGCGCAGCTTATGCCTCTCGCGGCTTGGTCGATCATCAAGTATACACATGATTGGAGAAATGCGTACTATGTTATTATTGCATTTGAGGCATTCACCGTAATCTTTCTGTGGTTCTTCTATCACCCTCCAAAGTTTACTACTAAACATGCAACGGATGGAAGGACTCCGATGGATATTGTCAAGGAGTTCGACTGGCTTGGATTGGCAATATTTGTTGCAGGATGCACACTCTTCATCATTGGCATGAATTGTGAGAATGCAGTAAAGAGCAGTCTTCTTTGCATATGTGCTGACTACCAAGCAGGGGGTGGATCTTTGCATCCATGGCGAAGTGCGGCTACGATTGCACCTATTGTTGTCGGCATATCGCTCCTTGTTGGTTTGGGCGTATATGAAGCGTTTGGGAATCTCAAAGAACCGTTGCTTCCCACAAGGCTCTTCAAGCAAGTCCGACAGTACGCTTCCTTTTCGCGTGGTAGCTCAAAGAATAAATCTAACTTGCAGTACAGTTTCACCATGCCCATCGTAGTCGTGTCTATAGTTGGCATGCAATATTATAGCAACGCCACTTTGTGGCCACGCCTGTCGCAATTGATTTATGCTAAGGATGAAATCTCGAAGGGGCTCTATGCTGAGGTCATTCCGCTTGGCAGCATCGGTAAGCCTATCAAGATGAAACGTTCTATTTGTACTGATGGAATTGGTAGTTGGTGGCATAATGGTAACGGGAAGCAAAAGATTGGGTCATCAACGTTGGCAGATCGTCTTTTGCTGCGCTCTTCAGACGGCGTGCGTCGGAGCAATGTCCACTGCAAGTATTGATAATCCCGCGAAGAGTATCGTCTTGACTTTTTTCATTTCTCTAACGACTACACTTATCATGATGAACTGCTTCGTTCTCATTGGGTTTGGCATTGTATATCAAGCAGACATTGGAACGGCAGCAGGACTGGCAGGCACCTCACGGCTCCTCTTTGGCGCCGTAGCTACGGCAATTTTTAGCAATGTCACCAACAACAAGTACACGACCACTCTCGCCGGCGCCGTTCGACACAATGTTGCCAAACTTGGATTTGGAGAGGTATACATGGCCAAGCTGGTGTCCGCCGCAAGGCTCAACACGGCTGCCGCTTATGCTGCTGTTCCGGGAATCACCCCAGAGATTCGAGCGGCAGCCACTTTGGCCAACAAACAGGCTTACCTTGAAGGTGCACACCTTTCCTATCTTGTAGCACTCGCATTTGGATGTGTAGCCTGTATTGCCGCCCTTTTCATTCCAAGCATTGACGACCGCAAATGGACCAAGAAAACGGTGGCAGTTCAAGAGTCTGACAGAAAAGGCTTGGAAGAGAAGAAGCTCAATCATGTTTGAGAAATGGGAAAGGATTTCACAGAGCTTTGTGTTAGGGGTTGCGGCGTGTATATCTCACAATCGTTTCAAGGACACATTTCATTGAAGAGTCGCATATGAAGAGAGGAAAAGATATCGCAATGAAAGACTTTTATTGTGCTTTACTATTGCTACATGAGGGGCACAATGAGGCTAGATGCCAAGACCAACGCCATCGCTTTTCACAATTTATTATCATGCCATGCTGTTGTAAGGAATGAACAATTATGCAAATTTCCCCAAGCCGTCAACTTAGATCGAGTGGTTATAGGAAGGATTTACTCAATCTGAATTTTCCGGGTCTTAGGAGCTTGTGCTTTCGGTACAACGATCGAAAGGATACCATTCTTCAGACTCGCCTTGACTCCGTCGTGGTCGACGCGTGTTGGGAAACTGAAGCTGCGGTGGAATTCGCCAACCGAGCGCTCGGACACCCAGTACTTGGCTTCTGGTTGCTGAGACTCAGATTTGGCGACCTCGCCAGCGTTGGTCTGAGTGAGTGCGGTGCTATCTTGTTTAGTCGTCGACGTTTCGTCTGCACCCTCGTCAGCTACCGATGGTTTGCGATAATGCTCGTTGCTTGAGCCGGATTGAATAGCACCTGATGCTTTCGGCGCGTCTTCGATGGCTTCAACGGTGCCTGGACGAGTTCCGCTCTCAAACGATCGTTCGGTTCGTCCACTGATGGACAGTGTGTTACCATCCGTCCATTCTATTGAGATATCTTTCTGCTCGATGCCAGGCAGTTCTCCATGAAGCTCATACGAATCCTTGAGCTCGCGGACATCAAACTTTGGTTGGAATGTCCGCAGTTCATTGGGCCAGTTGGCGGCGAACTGCCTTGTTGCTCGATCGTACTCATCGAGCATTCGGAAAAGAGGAGAGAACTCTTGAGTGAAGCGTGGGAACAGAGACATCTTGTTTCGAGTGAGGTGGATGCTTCTTGATGGGATGACTCTAAAGACTTGTGGTAGTCGTTGAGATGAGGTTCGAATAGCTTGCATGAGACTGTTTGATCTTTGTTGTTCTGATGGAGACTTGGGATGTCGACGCAGTCGTATATATACACCAGGAGTCTTCTTCCAGAAAGTGCCAGTTGCTTGTAGTACCATGTAAAGTGTGATGCCACAATTACGACATTGTCTGCTGGTGTTGCTCACACAACATACTCGAAAGCTCTAGAAATGCTGGTCAATTGCTTGACCATTCGTGGGTCGCGTAGCTCTTTCGAGCAGATTCCAGAATGCACTAGCCTGTTCTGGCATCGTTGTGCAGCGATATAATCACGTGATATAACTCCAAGGTATCCTCATAGGCGGCCAACGCTCCCAGCACCATGATTACCTGCATGTTCTCCCTGCAGGCGGATCACCTGCGTATGTTTTTGATTCCTGGATCCTCGTATATGGCCAGCTGCCGATGACCTTTGCGAATCAGGAACTCGATCGTCCCGAAGTCTTTTCGGTCGAGATTGCGGTTCTTGCGGAACTCTTCCTTGGTGAAGTTGATGAAATTCATCCTGGTTTCCTATTTTGAACTCATCAGGGCCTGCGATCCATCGAAGAGTGAAAGAATCCGTACCGCGGGCTTCTTGTTTGCCGCTCTCAAGCATTTCCGATACAGCGACAGCACATCTCGCTGGACCCCGGAGAGCCTGGCCATATCGATTGGACTGGGGAGAAATGGAAGCTTTGCTGAGAAAGGATAAGACCTAATGCAAGAATAGTCTGAACACTGGGATGGAGGGTGGTCTGATGGATTGAAGGTCCAAGGTGCTATTCTTTTTGGAAAGGCTCGTGAAATAACTTCCTGACGCTCGGACGTTCTGTCTTCATCTGTAGTTCCCAGGTACCTATCACCGCTCTCCCCATCTCTCTTCGCTGCAACGGCATTTGTGGAGACTATCGTCTTCGCATCAAACTGGCTTCGATACAAGCGCTTACGACTTTTAGACCTTTTGTCGATCACAATTTATCATTCAAGCTGGGGTGCTGATAGGTCACGAACTGCTAGCCTTGCGTACAGCTACCACAACGCAATGGCGCAATAATTTTGCAGCATGCACGGTAGACTGAATTATACTGTATTTCAGCTGCACGAGGAGACTTTCTATGAGTAGCCGCTCTTCTTTACCGCGTATCCATAAATTGCTTCAATCAAGTTTAACCTGTGTGTACTGGTATTCCAAGCCTTGCCAGGGCAGTTCGCCTCCTTTGGTAGCGCCTCTGCCATCCTTAGCTCAACTCTGCACATAACGCACATTTTCCCCTGGCTGTCCAACAATCAGACCCTGGTTGAGACAAACGCAGTCATGGCGGATCATGCTCTAGGAATGTCAATAGTTTGAACCGTTGTCGGGATGATCTGCTGAGAGACCTTTCTCCCAAATCCCAAAATCTATCGTCAGTACACCATGACACAGCTCCACACCGGGAGCCGTCATTCACCATGAGTTACGTCACCATCCAGGTCATTGCAGTCTAAATCTTCGTCATTCCCATCTCCTTCAACAAGTGGAGATAACGACTTCACAACTTGACTTCTGCCTGCGCGAACAGCACATTACGACTCGTTTCTGCGCTCAGCTGAGGTTGGAAGTGGATGCTGTGTTGGCTGTAGTAGGAGCTTGGGCCATATTAATTCTGACGGCAGTTGTCATTCTGATAGTTCCTTTTCTCTTGTCGTAGTCATAGCTTCATTTCTAGCCTCTGCGACAAGGCTAACAATCTGCCCGTTCGTGAAACTGAAGTCGTTAAACGGCAAAGCATGATCAAACCCTGACGGTCGTTCTCTAGTTTTCCTTATCGTTGTCTTGCCTTGCGTTCTGCGATTTTCAGACTATCCTATACATCGTGAGGAATTCGTATAGCAGGTATCTTTGCCTCAAAATGCCATCAAGAAATTACAGCGCATGAGTACAATAACTTGTACGAAAATTTATGCTTATTTGTTGCAGCCTCCTATTTTCCATATTGCATTCCTGACATTGTACTTGGTCTTGTCGTATGCAATTTTCACAAAAGAAAAAAAAAGCGTCGGTCGTCATTGTCTCATCAGCCATTATCTCTGCGTAGTCGCTCCTAATTCCTCTCCTTCGTCTTCGACTGCTTCTACACGCACTAGAATTTCTTCCAAGAAGCCTTCCAGGAAGCCTTCGACACCTCCACCCATGCCTACGGGTGCTCTCGCGTCGGCGTCATCGATCTCGCTCATCATTCGTATTGCCCGTCCAACCAATCTTCTCACATTTTCATGTCCCTGCTGGAGCTTTTGCATCTCTTGCGTCGTCATGCGATGCCCCCCATTGCCTCCTTGCAGTCCTTCCTGTATCATGCTATTCATGTTGTATGCACGCCGGTGGAGCGCTGCCTCCAGCGCTGGAATAACGACTGAATTCAAGGCGGTCACTTCTGCAGTCTGCTGAGGTAGCTGAGGGGTCATCACAGTTTGCGAAGACAATGAACTAGTGGACGACGTTAAAGACGGTGGCATGGACGCTGGAGGTGTTGTTATATCCTTTCGGAAAGGGATATCCAGAGACGGACTAAAGGGCGCCGAGGAACTTATTAGATTTGGCTGTCGAAGTGGGCTTTGCGCGGTTCCTGGTCGAATTTCGTTTCCTGGAATTGCAGACGATCTTCTTGGATCACTTGATACAAGATCGAGCGATGGTCGAGAAGCGCTGGATCGCCGCCGTTGCTGCTGCTTTGGATGGTCGGCTGGTATTCCCTGTTGCCCAGGAGTCGATTTTCGTTGAATCATTGGAGAGATTGGTGACTGGGATGTGAATGATGGCAAGGGTTGCTGGGGCATTGGTGGGAATGGTTTTTGTTGCGTTAACTGCTCCCTCTTTGGCGTCATAGGTGTCGACGATAGCGGTGATGACTGTCGTATGTTTGGAGAGTGCAGATCAACAGCTGGCGCTAAAGAAGCTGTCAACACTGGTGCCGCGATTGTGCTTGATGAACCCGGCTGCGTTGGTGTATTACTGGTTTCTGTCACGGCAAAATCGCGAGTCACAGCTTCTGGTTCATTGTTGGACAAGTCAAAAGTTAAAGGCTTCATTTGCGGGGGCAGAGGAGGCAACTGCTGCTTCGTCGACGAGCTATGATTCTGATGCGCAGACCGCACTGAACTTTGCTGCGCCTTTTGCGGACTAGGTGGCAGAGGAATCTTCGCCGCTGCACTGGGTGAATATGGTGCATTTGCTGGTGAAGGCACTGGCTTTCGTGTTGGACTGAGGCTTGGGGGACTGGCCATTCCTGGAGGTGGCTTTGACGCGCGAATTGTATTTCCTGACGGAACCCTTCTCTGCTGATTTTCAACATCGCTTCTCCCGCTTTTTCTTGGACTTCCCGTCTCGTTTGGTGGGGTAGAACCGCTTCTAGCATTTGCTGCCGCGTCGTTCATTGCTTTTAATCCCTGTGATCTAGTACCGCCAGTGGGTCTTATTGTGCCGAAGTCCCATAAATCTTCACTTGATGGGCTTGGCTTCTCTGGCTCCGAATACTCTTCGTCCTCGCTGTCCTGCATCTTATCTTTGTGCGTGACCTGCCACCTTTCATAACGCTCAATGAGCTCTGTCAGGTATTGAAACTTCTTCGCCTTACGTATGAACGGATGTTTCAAGAGCTCCTTCGCGGACGGTCGCTCTCTCGGTTCCTTCTTAACACACCGCTCCACAAAGTCTTTGAAAGCAGGGCTCCAGTTGCCTTCCAGGGAGGGAGGAGGGTTCTTTGGAATCAAGAAAAGGACCTTCATTGGATGGATGTCTGAGTACGGTGGCTCGCCGTTGGCCAGTTCCAAAGCTGTGATTCCCAAGGACCAGATGTCCGCTTTATGATCATACCCGGATTGTTTGATCACCTCGGGGGCCATCCAGAACGGGGTACCAACAAACGTATTCTTCTTGGTCATCGTTTGTGACAGTTGTCCAGAAACGCCAAAGTCCGCAAGCTTTACCTGCCCGTTCGCACCAAGCAGGATGTTTGCAGCTGTGGCTAATGTGAGCAACACAAGTGGTTTCGAACCTGACGGGGACGCACCTTTGATGTCTCTATGTAACTTGTTATCCCCATGCAGATACTCAAGTCCATACAGGAGTTCCCTGAGAATTATGCTGATACTTTCTTCACCCAAGGGCCCCGGCTTCATGAGGTCTGCGCAGCTGCCGCCCGCGCAGAACTCCATGACAATCCAGAGGTCGCTGCCTTTGAGGAAGCTGCCATAGTACTTCGTGGTGTAGGGCGACTGCAGCTCCGACAAGATGCTGATCTCTGTGATGATATCGTCCACCTCATCCTCGGCGTTCTCGACGTCTATGATCTTGATCGCGACCGTCTGGCCGGTACGCTTGTCGACACCTTTGTAGACCTTGCCAAAAGAGCCCCCGCCAATGCAGTTCTGCTTCGTGTACAGCGTCTCCGGGTCGGTGTTGCCGTCCATTGTCGGCAATATTGTAGTGGTAGAGGCGGCCAGGTACAGCCCCGGTCTCGGAGACGAGAGCAGAAAAGTGGTGGGCGTATAGTTTATATGCAGAGGCTGCTTTTGCAGGCCGAGCAGTAAAAAGGCTGTCTGTTTACCGTCGCATCAGCTCGCAGTCCCAGTGGCCCGGTACATAAAGGTGTGCTACAAGGCCCGACACGTACCTAACGCCCCCCAGTCGCCGCCAGGAAAACAAGTTTGGCATGCAGACGCTTTCTCTGAGGCAGCGCGCCCAACAAGGAACTTCGGGTGAATTGACCTGCAAAAGTTGGCCGCAAACCGAAAATGGTGAAAGTTGTTCAAACGGTTGCCATGGCAAGTCACCAAGCCGTGTAAGTGACCACACCGCGCAGGATGTCGCTTGAAACGACGAGTCCTGCCAGTGCACAGATGATCGAGTCAAGGCGATCCACTGGCGCAAAGGCGGCGCGGGCGAGGAAGGAAAGCGGGCGAGCTGGGGCCGGATTCGATCGCGTAGGGCAGAAAGTCAATGGCAGTGGCGCTGAAGCCGAAAGACGGACGCGAGACGTGCAACGGCGGACGGAGCTGCAGCCGGAGACGACGCGATAGACAATAATGGAAAAAGCGGGAAGGGGAGCGACGGGAACGAAGAGTCGGAGAGTTGGTTTGTGGGCAACAATGGCGTTTCTCCTGGAGGGAACGGGCGACAGCTGGACACGGACGGACGAGGCTGCTGTTGTTTTGTTTTGGCTCGCCGCTGCCGGCGTGAGTTGATTGGCTGTCGCCTGTTCCTCCGCGCCGTTGGCACCCACGTAGGACGCTTGCAAGTAACTTGGCATGGCGCATGCGGGTACGGAGCTGCTCGTCGGGCTTGCTGCCCTACACAGTACGCAGCGTCGGAAGAGCCGACTCGTTTCAAGGCCTTTGATTGCCGTCTACAATCTGGCTTTGCATGGCGAAGCAGACGTCCGCTTGAGTGGTTGCTTGTGGATAATCTACAGTTGCGTTCTGACCTTGAAAACGGAGCAGTTACTTCGACGTTCAGAAGGCGCACAATACGTTCGATATTTTTTTGGGCGGCTGAGCCATCCTCGTCCGTCTTGCCCGGCTCATCTAGATAAAGCAATATTCTCCCTTTGCCCAAAAATAGCGCTTGCGCCCAGTGCTATGCAACACATATGCTGTCGTTCATTTCTCTAGTATTTCGTTAATGTTCCCAAATGCAGTCCGCAACCGTTCTCCAAATGCTGTGTCATCACCGTCTTCTTTCCTTAGGGCTGTGCTTGACGTGCGTCTTGATAGCTCCGTCGCTTTCTTCGTCTTCCTCCTCCACCGGAGCCGGAGTCTCCCTTCTTTCTTTGTCGCGATGGTGCTTTCGCCGCCTCCTTCCATAGCTGATGTTGCTTGCCGAGTCGTCCGGTCTCAGCTCGCTCCTGCTGTCATCTAACCAGTCGTCCTCATCTACTCCACTCGTCCCCCACACGCCTGTCCCGACGGAAGGCGTAGCTGATAGAGCCTCAAGGCCTTGTGCAAATGAACCGCGTCGTCTTTGAGCTGCAACGCTGAGCCCCGTGCTGCGCGCTCGTAAGGCTGCGCGAACTTCTTCAGCTTTTATGTGCAAGGCTTCGAAAGCATCTTCAAGCGCGTCCATGCCCATGAAGATCTCACGCTCGACTTCAGCAAGTACAGCGATTTCAGTCTCTTCGTCCATCTGTACTGGCGCGCCAAAGGAGGAGGCTGTAGGGGATGCCACAGGGCCTCTGGACGGACCTCGCGACATTGGTGTTGGGCCTCGTGATGGTATACCTGGCGTGTTCATCCGGTAAAGTGGTGTAGGCCCGCGAGATGGACCTTGGTTGTCCACGCTTTCGGCCCCGCTCCACAGAAAACCATCAAAACGTCCCGAAATGAGAATCTCCCACTCACCAGCGCTGACTGCAGCCAGTGTAGCAAGGACTCTGTGAAGATGAGGATTCCGGAGAAGAAAGATGGCACATTCCGCGTCACGAGGCGGTTTCTCCAGGCGATACAAACGCTGTAAAGAAAGAGCCGTCCGCTTCATAAGTTCAGATTTTGGAGTTTCAGCCGGTGTGGGCGCTCGTGAGACTGGCAGCGTCGACATGCCGCGCAGGAGGGCAGTGAAAAGCTTCCTGTTTTCTGGCTCGAGATGTGTGATCATTGCGAACATTAGTGTCTCGTCGTCTATTTCTTGTGGCGGGCTACACCTTGTCTCAGGTTGAGCAGCGAGCCATCTCTGGACCGCATCTTTAGTTCGCTTGCTTTGCTTGATGTAGTGATCCCTGAACTCCGGCGGGACGTCAATATCCATCTTCTGCATAGGAGCCTCCGTACCCATTTCGTAAACTGGAACATCGTGTGCGATTTCAAAAGGTGGCCAGGTTGGCAGCTCCTGCCTCCCGGAGACAAATTCGAGAATCTCCCCCCAACTGATACCGGTTCCTTCATCCTCCGACATAATGTCCTTATTTTCATCGTTCGCGCACATTATGCACTCGCAAGTCTCAGAAGATATGTTGCGGTTGAAAACTGCCTCCAAACGATCAAGTAGCCTACGAGCTACCGACTTATAACCCGTGGCAACCGCGATAGATCCGTTTTTGTGAATAACCTGCAAATAAGAGTCCAGCACGCTTTGCAGAGGCAAGAAAATATTTCTGACATCTGTGTGCTGGGGACCAAAAGCGCGCGGTGATATAAAATTAGAATACTGTGATTGCTGTGGAGCTGTAGGTGCAAGAACTGAAGTGAACCGTTTTGGCACAAGATGAGGTAGACCACCATTCTGTAGCAAATAGTCGACTCGTGGGGTCTCGATATGTTGGTTGAGGGCCGGAGGAGGAGGCGGCGGCGGAGGAGGTGGAGGAAAAGAGGACAATCCCGCGGAGACCGGCGTCTGGACAAAACTTGACTGAGCTGAGTAAGGCGAGGGGAGCGCAGCTTCTGGTACCACTTCTATGACCTGAGCCTTGCCCATAGGATTTGACGTTGGTGCAAATTGCGCTTCGTTCGTTGTGGGTGTACGAGGCGAAGAGTCAGGAGCGGACAAAGGTGATGACTGTGCATGAGGAACAGTCATTGTTGATTGACGAGAGGGTGGAGGAGGCATTTTTCGTGGAACAGGCTCCACTGTCGATTCAGTAGCAGTAGATGTAGCTGTAGACCTTGCAGCCGTGGACTGTGTACCAGGGTTCTGAGACGCGTCATAGGAAGAGGAACTAATATCGGTGCCTGTAGCTATAAGCTCTTCTTTCGATCTGTTTCCCGGACTTGCATTTCGCAAGCCGGATCGAACAGCGCGTGGCTCGCTATCTGCTCGTTTACGAAGTGAAGATGACGAAGACGTACGGCGCGGATTGTTCTTTTCATGTATACCTCTCTCTAGGCTGATTTTCCGTGGAGGCGACGCAATGCGCGTTTGTGACGGTGTCTTCTTGACACTGTTGCTGCTCCTAGACCGTCGCAATTCCGGCTCAGTCATTGTCAGAGGCGGACTCGGTGGTGCCGCACCTGTACCTGCGGAAGGGTATCTTCGTTCTGGTATGTGTTTGGCGGATCCGAGGTCCGTAGGGTCTGGTGTGTACAGAGATAATCTCGGATTGACAATATTGTCTCGGCTGCCTACCGCTTCTTTGCTGTGCTTGGGAGAGAACTTAGGATAGCTCCCAACACCAGACGAGGCTAGTGAGCCAGAGGGCCGCCTATCCATCTCAGGCACAACACCAGACATCGTGCGGTGGGCAGACGATGCCTCGGACGATAGCGAGCTCGGGGGCCGTCGCTGCCTCCTAGGTGAACTGCGTTTCTCGCTGCGATCCTTCTCTTTTGATCCGCTCGAGGTCTTCCTTCGGGACGGCCTGTCTCTTTCCTTTCGTTTGCTAGGAATGTCCTTTTCCTCAGTTGTTCGGGGGCTGTCACAGTCGCCCTTGGACTTTTCTTCTTCTTCTTTCTTCTGTTCTCTCTTCGCTTTGCGCTCCCGGCGGATTTCTTCAATCTCATGAACAGAGGTGACGCTTCTGCCCGACAAGCTGAACATGGCGTCAGCGGAACGGGCATCAACGTGATGAAATGGAGTTCGACCGGGGTTGCTGAGTTGTTAGTTTGGAGCAGAAATGCCGCTAGACGAGCTAGCTAAATCCTGGCGGTTGGCTTAACCTGGGGGTTGGCGTGAGATGGCCAATCGTCGTGTGTGATTCGGCGTTTATTTGCACATGCAAGCGCAGGGTGAATGGAAATAGGACTTGCGATAAGACCTTTTACTTTATCGGACAGGGACACAGTGCAGAAATGTCCTAGAATTTCAAATCTTCTTGTTGAAGCGTGTGAATGAGGCCGGCTTTGTCGATTTATAGCACGGTAAGGCTCGGCCATCTTCGAAAGTCACGCAGTCACAGCACGCGTCGCACAGCCACTTCACCAGCCACGAGATTCGTGAAGTTTTAACGTCGTGAAATCCGTCGACCAGTGAATTATTGTCAGCCTGTCAATCAATTCATCATCTTTTGTAAACCCTTCGTAAATGTAAACGCTGTTATTTCAGGTTAGATGCATGTCACTTGGGTCGATCAATACTCTTGCTGCGAGTAGTTTCGGTTTTTATTTTTATTTTTATTTTTTATTTCTTTTTGTGAAAAATGTCGACAGGAAGATGAAGATAAGTCGTGAAATCAGAAGCCAGAGTCTTCAGCAGAGGATCCAATGACATAAAAGGACTGGAATACATGATGAACTTCAGAGATGGAGAAGAGGAGCATCCGACGAGCCGTTATGAAACATACAATTATTTTGTGTGTCAAAAACTTCTGCACGCTCGAGACCTATCAGGTAGCCTCCGAATATGCTTTCGGATATGCGTGGGAGCTTCAATGTGTATAGAATTGGGCACAATGATACAGATTAAACCGGCTCTCGATAAATCAATTTCCTAACAACTAAAGAACGACTACATTCATGGGCCACGATGAAATCAATTGGCTTAGAGGCAGGTGTTACGAACTACGCGTGCCTGCTGCTCGACCTCTTTGCATCTTTGCTGGCGCTCTTTATCAACAAGCAAACTCATTGCTTTCAACACGTCCACCGCACTTCTCGTCTTGCCAAACGTGTACCTTGAAACAGCACGACGCGGAATTCGTCGTAGAAGCCGACCACTGAGCCCAGCGCAGTTCTTCGAGATGTCAAGAAGCTTTGATGCGAGGCTATTAGGGTGAATATGGTGCTGAAAGGAAGCAATGATGTACTTGGGAAAGGCATCTTTGGTTTGATATCCGTGGAATCTGTCTATTGCCTCCATTGACCCTTCACTTGCCGCAGAGTTCTCCTCGCCGAAAGTCTCATCGAAACAGATCTGCTGCTTAGATATCAGATCATTTAAGCAGGACCTCAGTATCTCATATGCAGCCTCTGGTGTTGAAGCACCGATATTTTCTATGATGTCCACACGACTGAGGAACGCAGCATCCAGCGTGGTCATGAGATTACTCGTGCAGAACAATAACACGTTGGAATGGAACCGCAGCTTGTCTAGAGCCGTGAGAAATTGATTTGTTGCTCTGAGCGCATCTCCCACCTCGCCGCTCTCCGCAGATTGCTGTCTAGATCCCGCAATTGTCTCGATCTCGTCGATCAGAACACATATGAAGTCATCGGGATCTCGAGCCATGGAGTATATTTTACGAAAGCTTTTGGCGATGTTCTTTCCGGATTCACCAAACCATTTTGAATACAGGTTATTTGCGTTTACCTCGACTAGGTAAAACGACCGGTAGATCTCGCTCGATCGAATTGCAAGCTTCTGCGCCAGGGCTCTGCATAGACTCGTCTTGCCTGAGCCAGGGGACCCATGGCTGGGACCAGATTAGCTTCGTCTTTGACGAAAGGCGACAGCATCTTCATTACAGTAGTACCAGGCCAGTCCAATCGTGTAATGAAGCGTTGAGGCCTTCTCGCTCCAAAACTATCGTATTGGTAAGCTCTTGCAACAGCTCCTCACGAAGACTATTCTCGAAGTGCAATAAGCTCCAAACGTCATCGAACAAAACATTAGGCATTTGATACAGAACCCAGTTGGAAGACATCTTAGTGTCCTCATTCTCGTCTGACAATAGTGACCATTCGTCGGGCGTATCGTTAACAGGGGCGTCGTTCAGGGCGTATACATGAACAACAAGCTCGTAGCACTCGAGGGCATAATGGCTGGAACTATCATCTCTTGGCAAGCAGTCTACGACCTGTATTGCTTCTATGTTCGACGCGTGGGGCAGCGTCTCTTGAATTGGGTCAGAAGCAGGATAAAAAATGGATTAGTAGACGGACCAAAACCTGTAAGGGCCTGATCGATTTCAACATATGCAAATCTCTCCCGGATCCATCGAGCCACGTCTCTCCGAACCTGGGTGAAGGTGAGCAACCTCTTGTAATTATATTGTTGATAACCTGACTTCAGCGAGCTGGCGTACGCATTTCAAACGAACTTCGACATTCAGCTGAGGACTTGATTGCATTACGGTCATTCGCATCGGAAGCATCTGCATTAGAGTCTGGGGCCAGAGCTGGAGCTAAAAGCATTGAAGGACTTACTCGTGAAAAAGCGTTTCACACCATTCAGTGCCTGGAAGTTTTCGTTCTTACTGGTGGCGAGAGTCCGGGAAGGTCACGAGATCTTGTGGCAGAGCATCGGTGCCCTTGAATAGAAGGTGTACATGAGTGCCACGCTCCAGGAAGGCGCGATCCATGACTTACTGACAAAGGCGGAAATTCGTCCCGGATGGATTACAGTTGAGACTCTACAACTTTGACGACCAATTCTGTGCAAAGCTCAGCTATACGCTCGTGTTGAAAGACGAGCGTACCGCTTGATCTGCACTTTGCCCGTGCTGCTCTGCTCTGCTAATGTGGCCCAGAGATGGAATAGAGAGCACGGCCCAAGATCAAGCAGTGCTCGAGTCTTGGCAGCTTATGTCATCGGAGCTGCTGTGTTGATGATGTCGAGGAGCGCGGGTGGCGCTCGTGCACAACAAATGAAGTTGGATCACCATGATTGTAGAATTCTACTTTCTCTTATTCTTTATCTAAGCTGAATATGCCTGATAACTTTCTTCGAAATGACTTTCCATACAAGCGTCTTAGGTGACAGCGATGACAGCTACGGCAAGCGCATCGTTGGCGAACCAAAGGATACTGTTCTACAGATTGGCATCTCGGTTGTGCTGGGGTCGATTGCATTCCTAGCTTTTTGTGTATATATGGCCCTTCCGGCATGTTAGTGAAAGATGCTGACTCTGCAAAGATTCTCCGCCCAAGATGGCCTGGAATGTATGCCGCCCGCAAGAAATCGCGCTCCGCCGCCGACTCTCTGCCTGAGCTCCCGAACACATTGTTTGGATGGATACCAATGATATGGCGGATAACTGATGCTCAAGTTCTGCATTCGGCCGGGCTAGACGCATATGTTTTTTTGGCGTTCTTCAAGATGGCCATTAAATTTCTCTGCATCACCCTACCCGTCGCGCTTCTCATCATCAAGCCTGTACACGACCGCTTCCCCGAACCAACTGGCGACAAGCATCACAAGAACAAAACGGAAACTGCACTTGGTAATTTGCTGCACCAGGATTTGAAAAGGAATGTGCACAATGGAAGTGATAGTTTTGTTCCAATACCTGAGTTCGACGCCGACTACTTGTGGATGTATCTTGTGTTCGCATACTTGTTTACCTTTCTCGCTCTATATTTGATCATTGTAGAGTCAAAGAGAATTATTGAAGTACGTCAAGAGTGGCTTGGCGCACAGACGACAGTGACGGACAGGACAATCCGCCTTTCAGGCATTCCGCCCGAACTCCGCTCTGAAGACAAGATAAAAGAAGTTATCGAAGACTTGGACATTGGGACCGTGGAGAGTGTTGTCATGTGCCGAGACTGGAAAGAATTAGACAAGACTATGGAAACACGGATGAAGGTTTTGCGAAGACTCGAGGAGGCTTGGACAGTCTATTTAGGACGCCGGAGAGTCGAACGCAGCCTCGAAACCTTGCCTATTGCCCAACCCGCACCGCCTGGTCCGGCAGTGGATCCCGAGGATCGAGAGGATAGCACCTTACTTCCTGCGAACGGTGCAAATGGCAATTCTTCTGAGGTACCGTACGCACGCACCCGTCCCACGACTCGCATCTGGTACGGACGCTTTAGATTGCGATATAAGGTGGTGGATGCGATTGACTATTACGAGGAACAACTTCGACGTATTGACAAGAGAATAAGACAACTACGGAAAAAGGAGTTCAAAGCTTGCCCCCTTGCATTCGTTACCATGAACAGTGTTGCAACGGCTCAGATGACGGTGCAAGCAGTGCTCGATTCCCACCCAATGCAACTGCTAGCTAACACGAGTCCATCTCCCGCAGATGTTATTTGGTCGAATACGTACCTTTCTCGTGGCCAAAGGATGTTTCGATCCTGGTCTATTACAGCTTTTATCAGTATACTGACCATCTTCTGGTCTGTTGTTTTTGTGCCAATCGCAGGCTTAATTGATCTCAACCGAATTCATTCCGTGTTTCCTGGGTTGGCTGAGGCACTAGATGCGCATCCTCTAGCAAAGTCTCTTGTTCAGACACAGTTGTCAACTTTGGGTGCATCCTTATTGCTTGTTTTGGTGCCGTATTTCTATTGGTGTGAGTATAATCCCATCCTTAATTACATTTCAAACTAACTCCAGAGAAGGGCTTTCAACCCTACAAGGAATGATTTCACAAGGCGATATAGAGCTGTCTGTCATTTCCAAGAACTTCTTCTTTGTCTTCTTCAACTTCTTCATTGTCTTCACAGCATTGGGCACCGCAGCACTTGCTCCTGATGACTTTGCAAATCAAACCCCACGAGAGATTGCCAACAAGTTAGCCTTGAAAATCCAAGAGCTTAGGAACTTCTACGTGAATTATATTATTCTACAAGGCCTCGGACTTTTCCCAATGAGACTACTGGAGTTTGGAAGTGTGTTCCTGTATCCTATCGGCTTGATTGGTGCGAAAACACCGCGAGGTAAGATTTTCATTCGCGACAAAGATTCAAAAGCTTATTATTTCTAGATTATGCCGAAGCTATGCAGCCGCCTATGTTCAGCTACGGATTTTATCTCCCGCAGAACATCCTCATCTTCCTCATCTGCATTGTGTACAGTGTGCTAAGGTCATCGTGGCAGGTCCTGCTCCCTGGGCTGTTGTACTTCATCATCGGATACTTCGTACACAAGTATCAGCTATTGTATGCGATGGATCACCGACAGCACTCGACGGGCGGCTCCTGGGCCATGATCTGCGATCGGATTATTGTAGGTCTAATCATTTTTCAAGTTACAATGGCAGGTCAACTAGCTTTGCGCTTTGCCATTAAGAGGTCGTTGCTTATCATCCCTCTTGTGGCGATGACGCTGTGGTTTTCATATGTTTACAGCAACCGGTACAAACCTCTGATGAAGTTCATCGCTTTGAGAAGCATCAGACGCCATGAGCAAGCGAATCAATTAAGCTCCAGGCTTTTGATGGAGCAACGTGTTAGGCCTATTGATTTGGACGAGGTCACAGACGAACCAGCGGAGCGCGACATGCGATTCATAAATCCGAGCTTGGTCGCTCCCCTTGAGAATGTATGGATTTTGGATAAGGCTGCAAGGGCTGAGAGCATCATGTCTCGTAGCCCACCGCCGGAGGAGGATGATCCGCGAAGTCTAAACTCCGCCGTGGCATGATCGACTTTTCGTAGTCCTTGCTTGGCAGCAGTGCATAGCTGTTACTAAGATTTTTAATTTAAAGGCGTTAAAATAGTTATGGCAACTACTTGTGCATTTGTGAGGAAGGTGATACCCAGATGCATTTTATGTGAAGGTCAATCGTAAGCGTTATTTCCTTGCTATTTTTCATCATAATCTCTTGAATACACTTCTATCTTATATTTAGGGTGAATTGAATCTGTTTACAACGTCATTTTTGCGAAATTACCCGTCACTCTTTTGTGTCTATCGAAGAACGAACAGCGCATCACTGTTTATCCTTCAATCAAGAGCTCTAGATTTCTGTCCCATTTTGGCTTACTATCAGCATACAGACCTCTCAGCATACAGCCTACAAGTATTTGGACCATTTCATCCAGGTCCAGTACGAACGCCGTCCACAGCGATTTAGTAGCCTCTGATCGAACACTCTACATTCCTCTCCAAATCCAGAATCTCCACTCTGCGAGGCCTGCGCCCTGTCACGACTCCGAAACTCTATTTTTTTGGCCACAAAAGCCTCCAGGAAATGCCCAGGCAAGATTCTCGTTGCGCTTATTCGAGACGAAAATTTGCCAAAGCAGAAAATACCAAAAGCTTGGAGCAACCAACAATTCCCCGCTTTATCGAGATGCTTTTACGTACTAGTTCAAAGAGCAGCAATACAACGCCTGACGAATCGGATGAGTCGAATGAGGATACTGATACGTGTTCTAACGGTCGAGACTGGATTTCTTTTCGTCGTCGCGAGAATCCTTCCTTCAAAGCCACGTATAGTTTCTCAAGTATCCATCATGACACTCCCCCAACTTTTTCGTCTCAATGGGCAACGAAATGTGGTAATAAGACCGATGAATATCCAGGATTGGAAACGTTTGTATTCGGTGAAGCTGGAATCCGCGAAGAAAGACGCTACGGGAACCAGACACTGTCTACATCTACTAATAATCTATATGGGCCTCATCAGAGGACTAATGGCAGCTTTGCTGACATCCGCGATACATCGGACTCGACACACAACACGGAGCAAGACCTGCTGCAGGTTCACCATTCTGATCAGGCTCAAATGTCGCCAGCATCCCCTGCGATTGGGTATCAGCATATGGCTGGGATTTTTAGTGCCGTTTGGGGCATCAAGGCCATGTCAGATGCAGTGAACAGCGGTCAATGTTTTACCAAACAGGCCATCCTCGATGATAGGGCGCCTCTTCAAGTTCAATCTGACCAGACTCCACGTTCACGACCTGTGCACTCTATAGCTATGAGCTTACCTAGCGAGATCATTCAACATGTGTACTCTTATATGCATCCGAGAGATTTCAACGCCGCCCGACATACATGTAGAACATGGATGATTGCAAGTCTAAACAATCACATACTCTGCTCCATGCTTCGGCGTGGAGCCTGGTGGTCTGGCTACCGAAGCCACGTCCAGGAAGCCACGCTATTTGTTGGAAGGTTTCAATCATTGTCGGCGCGACGTATCTGGTCGATGAGCTGTTTTATTAGTAGGGAATGTGCATTAGCAGGCGGATGGACTGGCAATGACCTCTCGCGGGTGAATTACCCAGCGATGGCTACATGCGATCACCATTGGGGACAGTGTCAAAAACCGTCATGCTGGGCGTCTAGACGATCTATAACTAACGTCGAAGTCTTTCGGCAGGTTACACGTACCAATTTTGAGGATCTCGCGGCCGGTTACAAAAAACGAAGCAGGCGCCGTGAGCTGATCTTCACTGTGAGTTCTTGCGGGAACTACGTGCTAGTCGCCGAAGGTGGGATGATATACGTCTACGAAATCTTTGGCGACAATCTTCATGTCCTTACGAGAGTAATTTGTCCTCGAAGAGTTCTAGCTATGAGTATCAATGCTTCTTCTAGGCGCTTTGCTATTGCTGCTGTGCTTGAAGGCCGAATGGGACTTATGTGCAGCTTTCTTGTTCGAACTTATAGCGGTGAGGACTTTGTCAATACAGCATCGGGTATTGTCGCGGAGCAAGCACTGGATCTTCATGATCCCTCTGTAAGCAGAGTTTTCCACATCACATTCCATTTTGAGTGTTACTAATTAACGCTTCGTAAGGACGTCGCATCTACCAATTCTCGTGGGATTTATCCTCAGAGGAGCACCGACGTATTTGAGATTCAATCTGGAAGTGCTAAGGAGACTGTAGCAGATGACCAAACTGAACTGGGGCGAGAATCAGTGCGCATAAATCGAACCTGGAACTCTCATGTTTTAGGAATCAACGTGCTTCCAGAAACCAAGAACACCAAGCAAGCCAGAAGCACGCTGCTCGCAAATGGATCACGAAGTTTCTACCATCAGTTATGCTTTGAAGATGACCCTCCCCGAAGCGTGGCTATCTGCCCACAACGCCAATGTGTAGCTTTTGGTTGTTCGACAGGACTTGACTTGCATTGGATTGATGCATTGTCTGGCCAGGACTTGAATCGCTGGTTCCCTCTAACTGTGCCAAGTGATCATCTTTATTTTTTTCCGCCAAGACCCAAGATTGATTCATTGAGAAGAATACAGCTGATATCAAGTGCTGCACACCCAAGTCAACGAGCTTCCATTGCCCGAAGATTTGAGCTATCTAGAGCTCAGACACAACCGCTAAATACGAACCCGTTTTGGGGATCGATTGATCTCGAGAATCGCATACCTGTCATTGAGGGATTTGTCGGTGGCAGCGATCATTATCGCGCTGTGCCCATGACTGATGGCGTCCATATTTTGTTCACAGACCCCAAATCCGGAATGCTTTGTCTAGGAAGCGACGCACAGTCTAATGAGCAGCATAGACTTATGCGAAAAATCATATTTATTCCTCCGTCTTCCGGTGCCATCCCCAGGCTTTACAGCGCTAGTGCTAGCACTTCGAGCGGACCTCGAATTGTTGCTGCATATGATGATGAGGTGGTGTTGTACTCAGTTCCATCCGACGTATTTGAATTGTCCTCAAAGCAACAGTATGGTGCTATAACGGCCGTTGATCTAGATGCCGCTGCAACGTGGCTATCTTGGTGGCCAGAGGAAGACGCACTGAAGAATTTTTTTCAGTTATCTGTATCTCCTGATTCAGATACCGAATCTCAGTCAATATGGCCCCTCGGTATACGTGGCGTACACGTTGGAAATTTAAGGTGTCTGGTGGAATTGTCAATCAATACAGTCTCAGGAATTCTCTCGATTTGGGGGTTTGGAGCTGATGGAGAGGCTCTCGTATGGCAGATTGATGACGGCTCGTCAAAGCAATATTTGAAAGAGCATATCATCTCCCACGATGGGCAAATTATGGATTCTTACCAACTCGATCCCGACGGCGATGTTGTCATGCGAATTGCGGAGGATATCGAATTTCGTGCCGAATCCTCGTCATCATGATTAGTTGAGGGCATTCCAGTGGACTTTCCAATCAATCACTACCACGAGATCGAGCTCTGGGACAGAATACGGTACGTAAGTTTAGTAACGAGACCTGGTTCAGTGGGGCTGGTTGAGGGAACCTAGATGAAGAGTAAATTGAACTTAGTGCAGATCTTGTGGACGACACTGACTCCAAACCACGCGTCTACCTACGAGAAGACTGCATACATTTTCTACGCGCTGGCCATGAACCTAGAATGTGACCTAGACATTCTATCAAAACTCTTTATTATTCATCATTACATTCACTACCAACTTCATTTACGATACTTCGCACAGATTCGGAACCTTCGATGCACCCCGTCCGACCAGACCATCAATATACGAGAAGAAAATATCCAGATCTATCATGTCCATGATTCCGAGTGTTGGATTGCTACTCCTTAGAACCTCGCCACCCCACAGCACACGCAAGTAGCGCTTTCCGTCATTTGCCTTCTTCCAAATCTCAAATACGACCTCTGAGCCCATACCTGGCCAGACCATGTCATCAATTTGCAAAATGCTCAAAAGTCGAGAGACTGAACCATCATGGGCGACATTGTGCCTATACTTCATGCTGCTGGATGCTGAGATCGCATCTCGGATGTTCTGGACCAGTTCAGCGGCCCATATCCCGAATGAAGCTACTGCATAAGGCAGGGACTGCGGGGCGAGGCGGTAGATGTAGGAGTATTCGTACTGGCCTAGGCGATATACTGCATCTGCCTGTTGCTGCGTAACGCATAGATTATGGTTAGAGATGTTGCAAGGCAATGGTTTGCTATGACATTGGCGCGCGGAAAGATTGTCGTAGTAATGGTCCCAACTCATGTGAAAGCCTCCATTATCCGGACTGACGCCAGAAATTGCATCCAGTTCCGAAAACAGACCTTCAGTAGCGCTGAGATGCAAGGTCCAGTTGGTATTGTTGCTTCCTGAGGCATAGTTACCCATTAACGCCGTCGCCGCTGTACATGTGTATGCTGGCTCCAGTGAGTCAATACTATCCGGCTGGATCTGCACGGGAAATGGCTGAGGAGAAGGGTACATGGCGCTAATCACCATCCCAGCAACTTGACTCGTGATCACATTGTTAGTCACTCGGTAACTGACGGTGTCGTCCTTCTCGCTGGGAATGAATTTAAGTAAGTCGTGATATACTCCGAAGAGATCTTTCCCATGTTGGTAAGAGTCCTGCAGCCCTTCCCGCGTGATCTGAGGAAATTGACAAGTCCCGTTGAAGCCAGCTGGGGTAAGAGGGTTGCTATTTGTGGTGTAAACTTGCCAGAATGTGGATGCAGCACTCTCGGAAGCTGGATTCAGAGGTTGGCCGTAGTAGAATAAGCCTTCGTCTGAGCAGTACCAAGGATAGGATTCTTGTGGAAAAGTGTTCGACGCGTATGGCGTGCGTTTATGGTGACGATGGATCTTCGCCAGAGTTAGAATTGCGTGTATAGTTGTGGCTAATGTGGGTTGAGGATTTTCATTTTCATGCGTTTATAGACAGCAGGTAATCGTCATGAACATATTGAGGAGTACTTACCAGTTCGACATATTCCAGCTGATAATCAACACTCGGTACAACATATTCTTCGCGCCTAACATGTGGCATATTGCACCAGTTATATGTTGCATAGGGGACATTGGCAGGCAAAGAGCTGGAGTTGAAGATGAAGCCATGAACCCCAGTCCCATTGACAACCTCAGTCAGGTCTGTTATCCAGCTCGCAGCAGGAGGATGCCAACTCAAATCTACAGAGGCCATTTTTGTACTCCCTCTTATCAGCGGATGCTGAAGAGCAGAGGCTAAGCCAGGCAGCCTATAGCGATACGCTAAGGATAGATATAGAAGGATTGAACCAATTCCAATGAATGTAGCAACTTTAGACACAGCACCATCATGCATGGCCTAATACAACATTACGGAGCTATGCTCTCGAAAAAGAAGGTGACCAAGGACCGATGAAATCTGCTTGAGAGCAGTGCGGGTGAATTAGCGTACTGAAGTCTAAGGTTGGTAGGTGTCACAGCTCGCGCATGCGTTCGTCCCCAGCGGTGATTGGTGGAAGCCTGGCGGTAAAAGCCGCAGATCATTTTGCATATGAACGAGGTTCCATCGTTCTTCGTAACAAGCCCAATGCTGTCCTATAGTCATCGTCCAAAATCCTTTCGGCAGTTTTCAGTTGTTCGAAATCATTTCCGATTCCATCCTCGCGCGCCGCTTTTAGTGAGAGTCAGCCTCTTCGTTGTGGCCACCTCCCACTAAAACATTGCTACTCGCATTCGAGTCCAGTCTAGATACCAAATGATTAATTCTACAATATGCTACTGGTCTTCCAAAGCGCGTGTAATTTCGACGCTACACATTGCTTCCCACGTGATGGAAAGTCTCTTTTAGCATTCGATCACGCGAGAATCGCTGCAAGCTTCTGCCAGTTCTCATGTTAATCCTGGCAAACGCTTCGATAAATGTACTACACCAAAACTTTTGCTTCAAACCTTCTCGATCATGTTTACATTGTGATGCCCGAATAGCGACTTACGATCAAGCGACAGTTGTTGATCAGCACAGAATCTCGGGTTTCAGACCTCCACAGTCCAATGTTGTACAATTTCAATTTCTTGACCTGAGGAGTCGGGGTGGTCGTGTTGTCGGCATTCCATGTTGTTTATGATGTTTCCTGAACATTTTGTCTGATCAATTACCCAGAATGCACTCAAAAGCGAACCTTTGAGTTGAATATGACCAAAGCAACCAGAATTTAGCTGAATGTGAAAACATACTGCACCGGTATCCCCTCACTCAACGAATCGTGAACAAAGGGTCCGATAAATCAAGAACTTGAATCGAATAAGGTATAGCTGAAAGGAGTGGGCGGGATTTCACATTTGCCGTCATTTTCCCAGGGCTCAAGGTTTCTACCCCGTATACGCCACAGTTGGCTGATTTTATGGCGATCTCAGCGAAGGGCCTTGGTTAACTGACTTTCAAATCGAGCTGGAGCTTCGTACGCACGCCGGGCAAGACGGCGACGATACCACATGAGAATCATTATTAGGAAAGTAAGACGCGGCGACGTGCCGAAGTAGTTGTCCGTGCCGAGGTGCTTAGTATTAACGGTACGGTGTCATCGCTCGAAAGAGGTACGAAGTGCAACCTCCGGACGCCAGCGACGTCCAAAATATGATACTAAAGACGAATTTTAACGTGATGCCGAGCGGGAGTCCAAATGCATTGGAAGTACGGAGAACCTTTGAGAACCAGACATGGATTGATGTTTGTATGAAGCTAAGGCAGTCCAAGGTGAAAGCACTGGATAATTGCAATCTCAAGATTTTTGGCGCCATCAATTTCGATACTTCACAATTTCGGCTTTATCTCAGTTTGACGTACGTGGTACATAAACATACAGGGCAGTTAAATTATTATCCAGGGGCGTAATAAAGGAAGACACAGTACTTTCACATTGTATTTCCGGCTAAGCCGATGAAGCTTCCCGCAGATGACATTGAGTTGCGGTTCGAGCGTATCATGTTAGTTTTATGACACGAGTTTTCCGCGTTCACTTTAGACGACGCCCAAGAGTCAACGACGGTGTTTTGGCATCGGGCGAATGGAGCTATTCCGTTTTGGACCATTCATATGACGCACAGACCATTGCCTTTCTTTGAATCCGGCCATTAAAAAAGTAACACTTTCACAACATTCCATCACTTCTGCACCAAAATTCATCCGAGCGTGGTCCTCAGCTGGTTCATCTCGCCAATCGGGACTTCAATGGTTGCCGCGTCGTAAAGATAAAAAGGAGAAAAGTCGAGTGCAGGATGGCCTTCAGACAGACGCAGCGACTCTACGCCAGAACCGAAGCACGTGTCAAGGGTTTTCGTGGGCCAGGCATCAAGATTCTTCGAGATGCCATTGTGGGAACGAGTGAAATAGAGCTACCTGGTGTCCTTAAGCAAGACCTTAGTGCTAAGCGATCACAGCCATCGGCGGGTCGCATAGCCTCTTCAAAAACCACCTTTGGAAGTGGAACCTCATCAATACCTAAAAGTGAGCTGTTGGCTCTACAGCGTAAGTAATACTCTTTTCCAACTCAATCTGTTCATTCTGCGCCGGAGCATGCTAATATAGCTGTGGATATGATGCACTGACACTCGTTAAGGATCTAGATACGGTTGGGGGTCGTTGAAGCCGTCAAAAAGGAAGCATGCTCTGGACTGGAGCCCGCCACCTCATGGTTCTCGTGACTCAGTGCGGTGGAAACATGTTGTATACTCATACAACAAGAACAAGACCCAGGCAATGCCACTCCTGACGTCTAAAATCCGCAGGGTTGCTCAAGCGTATCTCAACATGGAACGGAAGCCAGAAGGATACGACGAAGCCATGAAAGGAAAGAACCCGAATACTCCGAAATTCGGGATCGATGCTAGACAGAAAGCGTTTGTATCCGGCCACACGTTCTTGGATCAGCCCGTCTTTCAAGACCTACTCGGAAAGTTCACCGAAATTCGCAAAAGTTTCATGATACCATACCGAGAGTTATTGAAGATGGAACCTCCCGTTATTTTCAAGCATCGTGCAAACAGCTGCCATGTCTCCCTTCACGTTCACGATGAAAGGCTTCAACCTCCGCAATTGGCGACGTGGCAGCGCTCTGAAAATAAATAGTCGACATCATGGACCCATAGCCAGATTTGCCTCGTTCAGTCGGGGATTCCCAGCTTGGCTTATCCATGAAACGAATATACATTGTACATACTCTATGGTCTCGAAATTTTTCAATTGGATCAGGATGTAACATCATCCCACAATAGCACTGTATAAATAGCAAAAGGCACTTGCTCTAGCAATGCTTCAGCTTCAGAATTCTCGGAGATTTTCATGAAATCATTTTTTCTTTTTGCAGATGAAATTGTGGCGAGACCATCCTGCGTGTATTGCCTGAGTTGGTCCATGCCGTGGCGCTCCCCGCTTCGCGGTTTCTTCGATGCAACTGGATGGTGCGACACCTTGACTGCGTAGCCACCAAAACTGGATGGCTGAGGCTGGCTCCAGTTGAAAACTCACTAGCCTACTCATAAGTGAACAGAGTTTGAGGTGATGGCCTCTGATCTTAGTCGGCATTTCTGAGCAGAGGCCATCAACTCTATTTAACGAGAAGAATCATGGATGTGGCGGCTGAGCTTTTGGTAGTTGTGCGTTCAGGCGGGAGACTTTCCACAACTCTCTATACAGCTGCTACTTCGTCGACACGTATTCACAAAGATCTCACCGATATTGCTGGAGACGTTGCTATCACCTCTCATGCGCTCACAGATGTTGGCAAATTTTGAGCTATCAGCAAGCAGTGCTACTTGCCTCCGAGTCGGCAATTCAGGATGCAAACTCTATCTTGAAAAGATGTCAAAAAGCATTTAAGGAGATACACGATATAACAGGGAAATTCATTGACCTAGATGGATCAGCTCTGAAATCCACAAGCAGTGGAAAGATCAATTGGCCATACCGTGGCTTGCGATTCGAATTGCGCAAAAAAAGACTTGAAAGTCTCAAGAGCAGCTCGATGTTACTCCTATCGGTCCTGAACTTTAAAAGATTCCAGAACAGAGGGTATGTTGGAACCATTGCTTTCGTTATGAGCGTGCTAAATACCTTAGGCCAAATCCTCAACAGAACGTGCAGCACCAAACACAAGCCATCCATCATTTGTATCAGCGACATCGCTGTGCGTTAGCCGACATAACGCAGCTAGAGAGACAACTGGAGGCAGCCTCTCTAAATGACACTGATCTTCTTCCATCGCCAAAGAAAATCAAAACCGAAGATGGTGCAATTCCTGCACGAAGCTCGGTGAAAACGCTCGGTAGCACTTTGGCCTTCATACCGGACGAGATACCTAGGAAGAAGGCCCGAAGTTCAGGAGATACTTCTCTCGATATCGAAATGCTACTCCTACGTACCAGGCAGTTCTTAGCCAACATAGAGAATTTGTCCAGTCTACTCGGCAAAGCCACGCATGTGGGTGTGTTAGAGCTTGCTGAGCGTAAATTGCAGGAGCAGAGTCGGCATATGGTGAATATTCTGATCATCTATCTTAACTCTCCCGATCTTTCATTTCAAGTGAATAATTTATCGAAGAGCTCGGATCCTCTCCGACAGAGAGGCAATTAGAGGAAGTTGAGGCACTTTACAAAAAAAGAACGATGAATTCGAGCAGAGCAGGCATATCGCTTTCCGTTCCTTTGCAGCTCCAAATGGGCACTGCAACCTTCACCGTGGGACAGTCTCCAAACATCACCGTACAAAATGCCTTTACGCAAGGATCTAAGCAGCATGCCGCTCAAAATCAGATGAAAATGAAAATGGTTCCCGGAATGGCTCCGATGTGCACGCCGCTACTGATGACGCACGTGAATTCATCGCCCAGTGTTGGCGAACCACCACGAAGGCAGGAGCAAACGATTGCACATCCAAATATGCTCGGATCTCCATTGCTACAGGATACGCAGAGAGCGGAGAGCTCGACCAGCTTGGACGCTTCTTTATGCCATCTGCAGCCTCCCTTAGAGCTTGCGCCTTACCGCAATAATGAAGGTTTCGACTTCAAGTCTCCCACCGACAGACAAGATTTCCACGACAACGTCGATTTAGATGGCTATCTGGATAATTCGGACGATATAAATCCTCTAGGACAATCTGACTCAATAAATGTTGACAGTGAAACAGATGCTGCAAATAAGAAACTTAATGAGCCAAAGGGACCAGTCAATGACGCCGAGATCTCATAGATCTCACCCGAGAATATCCATGCAATAGTAGAAAATGAAACTGGAGAAAACATTGTTGTTACTGAATCGATAAACAAACTTGCCCGCCAAACGATAAATCAAGCTCAGCACACTCCAACTGTTTTGAGAACAGAAACTCAGCTTGCAAATTCTAGTCCACTCCAGAGAGAATTTCAATTAAAGCATCGTGAAACGCATTCAGATGTACCAAAAATTGGAGCGGACTCAAATTATTTGATGATGGATGCCGATCTCGAACGACAAAGAAAGCAGCGCATTCTAGTTGAAGTTGGAGGAATCGTATTAAATTAAAAAGCTCGGAATGAGCTATCGGAGGAGATTCAAAGGCGTGCCCAGAAAATGCGTATGATGGGAAGCTGCAAAATATGCCGAGATCTTAAAACGAAGGTACAGTTTCATGGTTTGTTTGCTTTTTGGATCTGAACTAACAATTTTCGACAGTGTGACCTAGGAAATCCATGCAGCTCATGTGTCTTGTACTTTGGACAAAGCAAGGCGGTCGAAACCTGCGTTCGATTTGATGCGCAGCCAAAAATTGAATCTGATATAGAGCAACATGAAGAACCTACTCCACCGTACAGGACAGCAGATGTGTTAGAGTATCATCGTCAGCAACGAAATGCGCACGAGGAAATGGCTCGAATGATGCAATGGCGTCAGGACGTCTACATCAATTCTGCGACGCCGCAAGCAGGGTCAGAAAGTGCAGACATACACTTATCGAGTAAAGAGCGGAAGCGTGAACCTACTCAGATCGGAAATCATTCATCATTGCAGATTGATCGTGCCCTTCATGACTTCCAAATACAACTTAGGTTGCTCTAACAACAGAACAAAAAGCGGTTTTGATGGCTAGACAGAGCCAAATCAATTCAACCTCCAAATTGCTCGCAGGTGCATCACGTCAGGCAGCAAATCAGGAACTGGGACATGGTTCACAGAGTGACATTAAACACAGCATTGACCCTTATCAGACATCAATGCCTACGCAAAACACGAAGTGGAGTGCAGGCGAAGTCGGCGAAGAAAAACAAGGGGCAATTCACAATATGTGTAGAGTTAACAGCATTGCTCAAGTTCGATCTGATTATAATCGGGATGATTGGCTATTTGGTGAAGGAGATGACACAGTTGAATCTGAAGACTTGGTCAGACACTTGCTGGCTAGGTGGACTGTTGATTCTGTAGCTTGATGCGATTGAACATTGAAATTGTAGGAGACACGGTGAAGATAAATACGTCTAAGAGAGTCATTCTTTCATTGTTTGCTGGAAGCATATGACCTTTCGCTATTCGTCCATAACGCCACCGCCATGAGAGCTTGTATTGTACAAACAGGCCATGCCATAATACGACTCTAATCCTTCTTCAGAGGGAAGAACTTCTCCTCAATGCCGTCCTTGGTGATGATCATAATCTGCAGCGAGTCGCCTACTTCGATATGCCTCTCTACAGCGCCCGTGAACACATCACGCACAAGTTTCTCTACCGTCTCAAGCGGTAATGGTCTTGGCTCTTTAATCTGCAAATCGTGGCCAGTGCCGCTTCCAGGCACATACTGATTTTTGAAGTTGACCTGGTTGTCGAGGAACGGCATGATCAAGCTCGCCGCTGCTCCAGCCGCTCTGCACTGCTCCCTTTCGTAACTACCCACAGGATCGTACGAGTACAGAGCGCCTTTTCCCTCCTCATCCAAGCCCGCTAGGATAGCAGTGACGTAGTAAGGGAAGAACCGTCTTGAATAAAGTAGATGACTCAGCCGCTGTGCACATGCTGACACGCTCATGTCCTTGCCATGCTGGTACTTGTACATCTTGACAATTGTATCGAGACGCTCTTTTAGCGCATTTCCGTCAGCGGCGAATCCCACGACACTGAGGACGATCTTGGCGCCCTTGTTGTTGGGTCCCTCCCCGCCGATAAGGAAGAGTTTGGGTACCATGCGTGAGTTGATATTGTAGCCACTAGTTGAGCGCGTGTCGCCGGCCATTATGGCAAAGTTGGCTCCAGTGATGCCAAGGGTCGAGCCGCCGTTATCAGTGTAACTAGGACCGAGTTAGAAACAGCTTTAGGACCAAGAGCAACGTTCTTCTCACGGATAGAAGCCTGCGTGCTGAGTAGGCTGTGATGCTTGGTTGATAGGTGTATTTGAGAACGAGTAGCCGGGCCCATCTTGGGGAGCTGTAGATAGTAGCTGAGCCATGATTTCGAAAACTTGAGGAACGATGCAGAAGAGAGGATGGGGAAGAGCGCAGGAGCGATTGTTGTTATGCTGTGTGCACTGGGATGTTGGACCAGCTACGACGCAACGCGCACCACGAGCTGCCTAACATCTAATCTAATCTCTTGGCGATCTGATGTAAACCCTTCTTTGCTGGATGCTACGACAGGACAACAGCTTCTTTGTTATCGCGAGAATGCTGGGGCTCAGTGGATACGCAAGTAGTGATGAGGAAGATGAAGGCCAAAAAATATCCACAAATGTACGTTCGTAGTAAATTGCGATTCTAGAGGGCAAGATTACTACTAACATTGAGCACAACAAGACACAGCTGAACACCGACAAAGTCGGGACGAAGAAGAATGAAAGTACGTAACCGTCTCGAACAGCCTTTTTTACAAGGCGTTGATAAATAGTTGCAGATCTTTCCTTGGCTTCGAAAACTGCTATATCTGCTTCATCAGCGGTGTTGATGCACAGCGATGTACCCATCGAACGGCCGACACAAGGTCCTGCAATGCCACCAGACGAGGAATCCGAATTCGTCTATGAAGAGCCCGATAGGGAGCTCTCATACGATGAAGCGCGTGCAGCTATCAGAAGCATGACTATGCCGCCCGTACCCAACTTTTCTATCCCGCCTTCACCGCCAGGTTCACCTCCGTCCGCATCGACGAAGAAATTCGCGCACTTCCTCAAACTCAAAAAGCAAGGCGTACATTTCAACGAGCGGCTAGAGAAAACGCCGGCTCTAAAGAATCCAACATTGTTTCAAAAGCTCAAGCAGCACGCTGGAATTTCGGACGAGGAGCAGTATGCGACAACATTGCCGGAAGACCTGGCCGTACCGGTGACCTTTCCACCATGGGCGTATGCAGATGAACTGGGCAAGACGCAGGCCAATATAAGGCAAAAGAAAGATCAAAAGCCTAGGGATACTATAGATTTCGTTCCTGCCACACAGCGGTCGTCATAAGTGAGGACGTTTGGACGACGATGCGGAATGACGAGGGAATGGCTGCAAACGAGAATCTGTTCGAGGAAAAGTACGAGGTGAAGACCTCTTGATCGCATAGATGGGGTCCAAAGAGATGATGCGTGTATTGTATATTTTATACCAGTATTTGACGGAATGCTGGGCAAGCAGAATCTCAGCATCGCTTTGAAACCACATTTTCTTGGTCCTCCAGTTAAGCAGAGCCGTGCTGTCTGGAATGCGAGTCAACACTCCCAGTGACTAATGAATCACTGCACGAAAGATATACCTGAAGCTTAGATCGATTGAGTTCAAGACTAACAGGCGTGTGAAAATGCGTCAAACAGTACGGGGCCAGGACGTTCACGACACAAGCCGAAAAAACATAGTTTGCGAATAAGCGCGGCGAGAACCAGCGCCAGTAGCAGATTTAAAAATATTATGCGCAAGGGAGGGACTCGACGTATTGCTTCTGAAGTTTGCAAAATCACGCTCAAATTCGTCCGCCGCCGCTGGTATTGACATAGTTACCTTTTCGAGAGAGCTGAAGGTCCAAGCTTCAAGTGCTCCGACGTCCGCGTATGAAGTTCTGCCTCGCGATCAGCGAGCGCCGTGAACGCCGCTCACATCAACCTTTCCACTCCACAATACTTATAAGCGAATACAGGCACCTTCAATACCTCGTTAGAAACTCGGTAAAGCAATATGAACCATCTACCGCAAGCCTGGGGCCGTGTACGCTCAGAACCCAAAGTACCTAGTTCTCTCAGCTAACGAACAATACTAGCCTAGAGACGATGTGTACGGCGCTTATGACCACTCATACATGCAGACTGGGCCGAAGCAACACACGCAATCGCCCATAGTTACCGGCACGTCAGTAATAGCCATCAAGTATAAGGACGGTGTCGTCATAGCAGCGGATAACCTAGGTATGGCAAAGTGAATGCTTATTACTCTAGCTTTGTTGACACGTTGCGTAGCATCATACGGCTCCCTTGCCCGTTTTACCGACGTCAAGCGACTTCGAGAATTCAACTCGCGTGCTGTCGTCGGCTTTGGTGGTGACGTCTCTGACATGCAATACCTCGATCGATTACTTAATTCCGTCTCCATTCGCCAAAACTACGAAACACCGGCCTCTCATACAGAAGAGGACGAGAAGTCACAACTTAGTGCTAAGAATTTATACACATTCCTCTCAAAAGTGATGTACAAGCGACGTAGCGAGTTCAATCCACTGTGGAATCAGTTACTCGTCGCAGGCCTCGACGACGATAGCGCGCCGTTCTTAGCCTCAGTCGACTTGCTAGGCACCACGTTCAGCAGCCCAAGTCTGGCCACGGGATTCGGTGCCCATCTGGCGCAGCCGATATTGCGGAAGTATGCGGCAGACGAGGAGGCTACGAAAACTTTGGAGAAGGACAAGGCCGTCGCGATCGTAAAAGAGTGTATGAAGGTGCTCTTCTATCGCGATGCTCGAAGCATGGACCGGTACAGCATTGCAACTATCGGAAAGGAGGGCGTAGAGATCAAAGTGGACGAGAAGCTAGAGAACCAAAGCTGGCAGTTCGCAGAACGGATTAAAGGCTATGGCACGCAGACTGTATGAAATCCTGGAGCTGTTCCTATGTGTTCAAAGCATGTACACGTGGCGTTCGGATTAGGAGCCATTGCATGTATGGGATAAGAAAGATACAGTCGCTCCAATACCGGAGTCAAGAATAATGGAAGAACCCCTTACTTCCTGCACAGCAACACCATCACCGATATACCTGTTTTGACTTCTGTAACATGTGCTCTTGGGAATCATCGCCACCTACGCTTGAAGGACTTCTACAGGGAAAGAGTTGAATGTTCTACTAGCGAAATCTTTAATCAAATCTCTAATCTTTCTCTGTGAACCTCGATGTAATGTTTTTTGCCACAATCCGCCGTTTGGTCAAACCTAGAGCTATAGCGGAGGTTTGACATCAGCTCCAAACTTTCCTTAAGACAGCATTGTTCGCGATAAAGCGTACTGCGAGCCTGCCAAACGTTTACAGAACGCATTCGATCGGGCACGCTCAGCAGACTGCTTCGAATATGATTGGCACAAGAAAACAGGCTTTTGCGCTATAATGTTTATTGGGCTCATCCGGATATCCGCTACCTTCGCCAGACTAAATTGTTCGGATTTCTCGCTTTGTTGCATGCTGATTTGCTCGCACTTCGCAAATCATCGCGACACAGGAACGAGATCACGCAGCGGCGAAAGGCAAGCGAGCTGTCTCCACCAAGTCCACTCTGAGCTAGTACAAGTAGTTCTTCCAGTATGGCTTAAGGTTGCGAAGATCTCTTAGACCCCCGCTCTCATGCAGGAAGAATCTCCGATTTGAGATGGGTAAGCTCCGCATATAGTGAATCCGATCTCTTAACCGTTCTTTGCAACCGCCTGTCCCAAACTAGCGGTCGTGACATCGATTAAAGCATGTACGCGCAGAGCGGAGTTGTTCTGAAATCAGATCATAAGTCAATGGTGATGTTCAGCAAAACTTCTTGTGGGAACGAACGTCTGCGGGCCGAATCATGGCTGCATCTAAAACCGGGATCGATAGGTTCGACGCATCTGCAGCCAGCCACACGAATGCATGCTGGAAGCACCTTACACCTCGCCATACCAGTCGGTCAGGTTGAACTTGCAGCGCTTTGGTGATGATCGCCGCTCGTGTGATACGCTTCCACAGATGCGTCGTGCACCGGTGACGCGGTTTGCATCGCACTCGGTCGCTCTAAAGTGCAGAGTTTTGTCCTTGTCAAACTCCAGCTTCAATAAGGCTCGGCTGTTTTGTGGTCGAATCATCTGAGCCGCACAACGCGGAGAACATTAGTCGATAGAATGGAAAGCTGCTTTTAAAAGGTCCCCATTGGTCTTTAAGATGCATTTGGCTAATGCTCTTCTCAAGTAGCAATCGCAGGTCCTGGCTAGGCGGGCATCCAACGGCGCATTCTGCACGCGGGATCACTTTCCGGACAGCAAATCTGTACCAATCTGCATGCCTGTGGAGTCAAGATCGACTGGAGATTCGATGCAGGACGCACATCTGTGCGTGCAAAATGAAACTAGGTGGAAATAAATGACGAGCAAGAATTTCTTTCACTCATGCGCTGCTTTCTCAACATCTTCCATCGCGGTGTCTCAGTTTCGTATTGAGCATTTTAACTCCTGTTCCACATTGCTTAACATGCTATGGCTACATTGAGCACAGATATTTCAACCCTCCCAAGGAGCAGGAGAGGCTCCACGGGACGCCGAGAGTCCATATCTGTCGGCCAAGATGCCAGCAATTTTCAACTACGCGTGATCCCAGAGGTTCGTGAGCGACGAGAACGGAGAAAGTTTATCTTATGCTTCGACGGGACAGGTAGTACAGACACTTAATTGTTTTATGTTCAACTGAAGAAAACACAGGCAACAAATTCTCAGGGACAGATGCAGACTCGAATATCTTGAAGGTATGAGCGTAGCACTCGTCTAAGACTTGACAATAGGGATTCACGCAGCCAGATATATCGCATGCTAGATCGAGACGATCCGTCCCAATTCCACTACTACCAGCCTGGTATTGGCACATATGTGCAGTCGGGGTCGCTCTCCCATTCATCGAAGTTTGAACGACTCAAGTCTACGTATCTCAAGGCAAAGGATTCAGCAATCGGCACCTCTTTCGGTATGATTCTCAACTTGTCATGCGATTTCAAAGCTAAGAAACAGTAGATGAACATGTTATGGGAGGCTACAAATTTCTGATGCGTTATTACAATGTCGGTGATGACATTTTTCTCTTTGGCTTCTCAAGAGGAGCGTATACCGCACGATTTTTGGCGGAAATGCTTGACCATGTTGGACTACTAAGCGCTGGAAACGAGGAAATGGCTAGATTTGCCTGGAAAGCATTTCAACGATGGTACCTGAGGTCGATATATACCGTGAAAGCTCGACTAATATTAAGAATAGGCAGCAACGAACCGAAGCCACCGAAAAAGAGAGGCAACAGAAGAAATTCTTGATGAATTACATGTGCGCTTTCCGTGAAACCTTTTCGCGTCCAGTCAGACGAATACGCTTTCTTGGCTTGTTTGATACGGTGAACTCGGTTCCTCAATTCGAGAATGCCTGGCTTCAGCGAAGCAAGTTTCCATATACAGCACGCAGTACTGCAAAGGTCATACGTCATGCTGTGGCTATTGACGAGCGGAGAGCTAAATTCCGACAAGATCTGATTGGAGAACTTCGGCCTCACAAAAAGCAGAATCATTATCGACGAAGGCATCAGAAATGGGACATGAAGCACGATGACGAGGAAGTAGCCCCTGACGAGGTGGCTCCCAGAGGACGCAAGCCCTCTGACGAGCATCAAAATCACCTTGGACCACCCACCATTGTTCCACCAAGGTTCAGAGATCAGTCTGAGACCAGTGGGCTCCGCTCCCTCAGTCCTTCGATTAACGACGATGTAGATCGACAATCCGCCATTACTGACCTGTCTCAGGACTCTTTAAAAATTCTACATCATCGACATAGCGATTTTGCCGATGCAGATTCTGATGATGACGAACAAGATATTCAGGAAGTATGGTTCGCAGGTGCGCATGCAGATATTGGCGGTGGATGGCCGTTGTCACCTGGAGAGGATACGGCTTTGTCTCACATTCCCCTCGTTTGGATGGTTCGTGAAGCTGAAAAAGCCGGTCTGCGCTTCGACCCCAAAAAGTTGCGAGATTTGAACTGTGCTGAAGACGTCTTTCGCACTCGTCGCAAGTCAATGGTTATACCGCAAATCGAGATCGAAACGCCTGGGCAAGATGATTCTTCTGGTAAAACAACTGAGTATACGTGCCCCGAGGGTGGCCCGAAGCCTCCCATAGCCAATGTCAATGAACATGCAGTGAAGTTGGAAGTAACAAAAGAGCAAGGCCAAGCTATGCCTACTGTGGGTCTTGCACCGCAGAACGAACCAGATCTCACAGCGGAGGCAGAAAATGCGCGGGCTTCCCGCTTCCTTTCAGCGCTTAAATCCGCTGCGATAAAGGGTCGGATTCACGATGTCTTACAATTCAATAATGGCTGCTCTGCTCTTCAGGTGATAGCTTGGAATTTCATGGAATATCTTCCTTTCCGTCGAATGGATCTGCAACCGGATGGTAGCTGGAAGTCGATAAACTGGCCGTTGCCAAAAGGCGAAGTTAGAGACGTGAGCTGGATCCCAATCTCCATCACTACAAGCAACTGACGGGGAGATAGGTACCCGACAATGTTGTTATTCATCATTCAGTCATCCAAAGGATGAAAGCAGATCCCACGTATCGACCAGGCAATCTGATTATAGGAGGCGGAGGACGAGGGGTTCGGTTCGCGCCCCCAGAATATGGAATTGGCAATTGGCGGTTGCTTCGAGAGGAGGGTGATCCCGTCGGAGAATGTTGGGTTCGAGATGGCCCTCCAGGGCTCAATATGAACGGCGTCCATGGTTTGTCCAAATTTCCATTATCGACCACATATGCGTTGAAAGGCTAACAGCTGATCGTACAGGGCCTTTGCGGAGACCCTCTTTCAGAGACAGGTCTGTCTTGCTTGACGAACTGCTAAGGGACCTAGAGGACATAGTCAGACTCTTCTTTAATGTGATCTCTCTGATTATGGATTTCTTCTCACGGCGAATGGCTAGGCAGGACAAAATGTAAAGAGTCGATCTATTTTGCATAGTTAAAATCAGCATGAATAAAGGCCATTTTTAGTCAGCAGTATGCACTCAGTACATGAATATTCAGCAATGCTATAGCTTGGAGACTCCTTTGCTCTTTGCCTCCAGTTCTCTTCGTTTGGCCTCGAACCGCGCCTTCGGGGCATCCTCGACGAACCTCTCCGCCAATGCGTCGACGGCATTCACCACAGCGATCAACCTCGCATCTCGCAGAGGAGCATTTTGAAGTCTCTTTACTTCCATCATGCTCTTGCCATCGTTAACCGCGAGCTGTTCCTCTAGGTACTTCACGACCCTATCGTGAAAGCCTTCCTTAGGAAAAATTTCAGAGATCATTCCCCATTCTTTCATTTCCTTTGCTTCAATCTTGCGTCCAAACATAAGGTACTCATTCGCACGGTGGATACCAACAGACTGTGCCCAGTTGATTGCGGAACCGAACTCTGGAACAAGTCCAAGGGCAGAGAAGGGGACCTGAAGCCAGCAGTCGTCCGAGGCGATGCAAATATCGGAGAGACCTTCGAACCAAGCGGCGCCTCCGCCCACGGCAGGACCATTCAACGCCAGGACAAAGACCTTCTTATGATCAATGATGGATCGCATCAGTTCGAAAGCTAAGCATAAGTCAGCCTCGAATTGGATGTCAGCATTTTGAAACTGCGAAGCGGGTGAGTAGCTGTACCTGGCATAGTGATTCCCGTCATGAGCTGTGACAATAGCTAGCGATTAGTTCGTGGATCAGAAACACGTACGGGTGGCAAATTGAGTTACAAATGATAGTTTCTTCTCTGCATCGTTCTTGTAGACAGGTGCCTTCTTTGACGCGACCGCTGTTTGTGGGACGTCAGCTCGGAGTCCAGTGCTCGTTCGTGTAGATGAGCTGGCTTGCCTTTTACATCTGCTCCCGCAGAGAAGAAGCGACCTTCTCCAGTCAAGACTGTGAAGACAGTATCAGGATGAGCGTTCAACTCTCGAAATGCGGCAACGCATTCGGGAATCAGATTGCCTCCGAATGAATTGAGAGCTTTTGGACGATTTAACTTTGAGAAACATTAGCCACATCCGCTTCAGCTTTTTTTTAAGAAATTTTTTTTTCAGAGGTAGTCTCAGGCTTTCAGACCTTGATGATGCCAATCTGTCCCTTGATCTCCACTATTATATCGGTGTACTTGTTGACGGCCATCACAGCTACGTAATGTTAGATAAGACCAAGGATGCAAAATGCGCAAGAAATATACGGGAAGTTTAGACCAGTGTCAAAACTGTGCTATTAATGTTCTTTCAAGAGAATCAAAAGGATTTGAAAAATTGCCCAACCCAAGAACAAGAAAACATACGTTCAATCGACGATGCTGGTGCTAATAAGATGCCCGCGCTGTGACTCTGAGAACGCAGCCTCGGCTTGTTCGCCGTGCGGAGACCCCAACCTATACCGAACTTCGCTTCTCTCCGCCCGTAATAACCTCAATTGCTGATCACTTATGTGGCCGCGTTGTTTCCACTTACTTACGCAAACTAGGAATGGACTGCAGAATCTAAGGATGATCGCAAGATTGCTTTGTACCCTTCATATGCTGGTTCGTTGCAACTGCGAATTTGGAAACAGGCTAAGGGAGAGGTGGTGTTTTAAGATTGTAGTGATTCAAGAACGAGTTCACTTCTAGTCATTCTCCAGTCTAAATACCACGCACTTGTAATTGTACACGGGAAAAATCCAATTTCATCTTTGAGTCGTCGCTTTCGCAAGCTGTGACCACTGTGAAAAAATGAAGCAGCAATGGTGAGTTATGCCCCGACTCATTTCAAGCTGCGCAGTCCAACCACTCCCAGCAGCACGAATGCAGTCGCTCCTCCGCCGAACAAGCCTGCACCGGTTCTGCTCAATTGACCTGAAGCCACCGCAAAGACGATGGAGCCTATATCCAGAGCGTCGGCAGCAAGGCCTGCCCACAATGCGCGCTTCACCTCCTTCCTGTCCTTCTGGGAGCCGTCTGCTGTGAGAAGCAGCTCGCCAAGCACGAGGTCTCGACCACCAACTGCGCGTCCGATCAGAGCTGACTGTGCCGTAACTGGTATGTGGAACAATCCGCCGACGAATCGTGGAGCAATGAGCAATCCTGCACCGAGCACCGCACGAATTGCGCCGAGTGCGGTAATGGCTCCCTTGGCATATGGTTTCATTTCTTGTGCTTGGTCGGGAACGGATCCGTAGCTTTTGATCGACTCGGTTGCTGGCATTTTGTAGGCTTGAAAAGAGTGCGTTTTATGCTCAGGGTAGGTATTGCGTTCAAATATCTTTCAGTCTATGCAAAGCGAGCTGATGTGGTTTGTTGCAGTATGCCTAAGATTGAGACTGAATGTCTATATATACACATTTCTGCATGTCGACATCTCATTACGGCAGGACTGAAGGATCCCGCCATCATAACGCCGACTCCGTTCTGATGGAGTTGCATCTTCTTCGTCGCGCTGTGCAAAGCGCAATACGACGCTCCTAAGCAGGGTTTGAATTTGCAACTTGCTCGAGGTACTGCGGGGACGGGCTGGCCAATCAGCGGCGCCCATCGTCGGCCAGACGTGTTGTGATTGGCCAGCAGCAGAACAATGGCTGTTGCTCTCGTATTCGGCCCTGCAGAGCATAACGTTATGCTTCAAAGCGAATGCTCCGCATCGGCGTGCAGGCTACATTATGGCTTCGCATGCAGGAGGAGATGCTTGTATCAGTTATTCTCGCAATTTTACAACATAACCGACATCCATCCATCCCTACAGACAAAGATCAAGGATGCCCCGCGCAGCCCCACTTTCAACGCCATCCCCAGGCGATCCAGACAGGAAGCGCGTGCTGAACGTGCTGGCACAGAGGAGATATCGTGAGAGAACCAGGGGTTTTGACGAAGAACAGTGTCTAATGACGATACAGGCCAGAGAAAGAAAGAAAAATATGCGATGTTGGAGAAGCAGGCGAAATCGGCGTCCTCGGCGTCTTGCGAATCGTCGTCTCCTGAAAGCGTGTCAGAAATCAGCTCCGGCGAGACGCGTGAAAACACGTACTCCTCAGGAGTGCCGTTGACGAGCGTGCAGGAGAATATTCTCCGTTCAGAAGCTCCTGCCACGATGACGACCAGCGAAGTGGATTTTAATCTAACTGCTTTGCTGGGTCCGACCGATCTTAGCAACTGCTTTGACTTCTCAAACGATCTAGTCCCAGAGATATCGCATAGTAACTATGAGGTATATCAGCCTGCACCTTCGCTTTCCATGGACATGGTCATGGACATCCCCGTGATGAAGACTCTCAAGGCAGGCGCGCTGATCGCCCAGGCTCTGGGCTGTGAACATTTGCTCTGGGACCCGACAAGTCGTTGGACGATTCCAACGCCAACGCTGCCTGGCCTCCCAGAGAACATGCAGCCCACGCCCGCTCAACTGAGCATTCCGCACCATCCGTTGTTCGACATTCTTCCTTGGCCGCAGCTTCGAACGAAACTCATCTGCGTCTTCGCGCTGCCAGAGCATCAGCGTCCGGAAAATGCGCGTGATCCGCTAGCGTTGATGCAGGTCACGTACGACATCGAAGACGAGAAGGATGGGTTTCGTGTCAACGGCGAGGGGAGGGAAAAGGACGACTGGGAGATAGGCGAGGCGTTCTTCAAGAACTGGTGGTGGGCGCTAGATAGGCAGATTGTGGAGTGCAGCAACGCTTGGAGGCAAAGAAGAGGTCAACCTCGGCTGGGTATGAAGAACTATTAATAAGAATTTTTTTTACCATTTTAACGTATAACGAGAGACGACTCTGGATATCGTTAGAACAAATATGTTACAATACACAGATTTATAGTCGTGCTTTAGCGGCACAAATGTCGGCCCACGCCTGTGAATCGAGCCTCTTGTATGCATTGCCGTCAAGCCAGTACACATGTTCGCCAGCCGTCTGTTTCCGTGGGTCCCATGACCTTGTCATCATCACCGTCTTCGCGTGCTTAAACGTCGCGTTTACCTCGATTCTGAACGCAGATTAATATCGAGCATTGAACGGCGATGATGGGACTTACTGCTCGATGAATCGAACCAGCCGCGGAAGCTGGTAAGAAGTCAAGCCTGATTTCTTTAGTCGCGGGTACAGTTGCTCAGCAAATTTGTCTTCTTGTCCCCTATATCCAGTTGCAAGTGTGATCGCGGCAGCGCCTGCTTGACCATCGTACCCACTCAATTTGACCGCATAAACAGTGACGTCTATTACCCCTGGTATCCTCGATATATGTTCTCTGACTTCGCCAGCGCTTACGTTTTCTCCGTTCCACCTGTAGGTGTCACCCGTCCGGTCTCTGAACGAAACCCATCCAGAGCTTTCATTGACGAGAAGATCACCCATTCTTTGATACAAGTCACCTTTCTTGAAAACGTTTGCGAGTAGTTTCTCTTCGTTTGCCTTTGGGTTGTTGAGATATTCGTGGTAAAAATCCATATTTCTAACAAGACCGATAGCTTCGCCAGGCTCCCCGATCTTGGCGCGAACACAAAAGCCGGTCTTCGGGTCTCGCCACGGCATCTCTGTATCCGGATCATAACGGACGAGAACAGTGTCCCGATTGAAGTTGCGGTAGATTGGACCCTGGAAGCCGACCTTGCCTGCACCCTGTCTGCCTCTACTGCAATTGTCGAATTTCGCAAGTCCCTCCGTCGATCTATAAAACTCTCGGATCTCTTCGATGCCGAAGCGTTCCATGAATTTCAGCCAAACGTCGTTCGAGAGCCCATTACCAACTGCGACGCGACAGCGGTGGGCCCGATCGTGTGGCGAAGGAGCAGCCTTCAACAGATAGCGACAGAGTTCTCCAACATATAGAGTTCTCGTCGCACCGCTCTCAACGAGTGAACGACTAAAACCGCTTGCAGAGAATTTTCTTGCCAAACAGAACGATCCTGAATTACCAGCGGAGTATAGCAGGCCCGTGAAGAAACAAGTTCCATGAAACAAGGGCAGGCAGCTGTAGGTGCGTAATGGCTTATATCGCTCTGGAAATCGAGCATCAAGATCAGTGGTCGTGGAAGTGAGGATTAGCAGCCAGTTTTTGATAGATACGGCCTTGGGCTTTCCACTTGTTCCGGACGTGTAGATGAGTGCACCGATGTCTTTCAGCGCCCTGGGAACTGTTTGTACGCGGACTGCTGTGGCCGAAAGCTGTTTCTGCGTAACGGAAATAAAACGATCATCGGAAAGATCGTCGGAGAAGGATCCAACATTCAGACTGAGACAACTTGTGGCCATTCTGTCCTCCTTGAGGACGGGAACGACGTGTTCTATGAGGTCGGGTGTCGCCACAAGAACTGACGCGTTTGCTACACCAAGGCAGTGTAGCAGTGTCTCGTCTATATGCAATGGTCAGTGACATAGTCATGCTCGTGTGAATGGGCTAATTTACTTCTTAAGGCTGTATTTATCATTGCTGGAGCGCTACCAAGCTTACTTATGGCTGCGAGGGCGAAGACCATTTCGGGAGAGTTGCTCATAAAGACTGCTACAAAGCTGTTCTTCCGGACGCCGATGTCATGTAGTACTTGTGCGAAAGCATCCGCTTCTGCACCAAATGTTAGTCTACGAAAATAAATGTCGTATTTTTTTGTGAATTTCGAGCCATCTTTTTGAAGTATCGATAGTATAGTCCTTGCAGTGAATGGACGTACTGAACACATCTATTAGGGCAGACTCACACACCTTTTAAGATTTCTCTATAGGTCCATGTACGGCCCTCGAACCAAAGGCCCTCTGCTGCAGGATCTGCGGTCTGAAGGTGTCCATAGATGCCAGCAACACTCCCGACAGCTTTTATCCGCTGCTCAATTCGTTTTCCAAAGCGCCTGTCAGCCAGTATTTGACCAATATCTCGCGAAAACCCAAAGTGAGCGTCAAGGTAGGCCGCCGTTGCAGCGAAGGCGGCTCCCGCAGTAATGAAGGTCTTAGCACTGATCTTTTCCATGCCCTACAATGAATCAAACTTAAAACATGAACAAGTTAGTCGTCTCAATATTTTACGCCCCGAAGGACGACAAATAGAATACATGTTTAGGAATTCCGAATCTTACCTTGGTCTAAGCCTGGTGGCCGTTGATGTTGACTACCCAATGAGGAAAGGCGGGGTGTGGAGATGCCGATTTCATCTCCCGTGTCCAACTCCACTACTGGTGGCCACCAACGCTTCATTGCCAGTAGACAGCAGCGGTCTAGCCAATTGCTTCTATGCCGCGGTAGTAGCATCTCTTGCCCGAGGCGGTATATTGCAGTATCAAAAGCACGTCTGAGGATCCTTCCAGCACGTAAACCTTTCATATCTTCACACTCGATCAAACATGTCGCAAACTATGCAAAGGCTGCAGCAGGTCGTCTCTCACATTTCACCCACAAAATCAAGGAAAGATGAAATCCTTCAAAAGAATCCCGATGACATAGTCATCACCCTTGCTATTCGCTCAGCCTTGACCAAGGCTCGGGGGGGTGCACTCAGCAGCACCTCGCTCGAGGACCTTCTTGTTGCCATGCTTAGCGGCGTTATTGAACGTGCGAAAATAGATCCTGCACTTGTCGAAGAGATTGTCTTCGGCAATGTGTTGGAGCCGCGTGTAAACTATATCAGCCGTGGCGCAGCCCTGAGCGCTGGTTTCCCTGCTACAACCGCTACTTCGATCGCAAGCCGATGGTGCTCATCAGGTCTTCTCGCAACGCAAAGCGTAGCCAATCAAATTGCTTCTGGAGGCATCGAAGTCGGTCTGGCGGTCGGTGTTGAGAGTATGAGCCAGAATCCTGACGACGGTGCCCCGAATTTCGGCTCCAAGATCTCGACTCATCCAGTCGCTAAAGATATCAGCATGCCCATGGGTTGGACATCTGAAAACCTTGCCCGTGACTTTGACATCACAAGGGAGGAGCAAGATGAGTGGGCAGCCGAGTCGTTTGCTAAGGCTGAGCGAGCGCAGAAGGCGGGCTGGTTCAACGACGAGATCTTCCCCATCACGACGCAGCTCAAAAACCCAAAGACGGGTGAGGTCAAGACTGTCGTCGCCGATCGCGACGATGGTGTGCGCTACGGCACCACCAAGGAAAAGCTCGCGGGCATCAGAAAGGCCTTCCCACAATGGCCTCCATCCACAACTACGGGAGGCAATGCGTCGCAAATCACAGACGGCGCTGCGTGCATTCTCATGATGAAGAGAAGCACAGCTCAACGGCTGGGCCAGCCGATCTTGGGCAAGTATGTTCACAGCACCGTCGCAGGCTTGGAGCCACGGATCATGGGAGCTGGTCCAACTATAGCTGTGCCAAAGCTACTTAAGCAGGTTGGAATCTCGAAGGAGGATGTAGACATCTGGGAGATCAACGAGGCTTTTGGTTCAGTGGTACGTCCGACCAAAGACGCGTAGACTAGCGCGCTAATGTCTTTCCAGCTGGTTCATTGCACAAAAACACTCGGCGTTGATAGGGCGAGGGTCAACCCCAGAGGAGGTGCGATCGCATTGGGTCATCCCTTGGGATGCACCGGTGCACGACAGATTGTGACCGCACTGTCGGAGCTGAAGCGGACGGGCAAGAAGATTGCCGTGACTACCATGTGTGTTGGCACTGTAAGTTTACCATTGTGGCATCTGCGCACTGGCTTCTTCTGACACTTGGATAGGGCATGGGTATGGCCGGGTTGATTGTGTCGGAACAATAAGTGTACGGATTCGCACAGCTGGGACTTCGGTATTTGGTGGGAAGGGCAAGGTGTGTTCTAGTGAAAAAAAAAAAACATGTAGCTCACTTGAGGTTTGGCCAAATTGTACAAAACCAGCGAACTGGCGAAATCTGTTGTGCAGTAGTCAGGCATGTCTTTTTTTACACTCCAAACGTGACGTGCATTGCCATTGAGCGTTTAGAACCTTTAAAATGCCTTGGCGCAATAGATAGCGCTAGGGACCGTAACATTCGATTTCAAGAAAATCAAGTGCCAGGAGTCTAGGAGCTGCTAGGATGATTTGGTAGGTTTTAATTGCAGAAGAAAAGTCTCAGCGGGTCATGCCAGTCGTAGTGCCCAAGTCACGCCATTCGCGGTCAGACAACCATGTGCACTGGTGGTATGGGAACATCCCGTAAGCGCAGTCCGGATAGGATCTCGAGCCTACAATTCGATATCCGCAGCGGATGGAATCCCTCTATGATGTTCTCATGATGATGGCGGCGAAAGTAGAAACGAGCAGTCGACGACATCATGTCCGGACGGCAAGTCATGTTCCCTTTCGTCGGCAAAACCCAACAGCCAATAGGACGCACCCTATTTGGTTTAGCAAATAGCCGACAGCCGTCTAGCAAAGAGACATCACACACAGCTCGGTAGCATCTTGACACCGCAAACACCCACACAATGGCGGCGCTACGCACATCTTCCCGCCTGGCAAGGCAGATAAGAGGTATGTAGAGGTTTCTGGCACTGTTTGAGCCAGCCATTGACGCCAGTCCACCAGCTCCGCAGCTGCTCGCCGCTCGTCGTGCGTACGCCACCGAGGCGTCGACGACACAAGAGCCAGCTCCCAGCAAAGATGCGAAGATGAAGACGTTCAAGGTTTACCGCTGGAACCCGGACACGCCGAATGAGAAGCCGCGTATGCAGACGTACACGCTGGACCTGAACAAGACTGGGCCGATGATGCTGGATGCACTGATTCGCATCAAGAACGAGCTCGATCCGACGCTCACGTTCAGGCGATCGTGTAGAGAGGGCATCTGCGGATCGTGTGCCATGAACATCGATGGCGTGAACACGCTGGCATGCCTGTGCAGGATCCCAACCGACACGACCAAGGAGAGCCGGATCTACCCACTGCCGCACACCTACGTTGTCAAGGACCTCGTGCCGGACATGACGCAGTTCTACAAGCAGTACCGCTCGATCAAACCGTACCTGCAGAGGGACACACCACCGCCTGATGTAGGATAACGAGCTGCCCCATCCCGAAATTGCCGATGAAAAAAGTCGATGAAAGCTGACCGTCTTCGATCTAGGGCCGCGAGAACCGTCAGTCCATTGCCGAACGCAAGAAGCTTGACGGCCTGTACGAGTGCATCCTCTGCGCTTGCTGCTCGACCTCCTGCCCATCGTACTGGTGGAACAGCGAGGAGTATCTTGGCCCGGCCATCCTTCTTCAGTCGTACCGCTGGCTGGCGGACAGTCGAGACGAGCGCAAGGAGCAGCGCAAGGCTGCTTTGGACAACAGCATGAGCCTGTACCGCTGCCACACCATCCTGAACTGTTCAAGGGTGTGCCCCAAGGGCCTGAACCCAGCCCTGGCCATCGCCGAGATCAAGAAGAGCATGTCTTTTGCGTAGATAAGAGAGGAAAGACTGCACATCTGCTGATAAATGGCTTAGTTGGGCGAGAGAAGTGTGCGTGTGTATGATGAAATTATCTGATGAGGCGGCGGCGGCTACTGCTGCGTGAACCTTACGCGTCTCTTTTTTTTGTATGTATCAATGCATCTGCCAAGTACAAAATAGGTCAATTTTTGCATACACATTGCTTCCGTGTCCTGAACAGTGCGGTGATGACTCGCACTACGAACCTGCTACAGACCATAACCACGCAAAAACGGTCTTGCTCTACCAGCGTTTTCATTAAACAAGTGCGCACCGATAGTGCCTATGATACACGCGACCAGAATAAACTCCGTCGTGCCCGAAATGCCCGCGCGACGTGCACCATCTATCATGACTTCTTTTGCTGCGAAGGGCCCATCTCCTTGCTGAAAGCAAAATAGCTGACTTGCAAGCTGGCCACGGCAGATATGCCGACGTACAATATCATAAACAAGAGAATGAAGACGAAGAGACCCATAAACACACCAGGGCTCAGGTACTGGTACTTGTCAAACAACGCTAGGTTGTCCTTGTCGCTGCGCTGAGCGTGAGTAGAGCCTAGTTCGCGCTTCAGATCCGTGTGGAGCACGGATTGGAATGGATCGTCCATCTCGTAGTCGTCTGGGGCGACCTGCTGCTCGGATGGGGTGAAGTCGGCCGAAGGCGGCGTAGTAGTGTAAATGACGGAGTACTTATCACCGCCGACCTCTGAAATGACGGCGTGAAGGAAGGAGTCGTGCTCTGCGAGCTTGGACATGCGGTCGTGGCGAGCGGTGGGCAGGGATGGGAAGCGCACGTAGACTACGCGGGGGTAGACACCATCATTTGGAATGGCGCCAGCTGTTTACCTCTACAGTCAGCATTGGATTTGAGATAGAGCGAAGAGGCAATCACGCCGGGAAGGGTGTGCTCGTACTGGTGGCATCAATCCGAAGCACGTCTGCCTTGCACCGCTCCTGTACCTGTCTTTCGAGACTTCTCGCGTCCAAAAGGCCGGCCACCTCGGGGACGACCCACGTCTCGACGATGCCGGCCGTCTTGTTCAGATACTGGCGAAGATTCGGGCTCGACGAGCCGGCGGAGAAGTCTGAGGCAGACACACCCGGCTGGGCGATGATGATGTACGTGTCGCTTGGGCACGACGAAAGGGCATGCGAAACTTGGTCTGTCAGTGCAGACGACGAGACGAGCTGCGAATGTGCAATTGGGACGTCTGAGATCCTGGATTTTGCGCTGCTCGTTAGGCTCTAGACTCGCTGGTAGGACCGAAAGATAGAGGGAGATTACCTAGTTGTGGAGAAGAGGAAGAATGGCGAGGTGTCCCTGAACGCAGCCGCGATGTGGACGGTGAGGGCGAGCGCCCATATTCTTCGCAGGACCATGTTGGCGACGAGATGTTGGATGCGAATCAAAATCGAGAACGTTTGCTGGCATGGAAATGAGCTTGCAAGCTTCCTGAGAGATATGGTCCGTGCGCTGATATCGAAGGTTGGCGGTTGGCGTGTCTCTCAAGGCAGCATCACGAGTCCGGTCTGGTGCTGTTCTCAATTGGATCGATCATTTGGGTTTGTTTGGAAGTTCTCCAGATATTTCCTGCAGGCCTCCGATCGAAAGGCACAGAAAGACTGGCGGTAGAAAGAGTAAATTTCGCCCGCTTGCGCCCCAGATCGTCCTGGCGACGGGGGCGAGGCGTTTCCTTACTGCGAGGCTGCTAGACCACCGTCGAACGAGCGAGCTTATGAGCCTCTTGCACAAGTGACGTGGGCTCAATCACCACTGTTCTCCTCACACGACTGCAAATCACCCTTTCAGACATGTGGGGCAATGCCCTGTCCTCAGGTTGCTTTCACTTTTGGTCTACGTTGTTGGCCGTGCTCAGGAGGCCAAGTGCCACGGCTGGTCTGGGTCTTGTCCATCCACGGGATTATTTTTCGCTCAGCTGGACCAAGAGCAAAAACCCGAGAGCGAAAGAGGCCAGATCCGAGACTTCACAGCCTTGCACGTCGTCAAATGCCGCAAACTACTAGGGCGTGTAAGGCGCTAGGCAGAATTGATCTCTCCCACACACACACGCACACGCACACAATCACAGTGGGACAGGACAGCGATTGCACTCAGCGCAACGAGTCGCACAGCCTAGGACGAGGGAAAAAGAACTCGCGCGGCAGCAAGTTAGCATCTTGGCCTCCGCTTCGCCAAGCCGCATCATGTAGTGGATTGCCGGTTCGTTCCTCTCAGCAGCATGGCGCCGGTGGAGACGCACGTCACCCGTCAGCCAATGACGGGTCGCCTCCGCCATGGCAATCGGCGTCTCCAAGACGGCCCGCCCGATGAAAACGTCGCAAGTGTGGGTTGGCTCGCTCCAGCCTGGAACTCCCAAGACGTAAACCTACTTAAGTTAAGCAGCATTCCGCGCTGACGAACCTGTCCAGCTATTATCGACATACTTGGAAGTATCTGCTAGCGTTCGGACGTGCGAATGACTGCGCGTACCGCACCCTGCTACATGCTGGCTTCTCCCTCGCCTTTCTAGACGTTCTTTTTCCATTGTTGCTGCCTTCCAATTCTTCGCTCCCCTCTTTCCCTCCTGGCCTTTCCCTACATCGCCGCTGGCCTTCGTCGCATCCGATTCGAATTCCAGCCATGTCCATCCGCAAGGTCCTCGAGTCCCAGCCCTTCCTAATTGCTGCCAATGTGCTTGCCGGGATCCTGTCCATTGTTGTCATTGGCCTGGTCGCCGACAATCTGGCCTGGCTCAGGACGGCCGACGCGAAGACGGGCGTCTCCACCATTGGCTTCAACATTACCGTCAATAACACCGAGACCTTCGACACCGCGCGTGTCGCACATCTGCCTGTCGATGTGCGTACGGGCAGCTACTGGCTTATGCTTGCCGCCGGCATTGGCGGGTTCATCGATGCCGTGCTGCTTGGCGCCATGCAGTGCTGGCGACGTCTCAAGAACGCAAGCCTGCAGGTCGAACACGGAGAGGCAAGTCCATCATTCCCATCTCTGGCCAACCTCTGCCTTTCTCCTTAGACCGCATCTGTTCCCGTTCTCGCGGAAGCCGCTTCCTAACTTGTTTCGCAGACGTACGATCGCAACCTCAAGCCACAGACTCCGCTGAGCATATTCATTGCCGTCTTTGCCCTGTGCCGCTCTCTTGCGGCTACCATTTACGCCTTCCACGAATGGGCCGCCTCTGGCACTTTCACCCCGCAGGAATATCTTCCTCTGACATCCAACGACCGCTACGACCGTGACTTCTTTACGCCGGACGCGTGGAACTGCCAGTACGAGGACTACGTTCTCCAGAACTCGGAGCAGAACAGGCTGCAGAACCTGTGCCAGGAGGGTACAGCTGCACGCACAGTGACTCTCGCTGTGTGCGTTCTGTATGCCTTCGTTGCGTATGGCGTTATATACAGAGCGTACAAGAGAAGGCAGAATGCCAAGCGCTCAGTGCAGTTCAGAGGCTTTGAGGGCGGGGGAAGTGGCACCATGAGAAGCTACATGAGCGACGCGCAGACAGTGGTTGCCGAGGGCAGCGAGCCAAAGACTCCTGAGAAATAAGGGGAGCAGTGCCATTTTATCCGCACTAATTGCTGTATGCAAATTGTAATAAGGCTGGAAACAAAATCTTGCTCTTTGGCTGAGAAATGTGCACTACACACAAAGGGTACGATTGGAAACTCCTTCTATTGAGTTGCAAAGTAGTGCTGATTCTTTTGCAGAATGAATGTTATGACTACATAGAATTACTAGGGGCCACATGTAATGATATCCTTTGCTTTCCATTGCCGCGGGTCAAGTCTGGCTGGAGTCCAGATGCTTCATACAGTTCTCCTTGTCGACGGTTCACACGCTAATTTTCTTTTGATTGTGAACACAATCAAACACGCCAATCTCTGCACGCTGCCCTTGTACATCTGTTGCAGCAAGTAGTCAAGAAAGAAGGTCAAACAGAAATGGCTGCATGGTGTTGACAGGATTGTTTTAATCTGTTACTATCTCGTCCAGCTGGGACTCGAGCTCAGCTGAGAAAATGCCGTATTCTTTCTTACCTACTGACGGAAGGATGATCCAAAGTAGAACTCACGATCCCTTTCCACCTCCCGCCTCCCATTTGTTCTCTTTGATCATCGACGTTTCTTTTTTCCTATTGCGAAGCTTTCAACCTAGAGAGAATGGCCCAGGTACCTAACGAACATGTTCAGTCCACAATTGATGCATGAAGTGGCCGTACTTTGGAGGTTTCTCATGTGGGAAATTACATTTTTAAAGTTGCGTCTATGCAAGCGGACCAGTTTCGATTTCGCAGTTCGAGCACATACCCTACGGATCACCGCGAGGCGCGATGTGAAGCCAGCAATTTACCCGGGAGGTGCCCGTGGAGCCTGCTCGTGTTTACAGCTATTGCGTTTTGCAGCGCTTGCGAGCGTCAAATGGTGTAGAATCCGACTTGTTTTCAGGTCGAGGGAAGATCATTTTTAGACTTGCGCAAACGGCGATTTGCGAAGGCTCGACGTGAATGTAAAGGGTGGATCACTGGCCGAAGAAGTAGTTCGTGGATTGCGCAAGCGTGAAGAATAAAAGGATTGGACAACCCAAAAATCTGTGCTGACCACAACTGTGACTCTCAGTGCTAAGACCTGCCCGAAATTCTCAATAAACGAGCCAGCAAGCACGCACCGAACTTGCGTAGCACAGCATACCAGCTCTCATTTACATAGAGCTACATAACGGGGTATCAATGAATTTGTCATAATCAGAGTGTGCTCTTCATCACGTTGCCGATTCAGCTTCAGATGCTTCGCGTGCAGCAGCCTCAGCCTCTTCCCTCCTGATCTTCTCTTCCAGCCGTTTCTTCTCTGCGTTCTTGAGCCTGATCATGGTGATCTCCTCTAGACTAGGGCTGTTGACGCTTTTGGAAAACGGGCTATTTAGAGGCGTGTTGAAGCTGCTAGATTTGAAGGAGGCAAAAGAGGGCACCTTACGAAGACCTCCGTCGCCGTCACCGCTGGTGGAAGGCTTCATTCCCGTGGATGGAGTAGTGGGCGCAGAGTCGAGGCCGGGGAAAGCCCTTCGTGCCTCATGCCGCGGTCTTTGCGGCGTCTCTGTCGCTGGCCGCGTGACGTTCTCTTGCTCACCCGTAGGAGACTGCGAAGACTTTGGACGACTTTCGGGCAAGCCAATGTCAGGTTCCCTTCCCTCCGCCCACTCGACACTCTCAATAACAGCCCAATCATGGCCCAAGTTCTTCTTTGCATCCGCGACGGCAGCGTGTGCCCCTACTATGGAAGAGAACATGACCATGGCATTTCCCATGAGCTGCTTTTTCTTCGAGTCGCCCACACGCACCTTTCGATCTTTCATTATGAGCGCGCTCTCGACTGCCCCAAACTGAGAGAAGAGTTCCGTTACCTGCGCTTTGTCCAGAGTCTCGCCTGCGCCTTCGCGTCGCCAGCGCACCTTCACCGTGCGCTGGAGCTCAGGTACATTGGAGCCCCCGGTGGAAGCAGTCCTCTCTGAACCTGCTGCAGCTTCAGGGAGAGATTCCTCTATGTCGGCGTTCTTCTGCATCTCCTTGCGCAGTGCCTCTTCTCTCTCCATGCGACGCCTCCTTCCGTCCTCCTGCAGTCTTTTAAGCTCCCGCTCCAGTTTCTCCTCAGCATCCATCTCTTCCCTCTTTCTCTTCAACGCACCGCTTTCCCTTCTCTCCAGGTCCTCCATCATGGTGCGGCGCTTTCCCTCAAAGACTTCTCGCTGTCGCCTCTTGTGCTCGCGCGCTAGCCTCGCATTGTCATATGCGGCTTTCGCCGCGGGATCAGATAGCACATCGAACGCTATCTGAAGAAGATGGAACCTGTTCACGGCATCGGGGTCGTCCTTGTGCTTGTCCGGGTGGTGTTTGAGCGCAGTTCGACGATATGCGCGTCGAATGTCCGCGTCGGCACTGGCAGGGTGAATTCCCTCGCCCAGGAGGGCGTAAAAATCCTGGTCGCTTTTTGCATGCTCGAGAAGGTCATCGCTAGACATTGTGGCAAGTTCCTGGGGAAGGTGGCGTGAAGAGAAAAAGGACCGTGATATTGGACCGCTCGGTGCCTAGAGGCGGCCTCTGCCGATTTAAAAAGTTCCCGCCGAAATGCGCCACTCTTGCATCTCCGAGACCTACGTCTTCAAACACCACATTCGAGTGTTATATCATTCCGTTCAGCGAATCCCTCTCCGACCTTCCCTTTTCTTCGTCTCTCTGCAAAGAAACGCTGAACCCAAACGCCATCCGTTTCCGTGCACCAGATGCTTCTATGCGCTCTGCGACACTTGTAATCCGTTTCAGCGTCTCATCCCACTTTGACAACGATATATCTTCACCATGTCTGAGAGAAAAGTCCTGCAGAAATACTACCCCCCGGACTTCGATCCTTCGAAGCTCACGAGAGAACGGGGTCCCAAGCGAAGCGGTCCGAAGCAGATAACTATTCGGTTGATGGCGCCCTTTTCTATGCGCTGTACCTCATGCGGCGAATTCATATACAAAGGTCGCAAGTTCAACGCGCGCAAGGAAACAGCGGAGGAGCGGTACTTAGATTTGCCAATTTATCGTTTTTATATCAAATGTACGCGATGCTCGGGCGAGATCGTGTTCAAAACAGATCCGCGCAACATGGACTACACGTGCGAGCGTGGAGCTAAACGAAATTTCGAGGTCTGGCGGGAGCCCAAGGAGGAAATTAGCGATGAAGCACATCTGGATCAACTGGAGGCCATGGAAGCAGCGGCTGCAGGGGAGAAGGAGGCAGATACGATGCAGGCGTTGGAGGAGAGGACCAAGGAAGCCAAGAATGAGATGGCAATCGCTGATGCCTTGGACGACATAAGAACGAGAAATGCAAGGAGGGAAGCAAAAGCAAAGGAAGGAGCTGATATTGTCATTTCGGACATTATTGACGCAGAGAGAGAGCGGTTGGAGAGGGAGGATGAAGAAGCTGCAAAAGCTGCATTCCTAAGCGCCACAGGTGAAAGGATAAAACGCTACGTGCCTGAGGATGGTGAAGAATCAGAGTTCAACGGGAACGGCGTAAATTGGGGCAATGGAAATACTGGTTCTTCTGGATTTACTTTCAAGAAAACAGCAAAACCGAAGAAGGATTACGCGGCTGCATTGGGTGTCAAAAAGAGCATTGAAAAAGCTGCGACGAACGCGTCTGCACCACCGGACGCTGAAAAACATAACACTGCTCCGACAACTGCTACGAAACCGCCGGCACTGCTTGCCGGCTATGACTCAGACAGCGATTGAGTGCGCCGCGGACATAGTACTCAAAGATGTTGAAACAGGCTAAACCGCCTATATTTTGTCTATACGACGATAAAACGATAGCCATGCATGAGCCGTCCTTGCTAGAGTTGAATTGAGCATAGGCTTATTTCCCGAGCTGGCTCTTATAGCAAGCAGAGTGAGGAAAAAAAAAGACATGCTGCTGCTTCAGTCTTCCATAATGGAAAGAGCTCACGCGTGGGTACAAATATTATAGTTGTAGTCACGAAGCAATGTTGAACGTTGCTGCCGCGAAGCGAAATAACACGCATCGATCATCACAGATTTCTGAACGAGATCAATCTCGACTTCATGATACTATAGCCGCGGCTTCTCTCTTTCGCTGTACTCGTCCGAAACCTGAACTACAGCGCGACCCCACACCTTATGCTCGGCCAGATCGTTCAACGCTCGGGGTAAACTGTCGAGACCCAAGTATTTCTGGTCGTAAACGACAGCCTTTATAGCTCCTTGTTCAACCATGTCGTCGAAGTCTCGCCAGATCTTGATGACATCTTCGGGACGCTGCCGACCATGCTCGCCGAACCTATAGCCAAAAACTGCGGCGCTCTTCAGCAGTATCCGATTCATGCGCACTTTCTCGATGTCGCCGCCCCTTCCCGCAAAACCGACAATAACGACCCTTCCGGCATATCGACAGCATTTGAGCGACGATTCGACCATGCCCACTGCGTCGTACACCAGATCCACGCCGCCTCCAGTGGCCTCCTTGACTTTGTCCTCCCAATTGGGCAGATCATACCTAACGCATTGGTCCACCCCCAAATCCTTCATCATTGTTTCCTTTCGCTTGTCCTTACCAACAAGCGCAACAACCTTGGCTCCGAGTTTCTTTGCAATCTGGACCGCCATCGTGCCGAGTCCGCCGGTCGCTCCGGTAACAAGCACCCAACTCCCTTCTCTCACGGGTCCCGCCCACCAGAAGCATCCCAAAGAGGTCGCCCCACTCGCGCCTACGCTGCAAGCTTCTGCAGCAGTCCACCCCTTCGGCACTTTCCGCACAACTCCAGTCCGCTTCTTTAGGTCAATTACGACATACTCGGCATATGCACCAAACGAGCCGCCGTACACTTGGTCACCCTTTGCAAATCCCGACCCGGGTGGAGCGGACACAACTACGCCTGCGAAATCTGAGCCTAGCGTGAAAGGAGGTTTGGCATGGCGGCGGTTGTTCTGGTGAAGCCCCCGTGCGTAGAGCAAGTCTACGTGTGTCGGCGAAATGTGGGTTGTGCGGATGACGAGGCTGTGGGCGTTGGTCTTGGGGAACGGTATCTTAGTTACTCTGAGTTCTTTATGGGACTAGGATATTCTTTCCGTCAGATTGTGTCCTGTCGCTTCAGAGGTTGCACATTTTCGATCTGGGCCACATACCTTGACGAATTCTTTAAGGTGAATTGCGTTCATGGACTCCGGTAGTAACGCCATTTTAGATACAGCCGCGACAGCGCACACGTTTCTTGGGACGGCTACATTGCGCTGATAGGTAGGCGCATTTAAAGATATCAAATTGGAGGTTCAACGGTTACTAGGACCGAGGTCCATGACGTTCGGTCTTGCTCTGGCTTTTCCGGTATCAGCAAAATGTGGGGTTGCGACAGGGGGGAAATTGATCTTCCGGGGTGTGACCTCAACGAAGAACGCAGCTTGTCTGCTCTCAAACCATCACGATTAACTGTCTGTTGTGTGCGTCAATGACGAAATATGAGCCTTATAGTTAGCAAGAACTTCTCGAGGAGCTCGGCCATCTTACGTTTCGTCCTCAGGTCATTCATTAGATGTGCTTACACAGGATCAACTAAAGTGGAAGCAAAAGGTCTTCTTGGCTAAAGAGCTTTGGAAACGTGCATTGGCCCATTTCAACTTCGCATGAACCACACACACTCTCTCTGTGCATATTCTGAAAAGAAAGCCACTAGATCTTTCGTAGTCATTTTTCTATTTCTTAATCGAGGTCGTCGTGCCGAACGCTGGAATCCCAAACAACATATATGATTAGCTTTTCGAAGTGTTTTAATAATTAGGATTCTGTACTCTTTCCAAGACGCTGACTTCAACGATGATACATCACCTTGGACAGGAGTTGAGCTCACCGGAAAATGTCATTGGAAGGTTTGATGTCAAACTTCATCGAGGTTCGAAAGGATGTGGTCGAGTCGAGATTGTGGATCTATATTTGCAGAATCTGACAAGACAGCAAGATCAATCCTGGCAGCCACAAAGCCCCTGAAAATGGGCTTTGTTTTATACAATAGTACTACCAATAACATCATCCCTGAGAGACGACAACAGGTCAAAGGTACATGATAGTTTCGGAAGGCAGTGTGTCCGGGGTATATTTAATTTTTTCTAGGGTGTCCGCATAAGCCCATTACTCATCGTTGACGTCTTAGATATCATTCCACCTGATCTTCCGATCCGAGACTCAAACAAATACATAGAGAAAGACGGTTCATGCTCGCCACCCAACAAATCAATTAGAGGAAATATTCATATTTTCGTATCTAGAAGGGAGCTTCAAAAATCTTTGTCTCCTCTCGTCTCGCTTTTCCGTGGTTAAGCGTGTCGTAGAGTCATCGAAGACAAAAAAAAAAAGGGAAAGGAAGAAGAAAAAAGCGTGGATGCACCAAGTCTTGAGGAAAGGACAACAGCTTTCAAGGATTATCGTGCGGTCTCGTAGTCACCGTTGGTGTGCACTTGTACTTGCCACACAACGCAATTATCGGAGCATGGCGCTGCATCAGGCGAATGTGCGCATATTCGCGCCGGGAGATACGAACGACTCGATGCAGGCGGGTCAATTCACCAAGGGCGAGCTCGAGCTGAAAGACCTTGTGCCGAATCCCCTGGATCAATTCCACGCGTGGTTCAAGCAGGCGCGAGCCGCGGGCGTTAGCCACCCGGAGACGGTAACGATGTCGACGGCGGAGCTGCCGTCCGGGCGGGTGTCTGCGCGCGTGGTGTACATGAAGGAGCTAGACGACCGTGGATTCGTCGTCTTCTCGAACTGGGGAACGAGCCGCAAAGCGGCCGACATCGCCACGAACCCGCACGCGGCGCTGACGTTCTGGTGGCAGGACTTGGAGCGTCAGGTGCGCGTCGAGGGCCGCACCGAGCGGCTTACGAGGGAGGAAAGCCAGATCTACTACGACACTCGCATCCGCGGCAGCAGGATAGGCGCGTGGGCGAGCCGGCAGAGCACGGTGCTGAGGGACCGTCGCGAGCTCGACGAGCAGGTGGCGGCGATCGAGAAGCGTTTCGAAAGCCAGGACCGCATTCCCGTTCCGGACTTTTGGGGTGGCATGAGGATCGTGCCGGACGTGATGGAGTTCTGGCAGGGTCGGGAGAGCAGGCTCCACGATCGGTTCAGGTTCACGAAGGACGAGAGCAGCGAACATGGTTGGCGCGTGGAGCGCTTGAGCCCGTAGAGTGAACAATCATAGCAGTCCTGTTTACCCGTGACGCTTCTATCCCCAACATCCGCTCCGCAATGTCTAACTACTGCGTCGGTATTGCTTCCTCTTCTTTCTCATCACCTCGCACACGTGTGTAATCACACGGGGCGAACTCTTCACCTTCACTACAGCCACCACCCAAAAGTCGCCCGTCTGCCCCTGCAGAATCGTCAACATGTCCTTGTAGTTGTCCTCTCGGATGCAATGTAAGCTCGTTACCATGTGCGGCCAGAACCACCTGCACAGATACAAGCTGACATCCGCTGCCTCTGGCTGCGCTTTCCTCGCCGCCAACAGAGTTCTTCTTCCTCGGCCGTCGAACGCGAGCTCAGTTGAGCATGTCAGGATGTCCGCGCCGAATCTTGCGGAGCTTCTGCAGATCGTGTCAGCGCGATCGTCGGGCACAAGGGCCACGAGGACCGGAAATTCCGTGGCAGAGGGACGATCTCCCCGCGCTTGCGGCGGCATCGCGAGCAGAAGGCGTGCGCACGGAGCCGCTCTCTCCGCGATCGTGGCGACGGCGGGCGGCTCGCCGTCTTTGTGGCTGCCGCTCAGGCACATGCGCTCTGCAGGAGCCGTCCGTGACGTCGTCGTCGACGCACACACGCTCGACTCGCACGTGGCCGTCCAAACCTTCCGTCGTCTGAAGGCGTCCTTGTCTTCTGCGACGGAGCCGGAGCTGTGTCGACGGCTACGGCCAGTCGGATAGTACGCCGTCCCACGTACATTCCTCCTGCAGACTCGGCACCTTGGTGGAAGGAGATGGTGGATGAAACAGCGACGGGTTGAACGGGCGAGAACGAGCGGGTCTCTGTGCCCTTCCCACGGTCAGTTTCCTCGTTGCGGACGTCCGCCGTCACGAGTCCGCCGTTGCAAAGTTTCCGAGCCACGAGAAGGACGGAGGGCGGCAGGCTTAGGCACCGCGGACGTCGCGTAGGTTGGAACCGACATAGCGTGCTTTGGTCACTTACTTCAAAATCACACACGTGGATAGCCACAGGGGAAGCGCGTGCGTCCATGTATGCATATGTATATACACATGCTGTACTGCTGCCGACCACTAGGTCATTCATCGTGCTCTCATCGTACCCGTGTCCGTGATCCGCTGCGTGAAAGCTTTCTTTTACGTGATGTCTCATCCGTTCGAAAACTGCATTGTCACACGCCGTCTGCTGGCGACCGAGCAAAGCGCTTGATACGCTGTGCCCGAGCATTACACAGCACTGTCCTGCCGGTCCGAGAATCCCGCGCCTCTAACCAAGCGGCGAGGAATCCTCGAACGTCGGACTTCCGTGGAACGTGAAAGGGGAAAGGTTCGATGGCGAGCCATCGTTTTGCAGATCCAAACCGCGAGATCTTTCATGATGTTGCAAACCCGCGGCGGGTCCCACTCCCCTTTCCTCGTCCTGGGAAAGACGAGATTGCACACAGGGTCAGCAACCGGTCTTTGGTATGGTCGCGAAGAATCTCTGGGGCTCGGAGAGACCTCCAAAAGCGGGAGCAGAAAGGGACCTCACGAACTCGCTCGTCGAAGCGGGCTACGGGCGGGGGGATGCGGACTGATCAGTCTAGCGGAGGAGTAACACAGTAGAGCTCGGAGTTCGGCAACAGGCTTATCTGCAAGGGAAGAGAGATTGGAAAGGGGGGGGGAAAAGGGCGGGCCACAGCGAAAGGTGCAGGATGCGGACGGTGACTCTCGACGAGGACGATCTGCTACAGGCAGTACATGGCTCAAGGTTAGCCCGAAGATCCGAGTATAAGAGATGTATGATCTTTCATCGAGGCAATCTCCCCTGACACGAGCGCTTTGATATCAGGCCGAGTAAGGGCCTGGTAGGGGAGAGGGAAGGGAGGGGGCGGCCTTGCAGCTTGACGCTTCGAACCGTTTGACATGCGGGCGGACGACGCAAGATGCAAACGCTGCCTTTTGGACCACGGGAATGGTCCGACAACATTTCGCGCGATTTTTTTTTCTTGTGCATGGGAGAAATTTCCCGGCCACGCCGCTGGCTGCATACCCGCAGCAGCCGAATTGTCGCTGCATACCTTCGCAGGAACGAGGGGGTGGGGGAGGACATACAGATAGGTGGTCGACCTCCAGGCCATGAGTCGGCAACAGCAACAAAGAGCCTGATTCTCAGCTGTGCGCTCCAGATCACGACGTGGACTGCGAGCGAAGAGCTCTTTTGTTTTATGCTTTTCCACACCTTCTCACCGCAGCTGTCGACGGACTGCTCACGTCGCACGTCACATGTCACACAATTTGGGGGGGGGGGGGGCCAAACTTTGAGCAGACGGGACGCTTAGATCAGACTTGCTGTTCGTGTCAAGAGCAGACGACACATACGTTATTCAACTAGACGTCGGATAGACTTCTGGCATGTACTAGCGGCACAGTAAGGTGGGGAGAGGATGAGGGTTACAGTCGACGAGGAAGCGGACCTGGATCCGAGCCATCTGCTGGCCAGCAATATCTTGCTGGGGCCGCGGAGCGAGCGCAGATCGACGAGTGTAGGGGATCCCAAGCAGCAGCAGTAGCAGCAGCAGCAGCTGTAGCAGTAAACACGCATAGGCTCAAAACGCCATGCGCATACCAGTCAGGGGCGTTGGAGGTTTTGTGGGTGGTGGTCCTCACCGCCACTGCTGCTTGCGACAAGGGACGGGCCGGAGTGACCAGCACCAGCGCTAGGGCGATCTCGATGTGGAAACAGAGCTGCAATTGAAGACCAGCATGGCGAGGCTTTTACGCGAGCGTGCGAGCAGGTTCTGGGCACAAACAGACCAATGAGGCCGGGAGGGACGGACGAGTTTGTCGGCCGAAAACGAAAAGAGACTTTTTGGTATGCTTCCGGCGGGGCGTGGGCCGGTAGGTGGTGCTACAGGAAAGAAAGCTTGGTTGTGGAGGGGTGGGAGCAGAGTGTAAACGGAGACACAGGGCCGGGGACGGAGTGTCCGACAAGACGATTAGCGTTCCGGACGCATCAGGCAGCGGAGACAGCGGAGACGAGAGACGAGAGGCAAGGCCCAACGTGATGGTGTTGGAGGCGACCGTGGGAGCGAGTCTGCAGCGGCATCGAACTCAACTGCGGTTGCGCGCGCTGTGCTAATGCACAAGCGGACCGCCGAGCTGGCACTGGTGCGCTGCGTTTTGCTTGGGGCGACGAGCGCGAAGAGGCCCGGCGCCGGGCGCTGGGTTTGGCGATGCGGCTACTGAGCTTTGCTGGGGGGGGCCGCTGGGACTGGGCGGTCGGGCCAGAGGGTCGGAGGGGGGCGCGGGCGGGGGTCGGCGACGGGGCAGACGCGACAAGAACAGCGCAGCCAGCCAAAATCTGTGGATGCGCTGAAGCCAAAATGGGCCGCGCTAAGCGGTAATGCGACTAGAGCCCGGGTCCTGCAGATCATTCGCAGCACCACCACCACCCGCTCGCTCACAGCTCGAGTGCTGACCTTCGTCCTCCAGCCCGAGATCGTCGACGCTCGAGTTCTGGCGTCCCTCATCCTCGCCTCGAGATTAGATTCGTGGGGCCTTTGCTTCTCTCGCGGTACTTTCAGTCAGAGCACCCTCTCCCGCCGCAAGCTCCTCCATCACCACCACCACCACCACCACCACCACTACCACTACCAACCACGACCACAGCCACCATCTTCATCCCCATCAGCCAGCTTTTGCAGCAGAATTGGCCTTCTTCTCCCTGCGCTTGCTCGTCTTCTTTCCTGTCTTCGCTCTCATCTCTTCTCGTCCTTTGCTCTCAGCGCAGCCAGGGTAGTGACCGTTCCGCTGCGGAGGGAACGCTAAGCTGCATCTGGGCGAGATAGCGACGGGACAAAGGCAGACCTCGGTGGGTCGCAACAAAGGACAGCCCACAACGCGTACGCTCTGGTGCGGTCGTTGGCAGTCGCTCTTTTGATTTAATTTCCTCCCCCTCATCGTCTCTGCTCCAAATCTGCTGCTCCGATTCGCACAACCAGGCGCGACCGTCCACCGTCCGTCCGCATCCCGCCTCTTCGTTGCCGGGGGTGGAACGAAATCGAAGACGGCCAGGAAGACCGCAGCGTGAGCGGCGTCATCCAGTCACCGGCATCAACAAGGCGCCATCGTATAGCCCACGGCCAATCGACCAAGGACGCTCGGCCACCGGGCAACCTCATCAGCAGCGATGCCGTTCTACCAGCCTCAGTACAGTTACTCCAACTCGATTGTAAGTCAGCCCTATGTCATGCCGGCCGCAGACGCCGTGTTCGCCTTCAAGCCCGCTCTGCTCTGATTCCTCCAGGGCCGATGGGCCTTCGGCTGCAACAGTGACGATCACTTCGTGCAAAGAGTTTCCCCTCTCCCGTAAGATGTCATGTGCTCGAGACCTCTCAGCTGACCGTACTGCAGTCGAGCTTGCCTCAGGGTGGCATACCGCAACCGCCAGCGCTGTCTCAGCCCCCGATGCACCAGCACCAGCACCAGCATCAGCATCAGCCTGTTGTTCAGCAGCCTCCGCCGTCGTCGTCTGCTGCGACGTCGTCAGGTGTGCAGCTCGTCAAGGGAGGCAGACGATACGAGCTGCGTGTCGTGCAGCAGCCCCAGCGGGCACGCATGTGTGGCTTTGGCGACAAGGACCGGAGACCTATCACGCCTCCGCCCTGCATCAAGCTGATAGTCACGGATATCCACACGAACCGGGAGATAGACCCCAACGACATTGACCCGACCTTCTTCGTGCTGTGCGTGGACCTCTGGGACGAGCGGGCAGCCAACGAAGTCAATCTTGTCAGACACTCCAACGCGTCGCCCGCCGTGTCTATCAGCGCGGCGACGCCGTGCCCATACCCACCGCCGCCCGAGCGCCCGTACATCGGCCTTCTGAATCCGAGCCAGATGGCCAACTACTATGGCCAGCAGACCACCTCCATGGCGTACAATTCGCATTACGAGCCTTACATGAGCTCGACGCAGCCTGGCGCCGGCCAGGGCGTACCTCCGGCCTACATCCAGGCTGCACAGACGCCCGTGTCCATCGTGCCCAACCACAGCCAGGGCATGTACACTCGCAATCTGATCGGCTCGCTCGCCGTCAACGCCGCCAAGCTCAACGACGACAAGAACAAGGTCGGCTTGTGGTTCGTGCTGCAGGACCTGAGCGTGCGTACCGAAGGTGTCTTCCGCCTACACATGCGTTTCATCGACGTATCGTCCGACGACCCGAACGGCTCCACGACCTTGAACCACGAGCACGCCCCCGTGCTAGCGAGCTGCTACAGCGACTCCTTCCAGGTCTACTCTGCCAAGAAATTCCCCGGCGTCGTCGAGAGCACGCCACTATCTAGAGCGTTCGCCACGCAGGGCATCAAGATTCCCATCCGCAAGGATGCCAAGATTGCCAACCAGGCCGAGTACGATGCTGACGACAAGTGATACTTTTTTTATGGTTTAATTTAGCCCCTTCCACGGGATCTGACGGGGAAAAAAGTTATCAAATACCACTGCTGCTGTGCGGTGGACTGCACATTATTCAAACCAAGATGCCTTGGGAAGTCGACTGCATGACCAGGATGGCAGCGCACGCCGTCACATATTTTTTTCACCACGCGATACGCAGTCTAGGACACGAAACCGGCGGAACGGGATTATTCTACGCGGACATCATGGGAGGCAACATCAAAGAAGAAGGGAATTGAGAGCAGGGTGAGGAGAGGGAGGGCTTTGGAGCATTCTTAGAACAATTGTTTTCCTGTTTCTCTTCTTGTTTCACTTTCTTCTTTTCGCTCATTTCTCTCTCTCTCTCTCTCTCCCCCTCTTCCCTCCTCGAGTCCCCGCTCACCTCATTTTCCTCCCTGTACCCGGTATTTCTTCACGGCGTTTTGGGCGTCTCGAAAGTCCTATGTCCCAACACAAAAAAGGAGTGGGTGGCATTAATGCATACAACTTCTGTTGCGTGACACTCCCTCCCTTATTCCGTCTGTTCGTCCTGCTTGGATGAGTTTTCTCATCTGCGAGGAGGTGCAAAAAATGGAGGGAGGAAACAGGTTAGTCCGGTGGGAACGGGGTGGCTTTCTAAAGACTCTCACGATTTTCGGACTCGATGTGATTTCGCTTGGTTTCTGGTCGGTGGACGTCTTAAGGGAAAAGGAAATCTGGTCGATGCTGTGATCTAGTTGCTAGTATCTATACAGATTGGCAGTGTTTTTGTCCTGCCCTAATTTCGCCGCCCGAATCTCAAAAAGGCGTGGAAGAAGACATCTCACACCAGTCGCCCAAGATGTTGGCGACGTGGATGCGCTGAATGGCAAGTTGTTCTCCATTCTCCATCGATCTCTTTCTCAACAGTTCCATCCGTCTTTAAACCCACCGCCTGCCTCCGCTTTCTGAGAGCCCGCCCAACGTGAATGCTGTCGAATCGTTTTTGGGGAGGGTCGCAGCAGAAGCAGACCCGTCCGGTTGTCGTACGAAACCACTGACCACCTGTTCAGCCATGGATCGCACGCACATGAGGGTCGACACGCAGGGCGTCAATGGCTGAGATTCTTCCTGCCCTTGGCCCTCCGTCTCGCCAGGATCGCTCGCCCCTTCCTGGTTCGTATCCTGGCGAGGAAGCCGTGCCGCCGTTTCCGCTTGAAGTGCGTCATGTTGTACGTGTCGCGCGGGCCGCTGCGCACCTGCATGCCGGCCAGAAGCGGCGAGGTCGAGATCTTGGGCATGACGTCCAGCGTCTCGTGCGAGACGGGTTGGGACGGGGCGCCGACGCGCGGCAGAACCGCGAGCGACGACGGCAACGACGACGATGACGACGACGATGACGAGAACGAGAGGGGGATTGCGAGCTGCGGACGCCGCGGCGTCAGGAGCGAGATCGAGCGCGCCTGCTGGCCGACGCGCGGTCGAGCCGAGGCGCTGATCCTGTTGACGAGCTCGCGTTAGCCTTTATCTCTCTCTCTCTCTCTCTCTTTTTCTTTTCCGTCGAAGGACGGTTCTGGGAAGGGGGGGGGGGGGGGGCGAAAAGTTGGGGAGCGTGACGGACCGTGGTCTTGGGGCGCTCGCTGACATCGCCGGCCGCGGCTTGGCCAGCGTCCGCAGACAGGTCCGGCAGATCATTGCGTTCGTCGCGGGGCGTGGTCGATGCGGGTATGTGAAGATGGGGTGTGCGAGCGTGTTGTCTGCGTTGCGTGTGTTCTTTACAATGAGGAGGGCGGAGAGCAGAGCGAAATGTTGCTCGGTCTCTGCTGGCGAGCTTTTTTGGCGGAGTTTCCTGATGCGTGAGCTCCGGAACAGGCACTTTCGTTACAGTGCCGGGTCCGTGCGACGACCTCTTTTTTTTTCCTCTTTTCTCCTTGGGCGAGAAGCACTTTCGACACAGAATTGGATATTTTATTTTATCTTCTTGGTTCCCTCTTCTACTCACGAAAGAAGCGCTGAGACTCACCGTCTGACGGAGCCGGCCAAGTTTGAGAACATTCCGTGCTCGGCCGTACTGGAGTGCATCTGATCACTTGTGTCACGCATAGTCGCTGTGCTGCTCTCACTCTCTTCAAAGCCGATCGCAGGCTGAGCTACATCTACAACAACCGCGACCGGATCCGACGACATGGGCGACTTCATAGGGCCTCTCGCCTACCACATTCACTCCAGCACGCCCGTCTCGTACGCCGGCGCGCAGAAGTGGATCAATGCGTACACGGCACGCTCGCAGCAGTTCCCACACATGCACCCAGACGCGCAGCTGTCGCGCAAGATCACGTTCGGCACGAACGGCGCATCGGGCGGTGTGACGCTGACGCAGCTGCGTAAGGTATCGAAGGGCTTGGGCGGCGAGCGTTTGACGCCTGAACCCGAGGAACCTCCCCGGGGGAACGACAAACCATTTGAGAGCAAGCGCAGTGCGGCGAAGGGAAAAGCAGTCCTGGGCGATGGCACGACGGAGGGCGACTGGATGGATCCGGACGAGTGGGCCGCAGGCAGGGATGGCGATGAAGTTGGCGAGATTGGCGAGCGGAGCAACTACGTTGGTGAGGTGCCTGGGGCCGAAGCGCCGCAGGTGCAGGAGGTGCCGGTAGTGCCCCATGGGAGCGAGGGAGCAAAGCCTATTGACAAGGAAGAAAGAAAGAGGCTCAAGAAAGATAAGCGGAAGGCGGAAAACAAGGAGAGAGAGGCCAAAAGGAGGAAGATGGCTGAAGATTGAGAACGGAAGTGACGACGGTTGCAACTTTTTTACCACTGCTTTCTAGTAGCATCTAGATGTGCAGTCTACGGAGAGAGCCCGTGTCTTGGTTCAGCGCCAAAGTGTTTCAAGCCTTTTACAAGTTGCACACACAGATGCACGTGTTGAGGCGGGTTCCAAGATCGGCTCATTCTATAAACAACTCTATCCGGGCACTTGTTACAGCTCGCGACCCGTCGCGAGATCCGCAGCCGCGTCTTTCTCCGGCGCCTTCTTGAATTGGGCCTTCTTCTCACCCGTCCACTGGATGGCCTTCAGCCGCTCGGTCAAAATTGGATGCGAGTAGTGGTAGCTTGAGTAGTAGAAGTCGGCATCCATGGAAGACAGGTTCTTGATCTGGAGCTTGATAAGCGCCTGCGCCAGCTCGGCCTGGTAGCCCAGCTTAAGGGCAAAGTTGTCTGTTAAACAATAAAGAATTAGCCGTGAATCAGACAGACAGATGTAGTAGGATCCAAGTTGATGGGACTCGGTAGGATAGATAGAAATATGAATATGGAGACTCACCGGCCTGGAACTCAAACGTTCTGGTAATGATGTTCATGAACAGCTTGATGATCGAGTCCGTCGGGCCAAACACCTCGTTGAACAGCATGAAGCCAATCAACACAGGCATCTCTCTCTCGAAACCAAAGCTACGGTACATGCTCTTGTTGTTGACAAAGGCCGAAAACAGGGCGAAAACGTAGAATACGTGGAACTGGCTGATGGCGAGGAGCTTTGTCGTGTGGCTCATACTCCAGTGGCCCAGTTCGTGGGCTAGCACGGCCTCGACCTCCCTGTCATCAGACTGCTCTAGAAGCGTGTCGTAGATGACGATCTTCTTCTTCCACGGCAGACCGGTGAAGTACGCATTGCTGTGTGAAGAGCGCTTGCTGCCATCGATGACCTGCAGCTCGCTGAGAGGGAAATTGAGCTTCTTAGCCAGAGCGTCGATCGACTCCTTCAGCGGGCCAGGTTTCAAGGGGGTGAGCTTATTGAAGAGCGGGACAATCAAGATCGGGTAGATGGTGACGCCTATGAGAGAAACGCCCAGCGTGAAGAGCCACAGGTAGTAGAAGAAGTTCTGGCCGGTCTTCTTGATGATGGCAAGGATGGCCGCACCGATTGGAACGCCGAACGCAATCTGCAGGAGTTGTCCCTTAACCTTGTCCGTAAGCCATAATCCAACCGTCATCTTATTGAAGCCAAACTTCTCCTCGAGCACGAAGTGGTGGTAGTACGACAGAGGCAGTTCTATGATCGTGTCGATGATGCCGAACAGGAAGAAAAAGATGAGCGAGTGCGTGATCTCACCGGAGAAGCGCGTGCCAGACAGGTAAGGCGTTATGATGTGAGTACCGACAAGCGACCAGACCTTGGGCCAGACATCGTAGTGGATGATGGCAAGCTTAGTGACGAGACCGAAGACGGAGGAGAAGAAGCTGAACTTGGCTTTGGCACGACCGTATGCCTAAAAACGGCACGAATTAGCTATCCGACGTCACCTGAGAGGGGGTATTCATTGTGGCAGCGGTGGAGCGGGTGGTTCGGCCTCTTACCTGGGACTTGTCAAAGGTTTCCTGGTCGATTTCTGCAGTGAGTGCCTTAGGACGAACAGTTCGTTTGAGGACGCCGTATTGTCTCCAGAGCAGCAGGTTCTCTAGACCAAAGATGCCGACAGAAAAGCCAACAACGATGTTCTTCCACGGTATCCAGGCCTGGTCAACGGCGCGGGCGAGCCTCTGCAAGCATACACATGGACATGTCAGCCATCGAACCCTTGGTGGGGAGAATAAGGTGCCGCAAAGGGGAGAGGACATACCGCCAGCAGATCCTGAATCATCTTGACGAGAGTAACAGTCCAAGGGCACAGACACACACACACACTTTCTCTCTCTGTCTGTTTGCCTCTGTCTTCCTCGGTTGATGGAGCGAACTGTGACAGAGCGAGCGATGTTCGCGTGGAACAGTTCGTGGTCCAGCGTAGCTGCTAGGCTGCGTCAGAGGCAACGTTTCCTTTTTTTGGTTTCGCGCGACACGACGTGGGCTGATGGGCCCATGCACCTTCCGATTGGTGGCCTTCTCCGCCGCCTTGTGGTCGGCGATTCAGGTCGTGGCGTCGCCACAGTTGGCTGGCTGGCATGGCGGCGACGGGATAACTCCAATACTTCAGCTTGTCCAACACAAACCTATCATGGTGGCACATCAACACGTCGTGACTATGCTCCTCTTCCAGACTGATGCCTGCGCCGACTGGTGCTAGCGGCAATGACTACGCTGGGTTGCACATCTGTTACCAAACACCTTCACCACCAGTCTCTCACAGCTCACGACGTTGTGCCTCTTTTTCCCAATCACATGCACACAAGATCCGCATATCTTGTAAGCCAGAGATGAATGTCACATTAATGATTGAAAGCGTTTAACAGACCGCGTTTCAATTCTTCGACTTTTTCACAACCTACTCTCAAGCAAGTTCATCGATGATTTTTTTTATAAAAAAAAAAAGAGGGAAGATATGGAAAACTTGTGTCTCACCGAGTAGGCAGCAAGAATCGCGTGAGCGCCTCAGCCTAGATCAGTAGCATGGCCGGTCTCCAGCCCCTCTGTGCAATGCAGGGTGACACAATGGTTTTTGACCCTAAGCGACCCGCACAAAGCAATGTTGAAGAAAGGACAGGGCAAGAAGATGAAGACGATGGGAATGTTGAATCGATGAGGGTACGATGGCCATGCTTGAGCCTGGGCTAGCCAATCCGGTACCGTAGATAGCGGTAGAGGCGGCGGTGAAGTCATGCAATTGTGCTCTGAGATTCCAAGTGAAGACATTGCATTACGTTTTACTACAACAGCATTCTTCACGACCCTTTACACGCATCCCGCCCTCATTCAGCCGCGTAATTTGTCCTTGAGAATTAGCAAATATTTGACCAGAGTCTAAAGTGGTACACCAGGAATATACAATCCGTAGACGCCTTGCGCCAAACAATGCCGTAGCCATGCTCTCGGTAAATTCCTAGCAGCTTGCGGTACTCGTACAGAAAAATAGATAAGCCTCATCAAGGAAGAGGCGGAAGGAGAGGAAAGAAGAGAAGAGAAAAAAACCAACGCCACCGGTAATGCTCTTCGTTAGTCCACAGAAACAAGGTTGAGGGGTATCCACGTTTTCAGTAAAAGGCCATGTCAGCTGTCGAGGGAAGGGTCTTCGACTCTGCGAGATACTGCGAATCCGACAATGGCGATGGCGTCGACGGGATCGTCATGGACGGAATCGGCAGGCAGTTCATGGGCGTCGCCGCCGCGTGCGGCCGTATGATCGAAATTGGAAGCTGCACCGCTCAGTCAACCCCAAGTCATATGCATTCGTTGTACTCATTCTCGTGACAAAGGCATGTGTGTCGGAAAGGGAGCGAAAGACACACACAGAGGGAGAGAGAGCGAGAGAGAGAAAGCGAAAAAAAAAAAAACCACCTGAAGACAACGTACAATCATTTTCACCACAACAACACTTGGCGTCTGATTCCAAATCGTCCACATTTCTCTTAAAAATGCTTGGTACCACGCGTGATGCGGTTGCGCGCCCGTTGATTTCGGTGCCGTCACCATAGGTATTGGCGTGCACTGCGGTATGCCGTCTACCGTGAAGATGGCGTCTGCCTTGATGGCGTAAAGATCCGCCGTCCACGCGCACTGTCGGGTTGCATACATCATCTTCTGCAAAAATTCGTCGGCGTCTATGACGCGGAAAGCGTCGGCCAGAGTGGTCGAGGATATGGGCATCTCCCAAGTCCCGAAGAGGACGACCGTCGTCATGGCACGATGCCATTGACTGAGCTCATCCATGGTAGAAGACAACAGACACAAGTGATAGCAAAACGTCGACGACAAAAAGTTACTAAGAGGAGCGATGACCGAAGGTAAAGATCAGAGACCGGGGGCCAACTAGATCTACACCCTTCGATTTCGGGCTTTGTAAGGGGATTAAATCTAGGTCCATGGATCGGAAGGGCCCGTGAAGTGTGATTGTCGCGTTTTGTTTAATGGTGGGGCTCCGCCTCCCCATGGGGACGGTTCTGTTGACCTGACCCGCATGTAGACTATGGACTGTGTCCAAGCGGCAGGCCCCTTCACACTCCGCTCACTCGGCATGTGTGTGCGCTGCGATGGCCTTTGGTGAGATGAAACAAATTCTTTTTCACCCCCCACCGAGTCATGATCTTACTTTGGAAGAAAAGCTCTGCAAAAGGGGACGGTTGCCACACGTTAGGACTAGCGTACCAAGGCGTCTGGAGCATATCAGTCACACGCGCCTCCGGTTGACTCTGTGTGAGTTGAGCCTACGACTGTGGCGTCATGCTCAATGGATACGAACCCACTCGGGGATCTCGTATAGAAGCTCAGAACGGGAGTCTCGGATGACGGATTAGAACCTCATAATGCCCAGAGGGGGAGTTTGCAACAGAAACGATCAGCGGATCGCGGCAGCTGGCCGTGTTCCGACGTATGCTGTGCCGTCTACACCAAGACAGGTGGTGCCACAGCTTTGATGGTGGCGGCCTGTCAGCGCATCTCGAAATGTGCTAGAAGCGCGCTGGAAATGGGAACCAAAATTCAAAACCGGTAGGTTCGGGAAGTAGTCTTCCGCCATCACCAGACGTTACCCACAGCACATACAACTTCTCCGGGGTGGGCGACGGTAATACAACGTGCTGCGCAGGAGAAAAACGCGATCATCCCGTCCGTCTGGCGTGGGCAGGTTGGCTCCGCGCCGGTGCAATAGGAATAATAAGCAAAGACAGCTCCGCATAATAAGAGCTCCGCACCTTGGCCCTCTCGGAGGGCTAAACTGGACGACGTCGTCCACAGAGCACCAGTACCCGCTCGCGCACCAATCACGACAGAAGAAGATATTATGTTGCTAGAGCTTTGGGCACATCTGCAGCCTCCGTCGATGCTCTGCCGCACGCCCTGAAACCGTCATCGTATGCACACGCTTCGACTCGTGGCTGCTGGGGTGTGATGGATCGCGTTTCCGGACAACCGTCTTCAAAGGACGTCAAAAGGGCTCAGGAGTGGAACGCCTCGGTCCGATTTGATCACGTGGAACGATACCTGAACTGGAAAGCTTCCCGCTTCCCGCCCATTCTCCTTTCATCAGCTGAAACGACGACAAGGTAGAAAAGCTGTTGGTCGACCCTCCGCGCAGTGGCACATTTAGTGGGCCTTTGTCTTTCGCAGTCAGCACCGCCGGAACAGCCCTCTGGCTCGTGGGGAGGGGGAGGGGGAAGACAGTGACCTGTTGTCACCAGTCGAGGAAAAGGTGCCCAACGTTCTTCGCAAGTGTGGAATAGCTTGATTGAGTAGCTCGTCCGTGCCCTTGAACGAGGTTCACACCTTTGAATCTCTCACATGCCTCCTCGTGAGCAGCTGCCGTACCGACATGAAGAGCAGGCTGATCCTCCCACATGTGGGCGTTCAGGAAACCCGAAACAAAAGCGCTTGTGAATTTCAAGACGAGTCTCCTCTTACACCAACAGCCGCTACGGACGCATCTCCCGCACCCATCTGCCGGGGTGCTGGTAGCGTCCGCCTCGGGTCTATGTTCGGAATTTATAGGCGAAAAAAATAAAATAAAATAAAATAAAATAAAAACGAGCAAAAAAAGGGCGATCTCGCGGACCTTTTAGCCGAACGTATGTCGTTACTGTACGGTTGGAAAGGAGGAGAAAATTGCTGTGCCTGGAGGTTACGCGATCTGGAAATAGTTGAGAAATCCCAGCCTTTCCCGTCCTTGCAGCATCCAGCTCCGGAACAAGGGCTCATCGCAGATTTCCAGTTTGCAAGCGAGCTCATCTGGACTCGGTAAGGCTGTAGTAGTCAGGGCCCCAAGCTCGCGATTGACGGATGAGTGATAGCATCCACGCATAGCTTCCCCTCGATTATCTCTTCTCCATCATTACTGGGCCCACCACTCGGTAGTTTTGCTGCGAACAGGCACGAGCCGCGCCATAGATACGTGTGCGCGCGCAAGTCTCTGTTCACGTTCATGCAGAATATAAGCTGAATGCTGGACACTCCGCACAGACGATCGATCATATCCTCGACGTCTCCGGACGCCGTTTTCTTCCTAGGCTTTCATATTCACCCTCCAGATCCTGTCATACTCGGCTCTGCTCATGATCGAACCCGGCTTAAGAGACCTAGGAGTGTGAGCCACAGGCCGAGGCTGGCATACGCTACGTCCCTTCGCGATGAAGTCCCCATATATTGACCGAACTTCTGCAGATCGGTGTGTGAAAGTCTTGCACCACCTTTCTCCATCCAAACACCCGACTCCGAGATTTTAATGTCAAAGCGTGGAGCCAAGGCCGCTGCCCCCATGGAGGAAACTACCGAGAAACGATCGAAACCTCGCGTCAGGTCCGATGCTCAGCTTGCTAGGAAGAGAAGTATCGATAGGGTACACCACCAGGCGAAGCGAGTCCGAGAGAAAAACCAACTGGACAACATCGAGGACGGAACGTCGCAGATCCAGCAGACGATCCAGAAGCTGGCTGAGGAAATCCACCAGCTGAACCTCGTGATACGTGGAGGTAGCGGCTCGCCGAGTGTGTACAACCCGTCGTCGCAGCCGCCGTCGTTAGCGGGAGCAGATAATTATACTACGCCGTCTGAATTTGAGAGCGTTGAGGATCCTTTGGGCGATGCCGGCCCGCTCAGCGACGCATCCTACAGATATTCCATGGTTCCGAACTCGTGCTGCATTGACGGTGTTCCGTGTCCCGTTCATCAGCCTGCACAGTCCCTTCAGCCAGTCATGTCGACCGGTATGTACTCGACGCAAGACGCGATGGCGGATTGGGCTCGCGCCGATTACGTTTCGGTCGCGTGCCGCTGCGGAATCCATCATCAGACGGAATCAGATTGCTTTGAGCTGGCCACTTATTCCTTCCTTCTCCGCTCGCACAAGGGCCTATCAAGGGGTGACGAGGGTGTGCGCGCCCTACCGCGTTGGCCGTCGATCGTGAACATGCTGCTCTTCCACGATGACAATCCCATCTCTGCAACCCTAAACTCCGTCTTCAAAAGAAACCACATTATGCACAACCTGCCCACAACAGTGGCCGCTTATCTGATGATGTTTCTGTTTCTTAGGGTGAGCTGATGTGACGCCCCTTGTGCTTCTCGTTAGAATCAAAGCCGACTGACACACTTCGACAGTGGAGAGCGCATCCAGACACGGCGGCGTACCAGAGTCTCCCGCCGTGGCTGCTGCCCACCACGGTGCAAACGTCAATCCCACACCCGCTGAGCATAGATTTCATGCCATGGCCGGCCATTCGCGATCATTTGACCCAGAACCAGGGTAAAGATCCTAGGCAGACTGTGAAGTTGTACATGGAGCACGTTCGCTTCAACTGGCCCGAGTCGAGAACTTTTCTGGCCAGAAATGTGAAGAACGAGGTCGTGCTTGACGCCGAGTTTGTTGCCGCCACGTACAAACTGGAGAACTGGAGCCTCTCTAAAGCGTGGGCAGAGGAGTTTCCGCTGCTGACACACCTTGTGAAACCGCAAGACACGTAGACTGGTCATGATAAGCATTCGACGCGTCCGAACTCTCGCTGGGGTTGATTTTGAGCTACAAGTCTACGGTACATGCCAAATAATCCGAGATACATGATTTCCACAACACAACCGCCTAATCCGGGAGTCTAAGGAGCACGGTCATGGCCAATCGCCATCGAACGTAGACCTCCTCCACATAAATTCCCAAAGTCTCTCGAATGAGACTCTGTAACAGTCTCCATACCTCTGTTCCTTTCGAGAAGCGCACCAGTTGCATGTCAGGAAACAGTGCAAACCTCTTGACGGGATTGTGCGCGTCCAGCAGGTTGTGCGGTATTTACTTGGGAAAGATCGGGCTTCGATGGCCATCTTGGTTGCTCTATTTCTAATTCTTGACGAAGATGCCGGAGAATGGAATGCTCCACAGGGTAACACGCGTAGTAAGGAATTTTTGCGCCGAAGTTTTCCAGCGGTAGTGACGATAGAGGCAAAGAGCAAATGGGCTCGAATCGGCCTCGAAAAGTATTTAGTTCCGCTTCTCACCGTGGAAGGATGCCATGTAGGTGATGTAACTGCAAATACGGTTCGACAAGACCACCGTCGTGGGTAGATGGTGGTAAAGTGTGCGTACTCTGAAGATCACATGGCTGTGAAGGAGCCGGTGAAATTCGTCGCACGTTAATTTGATGGTGCATATGATGCCGACGACAGCTGAGGGATTGAACGGCATGTTTCGTTGGATTTTATCGTCTTGCATTTTGTAAGCGCAAAAAATAAAAGGCGGGCTTGGAAAAGTTAGGTTCACATGCCATGAAACCGATAGTTTATGATCGGGAGTTAAATCAACATTGTAGAATTTACGAAAAGAACATTTCGAGTTTTGCGCTGGCCGTGCTAACTTATGCCGTTATTAGTCAAACTGAGGCCGTTCTCAGTCGGAAAGCCAAGTTAGTAATACTTGTGTAATCAAGCAACGCGCGGTAAGTCTTCGAATGTGAAGTTTTATAGCGACAATTTACGACTGAACTAAGTTTCGAGTGGACGATATCTCATAAGACGAAATCTGTGAGAAATTGGGATTTTTTTTTGGTCTTGATTGGTGATTCAGGTGCCGTGCTCGACAGATGCCGGTTTGTTGAAACCACCCTGGTGTTCGAACAAAATTCATATGCGAGGACGACGTTTGTTTCTATCCTTGTAGGGTGTTGGCGGCGGATTCTCCTCAGAAAATGGTTTATCAGCGTTGTGCTGCGAAAGACTTACAGTCGACGCGATAACAATAAATTGTACGTCCTTCACGGTCAGCAAGTGAACAAAACCAAGCTAAGAACCGACGAACAGGCATAGTCTCCTCTGGGTCAGGGACGCCCTCGAAAGACTCCGACCAGGCTGTCTCCGCATCTGAACGGAAATCCCCAGTCTCTTCTGGGGGCGCGATCGGAGTTAAATGAGATAGCCAGATCACGGTTCGTTCAAGTTGGCAGTAGTGACTGCCCTTGAACTGTTCCGTGAAACCGCTAATGCCACTGCAATGGCTTTGTCCTTCGAAACCTGCTTCTGTCATAACATCAGCACCCAAAAAATTTACATGTAAATATGCATAGTCCGGGTCAAGTTGTTGGTCTGTTCATGTTGGTAGAGATTTGGTCGCAGAGTGAGAACTACGAGAGTAATATGCTCACAAGTCACATGAGCCTAGCCAACGAAGCACCTCCTGACTTGTGAATAGAGATCGTGCACAGGAGCTCTCTCATAACTGAAAATACCATTGATGATTACATTGTGCTTGTCTCAACCGGGATATGTTTACCGCTGCTAACTGTAGCCTCTGCTGTATTGACGGTGCATATATCACAGGCAATGTGACAACGGTCCCAATCCGACAGGCAGGTCATTCATGCTGGTCGCTTGGGAGACGCCAAGAATAATTTCTTCGCGGCAAATGACGCTTCAGTCCCGTTTCCAGCTGCTTTTTCGTCATGTATTCTTCTCACTACATCATCCAGGCTTTTTATCAATGTCATGAACCAAAGCGAGTCGATGGGCACCAATCTATTGGGAACATAATCATCCAATTATTTGTAAGGGTGAAGTTAACATAAGTTCTAGTTCAATGCCTGGTGCTTGAGCAATTTCTGAGTATCGATGGGATGCAAGTTGAATTGTCGTCGTTGGTAGACCAGAGAACGCAAAGGGCTGAGCGGCTGATGACTAAGCTTCATGCTACAACTTGCGCTCCGTCCCATTTTATGGCTCACTCAACGTACTTGCTGTGAAATTAAAAGACAAAACTTTTCTCACAGCTCAAGTGTGGGCTTGGAATGATAGATTCCATCATTTGTAGTTTCGAAACCTTCGTGCCTACATGGGAGAGTAAATCAACGTTCTGCCTGATCGTTGCCTGGGTTTGCTGTGACACCTGTGTAGTCACCTTAACATATAAGTATCACATACGGCTCTACCATCAGTGTCCTTCAGTTAAAAATTGTCAAACGTAACAATTCGAGCATTCAGATTCAGCTCTCTCGCGTGCTCTGTAGCTAGATTTGTTTAAATCCGTCACACGCTTTCAAGCCTGTAAGACAGCAAAGGACACCATCAGTAAACTTTACTTAGCACATGCTTCCGTGTGCACCAATGCTGGTAACGCTCTTACATTCAAGGGAAGTTTTGTCCTGAAGATCTAACAATGACAGTTAGGATGTCTCTTGAACACGCATCCAATAGTATTGGCTCGTATTCACGATTCAATCCAACCCTAATGTTCTCAAAAATTGAACAGCATCCCCTGTTTGAGTCAAAACGTAAACAGGAACACCATAACTATGACCCGCAGCGAATTGGATTTCTAGACCTTTCTGGTGAACTCAGGAATCAAATATACCGGCTGCTGCTTGTACACCACGGTCGCGTTGATGGTGTCCGAGTCAAGATGCCGGGAGTTAAGCTTCTTCAGCTCTGCAAGAAGGTTCACGAAGAGGCGAGCTCAATATTGTATGCAGAGAACACGTTTACGTTCGGAATTGAAGTAAATTGGAGTAAACTTAACCGCATGAGGCTTCACTGCTTTCCACCAAGTCTCTCAATTTGGCCCACAACCCGCTATCACCAGTGGGTTCGGAAGCTCCACATAGGTATTTCCTTCACACCAGGGCTGCCAATTGATTTTGAGCCTCCAAGCTTTCTTAGCAGTGACATCAAGAACATGAGGAAAGCATATGATGCGTGCTGGGACGATCTCGACATCACGTATGAACTTTGCGAGGGTACAACCCATCGCCTTACATTTACAATGGCATGGCTCAAGTTCCGCTGCCTTGAGCCCATATCACATCCAAACTGTAAACTGATCACCAAAGACAACATTTCACCTCTAGTGAGATGGTGTCTCGAGCGCACACTTCAGCAACGGAACCCTGCAGAGAATCTACACAAAGAACAATTGTCTGCTTTACAGGAAGCACACGAAATCGCCTGCGACAGTTACTACTCCGGCATGCGGCGCTGCATTACAGACTTGGCATGGAGACTTGTCTGGGGTTCTCCTTTTGAAACGACGCCACCCCACATTGCACCCGGTATCACCTTCGGGGCCGCGCCGGTCTTTGTCGCACCAGGTGTGCGGAGACGCATTTATGATCATAAGGTCATGTATCAACAGATCAACAACTCGATAACGGATCATACGGCGACGGAACTTCTTCTCAGAGACAATGAGATGCGTATTCTGGCAGCGTTAGAGATGCCAGATGAAAAAGAGCTGCTTATCAAAGATTGCGCAGAGTTGCGTATGTACTTTACACTGCAAGAGACTGCGATGAAAATAATAGCATTGTCCCGGTCTTTGAGCGACTAGTCACACAATATCTCGTGAAAGGAAATAAATCACGAGTGTTTATGACCGGTATATGGAACGAAAGCATGGGGAATGTGTTGAAACTAATCATTTGGGTTGGAGCCTCAAACTTGTCGCAATGACTGCTGAAGGATTGCGTAGCTGAGAAGGAACACAAGTCGACCAGGCCTCTGAATTCCGTATGCTTGAATTAAGAGCAGAATTCTCAAATTTTGGCCCACAGAAGAGCACGATTCTTTCACAACCCACTCGAGTCCTTGATTCACTCAGCCATGATGCGCTGCCCCTCATCAGCCTTGTTCAGCCTCGTCCGAACATCGGAACGCTTCGCACCGATACTTGCCGTCCCATCCCTGACCAATATATGAATTGCGATTCGAGCATCTAAAGTTCCGGTAGGCACACTCTCTTGCGACGTCCTCTAATTTTTTTTTTGACAAATCGCACTTGGGTCTATTCAGTTGAACGCTCGGCATGCCTCCACCCAGCGGACCACGCGATCCCATCGCGGGTCCTGACGACGGTCCTGCCCCGCCTTTCCCACTACGCTTCAAAGGCCCAGTCATAAAGGGCTTTGGGAGAGGCAGCAGAGAGGTATGAGAGCTCATCCCTTATTTTTATTTCACTTCACGCTAGCACATATTCACTACGCATGTGCACGTTCTGTTGAGATAGAAATTTCTGACGCTTGAAAGCTCGGCATACCCACCGCAAACATACCCCTCGAAGGTGTCTCCATTGCGGGCAAAGAACTCGACAGCGGCATCTATTTCGGCTGGGCTGGTCTCGACCTGCCTCCCTCAGATGCCACGACCTCGTCCACGTCCTCTGAACCTGATGCGACGCCATCATCGCAGGGTGCCTCTATCTCGAAGAGAATCTCCCAAGCCGCCTCCCATATCGCGTCCAAAGTGAATGGCACATCGCATCTTCGAGGCCAGGTCTACCCCATGGTCATGTCGGTAGGCTGGAATCCATACTACAAGAACACGGTGCGAAGCGTGGAGATACATATCATGCACGAGTTTGGGAGAGATTTTTACGGTCACCACTTGAATATCTTGATCTTGGGCTTCATCAGGCCTGAGTATGATTACGTGTCCGTAGAGAGTTTGATCGAGGATATTAAGACAGACATTGAGGTCACGAAGAGGAGTCTGGACAGGCCGCCATATGCGAAATTGAAGGACGACGCGTGGCTGAGGACGTTCCCTGAGAACCCGAGGACAACAGAACACGGAAACGATACGCCATCGTGATGAGAAGGACAAGGCAGGAAGTATTTAACGAGAAGATAGGGGCTGGTATCCAGGCTCGATAGATAGATCATACCATAGACAAGTTGAGAGGGTATCTGGCGACATCTATGCAAACAATATAAGACAAAAAAGCGTCAATCAAGCAAGACCCTCCTGTTCCATGGAATCCTTCGCAGCATTGAGCACCTTGTGAAGGCTGACAGCAGCTCTACCAACACCTCCACCTTCTTTGGCTACTTTCACAATGCCAGTCTCAAAACTGCCCCGCCACTTCTCGTCGAAATATATACAGCGTTCCTCCCATCCTTCGTATGCAGCGCCTTCTTCATCCTTGGGGCCCCCGAATAAATCGAGATATGTATAGTGGCTGTTCAGTGTCGTTCGAGTTGGCAACATATGCTGGTGAGTCTGCCACAGTGGGAAAATTCTCGCGGCAAGCCTCACATCTGCATCGTCTTCCTCGTTTTGAGTCAAAGGCAACAGCCCGTTGCGCAGAAATAGCGTGAGCACCGTTAGCGTCTTCAACAGCAGCTTTCCGTCAATTGTCCCTTTAGTCGCGGCGCTCGGCGTTGACGTCCACGCCCCCTTTCCGTCCTTGGGCGCAGTTGCAGCGGGTGCATCCCAGCCCAAAATTCCCGCGAAGCACTTTAAAGTCTTTGACCATCCTCCCGCGCAGCTGACCACCTCCCTGCCTGTGACCTCACACATCCATTCAAGCACGTCCAGAGCGCCCATTTTCACTGGCGTGCTCAGATTCGTCATACCCAGTCGCACCCACAACAGTAGTCCTTCGATGTGGACTTTCACGTCCTGCTTCGGCAAGCACTTTAATAATTTCAACACCTGAGTCCTAACAGCTCCGCTACTATCCCGAATGAGCGGCTGTACTTTTCCCACGATCACACTTGCTGGTTGTGGCAATTCGCTCCCCTGATCGCAACATATCTGGAGCACGCTTGTCAAGTGATTTAGGCTCTGCAACCGCTGTCCTTCGCTCTTATGTCCTAGCAAGCTGAGATGGTGGTTGAATTGTGCAACGGTAGACGGTGCATTTGTCGTCAGCGATTGCTGAAGCACAGCGATCGATCGAGCCTTGAAAGACGTGTCGGTGTAGTTGTCTGCTTTCGCCTTCGTCTTTCCAACCTTGAGCTTGACTTTTTGAAAATCTTTCTTCTTCTCTTTTTTGGCTTTGGCGGATTTGGTCATAGTGTAGGAGCGAGATTAGCGACGTATGCGACGCCGAGGACGGTAGTGACAAGGAATGGAGAAAAGCCTTGACTTTTGAGAGGGCATTGAGAGTTACGACGGCAATGGCATGGGAATTCTGGAAAGATGCCGTCGCGTATGCATAAAAGAATGTCAACTTTTTTCAAGGAACTTTTTGCTTTACAGTTCGAGCTCGGACCGAGTCTGCAGCTTCAGGGTCCATGGCATTACGATCATTGCTCGAATGCAACAAAACTATTCAGATATTGGTCGTCATCGCATTGATGAAGATCTATCCTTTCGAGATACATTATAAAAATTTAGCAGAGTTTTAAGTGCTTTTCTTCAACCCTGCACTCGTGCTGTGAAATCACCTACATACGGTACCACCTGACTCAAGCCGCAGAACAAGGAATTTGCGGCGGTCTCTCCACGGACATTGCTGTAACATCTTTGCACCTCTGGCTCTTGTTACTGCTAAATATGTTAGAACGAATAATCCTCTGTTTACAGCTCATTATGAGTCATTCAACATTGCATCTTAAGAATTTACCAACCAAGCCATTCGCGTACAGTGACAAGCTGATTAGTGATAGTATTAGAATCAATCTTTCAGCTGCTTCCTAGAAATCCTGAGGATCAAATACAGGAAATTCTAAAGACTGCAGCACTGGAACAAGTAAAAAATAAATACACTGTGATAACGTACGTCTGGGGCGGCATGGAAATCAGGTCAAATTATTTTGCGACGGACAATCCACGTAAATAATCCCAAGCCTTGATGAGGCCTTCAAAAAGGTCAGATCTCCAACCCAATCAAAAATTGTATGGATGGATGCCATCTGCATAAATCAAAAAGATGAGGGGGATAACGGACATCAGGTTCAAAGGATGGGAAAGATCAATGAGAAAGCTCAGACTGTTATCATATGGCTTGGACCGGATCCCAAGAGGGTCGCCGAAGAGCGTTTTAGCTTTATTCGCAAGGTAAATAAACATCTAGGGGAACTACAGGTAAGAAATTATCCGTGGATTGTCAATGGGTAACCTGTGCATTTGATATTATGCTTTTGAAAGCCTTTTCTAAACAGTTCAGTCTAAGAGACTTTGGATCGTGCAGGAGACACGTTTAGCAAAATCATGCAATTTACACGGGGGAGGTGCTCAAATTGACTACGCAGAGTATATAGAACTAGTTCTATGGGTTGGTCTTTGAAAAGACGTCCAAGATCTTGCTGACAGAGCCGTTGGCGTTCATTTTCAGTCATGGGAAATCTTCGACAAGATTCAGTCAACTTATTCCAACATTGAAAACATGGAGCCGAAACAAGCCACTTACTTCGGACGTGCTTAGCGGCGAGAACATGTCACCCGCGCATTTTGGAATTATTACACATCAGCCGTTTCCTGAGAACAACAGACTTAAGGGATCACATATATGCTTCTCTGGACAGCCCACTGGCTCGAGATGGACACGTTTTGCCGAGGATCAAGCCGAACTACAATAAATCGTTCCATTAGATGTTTCTGGAGATCGCTCAAATTCTTGTACAGCTGCCAATGGAAGCAAATTGGCTGCTATCACGGGCCCAAGTACGCAGCTCGAGTCTAGACTAGGATGATCTCTCTTCCTGGGTTCCTCGCTCGAACGAGCAGCCTAGAGCCAATCCCTTGACTCACAGAGACTATTGGTTTCGTTCAGGCAGCAGTGTTATGCTTAAAGTGAAAGCTTTGGAGCAAAATAAAATCGGAATTTGGGGCTATCATGTTGATTCAATATCCTAGATGTTATCAACCTTACCTGATGTCGACTACGTTCAATCAAGTTCAGACAATTGGCCAAAGGGAGAGAGCCGACCCCGATGCCCTCTGACTGAGTATTTGCTCGACGAAATCGAACAAGCCACCGGTAGCACACAGTCACATATGGAACATGATCTAAGCCAGGTTTTAGTTCTATAATACCAACAAGAGGAACACATCTCTTGGATCACCCATCATCTGGAGAGCTTTGCTTCGATTAGACGCTCACTTCAGTCAGCTACGCAAAGCAAGGCCTGGTCAGACGCCTTGAGTAGCGACGCTCTCATGACTTTGGTCCATATGCAACAGAATAGTAACTGGGGAGTCATATGCACAGGGGATAACGATTGGGACTAACGCCGCGCCTGCAGAGTCGACGATAAGAAGTTCATCTCACCAGGCGCACGCGTTCCCCTTCTTTTTCGCTGTATAATCCACGGTACTTTTACTCTTGTCGGGAAAATGCTTCATCTATGGTTTCATGAAGGGTGAGACGCTCGTTGAAGCCAAAAAAAGGAATGCTTGATGAAGTGTTCTTGGTCGTTGAATAATCTGCTAATACATATCGATTATTTTGTTTCAAGTCTGTCTTTCAGTAGAACCTTCATATGTATTTATGAGCTGGACATCTGATCTCATAGGATTCAAGTCCTAGCTTGCCCCAATGCCACCAAGCGCCACGCTATGCAATAATTCAATTCATTACGTCCGAGCTGGATAAAAACGAGCGAGGTCTACAGTCGAATCCTCTTTTTCTCGCCTCCAGCTGCGTTTCTCTCTGAAATGCTTCGCTTCCGTTCCATCTCCTCCTTCATGATGCGCTCAGCCTCGCTCATCTTTTTTGGTGGTTCTTCAATCGCGATCTTCTTCGTCTTGAGTGGGTTTTTCTTCTTCTCCTCAGCGAAGACGTTTTTGGGTTTCGGCGCTCCAAAGGATATCTTCATTGGAGTGGTTGTTGAAGGAGCCGTCGTGCTGGAAGACCCTTCAATAGAGGCCTGAGCAGCAGGTGCAGAATCCTTGGGTGTCTCGTTCGGACCGGAGCCGCTTTCTGGCTTTATTTCCGTCTTCTTCGCTCCAAATCCAAACTTGATAGGCTCAACGACAGAGGGCTCGGTGGTAGTATCCACGTTTTCGCCTTCCCGTACACTTTCCTTGGCCGCTTTGATTGCTTCGATCTCTTTTGCCTTGGCCTGCGCTCGTGCAATCTGCTCTTGAAGCAACTTTTGCTCTCTCTCCTCGTCGCCGCGGTCTTGCCTCTCTTTCTTTCTTATTGCTTCGTTCCGCCTTAGCGCTTCGGGGCTATCGTCCACCCAAGCAATGAAGAGCCCTTTTTCCTCCTCTTCCTTTACTCTGCATATGCCCTCCCTACCTAGGTACTTGGTAAATTCAGTCAGACTGGGCCACTTTGTTGCATTCATATGTATATGATCCTTATTTGATATGTATTCCTGATAAAAGCGATTTGCGTGAACCCATTTCTCGCCATGCGACGTGCGTAATAGCTGGATGAAGTCGCGCTTGAATTGCATACTATAGTCGTTGATGAAGCTCTTCGCGTTCTCGCCCACAATCTGCATATTTCGAACATGACCCTCACTCATTGTATGCTGTTTGAAGCCGTTCTCGTCTCGCATCTGCCGCTCGCAAACTTGACAGTACCAGCGCAGCCTCTGAAGGCCTTTCGCCTTCATCTTGTTTGCGAGCGCCTTAGGGGTGCCAGCCTCTGCTTTCGGCATCTTGGCGGAATTCTGGTTTTTAATAATGAAACGACCCCAGGTAGTATAGAAGAGCGGAAGGGAACAAGAGCAGGAATTGAATTAGGTAAAGTTGCACTCACCAAAGAATGACGTGCAGCTGAGGCCGCAATCAGGAGCTACCCAGCCACGCGCTTGCGCCACAATCGTGGTGGGTCCGAATCGCGTCAAAAGACTCCAACCTGAGTGTTTTAGCTGGGCAGAAAAAAAGTATGAACAATATCAAAGGCCAAAATTCCATTACACCAGCGATTCCCACAAGTCACAGTGCAGAAATGTTATTGCGAGATCAAGCGAGTATCAAGCTCTTGGCCTCTTGCAGCTGAAATCATCTTATCATTTATTTCTCACGTGCTGCAATGTCTTCCTTTGGCAGCTCCTTGATCAACAAGGGCCGAAAAGTTGTGCCAAAGGCAGCAGGCCGCCGTCGTCCCGGAGCTCCTCCAAGTACTGCAGCGACAGCCGTAGTCCCGACTCAGGACTCTGCATCGGTAGCATCGGGAAGATCTAGTGCAGATGCTTCGAAAACTCCGCAACCGGATCTTGTATCTACCCAAGCAACGTCACTCCAAAATGTCGTTCCTTCGGAAGACTCCTTCAATAGATCGATAGGAAAACCGTCAAGCGATGGGTTGGTCACAGGTCCATCATCTCTGCCTCAGCTGGGTGGGCAAATTGGTATCAGTCGTCCACCTAACAAATCGACTGAAGCAGCAAACCCGGTTCATCCTCCGAGCTCAAACAATGTACATGCTGCGGAAGATATCATTCCCCAATTCTCCTCAAGCAACATCCGACGGAGGAGCTTTTCTTCTGAAGTTGCTGATTTCAGCCCATCCAAACGTCAGCGAGTAGAGTCTCACGAAGTAAATGAGCGGAGCACGAGCCCGCCAGAAGCTTCTATGCCCCTTCGTGGTCGAGATGAAGATGAAATACCAATTGTCCAGGTCAGGAAGCGACTATCACCAAAGGCGACAAAATCAACGCCACCAAGATCAGAGGAAAGAGTAGAAGCCCCATCAGAGCAAGATGAACTTGTGCCATATGAGGCACCAATGACTTTAGAAGGCGATCAAGACTCAAGCCAGCCTACTGCTACTGGAATATTTCAACCGGCTGTCGCGCCTGTGCTCACGACCACGGCGAATGGTCCGAAGCCTCGAGCCAAGGGGGCTCGACGGAACCAGTGGCAGGTCACGACGCAAGCTGATCTTGCTCCAACAGGCTCACGAGAAGAGACCGAAGTAGTTGAACACCTTGAGGAAATGGGCGATGCCGAGACTGATCCAATTACAGTCGTCGGACCTAAAGCCCGCAAGGTAAGGAAGGACAAGGGCATAAAGAAAGGATCAATGAGGCGTTCTCAACGCAGCGAGGAAGCCTATGACGATGGGTCCATCGTTGCGACGGGTGCACAAGTATCAAGTGCTCAACCTACCGTGGAGCAAGAGGAAGCACTTGTGTTAGCAGCTACAAAAGGAAGAGCCATCGCTCCTCAGCCACCTCCTGCTTCTGTTGTCTCTGCGGACTTGCCAGCTGGGCCCGATCCGCTACACGAGCCTTCACCTGAAGATGATGTTGCAGAACCAACTTCAACTTCAGCTCGATTGCGGAACGTCCAAAAAAGACGTGCAAAACAAAAGGCAGTCGAGGCTGCGAAATCGCGTGCTTCAGCAGCACAGACTGCAGCCGCAATAGACGCTGCTGTAGCACAAAGTATTGAGGGCATATCCTCGCCATTCCCGCCAAGCACATCAAATCCAGTGTTCAGAGTTCAATCTCAGGAAGCTAGTTCACGCTCTCGACGATCCACGTCTGCTATTACGGATGCTTCGGATGTTACTCAGGCCACGGAAGGTGGACCACGCCAACGCAAGCGATACCGTCGACAAGCCACACCTCCGGGTAACGAAACCGTCTTCATTGCTGACAAAGTTACACCCATGATCAGCTTAGTCGGCCGCGATACCGAGAACCGAGTTGGTATGCGAAGTACCATGGAGATGAAAATGCGTGACATAGACTGGAAGGATATCAAGAGACGTCATGCTGAACAATTCAGGCAAGCCGCTGTGCTAAAGGGCAAAAGAAGGACAAACGACTTCGACGTCATCTTTGGCCGCCAAGAAACCCCGCCTGAGTCAAGATCTACTCCGGCTGGAGATGGTGAGGGTGGCGATGATGATGACGACGACGACGACGGAAGTATTCTCGAGAAACGAATTCTTGCCCGAGAGAAGAGATTTGGGAAATCTACGGGCATGCGAATAACTATAGTAAACGGCGAGCACCGTATGGATGACAGTCAAAATCAAGGACAACGGGACTCTGAGCATGTTGACGACCAGGTTGCTGAGGCTGATGAGATAGATATTGATGAGCTCACCAAGCGCCGGTTTAATGTGCATACGTTTATTACCTGGAAGCGCCGTGACCCTGAAGAGCGTGTGTACCAATCCAGCCGTTGGAGTGAAGAGGAAACTGAGAAATTCTATGAGGCATTGAGATGTTGCGGTGTTGATTTTGGAAGCATGGCGGAGTGGTTTCCGGGTCGCATCCGACGGAGCATAAAGCGAAAATTCAACGTTGAGGAGCGTATTAATCCCGAACGTATCAATCAGACACTGAACGAACATATGATGCTTGTCACGGGCAAGGAACTTGGAGATGATGGAACAGGCTGGGATTTGGCCCAGTTTCACGCTAATGGTGCTGGAAGACATTTGAAGGATCCGCGCGAGGTGGAGATGCAGCTCGCAAAGGAACGAGCAGAGAAGGAGATTGAGATTGCAAAGGCAAAGAAGGAATACGAGGCTGAGAAGGCCAATCAAAAGCTTGCAGGGATGCAATCTGAAAACTATGAGGAAGAGGATGAGGAAGAAGATGGCAGTGTCGAAGCTGGAGTGGATGATGACATAGAAGGTGATGGCGAAGGCGAAGAAAATGACGACGGAAATGAGTATGGAAAGGAGGAGGAGGAGGAGGAGGAGGAGACTATTGGTGACGTGATCGAGGATCTCAAATCAACGCGCATGGAAGGAAAGCGTAAGGACAGAGCGGCCGCGGAAAGGGCTAGCACAGAGGAAGATAATGATGAGGAAGAGAGCGAAGAATATAACGAAGCCGATGAGCGAGACGTCGTGCCAACGGTGGAACTCGACGAGGACGACGAAGAAGTGTACTACGAAGAAGAGGACGAAGCGCCGCCTGAATGGGATGACGAGTAAGCGCTTTCACTTGGCCTCGGTCAGCAGTGCGAAGTATAGCAGAAAACATCGAGAGCTATTCTCAAGGGAAACAGAGTGGTCGAGGATTCTTTTACGTGATCTGCGTGCTCTTTATTACGAATGCATGAGCTATCTTTCCGAGGCAGGGAGCGCTTCGCAGCGCTTGATCGATTCGAATATAGACCCCATATCCGATGTCGTGAGGTAATTTTTTAGACGCCTTCGCTATGCAATAGTGCTGCAGCCGTGACCTAAACTGCCGTCGTTTTACATGCCATCATCGAACGCCCAGTTCCCAATGCTTTTTACGTCCTTCTTAGATCCACATGTCAGTTGCCTCTCTTGCTCAAGTCATACATACATTGTTGATCACACCGTTGTTCGCCACAACACCCTTTGGCTTGCTGGTTAGAACTTCAGCCAATCATCTAAATACACACACCCCTCTGGACTAACAATACCGCCAGGCCGACACTTCATCTTCACGCGGCACCTGGCACAAGGCACCTGACTCAGGCCGTTGCCAGGCAGCCAGCCCTTTGTGTCCGGCTCAAGGGAGCCAAAATGCTGGCTGCTCTCGTTCCTAAGGTCCATTTTCCAGCTGCGCTTGCATGCACGCCAACGGGGCTCCTTCATGTTCAGGTTTCCGTCGTAGTCTCGTATACGCTCGATGTAACCATCGAACTCCATTTTGGAGAGGAGTTGTTCTGTATCTTTGAGCGTAAGGACAATGTCCTTGATGACCTTCTTTTCATTGATTTCAAGCATGACATCGATGGAGGTGGGGTACTTGGAGTAGTAGTGCGGGTGCTGGGGGATCAGGGCTTGGCGATTTCGGGTCCATGCTGGGTAGAGATTCCGCTCGCGTGGTGGCGGTGGAGCGACGTAAATTTCGCCTCGATCCTGCGTTGCTTTTCCTTTAGCCCCAGGCTTTCCCGCTGCAGCATCTGCTGAGCCTGTTACAATTTTGGAAGGCTTCAGAGGAGGCTTTCGGGGCTTGTCCTTGGGCGGAGTGGCTGGTCTATCCTCCTCTAACGCGTCATCCGAGATGCGGATGTCTTGTTTCGCCCAACTCTTTTCTGTCAGAAACTGTGTGACAACATACGTAAGAATATTGATCATGCCCTCATCGAACTTGCCTTCGTCCATGAACCCGCCGCCAATGTGCCTCTCGTCTGGTTTAACATCGGCGCTGATATACGTTTTCTTGCTCGTCTCGGCAGACTTGATCTCCTGCACGACTTTGGCACTGACAAGCTCTCTTACTGCCTTCCTGACGATGGCAGTGTGAAGCCCACTCTTGATCTCGAGCGGTCGCATCCATACACCGGCCCGTCCAGAGCTCTCGATCAAGCTGTATATCAGGATGTGATTGTCGCTAAATCCAGCAAGTCTGTATAATAGCACTTCTGTCAGTACTCATTGTTATCAACTCGACGCATCACCAAAGGTGAGCGCTTACTTTTTGGCGACGTCGTAGGACCGCGTCTTATAGAGAACGCCGCGATTCAACGTCATTACTGTGAATAAAAAGTGTGTGACCAGCGATTGGCATAAGTCTAGGAGGTCCTGATCATCGTCTGCGACATTGGCTTGCTGAAGTTCCTTAAGCGAAAAGATTTCGCCCACGGGCTTCTTCTTCAAGCAGTACTGGTACAATTTGTCTCGCTTCTCGCGGTCTTTGGACTTCACCTTGTCCGGCTTCTTTTTCGCCGGCTCCATCGCTGGTGGCTGCTCAATAGTCGGTCGGATAGTTTGAGAATCGGAAAGCTGAGCCGTCGATGGCATAGCATCGCGTGTGGAACCTTGACGGGAAGCCTCTGCTCCGTTGGGAAATACATTCTGGGCGCCTGATCCGGAAGTTTTAGCAGGCTTGTCGGTTGAGGCCTGGAGTTTTGCAGTGGACTTCTTTGATCCCACCAGATCTTTGTCAGTACCAGCTCCTGCTGCAGAAGATGTTCGTTTCCGTAGGCGACTAACCGACTGCTCTCCGCCATGGCCGCTATCGCCTTCTACATCTCCGTCTTCTCGCGCAGCGTTTCGTTCTGCCATTAGAGCTGCGGGTGAATCGACAGCCGGAGCGTAATCCCCAGACGATACATCATCCGCCCCGGCCACCGCGACTCCATTAGGCGCAGAATGGCTGCCATTCAGCGTAGCATTCTTTGCCGCAGTTGGTTTCCGTGCTTTCGCGGCCGTTGCTGGTTTTGGCGTCGGCGGAGGAGTTTCTATCGAATCGGTTGGATCTGAAATAGAGGTCTTTTGGCGCTTGATGCCATTCTTGGACGCAGAGATTGGCGACTGTTCTTCGACTCCGGCCTGCTTTCGTTTTGCGGCCGGAGCCATGAGGAGAACTAGAGGCGAGGAGGAGAAGAATGCTGGACTTTCTTTCTGTGCATGCAAAGCTGCTGGTGTCGCAGTGGGGCCAACGCCAGAATTTATGAGCACGGACTCGAGCACGCCAAGACCGCGGTGGACGACGAACCATATGGGGGGACAATGAAGAAGACGATGTTTATTCATTCGCAGCACGCCCTCTCCAACTATTGTCCACAGATCTGTGTCTCGAGCTAAAGCGTGTCCCTACGTCAAAGACGCATCATTGTCATGACTGTGTTTCTATCCAGCCCATGAGCATCTTTGTCGCACACAGCTGCTCCTGCTGCCCTCACGTTGCTCTATATCCAGTCACCAGCACTGGTTGATGGTTTCTCGTATCCTAAGATGGGCATACAATCCCCATCCTTCCGAAGTACCAGTCACCTAAAGGATTGATAGGAAGACCTCGCAGTTGCTCTAGTTCCGCCCAGGAATCGTCCCGGTGCCTCGAAGAGGATTTGACTTCCTGATTAAAGCCGTGTTGCCCCAGCTGGCCATTTCTATTCTCGAATCATACTTATTTGTACTGATTCAAGCTTCTCTACTCAATCTCCCGACCATCCAAAGCGTCAAATTTCTTTGTGTCTGCATCGTCCTGCTTTCTGTAATATCTCATGACAATAGCCATGATGCTGGCTGACTTCCTTACCATGTCCGGCCTTGTTTCACTAGGCCTCGCCATGCGCAACAATAGCTGCGTACCGTCAGGTATTCTAATCAGTCGCTCGCTTGTATTAGAGTGCAGAAACTTATTCAAGTCAGCAAGTGTGGCAACCACCGCGCCATTCAGCTGCCATTCGTGCGCAGACTTCTACGGCTCCTGTGGTATTGATTGCGCTCAGCCAAACCTCACGTGGGCAAACATCTTCAACTGTGAGGGCTACTGTAAGGGAAAACTATGCAATGGACCGTTTGGTCAGGTGAGCGTTCGATCAGGATTATTTCTACAGGTGCTAACTTGGACGCGAGCCGTGCCGCAATCTCTGCCAATATAGTATCTGTGACGGGTTGCCCTTGACTACAATGGCAGCTAAGCCCTTACCTCAATAGATCCCTTAGCAGCTGTTATGTTGGCTAGGAAAAAAGGAGGATAGTTCTTCTGTCGACTGGATGCACATGGCCCAGTTATAAAGATAATAGAAATCTGCAGTTCCACTGACCGGCTTCGCTTTCGTCGGAGGTGGTATTGCTAGACTGAAAGGATACATGCAACGGTACAAGGATATCTATTTCCCTCCTAATTAGATGAATTCTCATCATAGCCGATGTTCTTCGCTCAAGTATGTCGTACTTCGTCTCCTCATTTCCGCTTAGACTGCGCTACGCAACTTTCTCTGCATGCTCTGCACCTTGACTTCTAGCTCATGGCACTCGTCCTCCTTACGATGTAGCTCCTTTTGCAGCATCTCCTTCTCCAGTCGGAGAAGCTGCATCTTTGCGCCAACCTTCTCGCGGTACGTGGCGTGCTCTTCATGTAGCGCTTCGATGTGGTGCCACTCTACGCCAGGTTTTTGGGTCGCAGGTGCACGTCCAGCGCGGAGAACTGCGATCTCAGCGTCTTTGGCTCGGAGTTTTGCTTCCATATCAGCGACAGTACCCCTCCATGCCTTGTGAGCAGCCATTCGGTTCACATCATCGATACTGATGTCTTCTTGCTTGGAAGCTTCAGCCGCCACGCTGGGCGTAGTGCTCTGGGCTTTCTGTCTCAGAGCATCAATCTGCTCCAGCAAGTCGCTGTTTCGCTTCTCGAGCTCCATGACCCTCTGTTCCAGTGCTGCCGTCTTCGCAGCAGCAAAGAGGTCCGTCGTGTCCCTCCTCTCAAGCATAATGCTCGACGGCCGGCCACGACTTGGGGTCGAGCGTCCACCGGTAACTGGGCTCTGCGACTCGAGACGCTCCAATTTGCGCGTTGCCTCTGCGAGTTTGCCACGTACAACTTGCAAATTCACCAGGTCGTCGTCCCGAAGTTTTGTCATGCCTTCAAGATCGCGCCGTGCTTTGGCGAGGAGGCCACGCACCTTGATTATGTTCTCTACGTCCTCATCGCGCAGGGCGAAGAGAGCTTCGTGCCGCTTGTGCCAAGTTTTCCTTTCTTCTTCAAGAGTCTGGACTCGAGCCTGAAGCTCAGAATACTCATCTGGCGTGACGCTGATGGTCGGATTTTCACGTTCCATAAAGATGATTTTGGACATTAGAGCTTGTAATTGGACCTCTAGTGGCCCAGGTACGCGTGCTGGAGGAACAGGCTCCTCTTCGGCTGTCTCAACGCCGTCCTTGGTCTCTTCAGCAAGCTCTGTGATCTTCTTTGGTATTGAATCAGGGGTGGGCGTCTTCTCTGGGTACTCGTAGTTATCCTCTTCTCCCGCGAGTGTCGAGCTGCGAGAGCGGGCGTCATCTTCAGTGGTGTTATCTCGCAGCTGGCTCTCATCGCGCGAAGTAGGCGGCGAAGGAATTTCCACAGTGGCTATGGTAGCATTGTTGAACTTCTGACTCAATCGTGAGACATTTGACTGTGAGCGAGCAGATGTCCACATTGCAGGCGGTGCGTTTCTCTCGCCAGAGAGATAACTCTCAAAGTCTTCGGAGGAAGCATTGCTTGAGCGATCAGAAGCTATGGAGTGGAAAGAGCCTGTACGCTCAAGACGAGCGGACGCTTGATTCATGGTCCACATTTCTTGAGGGTCAGACGTGAACGCAGATTGAGATCCTGAATTCTATTTTACGAAGTACAGAACGCGTTAAAGATTCGAATGCCGCTAAAACAAAGCACATTTTTGGGAATCCTCGGAAGCATATATACGTCCCCATTGAATTCGGCACTGCTTGACGCTGTCGGAACGAGAAAGGGAGACAACAGCTGAAGGAGGCATGTTGAAACACATACTGAGACCCAAAAGTTTCCTGAGAAACGCCGCAGGAGGAGAGACCAGAAACAGATGGCTAGAGTGCAAGGTATGTGAACCCGTTTGACATCCTTGAAGGGTCGAGCAGAATTCAAAATCCTTTCTAACCTTTTCAATCCTCGCTTTGAGAAATTGAAACGTGAGAACACATTGTCGTATCATCCATCTTATGTGCTAGGTGCGTCGTTTGCACGTGCTCCTTTCTCACTGGCGGTCAAGCTTCACCAGTCCAAGAAATCAAGACCACATCGTTTCCCTTGATTTACTAGATAAAAAATGGGACAGGGAATTGTTGCAAAGTTGAAAGACATGTTCGGAGAGTTCGAGCCACATCCACAATGTGGTGTTTCGAACGAAACACGCCAGTCCCCTTCATAACTGGGACACCTTGAATGTACAACACCAAACCCCCTGGAACCACATCACGACCACAGCGTTGTATTTTTCCTCTCCACATTCCGCCTGCAACGATATCAGCTTAGAATGGATCATAAAAAGCGCTGATCTGGCTCAAGGAGGAGAAGTCACATGATTACATTCTTGCAATGCCAGTTTGAGCTGTTTGGCCCCTAGATCCCTCTTCACGCCGGTCCTTGGCAAATGAGGTGGCAATAATCAGTCTCAAGAGTAAGATGGGATAGTCTTAGATCTTTCGGCTTCGTTCCAGTGGTCGCTCAGCCTGTGGTCGAATTTGTGTCTCTGATGACCCTCTTCTCTGGTGTGCTGGCCTGGACATATGCCCCAAAATAGCTCGACGGGACCAGCAAAGTCAAGAATGGCGATTCTTGACCTTGTTTAGATTCTGACGCGCGAAAATAATGTTACATTCGACCGGCTAATTTTCCTAGGCGTCTGAATATCAATTCTAGAGGACCATTCGTGATAAGGACCTCGTTTGAAGCTCTATTAAACGATGGACACGATCGTGGAACTCAGTGTTATGAGGTATGTCGTCCTTTGGCTACAAAATTCACAGCAATGATAAGAAGGTTCCACGTGCAGTACGCTCCTTACGCGAATTCACCTCAGGCTTTCTTATCAGCGGTCGTTGAGCTGCGATCCTGCCTTTCGCTGTCTTAAGTACTTTGGATTTTCTTTTTGGGCCTGCTCGTTTCACAAAATTACATTGCTACTATCTTTCAACATCTTGATCTGCATGCAGTCTCTAACGATGTTGATCACCAGATCGCTATTGTCATTGACAGTTCAAAGTTCATGCTGGACAGCGACTCAGAAGCCCATCGATCTGGCCGCCGTTATTGACTTGAGCGAAGAAACACATCTTGATTATGCATTTGGCAGTTCCGGTCCGGCTAACAGCGCTTTGAGCAAAAATTAATATTACTGTGGGAACCATTACCGCTAGCGGTGTGAAGATGGCCATCGCTTAGCTGACTGCAAGCCACTCTGGACCTGGAGAGAAACGATCTGTCATCCTACTACTGACTGATGGAGAGGTAGAACGAGCCACACAGACTGCGAGCCGCAAATCAAACACGAACAAAACACAAACAGGACACGAACACAACGTCTCATCAACCATTTCAAGTGTGGATATCTTCATTGTTCAACACTACTTCAACTGCGCCTCATGTTGCCCCCTAGTTGTAAAACCACCGCTACAACAGAGGATGTCACGGGAGAACGCATCTTTGGCTTCAACTGCAACGCCTACTGTGATCGTGATGGGAAGTAAGATTACGACACAGTTAAAAGACGCAATACGCACCGATATCATTGCCTAGATGCAGATAGGAGCATGATGCGGACGGTAATGACAAGCATTACGTGCTTGATTACATAAATCAAAGTTTATGTCGTACATTGGGGATTTAGATGTTACCTTACGATGAGGGTTTTGCGGGATATAAACATAGGTACGTCAAGCATAGGTGCAAGGAACACTCAAGTCTGCGGGTTAAATGATTATCATGCGAATATTCAGCTGTTAAATTGTATGCAGTGTTTATTAAAATCCTTCCGTTCGCTTTTTCTTCTTCTTCGGTGTTTGCGTTCCGCTTATTTGACTGGACAGTCTCAGCCTTTGCTGAGAAAGATGCTGACCTGGCATCTGCGGTTGTTGGCTAGATGGGATGGATAGCTGACTTCCATCTTGTGTGCTTTGAAGCTGACTGGACCCAAAAACAGGAGGTGTTGACGTAGGGCGTACAGGCAGTTCCCTCGAAAACGGCTCACCAGTTCTATGAACTGACTGAGTTCTTCCAGAACCAGCTTCATTCTGTTCTGGATTACTATAGCCAAGCGAGATGTTCTTGTTGCGCTGACTTGAGCTAGTTACGCTTGGAACGACTTGGCTTCTTGAAGGTGTCGGCAGCGGCTGACTCCCAAATCCAGGAATAGCTTTCGCTCTTGTTGCCTTGGGATTTTCTATTGATTGACTACCGAATCCTGGAATGCTTCCCTGAGATCGGCCTCTTGTTGCTGGCTGCTGACTTCCAAACCCAGGTACCTGACTGCTTCGTGGAGGCTTCGGAGCTCCGGACGAGAGAGACTGCTGGGCTGCTAGTAGATTTGGAGGCACCTGGCTACTCGAAATTGGAGGAGGCTGACTTCCGCTAAAAATTGGCGGCAATTGACTGCCCCCAGGACCAGAAACCTGGCTGCTTACAACAGTAGGTGCTTGGCTCGATCCTACTCCCAGTTGTTCTGCTCTCATCTCCTCTTTTCTTCTCCTTAGAACATCCTTCTCTTTCCTCCGCTCCAATCTTCGCCTCTCTTTCTCACTCATCCCAAGAACAATCCTCTCTTCCTCCAACCTCTTTTTCGTATCCGTGTAGGAGTATTTAATCGGATCTACACCTAACTCCCAGTGACTGAGAACTGTCATTGGCTTGAGCCCCCAGGATTGAGTCGGCTTAATGTCCATAGCCACGCTGTGAGAAAGGCGGTCCACTATTTCGGACATAGCATCGTTTACGGATTTGCGATACGGCGAGCGAGAACGTGACGTGGATGGGGTTCTAGATGATGGTGTTCGTAGTACTGAACGCCCTTCCCGTTCTTCGAAACCTCGCGAAAATTCCACCGACTGCTGGGAGGCAGCAATGGACAAGTCGTCCGCATCCATGTCCATGTCATCATCATGAACGTTTTCAGCATCCTCTTGCCTAACATTCTGCTCGATTTTCGCACTAGCAAGAATAATCTCAGCTGCGATGGCCTTGGCGATCTCTTCTCTCTGCAGTCGGAATGCGTTTGAGAAATCACCGTTCAATGGTGTTATATAATTTTCCTCGAGATACGCGTACAAATCGTCGAATGGCATATCATTAGGCGCAGGGTCTTTGCCCAAATCCAGATCCAAGGGAATAATTTGGGGGTATAATCTCACGACGGCAAGATCACTGGATGATGCAAATGCATCTTCAAGCGCAAACGACGCATCACGCAAATTTACCACCTGGGGAACGACCATTCGAGTGAGCTCGAAAAGAGTCATCTCTCGACCTGCTGGATCTTTTTGCTTGAGCACCTGACTTTGCACTTGCTCTGTGAGGTGGTCAATATTGACCACAGGGATAAATTCTTTACTGCCGCCCTCAGCAGTACCCTCCATGACAGCAATTGCCAGCCGTTGGTTTTTTCCATTGACCTTATGTGGCTTATTGAGTATTGCGCGTGTGTTTAGCTCATATTTGTTGTCGCTGCTGCCATCGCTCTCTTCGTTAGAGGACAGAGACTCCTCGAATGTGTCTGGTACCACGAAAGCGCCATGTGCGTCAAGCTCAATTGCTCTTCCGCTCTTTGCTCGATGTGGGAGACGAAAATGGATCGTATCTGTAGGTTCCTTGGTATCATAGAAGACATGCCGCAGCCCAAGGTCTCTCTTGAGAACCATGGCGCTGTATAACCTTCCAGCAAAAGTTGTCCCGGCCTTGGCCATTTCATCTGGACTTTGATCCAGAAGTACACGCTCCAGTTTGAAGTCCAATGTCCGATCACTTCCATGCTCTGGTAAAGCCAAAGCCATCGCATTCGAAGCGGCAACTTGACCATCAGTTGGTATCTCAAACCAAAAACACGTTGCTACTGCGTTGTATTGCGAGAAGATGGTAATCAAGCAGCCATTGTCTTCCTCGTTCACACGCATTTTCAATGAAATATCAGACTCATCGCGAAAATGCAGTACGGAGATCAGAATTCTCCCTCTGATATTTATCTCCGTATCTGAAAGGTTCGATTTTGAGTCCTCGAACACCCTCAGCAAGAACAAGGATTGGCTTGTGAGAACAAAAAGATGATCCGAACGACGCCAGCAAAGTCGCATATCCAAATGCCAGCCAGCCAGATATCTATCCTGGGGTAAAAGCGGTGGGAGATCAAATGAGGCGCCAGTGGGTACGTCAATCAGGCAGATGCTACGCCTGGTACATGCTATCAGGGTTCGGTGGTTGAAGATCCAGGTTACGCGCGCCCATCCATCTTGTCTTAGCTTTGTTTCGATCTCATGATCTGAATCTCGTAATTCTGGAGGACTTGCCTGCCCCGACTTGACTGTGTTGCCAACGTCACTTGCCGACAAAAGTGTGTCTTCTAATCTTTCGGATGACAACCTCGAAACATACTCAGATGGCTCCGGTTTTAAAATCACATCTTCTTGATCAGGGGAGAACCCTAGCGAGTGCGAAGCATTCTCCTCTCGATTTTCAGTTTGCTCATCTTCTTGCCCCTGCGCGGGTCGAAGGCCAGTATTTTGTGTTTCCATATCATCTGGCTCCCTCTCTTCTTCAACTTCTGGCATTTTGCCCATGAATATTGGTACAGGACTGTACACGGGTGCCGTATGACTGCTCCGCTGAATCCGAAACACCGACCATCCACCAGATTGATCAATTACAACGACTTCGCGCTCTTTCCACGGATTGAACATGACGTCTGAAAAAGTCGAATACTGCGCCTGCCACGGGTGCAGCTCAAATAAAATATTGCAATCGATCCGTGAGGCAGGGATCGTTGAAGTTGGGAGTTGATCTCCGGAGGCAGGGACCGGATGATTGCGATAGCGAGGAAACATGAATATTATGCAACCTTGCAGTCGGACGGCCAGAAGGGACTTCGTCTCCTTTCCTTCGATATTTTGTGAGGAGCTTATTTGCAGTATAGGAGCCCCCTTGCCCGCCCACCAGCCGGTCTCTTTGTCTGGAATCATTAGCCCAAATACATGTTCGTCAACCATGTATTCTGGTTCATGTAGTCTTATCAATCGTAACGCCTCGCCATGCATGCCACCCGGTAGAGCAAGAATACTGATCATTTCCCGTTGCCCGTCAGGTGCTCTGTGTGAAATTGCACTACTAGCCAACAGCTCCCCAACAGAAGGATCATACTCATCAAGTGCCTTTGCTACACCTTCTGAGAGCCTAACCATTGGTTTTACAAGATCCTCCGCGGGCTGTAATTCTGGGAACGAGTCGACTAGCTGGCGAAGTTCAGACTCGAGAGCGTTATCGTATCGTTCCTCACGTCCGTCCGCATCATCTCGAAGATAAACATCGCTATCAGCGCTGGCGGTGGGTTGGACCAAATCCTCTGGTACCTGGCTCAACTGGAAAAAGCGGGTGTTGCAATTTAATTTTGAGAAGTTCCATCGCTTCGAGGTTGGATCATACAACGGCACGCCGAAGTGCCCATAATGGATGGAACGGAGATCAGCCCGGCGCAACTTTGAGGAGTTCATGGCTATTAATTGGACAGAGCAATCGAAATTTATTCATTGTCGCTTATGTGTTGCTGCTTATGCCGCTCAGAAGCGGATGCTGCACTGACTAGACTATCCTCAAGTCTCGCCTGCCACTTGATGGCTACATCTAGCAAAATGAAATGCGCGGCATTAATGTAAGATTTTATGGCCTGCCGTGAGTTTGCGAAGCCAACTGTCACTGGGACAAGATGGTGTACGAAAAATGCTGGTACGGCGAGCAGAAAAAGTTGTTTGAAAGTGAGAAGCTTTGGTGCTGACTAAGCAACACTCTTGGCGCTTGTTTACCTTTCGTCGTCACACTAAACAAGGCACCACGAAGAATCTCCTCACACTTCAAATCGTAGCGCAACAACCTCGAAGCAATCATCGCAAACATGGCAACCATTGCATACGAGAGCTCTCTGTCGACATCGTTGTCGCGATCTCACATTTCCTCAGATGTGCCTTCTATGGCCGATCAGCTGCCCAGCGTAAACTTCAACTTCGATGACCTGCGGGAGCGAATGGCCCGATTTACAGCTCGATTCGATCGATTCATTGAAGACGGCAGAAAGCGCGTGTTGGAGGAAAAGAACCAATTTCGGATCAACTTGGCTGAATTGCACGGTACGATTTGGGCTTCGTTCTTCCGCGCATGCAGGCATGTATATTTTGCTAACAAGTATGCCGAACAGAGGACCAAAAGCAAGTTTCCCGGTCCATTGAGATTGAAACTATGAAGGCGCAAGCCCACGCCGCACAACTAGAGAAGGAAGCTGCCGAGAAGGCCGAGATGCACGCCCAGATCAGCTCACTCACAAGCCATCGAGATACGCTCTCTGCACAGAATACAGCCCTACACGCTGAACTCAAATCGCTGAACGCTACTCTTGCTGCGCGTAAAGATGCACAGGCAAAGCACGCACGGTACCTATCGTCGCAATCACGTCACAATGTTCCCGAGTTATGCTTTTGGGAGGATTACCTATGCATGCGAATTGAAGGTGCCGGGGTTGAGGATCGGTTACGGTTTGTATTTAGCCATCTGATTGAGAAAGATTGGGAAAGAGAGGGTTGGTTCGAGCTTGACACCAGTGCACGAGAATACAAAGTGACAAGGACCGTGCCGAAATTGGAGGAAAGCGAAGTGGAAGCACTGGTTGAGACCATGAACGAGAGTAGAGAGCTAGGTCCGTTTTTCAAGGGCATGAGAGAGGCTTTCGTGAGGGCACTCAAATGATTTGATAGATTGGGGCTGGATTTAGTTCGGCGTTGAGGGGAACGATACCAAGGCTTTTTCAATTTCAAAGTTAAATATAAGCATAAGAGATTCTGTCATGTATATGCATGTTCAAATGCTCCGAACTGCAGTACGTAAAGTTGACAATAGTGCAGCAATGGAGATTGCGATATTGACAAAACTGGCAAGATCGATATGAGCGTTCGGTAGTTACCTGAGCGAGCGAACCTAGACTCAGAGTAGAGTCGAAGCTCGAGCTCCGTTGATGCGGTTGCTGGTGGCAGAGGTCTCTAGGGAGAGTAGAATGCTTAGCACGTTTACAGGACTTCCACCATTTCGCATATCGTACCTCACGGATACATTCCTAGGGATGCGCCTTGTTCATTGGGCTCTGGTCCGTCGTTTGTTAAGTGTACTGAATTGATGTCGACCGTAATACCTTGACTATTAATGTAGTCCAAGAGCATTCCACCGACCTTTATATGTAGAATCAAACTATTTCTCATCTCCACAGATCTGAGGTCGTACCAGTGAGAGCTAAGCAACCCAAAATGCTGCGTTCTAAGTAGAGACATGAGAATATGATCGACTGTTGACCCCTCTATGTACTCAAGTGGACGGGGCGCATTTTCGTTGTTGCCATTAAAGTGAGGATGTTTAGAAGCAAAGCGATACAGGGAAGTCAACAAATAAATGAGGTGGATAAGATAGATAAACAGTTTACGAGAAACATAGGGCAAATTCAAGCAGAACTCGCTTGACACCTATAACTTGTTTTTACATGATTGAATCCGGTCTTACCACATGTAATTCCGCAACTTAGCCGTCAGAGCCAAGGGGTTTCAGGACACTATTTTCAGAGACGGTCAAATGGAGTACAGCTTAACAGCTAGAGCAATAAATTGGTGCTGATTGGCCGTGTACATTGTTTCCATGAAATGACCTAGTCATGTCATGGAGAATTTCATGCCTTGTTTCCTGTGCGATGGACCTAGGTTACTAGAAGCCCAGATTAAAGTTTCGCATCTCTTCCGACTCAAGCTCTGAAAATTGAGATTTCAACAATGTACATGAATATCCATCTTGCTGAACCTCTCACGGTGTACAGAAACAGTCATAAACAACATTTACTTCTTCTGCCCGCTAGCATTTAACAACTCTTCTGCCTCCTTATTCTTGGTTCCTTCCTTGCCAGCTTCCTCTGGCTGCACATCCGGCTTGCTACTCTCACTCTTCGAAGCTGACTTTTTCAAACGTTCCGAATCCTCGGGCTTCAGGTCCGTCTTCTTAGCCTCCTCTTCATCCGAGTCGCCCAGACTGAAAGGGTCATTATCTTCACCAACTGGAGCCGGAGCAACAGACGTCAAGGGCTGCCATTTTTTGCCGCCCGATGTAGCTCCGGAGGTTGGTCCTTTGCCTTGTGGAGGAGATGGCTGACTATACAGTGCATCAACCTCATCGACTGGGCCAGTCGGGACTGCGGGTGTAGGCTTGAAAAGATTAGGATTTGCTTGAGGACGCGGCGGGCGGCGCGGTGGCGTCTCGTTGTCTTCCATCTGCAGCTCCCTGAAGTCATCACTCAGAACTTGTGGATCTGCATCGTAACGCTCTCTATCACCGCTTCTTCTGCCTTGTGCACTCATCCTGTTTATACCACGCAATTGCTCCGATTGTGAAGGACCAAAATTTTGCCGCCGAAATTGACCGCTTGACTGGCCTTGTTGAATATGTTCATCATCCTCATCGTCTCCATCGAGGCGCCTCTTGAATTCCGAGATCCATTTGTTGACCGTCTTTTGCGTTTCCTGAAAGCCCTTGGTAAGGTTCTTCTTAATTTCAGGTAAATCATCTGGAGAATAACATGTTAGTTCCCAGATTATAACGATTCGGTGATGTTCTCCAACATACCATCCCAGAAACTGTATTCATTTTCATGAAGTTCATTTGGCCTTTGTCTTCTCGCACCAGGAGGAGGACGACCCCTGCCCCGAGGACCATATTCACCAGCTGCGTTATCATACTGCTCCGCCAGTTGTCGTGCATACAGTTCATCTGCTTCCAACTGACTCATTGGCTGTTGTCTTCTCTGCGGGCGCGCGGGTTGTGGAGGGGGCTGTTCAGGCTCAAAGGTTGGATCAGACATGCCGAGCAAAGCATTGAATGCAGGCTCGACCTGGCCGCCGCTAGCAGTGAGAACAGCCTTGATAACTTTCAAATCGATTGACGGAAAAGCTTCAATCAATGTGGCTTCGGCTTGCGCTCGGGGACTCATTGGTCGTGGTGGTTTTGCTGGAGGAGCTTCTTCCTCTGAGAAGCTCACCTTCTTGGGTTCCTTGGGCGTTGGCGACGCAACGTGGTCTGGCTGAACGGAGCTGTTACCATCCTGAGGAGGATCGTCATCGAAGTCTGGCTCGCGACCAGTCGTGGGCGACTCGGCCCCGCTGTGCTATTACAAGAGCTGTCAACGTTGGCTGCAAAGGGATAAAGTAGGTCGGGAACATCCAGCTACCTTTTCCGGGTCTGTCATGCTTCAAGACGAGACTGATAGGCGGGAGAAGAGTTACGAAGAGCAGGAGGTAAATACTCGCCAAAATGAGCACTATAAAGTCGTCTTGTTCGGTGCCTAAAAGAGCTGACGACAATTAAGTTTCCAGTGTTTGTACGTTCTAAATCCGGACCAGTCGCCGTGGGGTCGTCATTGTGGCGTAGGCAAACGCCACATCGATGTCTGCTGATCTTTGCTACAAAAGGTTAGTGTTTATGTCTGATTTTATATGTGTTTGCGAGGTTGAAATTCATGCTGTTTCGAAGCAACAATGTCGAGGAGGGCGTAAGAGTCCCTACCATTCAAATGCATCTGGGGCCGTGCGAAAATATGTATTGACCGCTTCCAACATGGAATCGATAGAAGGCGAGTCATCTGCCTCATTCATTGCAAGTCTGTACAAGCCACCGGCCTTACTCCCCATTGCGCGTCACCGCGAGTCGCTTCTCTACCTTGTTGAGACATTTCCAGTAGTTGTTGTAATTGGTCAGACAGGCAGTGGCAAAACCACACAACTGCCGCAATTCCTTGATCAGGCAGGATGGTGTCAAGGAGGCAAAACAATCGCCGTCACGCAGGTAGGTATGTGTCTGGTCTTTCGAGAGCGGAATTCGAATTTAGCTAACGATTGCAGCCGAGGAGAGTAGCTGCTACATCAGTAGCGGCGAGAGTGGCGGAGGAGATGAAATGCCAGCTTGGGCAAGAAGTAGGATATTCGATCCGATTTGAGGATGTCACGTCCGCCGCGACAAGGATTAAGTTCGTGACCGATGGTTTACTGCTGAGAGAGGCTTTAGTAGATCCACTCCTCTCAAGATACTCAGTGATTATGGTCGATGAGGCTCACGAACGTTCGCTCAGCTCAGATATACTTCTTGGTCTCCTGAAGAAGATCCGCAAACGGAGACCGGAGCTCCGAATCGTCGTCAGCAGCGCTACTCTCCAAGCTGAAGCTTTTCTACGCTTCTTTGCTGGTGACGAGAATAATGCTAAAGAAGATGTCCTTGGGGGGTCAATTGGACGAATCATAAGCTTGGAAGGGCGGATGTACCCTGTTGACATCCACTACCTTGAAGAGCCTACAAATGACTACCTGGAGAGAACAGTGCAGACTGTTTGGGATATTCACACAAAGGAAAAAGAGGGAGATATCCTTGTTTTTCTCACTGGACGAGATGAAATCGAAAAGTGCATCGATCTGCTCTCTAATCGTATTGGCGAATCAACTACTCAGCAACTCACTCTGCAGCCTTTGCCAATGTATGCAGGACTTTCGACAGATCAGCAAATGTATGTGTTCGAACCAGCAGCGGAGAACATCCGCAAAGTCGTCGTGGCAACGAATATCGCAGAGGCTTCCGTCACTATTGAAGGCATAGTGTACGTAATTGACTGCGGCTTTGTTAAGCTGCGGGCATACAACCCGATGACAGGCATCGAGACACTCACGGCGACTGCTGTATCCAAAGCTTCGGCAACTCAGCGCGCAGGTCGTGCAGGTCGGACTAGGCCTGGCAAGTGCTACAGGCTTTATACAGAGGCTGCTTATCAGAGTTTGAGCGAAGTTACGGTTCCGGAAATCCAACGTAGTAACCTTGCACCGACAATTTTGCAGCTAAAAGCTCTCGGGATTGACAACATTGCCCGCTTTGATTACCTTACTCCACCACCATCTGAACTCGTCATTCGTGGACTTGAACTTTTGTATTCTCTCGGTGCATTGGATGACTATGCCAGACTCACCAAACCGCTCGGTCTTCACATGGCCGAGCTCGCAGTCGAGCCCATGATGGCAAAAGTTCTCCTCTCGGCTCCCAAATTCGGCTGCTTGTCGGAGATCTTGAGTATAGCGGCAATGACAAGTCTCCAAGGAGGCAGTGTGTGGTTCTATCATGACGACAACAAGAAAGCCACAGAGACCGCACGCCGGAAGTTCGCTGTTGAGGAAGGCGACCATCTTACACTTCTTAATGTGTATCAAGCTTTTGTTACGAAAGGGCGAAAAGAAGCTAAGTGGTGCAGGGATAATTATCTCAACTACAAGTCCCTTTCACGTGCTGTAAGCATTCGGAACCAACTTCGAAGGTATCTTGAGAGATTCGGATTTGATGTCTCCGAATCCCTCTCAGGATCTGTGATGGGTGCGACAGACAAAGCAAACGCGATCAGGAAGTGTCTGACGTCAGGTTACTTTGCGCACGCGGCAAAGATGCAAGCCGATGGCAGCTTTAAGACTGTGAATGGAATGTCGGTTTGGGCTCACCCAAGCAGTCTTATGTTCAATCGGAAAGCTGAGTGGGTTTTGTTCCATGAGATCATGGAGACAGCCAATAAGATTTTCATCAGAGAAGTATCGAAGATTGAGAGGAGCTGGTTGATAGAGTATGGAGGTGGGTACTACAAGATATCTTGAGCATCAAGAGTCGTTTTAGCATGATTTACAATTGTATCGTCCTATATCGATCAGCTTCCAAGTCAGATCTGTTGAGATAGCTCCTCGAATATGAGCCAGTATTTCGACTTGATGCAATGCATATAGCAGTCTGTAAAGCCTTATTGACGATTTAACATGGATTGAGATTAGTGCTAATTGTGTGCCTTACTGTCCCAAATCTGATGGCTTTATTCATGCATCAATTTGTCTCTACCTGACGAACCACCCTCCCTGGTCGCAGTTTTTACAGTCGTAATCCGACACCCTGATTTTCGCAACGAGAGGAAATTCGATGTACTTTCTTGCATGAGCAACGCAGACAGCACAGATAGTATTATCGTCACGTCGTCGAGAAGCAGTTGAACATTAGTTTGCTGGCACGTCATGAGGGCGAAGCCTAGTGATTACATGTGCTCCAGCACAGACAAGTTCCCTTCCCATTGTTCAGACCACATCGTAGATAACCAAGGAGAGCGCTCGGTCCAAATTTGTGTCTAGAGCGTAGTGTCCTTGAACTCGCTATCATCACCATACAAGATTGTCCGACCCCTGGCATTGTTGCCAGTTACTTCCATACAAGATGAGCTCATACAACGCTGACTCAGCAAATCTACCATCCCCTGCCCATGTTCTTCAACCACGTGCCCCCTTAAGGACGATGTGTAAACAAAGATCGGGACATTAAGTCATTTTAACCCTACGCCTCTTTCACTCTGGGACTTCAATAATTCGTAAAAAAAAATGCTTATCCATCCTGTGCTCGTCTTTGTAGCTAGCAATGCCATTGTGGTTCTTACAGCAGGTTACACGGACCGTGGATCGTTTCTACGATATGCATCGCTGCTCGTATTAGCTGGTTTTGCGTATCTGATGCCTCGCGCTCTCGTGTCTTTTTCATCCACGACAGGCTGGGTTGGACGAGTATCATCAGGGGCAGTGTTTTGGTCCATCATCACGGTCTTCGACAGACTTATCCTGCGCGGCTGGGACTATCGCAATTATAGATCTCATCTGCTAGACGACAAGAAGCGCAGCATCAAGCAACATGAAATGAGACCGGGAGATGTCGCAAAAGTGCGCATGGATTTTGGATCCGAGGTGTCCGGTGAAGCGCGCGGCGTCGGCAAGTTCTGGGAGGTGAAAAATGTACCGCCCTTTTCAAGGAAGGACACCAGGTTTGTGCCCTCGAGAGGCTCTTTTGTCTTCTGGCAAGCCTTTACCGTAGTGGTATGCTACTTCGTGCACAACTGGGCTGTCGCGATGATGGTGGGCTTGGACCGGAACCTCTTGCAGGAAGAATATATTCCTTTGCTAATCAGGCTTTCGGAGCTCACGTTCGAAGAGATATACACACGGGTTGTGGCCACATTCTCCTATTGGGCCGCACAATATTGCATGATGCAATTTTTCTATTCCGTCGCGGCGCTGTGCACTGCCATCTTCAAGCCACTGGATATCCCACTTTTCCGGCCACTCTTTGGCTCTCCTCAAGATGCATACACAGTTCGTAACGCATGGGGGTAAGTCGTAGAATCCGACTAGTCCCAAGCTTCACGAGTTGTTGATGACGCTGATCTAGGAAGTCGTGGCATCAAACTCTACGGTCTGGTCTGGAAGGCACTTCGGGCTTTCTTGCACATGATGTACTCTGCCTTCCACGCAGCGGTTTGCTACAGCGATATGTTAAAATCCTCATTAGTTTCTGCATTTCGGGTATTATGCACGTGTTTGCCGATATGGGCGGTGGCTTGTCCATGCTTCAGTCGGGATCGCTGCAGTTTTTTTCCATGCAAGCCATCGGAATCATGATCGAGGATGCGGTGCAAGCGCTTTTTGGAAAGAGTTTTCAACCAGAGAACGCTCATGCTCGCGCAATCGGGAGGCTATTTGGATATTTGTGGGTAGCCTTCTTTTTCACCTGGACATCACCGGTATGGATATACCCCGTCATACTTAATACTCGAAGGAGCGATGCCTTGTTGGGATTTGCTGCTGTCAAGCCCGTCATTTTGGGGAAGCAAGTCGAGTGAGGAACATCGTTTCCATTCTTCGATCCCGCAAAAGAAGATACCCATAGAGTTCTATAGTCTAAGCTTTCTCAGTCATATTGCGCTGAGTCAATTTCATGGCTGTAACGGCACAGCAAAGAATAAGAAAAGCAGACTTTCGCTTAAAGAATGAGAAACCAGCAGATCTGCTGGGTCTAGATCCAACCTCAAATGCATCACCAGCTGAAGAACCAGGAAACTCTTGTCAGTATTCGCTCCTAGCCACTTGAAATCCGAGCTACTGTCGTCGTTGCCTTGACAGCGGCAGTCTTTAAAGCCATCAGTCTCATTCGCTGCCCGACATCTAGGATGGCACCCAACGGCATTTACGGCCCTTGGTTCCCAGCAGCCTCACAAAGGCATCGAGGATGCCTGGGTTATCGCCTTTGAGAGCCTTATCGTGCCTTTGGACAACATAGACCTTTAATACAATCCTACTGAAAAGCCTGGACATACTCCAGATCCACGTGTTACTCATCCAATGTGAGATGAGTCGGAAAGTGATTCTAATCAAGCAGTTCAACGTGTTTTTAAGATCTGCACGACGACCCTGCCCTGCAATCGTGCTGTACCCTGGGGTTGTCATATCTCCACTGTAGTCATGTCTCCATTCTTAATGAGGCCGGCTTTGGTAGAAGAAACATACTTTTTTAGAGACCATTTTATTCAGCCAGACACATGCGGTGCGATATAGGGGTGGAATGAGCCAAGGTCTTCTCTGAGCAGGCAGAGAGAATCGTATGGACAGGCGCAGATCATCAGTGTCTTTAATGATTGGCGGCGCGCTGGTGCCATGTTTTGCGTCGCAAGCACGGGCGACTTTATTCGCTAGACTTTCCACTTCTAGCCGCTTTCCAACGATGATCATGTCGTGCTGAACTGTTGAGTCTGCCTTGACGATTCCTGGTTGAATCCAAAGGGCCCTCGTGCATCGTTAAGAGGTGATTTAACTACACGAACGTTTCAAGCGCTGAAAAATGACGTGCTGAACAAAAACAAGAAAAGAAGCAAGTATATCAACCAAGAACAGCGGTCTTCAACCGGCATCATATTCCCCGTAATAGCATAACTTGGTGATTCAAACTGTTCGAAAGGAAGGAGGCGTTGTGAGAGCGTAAGACAAACATCTCAAGCCCAAAGATCTGGGGCTCCTGCGACAAAGTGCTGCCCGTGGAGAGACGAAGACCAGTCGTGGCGGCAGATAGGTTATGGAAAATCCGACCAGGAAGATCGCTTCCTATATTTTCTAGCACCTCTACTTCGTGCTCCTTCTGCTACATAGCTGGCACAATAGCTTCCGCACAGTTCCGATGTAGCAGCACAAACCGCTTGACTGGCCGTCTGGAAGTCTGCCTCGTATTCAATGGCGGTGGCGCTTTATATATATATATTTTATCACAATGTACAGTTGCTTCTTGTTGCGTATGTTAAACGCCAGTCCAATGCATGCTTTTTGTAGTGTACAGCCGAACGCTAAGAAACGTGTTCCTTTCCGGCGATCTCGTCTCACAGCTTCCTTTCTATCCGGTTCAGCCTTCTCGATGTCTTGATCTAGGGAGATGCGTTAGCTGGAAGTTTTTTTTTTGGAAAAAAAGGAACAAAATGTTGTTCAGTTGGAGAGCTGAAGGCATGCGCCGACAAGCTTCTTTCACGTCTCGGAATTTACGAACCTGTCCACTCCTTGTATTCTGGCCTCGCACGGGCAAGCCCATGGCATGCCGTATTCCGCGATAACTCCTTATGTCCCTCAGCCGTTTGATGTTATCGAGTATCTCTCGGCGTTTGTCGTTCTCGATGTTCATGGTCGTCAAGTCGGCGGTAATGTCGAGCAGCTTTTGGTTGGGAAGCTCGCCTATCTTAGCACGCTGGTAAATGTGATGTTTCGCCATGATCCGTTGGGCAATGGCAGGCCCAATGCCAAAGAAGGATGTTAAGCAGTGGGCGACAAGTTTGGTGTCTGGAAAGTGCTTGGTGAGGAGGATGGCTGGCTGAGGAGAGTTAGCGCAAGCAACAAAGATTGGACATGGCAATGCGTACCATGATGACGAACGACGCAGCTGACCCTTCCGTGAATGAAGAGCTGTCGCTATGCAATGGACATACATACAACAGACTTCGAGCAGTAGTGCACCAGTGCACACGAAGCGCAGGCAACAAGGCACTCTCACCATTAACGGCCTGAGACCCTTTTTTGCTTGGTCGCGCGCTAAGTGGATCGCCTTGCGTTGCCAGCCCCTGTCGCCGCTCCTTTAAGACCGTTTGATACACATGTTTCAATAAATCGAGAATCAGCCCCCCGGACGATCCGTTGAAAGAACAGCTCACCTTTCCTTTCCCCACCGCTCTCCCCCCTCACACGACTGGAGCAGGATCACTCCAACGTATTCACAATGGCTCTCTTTCAGAAGCTTGTTATCACTCTTCTCAGCGTGCTCACGATCGCCTTCCTGTACTTCGCCCAGGTGGCTGAGGCTGCGGGCAAAGGGCCTCGCATCACGAACAAGGTGAGTGGCTTCTTCAATTGCCCCTTAGACGAGCAATGGCCGATCCAAGCAGGTCTACTTTGATATCAACCATGGCGACGAGCACCTCGGACGTATTGTTATGGGCGTATACGGCAAAACGGTGCCGAAGACGGCGGAGAACTTTGTCAAGCTGGCCACAGGCTCCGAAGGCTTTGGGTACGAGGGTTCGACCTTCCACCGTGTCATCAAGGACTTCATGATTCAGGGCGGTGACTTCACTAAGGGAGACGGTAAGTTTGGTGTAGCACGTCTCGACGCATGCTCTAGACTTGAACAAGGCTCACATGAAGTTACCACAGGCACGGGTGGCAAGTCCATCTACGGCGCCAAGTTCCCTGACGAAAACTTCAAGCTCAAGCACAGCAAGAAGGGCCTCCTCAGTATGGCAAACGCAGGAAAGGACACAAATGGCAGCCAGTTCTTCATCACCACCGCTGTCACGTCGTGGTTGGACGGACGCCACGTCGTTTTCGGCGAGGTGCTAGAGGGGTACGACGTTGTGGACAAGATCCAGAATGTGGAGAAGGAGCCAGGCGACAGGCCTAAGAAGCCGGTCAGGATTGTCAAGAGCGGCGAGCTCGAAATACCCGAAGGTACTGAAGTGCGCGGGGAGCTGTAGTTGCGCCTTGTCTTCCCTCCTTTCCCCCCTTGGGGCGCCGGGCTACCTCTCTGCTCTATCCCTCTCTGCCTCCCTCTCTCTCTTTCTCTCTCTCTTTTACATACACTTTTCTCCATTTTGAAAAGCAGCATCCAGAATCTAGAACCGCAAAGAAAAGAAGAAGAAGAGAGGCTGATAGTTTGTGTGTTGTCGAATATAAAGGCCTCGAAGGATCCGCAGAAGCAGTTCCGGGCGAAGAGCTAGACACCGCAGCAAACCCACCGGCGTTCCCCCCGTCGTCATCTCACGCCGCACCGTCAAATCAGCAACAAAAGCTCGACGACAAACCTCTCCCAGCCGGAACCGTGTACACGACGTACGTCGAGCAGCTGTCGGGCTCGCAACGACTGGTCGTGTTCGGTTTCGTCTTGGCCGTCTGCTTTGTGATTTGGAAGTCGAGACAGGCGACCAAGGCGCGGGCCAGGATACAGGAAAAGACGTTGGCGTAGCAGCCGCTCCGTGTACTTTACCTCGCAGATAGACAACCTTTTCCCCAAACAGCTCACGGCTCTGGCATTCGCACGTGATGCAGATGAAGCACCCTCGCCGACGTGACGACTCGTTCCCTCGTGTAAGCACTCACTCGGTGACTCGCACCGCCAGTCGCTCGTGCGGCCATCCGCTCCCGCACGCCCTCACTTGCTCCTTCCTCCCCTCAGTCGTTGACACACTCCCTCCTTCCTCCGCCCATGCGCTCACTCCCTCCGTCCTTCCTCGCCCGCTCATTCGCTGACTCATCCGCATGCTCGCACACTCACTCGCCATACCCGGCGAGTCGAACGACCATGAATCCCGTTCTGGCTGCCAGAATAACGTCTGACTCACGTATCCGCGCATGGTGTCTCCCTCACCCGCCGCCTGCTGGAAGCTCGTGAGAGCAACGGGCAGACCGTCGCCGGACCTGCGATTGCGCTGGCCAAAAACAAGGGAGCCAGTCTGCATGCAGGTTCGTGCACAGCGCGACATGCTGGCGCAGCTCAGCTGGCCCTAGCGCCATGAACGAGGCTTCTCCTTTGCTTTTCTTTCAGTCGGTGGACAGACTGGATTTCAGCGGTGAGTGATTGGCTGCGAACGTGGATAGTGTGCAGCAAAGGTGCAGGCGTTGAGACGAGCCCATGTTGGGATTGGCTCGTATCCCAGCATTTTTTTTTCCTTGGTCTGACTCTTCTTCTAGAATGTGCAAGTCCCAAACAGAACAGAAGGGAGCGGATGATCGCATTGTTGCCTGGCGCCTGAGGCATTCCGAGTGGCGGAAACCTTCGCTGCTGAGTTTTCGTCCTGACGCGACCGATAAAACTTTCCGGCCCAGCCAAATCTTCATCCTTCCCCTTCCCACAAATCCTCCCACAACCCAACAACCCCACGCCCCTCGCAAAAAAATTAAAAAAGTCTTTCAAAGCATCTCTTTCCTACTTCTCTTGTCTGTCTTTATACAATAGGCGTTGACAAGAGTACACGCGAAGAGTCATCCCCTTTTCACAGTCAGCACTGCCCTCTGTCGAGTCGTTCTACCATCTTCGCAGTTGGAGACGTGACACTTTCGCTGTTTCTGTCTCTCCCTTCGATACAAACGACTCCTTTTCAGTCAACCGTCCCTGAACGGCATCTAAATCTCGTTTTCTCTCATCGCTCGTTTGGACGCGGTCTCGAGAAATCTTCGATTTTCACCATACCACCAACTAATAATTGACGGTCGACGTCAAGACACGCAAACAACGCACATACATACCTCCACATTCGCACCTTTCGAACCACTCATCGCATCGACAACCACCCAACATGGCTGATCAGTTGAACATGAACGGTCTCTCGCTCAACGACTCCCAGCACGCTCCCAGCCAGAATGGCTTCAGTAACCAGAACACGTACATCCCGCCTCACATGCGGTCTCGTGCTGCCGGCAACATGGGCGGCGGCGCGCCTCGCATGAACAACGGCTACAACAGTCAGAACGGGTCAGTTTCATCCCAAATGAAAACTAGAGCCCGTACCACTGACGCTCCACGTAGCTTCGACGGCGGTGCTTCTTCCTGGGGCTCAACTCCCAATTTCACCCCCAACGGTGCTGGAGGTGGTCCTCCAACAGGCCGCAACTGGGACCAGCCCAACGTGCCTAGCTATCGTGGCGGTAACAGCTCCAACTTCTACCCCAACAAGTCCTATGGCTCGAGAGGCGGCGGAAACTTCTCTGGTGGACAAGCTACGGGCTCTGGTGACGGCAAGTGGATCGATGGCAAGCACATCCCGGGTCCGGCAAACCCACGCCTCGAGCGTGAATTGTTTGGCGTGCCCAACGATCCGACTAAACAGCACACCGGCATCAACTTCGAGAAGTACGACGAAATTCCAGTCGAGGCCTCTGGCCAAGACGTCCCCGAACCCGTCACGCAATTCACCAAGCCGCCCCTTGACGACCACCTGTTGAGCAACATTGAGCTTGCTGGTTACAAACAACCAACCCCCGTTCAGAAGTACTCCATTCCCATCGTCATGCAGGGTCGTGACCTGATGGCTTGTGCTCAGACCGGTTCTGGCAAGACTGGTGGTTTCTTGTTCCCAATTTTGGCCCAGGCCTTCCAGACGGGTCCGGCCCCACTTCCTCCATCAGCCAGTGGTGGATTCGGGCGCCAACGCAAGGCTTTCCCAACGTCCTTGATCCTGGCCCCGACGCGCGAGCTGGTCTCTCAGATCTATGACGAGGCTCGCAAGTTCGCGTACCGCTCTTGGGTTCGCCCATGCGTCGTGTACGGTGGCGCCGACATTGGCTCTCAGCTCCGTCAAATCGAACGTGGCTGCGATCTGCTTGTCGCTACACCAGGTCGTCTGGTCGATTTGATTGAACGTGGCCGCATCTCCCTGGTTAACATCAAGTATCTTGTCCTGGATGAGGCTGACCGCATGTTGGACATGGGTTTCGAGCCGCAGATTCGTCGCATAGTCGAGGGAGAGGATATGCCTCCTGTCCATGCTCGTCAGACGCTCATGTTCTCTGCCACTTTTCCACGTGACATTCAGATCCTTGCTCGAGATTTCTTGAAGGATTACATCTTCCTGTCCGTCGGCCGTGTCGGTTCCACTTCTGAAAATATTACGCAGAAGGTCGAGTACGTCGAAGACAACGACAAGAAGTCCGTTTTGCTCGACATTCTCCACACGCAGGAAAAGGGCCTGACCCTCATCTTTGTCGAGACTAAACGCATGGCTGATGCTCTATCCGACTTTCTCATCAATCAGAACTTCCCTGCCACCTCCATTCACGGCGATCGTACCCAGCGTGAGCGCGAGCGAGCCCTTGAGATGTTTCGCTCTGGCCACTGCCCAATCTTGGTCGCGACCGCCGTTGCAGCTCGTGGTCTAGATATTCCCAACGTCACGCATGTTGTCAACTATGACCTCCCTACCGATATCGACGACTACGTCCACCGTATCGGCCGTACTGGTCGTGCTGGTAACACTGGTCTTTCAACTGCATTCTTCAACCGTGGTAATCGTGGCGTTGTTCGCGATCTGATTGAGCTGCTCAAGGAGGCCAACCAAGAGGTTCCAAGCTTCCTCGAGGCTATTGCTCGCGAGTCCTCTTATGGCGGAGGCCGCGGTGGTCGCTCTGGTGGTCGCGGTCGTGGTGCTTCAGCCACTCGGGATGTTCGTCGTGGCTTTGGCAACCAGGGTGGCGGCTTCAACTCCAACTCAGGCTTCGGTGGTGGATACTCCGGAAACAACTACGGTGGCCCAGGAGGCTATGGTGGCTCCGGAGGATTCAACGGCCCCAGCTACGGCGCTGGCGGCTATGGCGGCAACTATGGCAACCCAAGCGGTGGCCCAGGTGGTTCTTCTTGGTGGTAAATGCGATCGCTCTCTCGATCGATTGTGCGCTTGACCGCCAATTTCCTTCAGTAAACCTCCTCGCACACTACTGGGACTCCAAGGAGTTTACGGCATCTTTTGATTGTTCTGCTAATTTTGACTTTGCGGCTTCAATTTTTTTTCATATCTTTGTTTTCGGACATGGGCACATAGAACGAATTGCTTTCGAAAGTCCGGCTCAGACATACCCCGACAGCATGATAGATTGCGTTTGATGAGCATGAGCATTTTCCAGCATCAACATATGGCGCTTCAAGATCAAGTTCATGTACGGCGCGCGAGAGAGTCCTATCTCTGGGATAAGGGAGCGAGAGGCTCTCTCACTTTTTCACGTATATGAACGAGGAACGATGACGGCTATGATACCCCACACAACAAGAACGAAACAAATGTTCAAGAGCAGAAAAGAGCTAGAGCGGACGGATATATATTTTTGACGGTTTGCTCGCTCGCTTGCTCGCTCGCCTTGTGTGGCGTTTGTTTTTCTACTGATGCTGGTTCGGGGCTGCAATCAATGCATGGCATTCCCCCCATGATTAGACTAATCCGGGCTTTCGAAATAAAACCCGCTTTTCACAACATCCAATTTGCCGACAAGTTTTCTATTCCTTACGCACTTCTGCGACATGAATTGCACATTTTCTCAGTTTGCTTCTCAGTCGAGCACACGGTACATTTTACGGCACGGATTTCATCTTTTTTTTTTCTCGGCTAAAGAAAAGAGCGATCTCATTTTCTTCTGATAGACGGAGGGCGGAGGGCAAGCCTCTCTCTTTCTTCTCCTGGATACCCTTCTACCAAAGGAGAACGAAAAGTTTACATTACATTTGATGACCCATCGAATGGTTAACGGGAGGTATCACGGAGAATAAAGGAGAATAAAGGTTACTCGGTTCTACTCGCTGCATGGAGGCGTTTTTTTGAGAAAAAGAAAAACACGAGAGATGATATCTCATGAGAGGTGTCTTCTGCGCACTTGGACAGCGGTCATTCTTTGATCAGGAAAGGAATGGAACGGGCATGAACAAGAAGAAACGAGATGGGACTTTCTCTCATTTTCGAGGAACGGAAGGGAGCAATTGGCGGTCATGATATTGTTGTGCTTAGCTAAGCCTCCTTACGGCGGAATGAGGTGCTTTTTTTCTGTTTCTCTCTGCCCTTTCTGGCGGTGGCTCTCCCTGCTTGTGCAGGCAAACGCCGCAGAGAACGCTGCGATCTTGATCATGGCGGCCTAGGAGAATGAGATCAGGTACAAAAAAAATGGCATGTTTTGTTCGAACTTGTGCCCTGTGCAGGTGAGCAGATGCTTGGTGCAGCCGGCGCGACGGCGAAGGTCCAGCACGTCAGACTCGTGAGACGTTCCTGGCACGTGTCGCAGCGAATTTTCAACGGCGCCTTACCGCTTTCGTCCGAGCCGGTTGGGATGCGGATCTTCGCCACCGCTCCAGCGTCCACTGGCGAAGGGAACCAGGGGCCGACTGAACACCTCGCCTGGTGAGCCAATCAGTGGTGGTTGTGCACACCTGGATGCGTACAGAGTTGTAGAGTAGCAATGCAAAGCCTCATCTGGTTTTTGTTAGTGCGGGAATGGCGTGAGTGACGCTGCGTTTTCTGTCAGCCCGAAGTCCAAATTAGCAGCGTTCTTGGATTTCCGTCTGGCGCTTTAGCCTCCGACACCTCTCGAATCGAGTGTCTGCAACCGTCTCCATTGTCGTTGTCGTCGTCCTTCATCCCTTTCCTGCTTCCTGCTCCCCATCACGGCTCTTTTCTGTCGTGGGCCGGAACCCAGGACCAGTAGGAGGCGCGCAAGGCGTTTATACCCGAGTCGACCCATCGCCGTGCACGACCAAAGAGTGTGACGACCGGCCGAGGGCGACGGAAGGAAGCTCCCGTGTCTCTTTCGACCGAGTCTTCTGCTCATCCGTCTCAAGAGTCGGTCCACTTCCTCTGGCTGCGTTATTGCGGACTCAGATCGCTCGTCTGCGACACGCTCTTGTTGTGGCAGGATGGACTCGAAAACTGCGCACCCTGCGCGAGATCTCCCGTCGTCAGCACCGTCGACTTCTGCGAACTCGGCAGCAGCAGCGGTAGCAGCACCGACGTTGAATTTGGCCGGTTCTGTTGCTAAACCAGCCGAGCAGGAGAAGCCAGAGGCGAAGAGTAGCTTGAAGCACATCCTTGCCGGAGATCCAGTTGCTGGAGAATCCTCGACACCCAAGGCACACAGTGGTGCGAGATCTTCGACGTCAGCAACGACACCAGCACATCCACAACCAGCCTCTTCCTCGACGTCCAAAGCACCTGCGACAACCACGACGACCACGACAACCCCCGTTCGCCAGTCGTTGCAACCGAAGCGTGCGGAATTGGCAATGGCGTCCACGCCCGGCTCCACTCCCGGCGACGCTGCACCACATCCGCCCTCCAGCACTACCAAACCCATGTATACGGCCAACCCAACGACCACTCGCCGAAACGCAAACGGCAGCGTGTCGTCGGTGTACTCTGGCAACAAGATCCGGCACCTCAAGAAGGAGGACGGCGTGCCGCTGTGGCGCAAAGACATCCAATATGATTTTTTGAAATATGTGTTTGAGGACGACAAGAAAGTTTTTCACAAGGCCAGCGACGGCACGGCCGGCCACACGTTTGCCGACATCTATCTGGATGCCATGGCAAAAAGCAGCAAGTGCAGCAAGATCCTCAAGGACAAGCTGCTGACTGAGCGGCCGGCCGCGCTGAACATGGCCATGGTGTGTTTGTTGGTCAATGTCGGCAGAATGAACACAACATTGAACTGTACGGCCCTGTCTCTGTTTCCCAGCTGGTTTTGAGCATTTGCGCGCTGCATGTACTGACGTGTGAGAAAAACGTAGTCTTTCCTGAAATGCGAGCTCAGCTGCGCACATACCACTCCATACCGTCGTTGCAGGCAAAACAAGATCCCAATGCCTACAAGCAGCTGCAAGACGCTCCAAGGCTGAAGTCGATCCTTAAGGGCGCGACCGAGGACACGGAGCAACCCTCGACGCTCGAGGACATTCGCGCAGCGCCCATCCCACGCACCAACCCTGTCAACCTCATCTTCGTCCTGTCCCAGTACGCACCCAAGATCTCAGAGATGCACTTCGATGTGCCGAGGGACTTCTTCGATCTTGTTATGAAGCCTAATTTGTCGAGTCGGAGTCGTGCGACGGCGTTCCTGTGGCTGATGTGGTGGTACCTGGAAAGCGACTTCTCGACCAAGGATGCACTAGCGAACCCGTACGGGCCCGGTAGGAGAAGTAGAGAGGGCGACGAGAGAGAGATGCCGATCAAATGTCCACAGTTCGAGTATCTGACGGAGGAACAGGAAGCTTTGGAGAACGTGGACTCTGAGGAGGAGAAGGAGTTCGGCGAGGCGAAGCGGAGGGAGAGAGAAAATATACTGATGACGGACATGGCACCGGTGGTTACGGGGCCGAAGAGGACGAGCAAGAAAGGCAGTATGTTCCTTTTTTTCCCTTCTCCTTCCCTTCGTCACTTTGACATCGCTTCTGGCGAGAGGCAGCATCAACCACTGACATATTTCTACGTAACATAGCCCTCAACAGTTCTGGCATCGGTGTCTTCTCGATGACTTCTGAAAATGACGCGGCAAGCCCGGCCAGGGATTACGGCTCACCGGCGCCATCACAAGCCAGTCGCGCATTCAAGAACCTACATGGAAGCGCTGTTAAGGAAGAAGGCTATGACAGCGATCAAACGCGCTCGGCGAGTCCAACGGGCTCGTATGCTACAATGCACCACGCTTCGAAGACTTCAGCACCAGGCTTGCGCGTCAACGCTATCCTAAACGAAGATGCAACCACACCATCGACTGGCGCCGCAATTTCTTCACCTGCGCCCAAGGGCCCAGGCAGGGGAAACTGGGGCCACAGACGCAGAGCAGAAAACATAGCCGCTGCAAACGCAGCCGCGGCAGCTCAACGACAACAAGAAGAATCTACACCGGGCGGAGGCAGTTCCCTCGGCGCCCGCCCGCACGGATATTACATTCCATTGAACGGCCAGATTGTCGAGCCCAAGCGCAGCCGGCCGCTTACCGTCCATCAGCAGGCCGTAGAAAGGTACCGCATGGAGAATGTAAATTATATTCTTGACCGTGGTCTGCGCGAGGCCCACGCAAAGGCTAAGAGACGACGGGCCAAGGACTCGGGAACTGTCGCGCGCGCGTGGAAGAGGTGCAGGGCCTTGCCAGACATGTACGACTCGGAGGAAGATGGCGCTACGGGTTTACAGACTGCACAGCAAGAGGCCATGGCTGCGGCGCGCGCACTCGTCATGATGGCGAGCCTCAAGCCCTGTCATTGGGAGATCAATGACTGGGGCGAGGAGGCAGCAAGCCTGGCGAGCGGGATGAGACGAGTGAGGAGACGGACGGAACGCTGGGACAGTGGCACTCCCGTCGTGAGAAAGCGCGATGCGCCCGGCGGCGAGGATATGCCGGTCAAATCAAGGGATGAGTACGAGGAGGATATCATGGACGTGGATGAGGCACTTGAAAGGAGCAGTTTGCCAGAGAGGGACGAGATGGAGGAGGAGGAAATGGAGGAGATGGAAGGGGACGAGGGACTGGAGTACACGAATGGCAACGGGCATCGGAGGGTGAGTGTGGTTGGCTAAGGATACGAACCAGAGGTCAAAAATTTTGCTCTTGATGCGAAGATCATGCTGTGTGTTGGATTTCGCATGGCCGTAGCATCTACTTATGGGGGCATGACATTACGGAATAGATAAATATACATTCATTGCGTCAAGGCGTTCTCAGTGACAAGATTTTTTTTTTTTTTTTTTTTGACTTTTTCCCCTCCACCCTCCAAACCACCCCCGTGTTTCATTGAAGGAGCTTGGGTGTTTTGGGACCAAAAGAAAGCTGGGCTGAGCAGTTGAAAGATGTACTGCCGAACAACTTGGCCTGAAAGCAACCTGGACCAAGTGCTGAGCTAACTGCGCATCGTACCAGCATCTGGCCTCGCTGCTCCCTTCTTACGGCACGCGGGACTGGGAGACTTTGTTGTCCGTCCTGCTTTTGCTGGGCGCGTGGTCCCCGTAAGGCGCCTCGTCTTCGAGCAAGGCCTACGCATGCGCTTCGTGATGAAACGCGCACCGGCTTAAAGGCTTGAATACTTTTTTTCTTTCTTTCCTGGTGGACGGGTGCGCGCCAACTGGGCGGGCGTTCACCTGCGCGATTCTCCACTCTTCTTTCCCGTGCGTCTGGTCAACATTACGTGCGACTCGCGCGGCTGAATCTAGTCAGTCCTGCAGATCCTGGCCGACACCCAGCATCGTCGATGGCTTTTCAAACGTGCTGGGCCTTCGCTGAGATACCCGCATGCCGTGCGATTCCGCGGCTCTGCGTCGAATTGGGCCGGTCCATTTCGTGGTGTCCGAAATACAAAACACATTCGCCTCGGAACGAATTGAAAGAGAGAGGGGGAGAGAGGCTTGTCTGCTGCTACGCTTCAGCACTGATCATCAGGTGTTGTTGAACCTCGCCGGGTCGTCCATTACATGCTTTTCTGTGCTCAGGCCGAGCTAGGACCCTCCAAACTCGCTCAATTACGAGCACGCTCATCCGCTTCGGTCGAACTCATGCCAAACGTAGACGGAATGAATCTCTGTCGCTTTGGTGCAACAGAGTAGATTGGCCACAATTACCTTTTGTCCTTACAATCATACTTCGAAGCACCGGATTGCAAGTCCACAAGGCACTAGGAACCGTCTATAGCAAAAGCGCTCTTTTCAGCTGCGTATAATTTACGCGAACGGCGTGACGCGGCCCCTGAGATGATCGCGCTTGCGTTCTAGATCCGAAGTGGCTTGAACAAAGTCCAAACTTGGAGGAAAGATAATGCTATCACCGTAGTACAAGTACAATGTGTTCCGCCTCCAGATAGCGTGCCAGTCCAGTTTCAGCTTAGCGGCAACTTGCGATCGAGGTTGGAGGTGTCCGGCGCGCCGGCTGTCTGGATACTTATTGGATACCGAGATCGCGTACCAATCCAGTGACTGTCGCACCATAAGGCACGAATGCCAACTTTATATCCGCGACGTAGCAGATCCTTTCGACGCTATGGAAGAGAATCGGAACATCGAAATCTTCAAAAGGGATGATCCAGGGAGGGCTGCGGCCAGTCCCTGCCCACGTTTCTTGCGCCTCATGCACGCGGCCGAAAAGGGATATGCTTTGGCCGTTGAACGACCATGGAACCAAGGTGCTTGCTGTGCCGGACCTTTTGCTAGCGGCCTCTTGCAGCATGGATACGACTCATGCAACGGCTTAATACCATCTACGGAGTGCTTTGTACGCTTTGGACTCATGGTTGTAAGCCAACACTGGTTGGCAGCATCCCGTCTTATTTCCATCGATCCTCTGGCCGCATCTTAGGTTTCGTTTTCACCTGAGCAGCCTATCGCGTCAGTGACGACGAGAAAAAGCTCCGACGAGCGCCGCTGGTCGATCCGCACTTGCTGCCAATGCTGCCCTTTCCGGATTTCCCTGTGCTTTCTGCATGATCTTCACAGCGAGGACTTTACTTCAGGCACAATTTTTATGTGCGAGATTGCCGTCCCAAGGCCAATATCCGCCGTGTCACTTTCTTCTAATTTCCTCCAGAGGGAAAGGATTGAGGTCTGGTCGAAGGGGCCTTGCGGTCAACTGTGGGGCCTTTTCATAACGTACTGTGTGTATAAACATTTGCTCCTAGCGTTGTTCGACGGTTTCGTTGAATCTCGTTCCAGGTTGGAGCCGCGAGTCAGACGCGCAGCCTACTCCGCATCGCCTTAAGTCTTTCCCACTTTTCTAGTGTACAAAGTATAATAAGGCACAGAAGAAGGCCAACCGTGGTCTTGACTATCACATAACTCGTGAGCGGTCTTGCCATATCACTCTATGCCACCCCCGCTGCTCCAAAGTGAGGCCGGGACATGGCCATCGCTGCGGCTTCTCCCATGAGAAACCCCGAGCAATGGTCGATGTGGAGACGGAGCGTGTTCAAGTTCCCTCCGACGGATCTCAGTTCATACCCGCCGCCGAACTATATCAACCCTCAGGAGCGAGGGATTGAACTTTACATCGTCAACTCAACAGCGTTCACGATCACACTCGTATGCGCCTCGGTGCGACTGTACACGCGAATATGGGTTCGCAAGTACTTCGGCCTGGACGACATGTTCCTGGCGCTTGCGCTTGTAAATTCTGCATCCGATATGATCCAGTCGAGGCAGCATGCTGATATTCGCAGGTTGGCGCCGTCGGAGTCACCACCTGTATCGTGCTGGGCAGTCACCTGTACTACTGGAACCGGCATTCATGGGACATTCCCCTGGACTCGGTCGAGGGTGGGTACAAGTCGATCGCTCTTCTGGATCCTCGCTAACGGTGTCGAGACAGTGTCTGGGAAGGTTCTTTTCGCCATTAAGATTCTCTGGTACTTCACCTCGAACTGCGTACGAGCTTCCATCTTGAGTCTCTACTATCGCCTTGTGAACCACCTTGGGCTGGACAAGTATCGCTGGGTTCTCCACGCAAACAGTGCCTTTCTCCTCGGCCTGTTCCTCGCACAGGAGGCCACCTCTGTTTTTGGCTGCTGGTAGGGTGTCCAAACGCTTCTAAAGGTCAAACGTTTCGGCTGATTCGTGGACAGGCCAGTAAAGGCATTGTGGGCATTCCCTCCAATTCCTGAGGCGAAGGCAAGAACGACCTTTTCTCACAAGGTACCCCCTGCTGACGTAGATACAGTGCAGCAATCTCGGTGCCACCGCTATGATTGTGGGAATTCTGAACTCATTTTCAGAGGCTGTGTTGGCCGTGCTGCCGCTCCCTGTCATCTTCTCCTTGAACATGAGCCGTAGACAGCGTCAAGCAGTCGCGGGAATTCTATGCGGAGGCTTCCTCGTTGTTGCTGTCGGTTGCGTGAGGTTGTATTATCTCTGGCTAATGGTTACGAGCGGGGACCCTACGTGGTGGTCACAAGTATGTAGACCCGCTGATGTCGGCTCCTCGATACTGATCACTTTTCAGCCTCATTGGATATGCTCTGAGTTTGAGATGGACGTGGCGATCGTGAGTGTGCCATTCATACATAATGGCGCCGTATGCTAACCATTCAAGATATGTGCCTGTACTCCGGCTATTCTCTCGCTGGTCAAACATAATCGAGCTTCCCGAGCCTCTGAGGCCAGCAAAGTCAAGCCGAGCCATCCCACAAGTGAGACTAGCATTCAAAGCAGTAGTTTGCGGTCAATCTTCGTCCAGACAAAAGCCCAAGCCTTGGACAGTCAGCTCCCGGCAGATGCGGACCAGGCCATGTCGATCAAGTCAGGGCCAAGCGCGAAAAGGAATGTCGACATCGAAGGGATCAAGACGTCTGGATTTGGGTATACCGTGACTATAACCACAAGTCATGGTACCAGGGTTCGAAGGCGATGGGATGTGCAGAACAGGCAATGGCATTATTTTCCAGAAGAACCAGTCTTGGATCCTGAAGACTCATTCCAAGTATCAAAGTCGGGGACTCGAACACGATTATCGAAGGGTTCCGTCAGGCGAAAGCTTCCGTCGTCCAGTCTGCAGGCAATCAATGCGACGAGAGCTCCGCTGCAAGTGGCGGCAGAAAGGGGATCCGAAGCGAGAGAAAGCTTTCAGCTGGGCAGATTTAGCGAGGAGAGAAGCCGCAGAAGTTCACCTAAGAGCAGGATGTCGTCGAAGCACGGCAGCATCGACGTGATCCCACCGATGCCAGACATCCCAGCTTCGCACAGAAGCAAGACGGCCATCGAGGACATTCGGCTAGGTATTCTGCCTTCCCCCAGCTCCGTGGCGTTCGAGGAGACGGACCGGCCGCAAACGTCGCACCGGGCGAGCACCTCGAAGTCGTCGACGTCTATCCTGCTGCCAACACCCACGGACACTTTGCGCCCGTCCCTGTCTGCTGCTCAGCCTCTGGATTCATTTCAGCGTTGGACGTCTGCGTCTCGGTCCCAAGTCGGCCGAGGCCTAGACGGGGGCGGCCTTTTGTCGCTGCGGAAGTCTCTTGACGATCAGAGCAGCGACGACGAGTTCAGCCTTCCGCTGCAGCAACCGAGCCCCAGAGCGTCGGGTACATAGCGTTTGGACACTTTCGGGGGGCGCCTGGGATTGCGGTTCTGCTGGAATCGCGAAACGACGATGAACGACGAACACGAGGACATGTTGGAATCTTGCTCTCCGCTGACACAAGGGTTGGCTCAAGAGATACCCCTTACATGATGCACGTAATGTGGCACTTTCTTCAATGTTCATAGACTAGGGATGAGCAAATTAGCGAGCATGTAGACCATGCTCTCGTGATACACAGTCTAAAGAGCCACTCCACTCCTCCCTTGTTCTTTTTTTTTTTTTTTTCTATTTCTTTCAACTGATAGTCTTAAAGACGTACGTACTTCAAGGTATCAAAAGAGGTACATCGAATCAAACATCTTTAAAGTTAGCCCTAGCCACAGTCCGCTATGATACAGATTAGAAGACTGAACTTCTGGTCTCGGCTGCCCACTGCACCAGCGCCAAAGACGAAGTTCGTACAAGCGTCCTAGAACGCGACGTCTTCGGGGCTGCGGTCGCTCGTTCTGAACTCTCCTTGACCGCGGCGGCTACGCTGGTACCCTCAACGAGCGGTCCGCTGCGTGCCGCCCATACTGCATTCTCGAGTGCTGGACCCCCTTGCCCCTTCTCCCGAGATGGATTCACGCTACCGTTCCGCTGTTGACTTTTCGGGCGTGAAACGTCGGCGGCGGTGGACAAGCACGTTGATGCAGACACAGAATACGTTCGCTACGCGATGCAGGTTCGTGGGGGGAAAAGAAAAATTTTACGAGAGCCAAAAAAAAAGGCGAAGGCCAAGGCGGATGTTCTGCTCTGTTTGCTTACCGGACACTGTTGCTGTTCAACGCCGTTTCGACCGGATTTACGACGACGGCCCCGCGGACTTCTGTGCTACCTTAGAGGTCGCCGTCGTCCCGATCCACGCTCGCTGTTGCGATGCCTGAAGAGGCGGTCAAGACATCTTTGCACAGGACCGACCCACGCGTACGACGCTCCGCAGAACATCCGACGGCGGTAAGGTTCCTCTGTCGGACGCATCGGGCCCCGTTGGACGCGTGGGGAGCAGGACGCGTCCGCCGTGCCGTCGGCGGTCGCCCTCGTCGTCTCGGGGGCACTCGTCCGCGTCCACAAACGAGTGGACGGGATTCGCGGGCCTGGCCTGCGTCAGCGGTGGGCAGGCGTCATCACATGTTGGCCTTGAGGGCAGAGTAGGGTCAAGGTAAGGTTAAAGGGTAGGGTTAGGGCAGGGCAGAGCAGAGCAATGTACGGCGTGTACAAAGATCGCAATGTCCATGCCACGTGCGGCGGCTTTGAGGCGACTGGCGGCGCCGAGTGGCTGATTGGCGGCGCCAGTCTGGCTCGAGCACTCGATTGTCGCGGAGGGGGCGTTCACGGTCAGACGCATAAACTGGTCGGTATCTTGCCCTTTCCTTTCTGCGGCGTCAGGCGCGCCAGCTCTGACTGCATACGAGAGATGTAGAGAGGGAGGGCAGGGCCACCGCTGGCACTGCGGCGGGAGCTGTCACGCAGGGAGCTGAGAGAGCTGAGGTATAGCGGTGAAGATCACGGAGGCAGGCCGAAAGAACCGCGGCGAACTTTTGGAGACCATTGAGCGATCGATCCGGTTTGATTGCTGGCAGAAGGAGAAAGATGGATACTTGTCTTTGCGCACCAAAGTACGGGGAAGGGCCGTGCGGAGGCCCGTGAGGAGGATTGATCGTTGTAGGCAGCTTTCTTCCATTTGTGATGCGCCAGCGGATCTGCACAATTGCCCTGAGGCGGTCACGCAGGCGGATGGCAGATTGCAGCTGGTGCTGGTTGAGCGGGAGCACGTGAATACGGGAAAGCTGGATGGTCAGCGTCGCTAGCGAGGAGTTTCGATGCTACTTCAGCACGGATGAAGGCAGCGGTAACGGCGACACTTGTGGCAGCGCCGCCGCAGCTCCAGGTGTGGAGCACGAAGAGGAAACGAAGGGGAACATCCGCGCGCCGGGTGGAACCAACACCACAGAGCGACGAAAGCACGTATGGAGACTGGCCCGGATTGGGCTCGATGAAACACGGCCGGCCAGTGAACATGGACTCGAGATGAAACAAGCGAGCGACGACGGGGGAAAGGGGGGCTGGATGCCTCGCCGTACGCGTCCTGCGTCGCCGTTCTTCGCCGCACGATCCAAGCCAAGGCACGGAAAAAGTAAAGGGAAAAGAGAAGGAGAGAGAAAGAAAACGAGGGAGCATCGTTGAAGGAACCCATCACGAGCCTGCGGGGGGCCAGCTCTCGTTTCGCGACGCTCAGCCGCTGGTGTCGGTCCCGGCGAGTGGTACGACTGGGGCTGGAGACACGGCCGGCTGGAGCTCGCACAGCGGCACCGAACGGATGACGTGGGCGGCAGAACAGAGGCAGGTTGTGCGTGCAGTGCGAGCAGTGCGAGCACATGTGTGTGCGCCTGCGGTTGTGCGTGCAGTTGTGCGTGCAACTGTGTGCGCGTGTGCGGGTGGAAAGCGGGTGGCAGTGCCTTGGATCGGCGGGCGCTAGAACGGCGGCGGCGACAGCAAGTCACAGACGCCCCGTGGCCCAGAACCGGCCCAGGGCCGCGCCCAGCAGCGGGACCGGCCGCGTGTTCGATCGGCTTCCATTCAGCGGGCGCGAGCCCGGAAGCGCATGGAGACAGGACAACGACGGGATGAACAAGCGCAAATATGAAACGGAAGGCGAGAAAGACACTAGGAACGCGGCGGTGGCCAGGCTGAAGGAGGATTCAAGGCTATCGTTCACGGCTGTGCATTCTCAGCAGTCCCACCGGTCTGTTTGGCTTGGAACGCAACCCCCCCGCCGGCCAACTGCCCAAGCGCCCCTCCCCCCCTACCATTGGCGCCCGGCCCCCCCACATCGCGGCGGGCCCCCCTCCCCTACTTTAGTGGCTGCACGGTGCTCTGGCTGAGATCAGCTCACGCACTTCCTAAACGACCTTCTCGATAATTCTCCGCCCAGTCTCGGCCTACTCTCGCCGTCCTCCATACCATCCACACCACCACACCACACCACACCACCACTGCTCCCGCTACCACAAACACCTCGCTACAACCCTTCCTTCCCCTCCGTTGCGTGATATCCAGCCTCACGCTCCCACTCGTTTCTTTCACACGCGTCTGTAGCGAGGCTCCTCCATTGTTCCTGTTCTTGGAACGTGCCCATGTCCACGCGCTGGTTCGCAGTCGGACCAGCGAAGGGCAGCAGCAGCAGCAGCAACCTCTCCAGTTCGTATCGTTCGGGCCAGCACCCCGCATCCGTTCAGTCGCTACGCTCCGTGCTGAGCGGCATTGCTGCTCGCGTCGAGCAGCTCCCTACGGCACGGCAGGCTCCTGATCCTCCCTTGGCTCTGGGCGTAGCTAACTCTCCCGCAGCCTGCCTCTGACACACAAAACACACGTCGACCCAGCACAAGTACCGACTTTGCCAGCCCGTCCGTCCTCGCAATTCATCCTGGCGACTTGAACGCACCTGAGGACAGACTCCGTAGACACCAAAATGCCAAATGGGCTGGCCGGACCCTTCCGACTCACGCTCTACACGCTTCTAGCCTTTGCGGCTGCTCAGCAGCAGCATCCGCAACAGGATGGCGTTCGCAGCTCCCCGCCTGAGAACGCAGCCCTGAGGCAGTTCACGCAGGCGCCTAATGACGCTGGCGGCAATCAGCACCACAGCAGCCCCGGCGGTGTCAACAGGAACCCGCCCGCCCCGAGCCTGGGCGGCCATCACGAGCCCACCCACCGTCGGGGCAAGAGCACCGATTACGCACACCAACAACACTTCATATCATCACCATCACCATCTTCATCCAAAGATGCGCGCGCCGTAGCGACTCTGGCTCCGGCCGTCCATGGTCGCCAGCAGGACGCTGGCGACAATGGCCGCGCCGTCCGAGCCCCGTCTGCGCCACGATCCGCTGCCGGAACGGCCTCTGCTGGCCTTCAAACCGTCCGTGCGCGGAGACTGCAGGACTGGGAAGTCGAGGACTTTGTCCTTCTGGCGACCGTCGACGGGTCCATTCACGCGAGGAAGAGGAGCTCGGGGAAGGAGCTGTGGAAGTTCCACTCGGATCGGCCGATGGTGGAGATCTCGTATGCAAAGGACCGATTCAGAGAGTACGACCGCATGGGCAACGAGGAGGACATCATGTGGATCGTGGAGCCCAACGACGGCGGCACCATCTACATCTTCGTGCCCGGCGAGGGTGGCGGCGTCCAGAAGTGGGACATGACCGTCAAAAAATTGTTCGACCACTACAGTCCGTACGAGGACCCGAACATGCCCTTTGTCTACACGGCCGAGAAGAAGAACACCCTCTACACCCTGAATGCCACCGACGGTACCGCACTCAAGTACTTCAGCTCCACCGGCGGCGGCATCATGGGCCAGAAGTCGTGCCGCAAGGTCAACAACCTGATGCTGGACGAGGAGGACGAGGACGAGGAGTGCGAGTTCTCGCCCACGCTCAACCTTGGCCGCACCGAGTACACGGTCAACATCCAGTCGCAGCGCACGCAGCAGAACATCTGCACCATCAAGTATTTCGAGTGGACACCCAACAAGCGCGACGACGACCTGGTCGCCCAGTACTTCGACACCCTGGACAACAAGTACATCTACAGCCGCTTTGACGGCTCCATCATCGCTCTGGAGCACGACCGCACCGGCGGTGTTGCGCCCAACCCCTTGTACCAAAAGCAGTTCACCTCCTCGCCCGTCGTGCGCGTCTTCGACGTCGTGAAGCCTCAGGGGGCCGACACGCGCGAGACCCCGCTTGTCATCCTACCTCAACCCGTTGGCCCGCTCGTCAACAGCGAGCTGTCGGAGAACGTCTTCATCAACTGTACCGAGTCCGGCAGCTTCTACGCTCTGTCCGAGACAAGCTACCCGTCCGTCACAGACGGGGCCGGTTTTGCGCAGTGCTACAGCTCCTTTCGCTACCTCGACGGCTTCGGCGGGCTCGACGACGACACCAAGAGGCGCCAGGCGCTCACCCCGAGCTCCCTCGTCGGCGTCCACGCGCTCAACGAAATCCTGAGGCGCGATCAGAACCTCCTGACCATCTCCGGCCCGCCGCCGGAGGAAGAGGCGCGCAGACTGCACGACCCGATACTTCAGAACGAGGCTGGAAGCATCGTTGGTCGGCAGCCTGTCACGATCGATCCACCCAGATCCAAGTTCGAGACTCTGTCCGGCTTCCTGGGCCAGCAGACGGCGTTCAACCTGCTGTCGATCATCATCGCGCTCTACGTTTTCGCTCCTCCACTTCTGAAGTGGTGGAACAGGCAGTCAGCTCCGGCATCGCAGACGAAGCAGATCGTGCCCGTTGATCCAGTCGTTGTCCAGACGCCTGCTGTCGAAGAGGACGAGGCCGTTCCCCCAGAGCCTGTCGTGACCGAACGCAAGGTCCGCTTCGCGGCGGAAGTCGTCGACGAGGGCGCTGAGACAGGCACCGAGAGCATCGCTCCCTCGGTCAAGGATTCCGAGCTCGTGGTTCAAGGCCCCGTGACCGAGGATGGCACGCCGCCAATGCCGCCGAAAAAGAAGAAGCCGCACCGCGGAAGCAGGGGCGGCCAGAAGAACAGACCCAGCAACTTGAAGAAGAAGCTGCAAAAGGCCGCTGAAAGCAACAACACCAACGGCGCGGGCACCGAGATCGATCAGATCGTCGATGGCGTTGTCGGGTCTAGACAGGCGGGCATGCAACAGGACATTGCAGGACCAGGTATCGCAGACGCGGGAAGCATCACCGACGTCATGGACTCGATGCAAATCAACAGCATCAAGGTAGACACGAATCGAGTGCTGGGCTACGGCAGCGGGGGCACGACGGTGTATGAAGGCACGTTCGAGGGTAGAGAGGTGGCGGTCAAGAGAATGCTGCTGCAATACTACGATCTGGCGTCGCAGGAGATCAAGCTCCTGTCCCAGAGCGACGATCATCCCAACGTGGTGAGGTACTTTCGACACGAGAAAGACAAGGACTTTTTGTATGTGTTTTTTTCACCCACTCCTTCCAGCGTGTAGAAGAAAGAAAGGACATGCTTCAGTTAGGAACTCAATTTTTTTTACTAACAATAAGCTAGGTACATCGCCGTCGAGAGGTGCCAAACAAGCTTGTGGGATCTTTTCCGCGAAGGCCAGCCGGTTGACGGCATGGCTGACAGCCACATGCGTCTACTCAACGAGATTAATGCCAACATGACCGCTTCCCTATACCAGATTGCGGCAGGCTTGCGCCACCTACACAGCTTGCGCATTATCCATCGCGACATCAAGCCGCAGAACATCCTCGTCGCCTATCCCAAGAAGAATCAGACAAAGGGACCGCGTCTGGTCATTTCTGATTTCGGACTGTAAGTCCCTCTCGATTGAGATTCTCCTACATACTCCCCACTATCCTTTGTTTTTTTTTTTTTTTAAAAAAATTTTTTTTCGCTGTCCCTCGTTTTCGTCAAATTCCCCTCTGCTTATTGTTCGTCGGATAAGCTGACTTTTTTTTTCCCCTTCACTTCAGATGCCGCATGTTGCAGGACAATGCCAGCACGCTTGTGGGTACGGTTGGTAATGCCGGTACGATTGGGTGGAAAGCGCCTGAGGTGATCGGCCAGCCACGCAATGGGGCAGGCACGCAGTCGTCGACCCAGAACGACTCGAACTCCGGTTCGGCCAACGGAGACGGAGCAGCCCCTGGCGTCAAGCGCGCCGTCGACATATTTTCCCTCGGCTGCGTGTTCTACTATGTGCTGACTAACGGGTCCCACCCGTTCGACGCCGAAGACGGTGATATTGGCCACGTCGAACGCGAGATCAACATCAAGAAGTGGGACAAGCCAAGGCTCGACAAGCTCAGCCAGTGGGGCGACTCGGTCGAAGAACCTCGCCAGCTGATCGAGTGGATGCTTTCAAAGCAGCCAGAGCAACGGCCCACAGCCGCCGAGGTGATGAACCACCCCTTCTTCTGGTCGGACAGCAAGCGGCTGAACTTCTTATGCGACGTGTCCGACCACTGGGAGCGCGAGTGCCGCGACCCACCCTCGCGAGCGTTGCAGATCCTTGAGGAGATTGGGCGCGAGCGTAACGTGCACAAGGGCGACTTCCTCGCCGAGCTGGATCGGTGCTTTGTCGATTCGTTGGGCAAGCAGCGCAAGTACACGGGCGACCGCATGCTGGACCTGCTACGGGCGCTTCGCAACAAGAAAAACCACTATGCGGACATGGACGACTTCACCAAAAAGAAGGTTGGCGACCTGCCATCAGGCTACCTGAACTACTGGATGCGCAAGTTCCCTAACCTGCTGATGGCTTGCTACGACGCAGTGAGAGAGTGCAGGCTCGAGAACGACGCACGGTTTCGCAACTATCTTGAGGAGGCTGTGTAGCAGCGCGCGTGTGTAAGTGTGTTCGCTTTGGCTGGTCTGATGATGATTGAGTATTGGGACAGGCCAAGGGGACGATGACTGTGTGTATTCTTAAAACAAGTTTAAAAAAATAAAACAGTACATGATTCCATTCACCGTTATCTGCCTTTCCAGGCTTGGTTGCTGATCATTCTCGGGGCGCTTTATCTCGCTCCATGAACTTTGCCTTCGATTTCATGCACCGTCGCCTTCTGCGGGAAGAGCTATGCCAGATCATTTGACACCGTGCCGTGTGCCACCGCAACCACTGACGCCTGTTGTGAAGAGAGTCGTTTTTTGCCCACCTACCAACTTTTCGGACTGAGAACAATTCCCTTTTTCCAAGCCCCAAAAGGGGTGTGCCACACGCCTTCCCCACGACCACAGATCTCACACAGGCTTACTTGTAGAAAAGCCCCCTTCGTCCTCCCACCGCTGGGCTACCACCGTGTCCTCTCGGGTACGGTGAAGGCCCCTTCGCTCGCATCCAGGACGCGCCTTGTCGCCCTAGACCTTCACCCATACACGCACACACGCATAGATATGTACGAATGAGCTGAGGGTGGATGCGAAAAACGGGGATAAAGGAATGGGAGAGAGAGAGAGAGAGAGAGAGAGAGAGAAAGAGAATTTTTTTTTCTTTTTACATCGTCCATCTATCCATCCAGACAGGCAGGCAGTACGCAAACCAACCTGTCCCTAGGTCGCCCACGAGTCGGGACATGCGCCTTTTGACTAGGGTTACACGAGGAGCTGGGCGGGTAATTGATCAGCGTAGACTTTACTTGTATAGTCCGTTGGGGTGGGTGGGGGAGGGGACGGGGATGGCCCTTTTTTTCCCCCTTTCCCTTCAGGAATACCCGGACCAAAAAAAAAAATTTTTTTTCCAAAAATTTTTTTTCTTCTTTCTCTTTTCTTTACTTTCGTCCTGTTAGAAAAAAAAAAGGAGACACGCTGCATCAGTTTTGGGATTTGTTGGGGGGGGGGGGGGGGGTGTTCCGCTGTTCGGCCTGTCGATTCTTTTCTGCAGACTCCTGCAGCGGCGGCCGTCGCTGGGGACGAACGTCGAAAAGAAAGCGGCGGGGTTGGGAGGGGATGCCTCTTCCATCTGCTGGGCTCACGTGTGACGGCAGAACTACGCCGTGTGACGAGGTGCAAAAGGCAAGGAGAGAGGATGCGTTTCGAGTAAGCGTTCGTCCTTTGTGATACATGCTCGTCTTGCGTGATTCTCCCCCCGTCTCGTCGCTCGCACTACGGAAACACCACCCCCTCTCTTTCGCTCTCACTTCGTGTCGGCATGTCCTTGGAGCTAAAATGAGTCAAACACGGCCGGACAGGGCAATCCTGCCACGCGGGTGCGGTGGATGAGGATGGGCGGGGCCTTCGATCATCTTCGTTGCTCTGTCCTTTGGCAATCCTTCGCCGCCCCTCTCTGCACTCCTGGCTTGGCCAGGCCGGCATGATCGGCTAGTTGCAGAACGGTCGTGGAAAGCCGGTGGCTTGAACGGTCGTGCTTGCGTCCTTCCGAGGGCGGGTCCAGCACAGTCGCAGAAAAGACACGACGAGCCGTTATAGACGGGAGAGCGAGTCGTCTGGCTTCATCTGCAGTGGATGCCGATAAGGACGCCACGGTCGGGTGGAAAGCGCCTTTGCGGTTGAGAGAAGGCAGAGAGATTCCTCGTCTTGATGCCTTTCACACCCCGTTGGGTGCCCTATCTTGTGCCGCTCGAATGTTTCAAGGACGTACCGGACGACTGGTTCGAATCACGCCTTTCGCATCAGCCTTGGAGTGAAGAGCGGCCTGGATCTAACCGTATCGCCCCGGCGATCCACATCGCTGCCCTTGCTCAGCCGCCGGTCAGATCTGCGACGATCGACAAATCTGCAGGAGCCTCTTTTTCGTCTGACAGCTCGAGAACAAAGGAGACTTTGTCCGGCAGTCGCGCGTCCGCTGGCATCAACGCCGGGCTATCACTAAGGCCCCGGTGGCTCACCAACCTCCATCCTGGAGAATGAGCCGAGCAAAAAAAGGCGGACCCGTAAGTCTGACACGGAGGTGCCTGTTGAGCTGATGAGGGCGCTTCGAAGTGGATCAAATGACGCTGCCAGTTCAGCTTCGTACGAGACCCGGATGAGCTCATCCTGTGCGCTTCTCATTGTAGTCCTTCCTGAACCGCTCCAGTGGACGTGCTTCTGCACGATACAAGGTCAGGGGTGATATCTGACGTACGCCCCTGCCGGCCGTGTCGTCTTTAGGTAAGCTTGATCCTGCAGATGTCGTACGCAGCGGTCGAGGTGAACAATTACCGCGATGGATTGGCAAAACACAACGCGTAACGCGGTGCTGGCCGGTCGTGAGGCATGTTGGATGTTCAAAGTGGCCCTGGGCAGCGAAACCGATGCCCTGATTTAATCGTATTAGTCGTGCCGATGTTAAAGTATTACTGTGCATAAAAGAACAAGATCTGTTCTTTGTCTGTCCCTGGATTTTAAAACCCCCTTTACATCGATATTTTTATTGACCGTTCGCCCTTGTACCGAACTCCATAATTCCGTACTCTGTGTAGATGCTCCCTTACTTGTACAGATGCGTTGGTGCTCGCACTTAACGAAAGAAAAAAAAAATTTCGTGTGCGTTTGTGTCCGCGTGCATACAGAGCAAGACCAGCATGGCCCCAGTCAGAATTCTTGCAAGGTTGCCATGACTAGAGTGCTTCGCCATATCTTCCCAAAGTGTATTCCCAAGGACGCCTCGCTAACAGGTGGTTGATCGCTACCCTGCTAAAAAAAAAAACACACGGCGAATTAGGATGCTAATCCCATGAAGCACCCAATCCAATGAGCGAGGCTGAAGATCCCGACAAGAATCAACGCCACGTCTTTTCCCAGCTCGAGATTGGAACGTACTCTAGTTTCCCTACTTGAGCAATGCTGTAACGAACAAGTCTTGCCGCAATGGACCAGATGTGTGGTCTGGGTATTGCCTCCGCATAGTTCCTCGGGAGAGCATTTACCAGAATCGAGCACTTCGGAGCAGATAGGTGTCTCACCGCTCAGCTGATATCCAGGCGAGATCACCCTGCGAACACGTGCAGGGTTCCCGTACGCTATGCAGCCACTGGGAATGTCCTGCTCGCGAGTCAACCGTCCATCCGTCGATCTGGTTAGGATTGTGGGGTTCTGCTTGAAGCAACGAGATGATCAAACATCCGAATTCGTGAACCCAAACACGTACTCGAGGGTGGTACGAACAGACGGGTAGTAACAAAAAAGTTTACCTAGCACAGGAACGACTTACCTTGGTTACCACGCTGCCGGCACCTATCACACAGCCGGAACCAATTTTGACGCCGCATAGAATCTTAACGTCAGCGGCGATCCAGCACTCGTCGCCAATTTCAATGTCGGACGCGAAGGAAGGAGCGCCAATTGGCCCTCTCCGCTCGTCAGCATCTGCACAATGTCCGAAATAATTAGTCTTCTGTTACGACGGCGGCGGCTCGGGACGCGAGTGCGAAAAGAAAAAGAAATCCCGCATGCGTGACCAGAGAACTAGTCACACACGAATCCCTCCAAAAGTATGCAAGGCAATAGCACTCACGATCCTCAAAATACTCACCCAGGGGGTGTTCGACTGTGGCGAGCGTGACATTCGGTCCGAAAAGACAGCGTTCGCCTATGCGGACGTAGCAGATTGGTGAGTCGATGACGACAAAGTTTCGATTGATGAAGGTCCCGGCGCCAACGATCAAATTCGTCCCGTAATCAATATGCACCGGCGGCTTCACGTAAGGGGCGTCGACGATGAATGGATTCGTTACTGCTGGATCGTGCTCCTGCTCGCCCTCTACCGACTCGACTCCGCCCCTGGTCTCCGAATCGAGGAGATCCGACCGACTCGGTTTGCGCGATGGGGGCGGTGTCGATATTGCATACTCGTCCACCGCAGATTCTTGGCCGACTGGTACAGAGGCTTTGGGCTGTACGTCCGCGAACTCAGGGCTGGGTGGTGGTGTGTCCTTGATGGCGGGACGGCCCTCTGGCGACGTGGAGACACATTGGGGCCGTGGTGAGGTCTGGGAGTCGCCGGACGAATGAGACGACCCCGGCTCAACGGCTGATGATCCGGCCGCCGGGGGAGCCTTGCGTGTGGCCTCATCGGCGGTAATGTCGGATCTAGTGTTCAAATTTCCGGCTGCTTTGCGACCTGTCGGCAGGATTTCTCCTTCTGAGTGAGCTGCTGTTCGATTCGACGTTGCTCCCTTGGGTCGTTCCAAAACAATCCTGCGTTGTATGTGTCAGCTGCTGCCTCTGCGCATCGGTTCGATGTGGATTGAATCTTGGATCCGGGGGCACGACAAGCCCGGCAGACGGTAGAGAGCTGACAGACAGGTTTACTCACTGCTGCCACAACCGCGCCCGCTGCTCGGGCGAAGCAAATTCTGCTTGATCGTTGTACCTCGCACAAGCCTCAGCACATCGTTGGCGTGCCGCACGATACTCAGGTTCGGCTGCTGGGAAGACAAGCCTATTGGCCCTTGATCTCCTTTTTGGGCTATCCCCTGCCATGGACTCGGGTACCGTGGGGCGTCCTTGCGTTTGGCAAAAGCGTGGGAGGACAAGTAAGCGCGGGATCCGGCCAAAGAAAGAGGGGGGGAGAAGTGTGAGAGAGTAGCCAGAGGTCACCAGACTTTATATGTATGTTTGGAGGATTAGCGTGGAATTGACAGGCTGCGTGTGAGGCTTGAACGCTGAGATCTCAATGCAGGTCGTCGATGGCGTCAACGAGGGGCCCTACACATGCGCCTAGCAAAAGTAAATTTATCTGACGATGGTGAGGATTTGTTGATCATGCAAGAAATACTCATTGAGAACTGTTGTCACCCGTCGGGCGCTTATATAGCAACCTGGTGCCGGAGAAACGTCAGTCATAGATGAAGACAACCGCCGACTTTCTTCTGGCTATAATTGAAAAAGCGTAGGAACGGAATAGGGTAATATTACAGCGATGTCCAGGCTAGAAAGGCATAAGCAATGTGATGTCAGAACGGACGAGACGATAACCCACCAATAGTATTTTTACAGCACAAATCCAGTTTTACCATCCCAACTTCCTTATTTGCCGTAGAATAATAAAGTTTATGCTGCTGCAGTCACGGGAAAAAACAAAGTCCCAGCTTTGATTATCGAGCTGATCCAGTACTGACACGCGTGCATGGTGCTTCGTAGTAATAATGGGTGGGTCAGCCGGATGAGGATTGGGGGTTTTCGCTAGGCAACTTCGCTCCCGCAAGGATCCATCGCTTCACAGTTTTCTGTCAAAGCACCTGCAGTCTTAGATCGCTTCCAGCTTGTCGGTACGCGAATGGAGACGAATGATTTAGCCGCCCTGCGCTTCCTTCGGCCCGGACAGCTTTCCCCGGAGCAAAACATTTTGGGAGCTTCAGGGGCTAATCCTCGAGAGAGAAAGGCTGCGGAGCAGGCTTGAGACGAAGTGTTAGGCTCTATCTCTTCGTCCCAATCCCAAAAATGCGTGGTATCGACAATAGAAACAGCCGCGATTTCCCTAGTATAACGCATGATATGCTCATATTTCGTCCAACTCAATGCTGATCAACACTTCAGGACCGGTATCTACATGGCTGTGTGCCGTTCACGGCGGACTTTTCTTGAACGATCGCCAGTTACGGGAACGCGGGAACACCTACTTGTAGGCTACTACAGAAAGCATTAGTGCACGGCTCTTCAACGTTAGTGGCGAGGGTTGCTAGCAAAGATTCCTCGGCTGTCGTGTCTGCGCAGCCCACGCTATTCTGAGAACGCCACCGCTTTGCGGGATAGACGCGAGGCAACGAGGCGAACGAAAGCTGTTGTGGTGTCTTGAATCAGCCTACGTATTCCGTGCAGAGAACGTCGGAAAGGCGGCCGACTGACTCACCTACGTGCTCAGCCATCTGACTCACTGTCCATTGGCTGATCAAATCGTGATCAAACACCAATTTGTTGACGACGTCCCGGATCTTAGCGGAATATGATCGAAAGTCCATCTCCGTAGTCTGCCACAAGCGACGACAGATGTGATGCAGCCCCGAAAAACCAAGTCCCAGGTCCCCCCCCTCCCGGCGGTGAATAACTTGGACGGACTGATAGAGTGCTGAGCTTTGCTTTCGATCAGCGGTGTGAGCACTTCATCACGAGCACACGACTGACAAGGGCCATCAGACATGGGAAAGATGCAACCTCGCCCCAAAAGAATTGTTAGACGTTAAAATAGTTTTCCAGCAGGATGTGGAACGGGACTCTGACACGGTGGGTACACAGAGCCGGGTGATTTTACTCTCTCAGTCAAGCACGCGGGAAACGCTCCTCGGCGGTCACGCAGAGCTTGTATGCCCCCCATCAGGCATGAACGCAGCGGACGACGTGTGGAAATCCCCGATTGGTCAAGGCGTGTGCGCTCTGTATTAGAATCCCACTACATGTTTTCTCATCCAAACGCAGATCTAGATTTGTTTATGGGCTAAAGTCTCCGCTCTCGATCCGGGATGCACGGGCCGAGCCTTCGTATAGCACACGCGGCCGCGCAAGGCGCAAGTTGAGGGGAAATGTGTTCTGAAGCACAACGGTGCGAGGAGAAGGCAGATTCCTCGGGCTTTCCAGCATTCATAAACCATGTTGTTATACCCCTGCGCGTCGTGTAGCAAAAACTATGGATCCGAACACGTAGGATCATCACATTCAAAAGAAGGAGAACAAAAAAGTAGACCCGAAATTATCGGACGATAATCGTTGAACTAAGTCGAAACTCAACGCCAACCAAGGCCCCCTGTGGAGTGTCACCAGAGGTCTGCCCCCCGTGGTCTTGCTCAAACATCGTCCCCCTACAACACACCTGCCATCGTCGATACCTGCCTCCTGAGCTATCTCCGTATGCAGTTCGAATGCCCGTGGTTCTCCATTGGAAAGTTCATTGCACGACATATAGCTGTCATATTGTACGGGCCTAGACCCTGTTAGCTTCAATGCAACCCTGGCCCGTCATTGGTGCATAGACATAACTACCGTTTGCTACATGCCGTTCCAATCGATAATTACTCAAGCCTCCGGAACTCTTCCAAAGAATTGTCAGCATAATGACCAGACTCCTCTGTGCCACTGACGTTTCGCTTCACCAGGGAAACGTAATTACAATCGAGCGCTTTATGCACCATGTTAGGAGCTTCGGAATCGAGCTGTTGCAAATCGTCTTGAGATACCAATACCTACGTCACTTACCACAAAGCTAGAGATTCTCTCTCTTGCGCCTCGTTTAATTCTTTTTCGTTAACCTCGGCACTTTTGTCTCTTCGCTTAAAGTTAGAACGAGAGGCTCTGTTCATACCTTAGATTAGATATGTTACTGATTCGTAGAATACAATCACAGGATATGGAGAAGCTTTACCAAAGGATTTGTGATTTGCTTGCCCTGTGTCGTTTATTGCTCGCTTAATCTTTGAGCAAGGCATGCCAACACGCCAGCATCGTCTCGGATCGGGACTAGCGGATGCAACGGTGATGCCCACCATGAAAGCAAAGAATAGTCTGCCAATTTTCATTGCTACAAGTTGGATGAAGGTGAAGATGTGAAGACAGTGAGGGCAAGCTCCAAGGCTGAGATTTATACTGGACTGATAAGAACGGGTCGAAGACTTGTCAGGCCGGAGGCAGCCGTTTGACTCGAGTAGGATGGCTTTGTGACTCGATAGGATACGCCAAATCGTACTGAATAACGAATAAGAAGGCGAATACTATTGATAGCTTAAAAGAATGTCGCATCAAGGTGCACTCGAGTACTTCCTTATCTGGTGATCAATAGATTCCAGATGAAAGAGCATCCCGGACGCAATCCAAGCTCAAAAGTCTAGAAGATCAGTTGTATTTTCCTTGCTTGATCAAGTTGGAAAACGACTGATAGTAGTAGTATGTTATATATGTTGATGGGTCCACAAATCTTGATCATGCTCGATGGAATACGAGACGATTACTGAAGCTTTGGATTTACCTCTCCTCATGTCAAGTCAACTGAATCTAGTGGGAGCAGTAATATACACTGGGTCGATGTTTTGGTCAATAGGCAGAAAATGAACGTCAATAAGAACAGGGGCCTGGGCTGTTTAGGAACAAAGAGTGAAGCATAAGATCAAGATGTGGCGTCAACTTGTTGGATTTAGCAGTTTCCCCATGTCCAGTTCCAATACTGGCTTATACCTTCGAATCTAAAGCCCTAGCGAGCTTATATCATCATCACGCAATGAATGTATGTCTGACGAAGATAATGCCTCGGCGAACTAAATTCATCATGGCGGCGTAAGCATACTTGTATGTAAGTTTGAATGGATACAATGGTTTGTGGGCAATCTAATAGCCATTAATGCCAATCATCTCCATTAACAGAACGATTAGAAGAGGGCTGCTGTTAATGCGGCACGGTGAGATGAGGTAAATTAAGGCACGTGATAAGTACGGCTTTGTGCAATGCCGACTAAGCTCTTTTCGGCGCGTTCTTTGTCGCGACAACTCTCCATGCATCATCAACCATTCTTCCGCGAAGCTACCTCGTACCTTGCTCGCCAGAGCAGGAGGGCCAATTGGGTTTGCAAAGAATGTAGACGAAGTCTTAGCAGCACAGCAGCGCGCCGTGTGCCTGCTTCGGCTGCCACCACGACTGCTTCTCCTTCCGAAAGGCCAAAGCCATTCTATGTCACGACGCCGATATTCTATGTCAATGCTGGTTAGCTGGTTGTTGGTTGATAGAAGGAATGGCAGCTGACCAAAACTTAGCCCCTCATGTTGGCCATTTGTACTCGATGGTTCTTGCGGACATAATCAAAAGACATAGCCAACTGCGTGGAGAGAGAGCCATTCTCCTAACTGGCACAGATGAGCATGGCATGAAGATCCAACGAGCGGCTGAAAAAGCCGGCGTTGCCCCAAAACCTTTTTGCGACAAAGGTGCAGATACATTCAAGGTTCGCCAATCTAAGTCAATCGCCAGTCCAATCTCACAAAGGTGCTAATATCAGCAGGAGCTTGCCATCAAAGCAAATGCGACCCCCGATCGTTTCATGCGAACAACAGACGAAGACCACAGAGAAGCTGTCCAGTATGCTTGGGTATGAGTCAGATGTCGCCATGAACACTGATTTGTTCTAACGCTCGGACAGCAACTGCTGAAGGAGAAAGATCTTATATATTCGTCGAAGCATGAAGGCTGGTACGCTGTTAGCGATGAGACTTTCTACCCGGCATCTGCCGTGCATCTCGTTATTGAACCTTGGTCTGGACGAAAACACATGGTTTGTAGTGATGCTCTAGATCTGGCAGTATTCGTGCTAACGGCATAGGCTTCTATCGAAACTGGTAAAGAGGTAGAATGGACAGAGGAAGAAAATTATCACTTCCGTCTTTCGGCATTTCGAGACCAGCTGCTGGACTTCTACGCACGAAATCCTGGATGGATAAAACCCGTGCAAAGGCATCAGCAAGTAGTTGACTGGGTCTCAGAGGGTCTTCAGGACCTCTCCGTTTCACGGCCGTCCAGCCGACTCACTTGGGGCATACCAGTACCAAATGACCCATCACAAACAATATATGTTTGGCTGGATGCTTTGATCAACTATATTACAGCGGCAGGATATCCATGGAGCCCTGAGAATGCAGCAAAAGGAGGCTGGCCTGCCGATGTGCATATCATTGGCAAGGATATCGTGAGGTTTGTTATCAGCACTCTCGACCTAAAAACTTAGCTAACAAGTCGCTAACAGGTTTCATTGCATATATTGGCCAGCGTTTCTCATGGCTCTTGACTTGCCGCTGCCCGCTGCCATTCTCACGCACGCTCATTGGACATTAGGCAAAGAAAAAATGTCCAAGTCAACTGGCAATGTCGTCAACCCGTTCTACGCAATCGATCGCTTTGGTGTGGATGTTATGCGTTATTATTTAGCACGTGAGGGTGGTATCAAAGACGATGCCAGCTACGACAATGAGCATATCATTCGAAGATACGACCGTGACTTGAAAGGTCAGTTAGGAAATCTAGCCAGTCGATTGACCAGATCCAAGAAATGGAGGATAAAAGACGCCGTTAAGGCCGCACAAGCAAGTGAAAAGAGGTTATTGTACAGTAATGAGTCGCACCGGAACCAGGTACAGATGTTGGAAAGTCGTTATTCAACAGTGGAGAAGCACATGGCTGAGTACAACATTCCCGCCGCAGTCAATGCTATAATCGACATCATATACAAAGTACGTATCTCATTGCAGTAGTCCTATATGTCGAATCGCTAACATAGCGTAGACCAATGTTTACTTTAGTGACCAGGCTCCATGGGCCCTGGCATCTAACGGAAGAGTTACGGAGATGAATCAGGTCTTGTACCTGTGTACGGAAGCTGTCCGTATCACCGGCATCCTGTTGCAACCCTACATGCCTGAGAGGGCTGGGACACTATTGGACATGCTTGGTGTGCAGGAGGAACGACGGACAGCAGCGTACGCTGTGATAGGCACCGACTTCGACTACGGTGAGAGTAAGGTTGATTTGGGCAAGGGTGAGCATGGGACTTTGTTTCCACCTCACATAAGCTGGGATTGAAAGGATGCCGTGTTGCAAGTCGATCGTATACTAAATCTCGGTTGGAGAAGCTGATTTTGACTTCTCGGTTCAGTTTGGACAAATTCTTTTAAGTACTCTCCGGATGTAGAATAGATATATTCTGGTCAAAAAGAATAAACTTTAATTTGAGCAACCCACGTGCGAGAATTTTAGCAAAGTTGGGGGTCGAATCATGGATAAGATTACGCAACGACATGGACTACAATGCTGGCCCGTTGAACATTTGCATTACGCAGGGTCGCGAGAACTACACATCTAGCGGCTGCGGAATCCTTCTAACTCTGGGGCCTGCAGAAGGATTAAGCCAAGAAAAGCATCTCTTAACGTCACGTAGTGATCGGCCTGCTCGACTTTCGTCCTGCAAGCGTAGTTCGTGGAATGTCGGAGACCACAAAGACGGAATTCGAAGCGCCCCTTATCTGCTTCACTCCAAACTATGCCGTAAGATCACAGCAGACGCAGCAAGGCATGCGTCTGCTGCCATTTCTTCTGTCCTTGGAACACCGGCTGCGTGCAGAAAAGGGAAGAACAAGGAGGGAAAGGGTTAGATCCGTCCGTCCAACGTCTCACGCGATTCGAACCTGGGTTGCGTGCTGGGGTAGTTTTGAAGAGCGCAGAGAGACGTTCGATCCAAGTTGCAAGAGCGTGCCAACGCAACCCAGCTTTTAGCTTTCGCCTGAAAAAAAAATGAGAGAGACAGAGAGTGTGTGTGTGTGGGGGGGGGGGGGGGGGGGATGAGAACAAATCATGCTGGCAAGCAGTTTGCCATTTCGAGCGCAGAGCTCATCTCTTCGGCTTTGTGATGGCAGGGGAGCGTTGCATAAGCGCGGGGACGGCACATTGCACACACGTTTGTGCGGCTGGGAGCCCAAGAGAAGGGCGAATCGAACACCTTCCCCGTCCTCCTCCAAAGCTGCTGGACGCTGTGGATTTTGACGAGTCTGATGTTGGGAGAGCACACGGTCTCCAAGAGAAGGAGCGCAAGGATACCATATCCAAGAGTGTGGTTTGGGAGGGCATAAGTAGTTCCTTAAAACCAACCCAGCAGGACGAGCAGTTGGACGTGGTGATTAGGTTCACAGAGATGCGTGAAGCCGTCTTGTGCGTATCACATACTTCCCTTGTCCAAAGCACAACATGATTGGAGGAACAAGAAGAGAAGGGGGGAGGAAGGTGTGGAGGCCTGTAAGAATAGCATGATGTTGTGGGAACTGGGGCGCCTGGTTTCCGGGATGGTGTGAGATTCTCTTCCAAAGTTCTTTTCTCGTCAAGCTTGAACTATTTACATCGAACGACGCGAGTCGCTAAGTGAAGTATAAACTATATGTGAGGAGTTGAAATGTCAAAGTGGTTATCTGTGCTTAAATAAAAAAAAAACCATATCGTCGTAGATCATCATCACTGAACGTCATATATTCAAGTGATATCGTCAAATGGGTATAAATGACTTCCATACTTGTCCGGCCTTAAACTCACGCTGATACGAGGTTCTCGCGGCTGAGGCAAGTTGTTCAAACTTCCTTCCCATTTACCTCGACGACCAACCCGTCTTTCTTCGCACGTAGAGCCTTTGCGAGCATGAGCTCCCGCATCCAGTCAATGCGCTCATCCCTCGTTTTGACCGCGAAGTGATGCGATTTGCCCTGCTTAGACATCTGGTCGGGTACGAGCTGGAACTCGAAGGAAGAGTCTTTGGAGGCATCCTTTTCTTTATCCTTTGCAATCTTCAGCGCTTTGAGCTTGGCCGCGAGTTTGTTAGATGCAATACTGCTGCAGGCCACAGCATATTCATCAATGTTCAAGGTCTCTAAGATTGCTGCTTGGGGGATGTCATTCTGGTGCATCTTAAGCTGGTTGCCGGAAAGCCTGAAATGATGCTCGTTCCATTCGTGCCTTAAAAGCTTTGTCTTGCGCTTCTTCATCCAGCCCGCGTGGTTGACGCCTGGATATCGCGGATCCAGATTCTTCTTGTTGCCCTCCGAAAAAGCTAGCTTGCCTTCGGTCTTCAGCGAGGATATATCACCACTGCCAAAAGTCTGCTCCGAAGTTCGTCGTGACATGGTATCACTGCTTGTCGCCGGGCTGAACACCTCGTTCTCGTTTAGACTTGGCAATGGCTGAGCGATCCTCCAGTCTTGACGGGAATTACGAATAGGATCGCGATATATCATATTTGGGGGCACAGATTGAGAAGTGTCTCGAGAAATAGGCCCAAGCGGAACATTCGTGACCGGAACGTCCATGTCAGATGCTGGAGTTCCAAATCTGTACATGCCACCATTCGGTACCAGCGATGCACGGGACGAAGAAAATGCGGAGAAGGGATCTTGGATGGCGGAGAGATTGCCAACGTGGTCTTGAACAGGTACAGCAGTTGCTGCTCTTGGTATTTGAAGACGCGGCAAAGTCTGAAGTCCGGTCAGGGGAGCCGCATACGCTGGGTTAACGTGCGCAGCAGGAAACATCTCAAACTTCTGCTCCTCAAAAGCTGGCAGGGGCGAGGTTGGCTCTGGAATTGCCGGTGGCTCCACATGCTGAAGCGCCAGAAAGTTCTTGACATTGTCCTGCGCATCACGCTCCTGCACGCGCTTCAGGGCGTCTGCTTGAAGAGCGATTGTCGGCATGTCGCCAGGCCCAAGAACATCGGATGATGCCACCACAGAAGGTCCAACCACAGATGGCTCTGCTTCCGACACTGGCCTGTACGCATTTTCGACGAGATTTGGTGCAGTACGAGCATTACCCGGATCACCCGCCATCCAGATGTGCCCACCATTCTCAGGTGATATCGGAAACCCATGCTCTTCTTGCAATCTCTTCATCAGTCTCTGCTGTTTCTTCCACTTGGAGCAGTTTTCACCTTTCGAGCACTTGTGTGGCCTGGGGATTAATTGCTCGATTGCGACAATGGAAACGGAATCCATCGGGGTGATTGGGTCGTGTGGATTTGCGCGATATCTCCTCCTCCGTCGATGGCCACTTCCGAGCCCGTTCGGGGAAGGTGGTTCATCACACGCATCCCCACTACGCCGATGTGAGCATCTGGATCCTTGAGAGCGCCTCGGACTTGTGTCTTGGAAAGGTGTTGGAACAGGACTGATTCCCGCGTCACCATCTCGAAGACTGCAAATGTGACTCCAGAGTTCATGACGCTTGCCGAACGATTCGATACCAATATCTTTCAGATCATCGAACTGGAGATCAAGAAGTACACGGCCAGTTATATCGTGATGCTCGAACTTCTCAATCACAGCTGAATCAATACCAGTCTTGTACATCCAGAGCGATACCTGCTCAGCTGTCCACGTGTCAGGCTCGTCCTGGTTCCACTGATCTTCTGAAGCCTGAAACGTGGCGGGAACATTGGCGATTGTAGTCGGCGTGGTCTCGTTAAATGACCGTCGAACGGCGGTGTCAATCACGAGCTCTGGCTTCTTTGGGACAATGGGGGACAGTTGTAGCGCAAAATCAAAGGATAATTCCGAAGCAGTTGAGGCCCGGAACAAGTGCGGACCTCTTGGACCTTCTACGGACCTTCGTGTCTCCGGGCCGGGAAAAGTCATTCGCTTCACTGACTGAGGCGTGGCAATTTCATCGTACGTCGATATGGTGCTTTGGCTTCGCCGACCCTCATGCTAATGAGAAGGATTAGCGGTATGCATCTTAGGAGGAAAATCTCAAGCTCGCTCATACCATTTGAAAATCGAATTCATCCTGTGGTTCCTCTAGTGTACCCTCCTCTGAATCTTCCTCGAACTCGCTCAACTCATCTTCGATCTCGTCGAGTTCATCGAATATCTCGGTGAATTCAGACAGCGGGCGGGCTTTAGCTGACCCATTCTCCTTTGCCGGGACCTCTAAAAGGGTGCTGGGTGTGTCTACTTCGTGAACGACAGACAGCATAGACTGCCGATGTGAAAAAGCGGAGTCGATGGAGAACAGCGGCTGCATCTTGCCCCGCGTGAACATCTCCACCTCGCCATCCAGCGGAGTAATTGGAGTCAACGGCGCCATTGCGGCCTGGTCGTCACGTCAACGCTCGAAGAACACGTTTAATTTGAATGATGCACCCACCATCTTCACTGCCTGATCTATGAACTTGAACTGAAACGCTCAGATGCTCGAGATGGGTATCACAGCAGAGGGAATAAGAATCGTCGCCAGTGTCACAGCAGCCCAACCGGGAAACACGTACAATTCATGTCACGAAAACAAAATGTGGAAAGTCTCAGGTCACCCGAAGGGTGAAGCGAGCTAGAAGCATTTAGTAGAATGTGCTCTTGCGCGCATACAGAGTGTTGAACCTTTGACAGGCATCGTGGCCGTCACAAAGACCGCCTCTTGGCAACGAAATGTGAAGAGGCTAGGGGACGGCTCCGGGTATCCCATGCTACCTGCATGCACTGATCATGCATGGGCTTCTCTGAGCACAATTGGAGCGCCAATCAATGACCTGCAGGGCCTACGTTAAAAAAGGGCGGCGGTTAGAGCTGAATGGTTGGTGAGGCTGGCGGCGTGGACCGCTTGATTTGCTCTTCTTAGCCTTTATGCTACATTGTTTTCGGTATAGCTTGGGGATCTCTTGGCCATGCATCACGCAATGATAGGACCACTGACTGGCCGTTCCTGTGTGCTATAAACAGCGGCCAACAAGGCCTGGTCCCGTGAGCGCTGGGGGAAAGTTAGTGGACAGTCCAAAACTCAATGCCATCGCTATTATCCAGCATTGCGCGAAAGATGGAGTAGCGGTGTTGCGGCCAACGCCCTCTGAGAAGTCAGCGATGCGGCTGCGTGGTCAACAAAAGCCCTCTATTTCAATACCTGGGGAAAGGGAAAGCGGCGTGTGCCATGCTCTATCCCTGATGGCAAACGTTCGTCAACGTTGGTCTGGACAGGTCCTGCATAATCTCAACTCGCGGCCTGTCCATGCTCTCAAACGGGATCGTCGTTGAGTAGATCCAATCGGCCTGAAGAACAACCACTGCCGGATATGGCCTTTTCCACCAAATAGTGTGGCTCAATGGTGATTGTGACACTGGAGAGAGCCTCAGCCTCATTGTGTGGAGGCATCGAGGTGCACGTACATGCATTCCGAGGAACCCAGGCCATCCGAGAAGGTCTGCTTAGAACCCGGGGCCACGCGTAAAAAAATTTTTTTTTATTTATTCCTTGCCGACGTTGCCTGTCAAAACTCGAGGGCGGCGTGCTAGGTCGTCAACTGGTCGTCCCGATGTTCTGGAAATATTGGTCTAGGAAGCTGGGTGATGGGCGCGCCTCGTCAGACAGCCACCCACGAGAAAAGGTTTGGTGTATGCAATGCATGCGCTCTCGCTCGCCTTCGCTCTTGTGTTGGTCGTCTTGACGCTTCGCCGTTGCTAACCACACGGAAGTCTAGCAACTGTGGTTGTACAATAACCATCCACAAGCCGCAGTGGGCAGCTTCCAAAATGGTCGTCCGCATTGGACACGGCGTCGTGGACCTCTTTTTCTTTTTTCTTTTTTTCTTTTTTTTTTTTTAAAAAAAAAAAGTAAATTAAAAAAAAGTTAAAACAATGACGTGCCATTTCGTACGAAAAAAGAATAGATTGACACATTATCATTCGAGCGTAATTCTAACACTGTTTGCATCGCCAAGTCACTCCTTGCTCGCAATGAAGATTTGCAATGACATGCCCGCTCTCGCCTGATAGTGCGTTCCAACAGCATGGCACGCTTACACTCTGTCAACTCTCTCAAGTCATACGGGTCGGGAGCTATCAGCGACGACTTGGGACGAGCCGCGGTATCGTCTCCTAATGCCAAACAAGAACAATTTTTCCAAAGAAATGAAAAAAAAGTTCATGTTACACTGCACATCGTGCCGTCGCAAGTGAATCTTCTTTGAGCATCCAGTGAACTTGCTGACGAAGCCATGATCCTTGCACAGGCCTTCTCCCGAGCGATAAGGCACTTGGAGTCAGTGGCAGTAAGCTGAGGAAACATGAGTGAAAGGGGGAAAAGTACTACCGGACGGTCGCAGAGCCTAGGTTGTTCTCTGCTGCTGTGCAACGAGCCGGTCTCCGGTACCTGGCATATGGAGTGCTGTGTACGGAGGTACTTCTTGATGATGATGGTGCCGGCGGCCGCTCGCCCTCGCGTTATTGCAAATTTCACTCGGCCGCTCACTCAAGAGCGGTACTCACGCCATACGAATGCCCTCACCCTTGGCGTGGTACTGGCGGTCTGACAGGCCAAAGCGAAGTGGAAAAGGCCGCGAATCAGCGTGTCTCAGGCCGCAAAGGTCGGCAACGGTCGGTTCGAGGACTCAGGTACACACCAAGGTTCGGGTGGCAGATCAGGTCACCTGCCTCAAATGGCCGTCCAACCAGCCTCGAGGACAGGTGAGCTGGTGGAGTTGCAGAAATTTGAGAAACTCGCGGTCGGTATCCAATGAAGAGACGATGTCGAGATACAGCGACGGACGAGGGTTTGGCCGAGCGGGGGCGTCGAGCGAGCTAATTATACACGATTTCTCGCCGGGCGATGCCAGATCCAGCAAGAGGCTTTATTGAACAATCTCGCCATGTTTGGGAACATTAATGCCCATTCGAGCGCTCGCCGCTGGCGCCCGGCGCGTGAAATTAATGCTCAATTGTTCCGGAAGAAGACTAGAGTCTGAAACAGCGTGTTTGCTCGGGACGCGCCGTGGGTCAATGCGACGCTACTGCAGGCTTCATCACACGTCCAACGCCTCTTCAGCCAATCGATCACGGCCGCATGGTCGAATCCAACTTCCCCTCTGCCCTCGCTTGGCTGCCTCTCAGCATCTGAATGGCGCACTTCGGCCCAGAGGGATCAGCCCATGACCTTGCTGAGCCGGGTCAGCTGCGTGCGGCCGGAAAGAGGCCGTTCGTCGAGCCCATTGCGCACACCATCGAGCCTTTTTTGCATCCTGCGTGTGAGGGAGGAAGAGCGCGGAGTGAGGGATTCAGCATCGCACGGGCGCGGCACGCAGGCCCAGACGGGCACGGCCAGTCGATGTTGAGGCTGCTCATGTCCACGCTTAGGGTTTGGCGAAGCCCTCTTGCGCAAGAATTGCTCGGCCCCGCGGAGACCAGGACGGAACGGCCAGCTATCAGAGGCCACTACTGCACATCTCAACGTGATAACTTCTGGATTGGGACAAAGCCGAACTTGATTTGAAATCTCGTGAGGAACTCTCTCCAAGTGGCGGTGACGCACACCTTTGCATCTCCCGCGTCCTGGCCCCTCACCGCAGGGCCGATCGCCGTGTGTCGCGGCCACGGCGACGTCGTTGCGTTCGAAATTGCACGTAGGACTGATCCTCTGCTGTACCAGCCTGCCGGGCCACTTCGTACGGCTCGTGAGGATGAGGAATAAGCCGGAAGTCAAGCGAGGCGGCCGATCGATCCGCGCTCGAGTGCTCAGTCAGGTGCACCCATGCATGAAGAGCGCTCGGACCTTTAGTTGGGCGGCAACGAAAATAGGCCAGATTGAGTAAAGCCCAGCGTCGAGGCATGTCGAAATCAAGGTTAATTGCGCAGGCTGGCCAATGGCTTTGTTTGCCAGACCTCCTCAGAAGGCGTATGGATCCTCTGCGATGGCATCCTCCCGCACTTGCAGACCACCCAAATTTAGCATGCCTGTACGGGAGGCATTAGTGCCCTTTTTTGCCGAATCGAGCTGTTATAAGGAAGAAGACCTCCCAGCAGACCGTTGTTCGTCCTCATCCGCTTTTGCTTTCGAGTTCTCGACACCGGCTGGCTGTGGCAGCACTAATTTACTTTCCTTCATTTCCAATAACTCGTTCAGTGAGCTTGCTGGTTCAAGCCTCCTGGAGTCTAATAGCTGCCCTGGTACATTTGCGACTCGCGCCATCTGTCCCTGGAGACTCCGCATCGGTCTTTTACTGTTTCTAATATTTCTTGAGCCTCCTAATATATTTTGCAATGTCTTCAGCAACCAAGGCCACTCCCTCAAGTAAAAAATTATCGACAACCATGTCTGGTCCAAGCACATCGTCAGCATCAAAACAAACACCGACAAAGATGCACCGACGCTCACGCTCAGGTTGGTAATGCCGCGGTAATGGTGACTGACCAGGATCTTCTAACGTGAAGCATAGGCTGCTTCACATGCAGACTGCGAAGAAAGAAGTGCGATGAAGGCAAGCCGTGCTGCAAAGCTTGCAGACATCTCGGACTGTCTTGCGAATACAAGCGGCCCATGTGGTGGAGCAACAACGAGCAACGGCGGCAGCAGAAAGAGAGAATAAAGAACATCATCAAGCGCACGAAACTCAACGAGAAGGCTTCACACGTAGTGCCACTTTCGACAAACACCCCGCCCAGTCTGTGCCACTCGACACTGACTGCAGACACCTTCTCAGATGGCTTCTCGAGAACTCGAGGTGGTTCAATGGACTCGCAGTTTTCTGGTGATTTCGACTTCAGCTCATGTGCGCCTCAGGGCATTTACAGCGCCGTGAGCATGCCGCCTCTAGCAGCGCCGTTTCATCCTTTTGGCTACCCACCATACGAGGTCGACATCAAGACAGAGACCCAGGTGTTTGTCAATGACGTGCCAACCCGAAGAGATTCGACAATTTCGACTTTCAGCGCATTTCAGTCGCCGCCAACGGTTGGTCCCTTCTCCAGCGACGGCTGGCTGCAACAGGAGTCGTATTTCGAGCAGCGACATGAGTCCTTCACCGAAGAGCCTGTCGATTTCAACTTCTTCGACTTTGCTCACGGCCCCATCTCACCTGCGCACAAGTCAATGATTCAAGTGGAGGAATGCGACCAGCACCTTCTAAACCATTTTATCGACAACGTTGTTCGTCTCATATTCCCAGTTCTGGAGGTCAACCAGCACGGTTCCGCACGCTCGGATGTCATCCTGCCTGCGCTAGAATCGAACAAGATGTATCTCTCCTGCTGTCTTAGCATTGCGGCGCTGCACCTGAAGTCGACTCAAGGGATCCAGAGCGAGCAGCTTGACAACGACATCATGCGCCACAAGTTCGCTACAATCAACCAACTCTGCGAAGCCTTGCAGCTTGACACCGAACACGCCAAGATTCTTGAAGCAACGCTGGGAATGATCTTTTTCCAATGTTCCGTTGGTCGCCCAGAGGATTCGCACCCGGATATCCCGTGGCACTCGCACTTTCAAGCTGCAACTCAGCTCATTGGCAAGTTGAACCTTCCTTTGCAGCTTGTCAGTGACAACCAATCGCGACCACCATTCAACATGACCGTCGCCGCTTGGATTGATATTCTTGGGTCGACAATGCTTGGACGCGCCCCCGTTTACGCCGACACCTACCGGGAGAAGAACATTGCCAATTCGGTTGCTGGTCTTGGAGAATTGATGGGCTGTGAAGACCGCATAATGTTCCTCATCTCCGAGATTGCCTGCTTGGAAGCCTTGAAGATGGATGGAATGGACCAAGTCCAACTTTGCTCCCACATTAAGCTCCTTGGTGATCACATCACCATGGCCGAGAGCTCGGTCCTTCCGCTGGACAACGCATATTCAGCGACTGGTGCCATTCGGCCCAAGCAGCTTCGCGCAAACATGACCACCGTCTTCCGTCTGGCGGCTCGCATATATCTATGCTCCTTGGTCCCAGGTTTCGATCGCCAACAGCAGAACATTACAAACCTCGTCGATTCATTGGCTGATGCGATGAACTACATTCCTGCCGGTCCCGAAGGCTTCGATCGTTCCTTGGTTTGGCCCTTACTCATTGCTGGCGCCGTTTCCCTCCCCAACTCCATTTTCCGAAGCACATTCTACGAGCGCATGGCTCAGATGGGCGATGCCGCTAGCTTTGGCTCCATAGGAAGAGCAAGAGAGCTTCTCAAGGAGGTGTGGCTAGTCAACGATGAGGCGTTGGCACGAGGCGAGAGGCAGAGCGTCCACTGGCGGGACGTGATGCGACAGCGGGGCTGGGACTTCCTTCTCATCTAGAGGGTTGTCTCCGCCTTGATCCTCCTGGCGAGGAAGCTGCGCGTCCTGGCTGTCTCGATCTTCTGCAGCGCGCAACAGTTCTTCAACATTGCATCCCACTCAAGAGAAATACCGACATACCATCTCCAGAGGGGCAAGCTACTTCACTTCTGACCCTACGCTCTTTAATCACTTTTTACCATCTTGCAACGCATTATACCCCTTATTGTAATCACTACCAACATTGGTGCGCACGTACGATATAGCCACAGCATAGAGCATTGCGGGTCCTGTGAGCTTTGGCCCAGGACGATTTGTTTGGCGTTCGAGAGCAACAGCGGATTTTCTCACTGCCCTCCAGATGGAGAACGACGTTACGACATCTCTTTGTGTCAATTGGTCAACGTTGTAATAGTTTGCGATTTTTTTTTTAGACTTGTCGCTGTTGGCTTTCGCCCACAGCTTCGGTCGCTTTAGCAGCGGATGAAAAAGAGTCGGTTTCGGCTCAAGTGATTGTACTTCAACTTAAAAACACACGCTCACTTTTACGAGCTACAAGAATGACAGACCAATATCAAAAAAAAACCTCCAAAAGCCAGCCTATAGCATTTTCATTCTTTCTCAAATCAGTTTCTTCCCTTCCCATCTTCTGGACTTGGAGGTCTCTCAAAATGCTTTGTGCATGATCCAGACCTCGTGTCGACCACGTGATGCGTCCGGTGCTACAAGCATTGACAATCCAGCTGCGAGATAACGGTCCTAGAGTGCAGGTCCACAAGAGGCTGGCATTGCTTGCTTAACATCAGCTCCAATAAAGCCGTTTCGTGTCCCAAAGGCCGAGGAAGCTCGGCCTGTGAAATACAACCGTGCTGGTTCAGCTTCACTCTGTCCTGAGCACCCTAGCCCAGCTTCTCTTCAACGAAGGCCCTGGCACAGCTTCAGCAGAATGAGCTGGTAGAGAGTGGATTTCTCATCATTGTTCTGCACCTTATCCTCTTGAGCTCGAAATGATCGCAACGGGCTGGGCAGAATGTTGCTATCGGCTTGGCGAGTCCGTGCAGACTACAGGAATCGTTCGCCGTCCAATGATCCTCCAGATGAAGGCCCAGCCAAAAAAGATGCCAGCAGGGAAATCAAATCACAGGAACGGGAAACGCAAGGGGAAGCTGTGTTCCACGCAGCGAATGGCGGGCAGTGTTCCAAGCTGAAGACTTTGTCCTTCCCCTCCACCCCGAGCAAAAAGCTTCTCGAAGGTCAGGTCATCTCCGAAACTGTGGAGTCCCGTGTCACCTGTCGAATCCCAATCCCCGAATGTGCACGGGTCACGCATCGAATCTGCTAATCTGCTGGGCAGGAGAGGGTTCGGGCCTTTTTTTTTTCTCTGATGTCGATCGAGCCCCCTTGAGTCGGCGTCAAAGGGAAAAGCGGGAGCCTAGATCACCAGGGATGCGAAACCACGAGAGCGAAAAATCGCGAGCGAATTGCTAAATATAGCAAAACGTTTTTGCTAGCGAAGGGCGAACGTGTTGTGAGTGGATCTCCCCGCCCTGTGTGCCAGAGAGTCAAGCTTACACCAATAAATCCGGAAGTGTCCAGACCTGGAAGCGTTGTACCTCCCTTTGTCGATGTCACTTTAGATACCACGATCACAGGGCTGCACACACGCACATACTCGCTCTCACACACACGCTATCGAAAAGCTGCAAGCCTAGCACACACAAGAACGCGCCCCATAAGCCGCCTGCGGACCGTCGAACCGGCCGGACCCCGTGTGGATTCTCACTGCTGCAGACGGAGGTTGTCTGCATAGCGCCCTGTCTCTACCGCACACAACAGGCTATCGGAGTACTGGCTTGTGGAGAAATGTCGTTTGATTCGACGTCACATAAGAGAACGGCCTCGCAACCGTCCGCACTGGACACGGCAGAGCCGCCTCCCGACGGAACAGAGGGAGAGGTGGAGTCGCCATCCATCTCCACGCCACAGGCCCGGGCAAGGTTTGAATTTGAGCCGAACAAGTCCAACGAGGGAACCAAGGTGGTGATGGTCGAGTGGGAGGACGACGACGTGACGAAAAATTTGGAAGGGACGTGGACTATCAGTTGGGAAGGGAAATCAACGGTCCTGCCAGCTGAGGAGCGCAACGTCGAGGACGAAAGGGCCGAAATACAGACGCACAGGACGTTCTTCTTACTACCAGCCGGAGTGTCAGTGCCGGCCCTGATCACTCTAACGCTGAACCCCGCCGACAAGACGAAAGAGCCTGTGGTATGGCGGACCAACCCGCTTCCTGCAATCTTCCCCCCTGGCTTCGCCGAGTCTGCCGTAGGCAGCAAAAAGCCCTCAAAAGGAGTGCTTCACACATTATGGGCAAAGAAGAGACTGCACGCGCTGCAGAAGGAGATCGAGAAGGAGGAAGCTCTGTTCCCGGAGGGCATCGCTTTGGCCATGGCAGTTCAAGAGAAGGAGTGGATAGAGGAAACATTTGGACTCGGTTCGCAAGAGATCTCGTCGCACAGGCAGGCCTTGCGGGGCTTGGGTGAAGTTCCTCAGAGTCCCTCTTCGCCTCTCAGCCCTGGTGGCAGCAGGCTATCGGAGAAGCTCAAAGGACTCAAGCTGCAAACCAAATCTGGCGACTACCAGGAGCGAGGCAACGCAAACAACCCGCTAAGTCCGGAAGAGGCAGACATAGCGATACCGTCATTCTCTGCCTTCAAGGGCGCCAATCCAGCCGAGCTTGCGGCGAAACCGGCGCAGAGACCTTCAGCACCGGCTGCTGTAAGGCCGATTGTTCCTCAGGTCCCCTCAAGACAGTCAACTACCGGAAGCGTCGGCTCGCTGGCTGGTATCATGGCTGGTACCGATACTAGCTTTACAACCGCCCCAGCCAGTCAAGCTGACGAGGACGAAGACGAGCTGTTTGCCATGCCTCTCAGTCCTCGGAGTCCAGAAATGACGACTAGCCCGTTCTCATTTGCGACGAGTGACACTTTGAAGTATGTGAAAGGCGATCAAGTTCAGCGGGTGGCGTAAATGTGGTGTATGAATTAGCGATACCAGACATGGCTTGGCGTTTTGTGAACTTGTTTAAAATGAATCAAGACCCTGCGTAGGGAGTCTGTGATAACACTATCGTTTGTCGTAGAGCGGGTGAGAAGCTTGGCCAGATGAGCGTAATGTGAAGGGCACATGTGAGGACTAGAATCTGCTGAACCGGTGGAAGACGTACAAATTCCCATATATATAACTTTCGTTTGCACGGCAGCAGAATCAAGTTCATTTCAAGAGCACAAATTCCTTACCTTTGCGTCATCCATCTCCAAGGTGATTCTAAATGCCAGCCTTTCGCAATCGTAGAAGTCAACCTGGCAACTCTGACCGAAAGCCCTTGTTTCCTCTCTTCTATCACACCCTATCTCTTTTTCGCTGGACCAGATTGCTCATTGTCGTTGTTGTCTTCCAGAATTGCCTTATGTTGATGAGCTACAGTTGCAATAAACCGACGTAAATGACCGACATAGCCAATGAAAAAAAACCGCTACCAAGCTCTTGAGGCAATCCTACTCAAGTCAACGTAAAAAGCTCCGTCTTAGGGTCAGCTTTCATGAATTCTCCATCCATAATGCCGTCAGCATAAGCTTCGCCTATCAGAAGGTATGCGTCCTCGCCTGTCTCTCTGAGAATGAAAGGGACTGTTGCCCCCAGAAAGATGCATAGTAGATCGCCCCTTTTCGTAGCTTGAGGTGCAAGCCCAATTTGCCCGGCGGAAGATTTGAATACGCGGCGAGATTCTGCTACCCAATCCACGGCTCGTATGTAACGATTACCAGCATGGAACTCGGACGTCGCTTTTTCAAAGCTCATATCGTATCCCGGTTCATCTCTTAGAGGCAGTTGAATATATCTCATCGCTGCTTGGTAGGCGGATTCGTCAGCAGGCATAAGTAGCCGCTTTCGCTCATTCGTATATTCAGTGTCACCAGACATGACGCGCATGACAATCGCATCTCTAAGATTATCTGGCAGCTCTAAAGATGTTGCAAATTCAATGATGTTGGAACGCAGTTCTCTCATAGCCGAAACAATTGCTTCACCAGTGTTCTCGCCACCCTGTGGAATTCTCGAGATTTCGGAGACTGCCTCTATAGATGCTACACGGCATCCAGAAAGTTTTAGATGTTTCCCTGTAAATCTGTTTTCCAAAGATTGTGAGGTTGTTCCACAAGCCAAATAGAGTGTTTCCATGTCGTTGAAGTTATTGAACACAATGGGACACGGCACATGCTGAGTCCAGTCCGGAGCCCAAGATGGAAGCTCGTTCATCTGCCTGTCTTCATTGTATGTGCAAAAAGACAGAACTGAAAGACCACGGGTCAAAAGTAAATGTTGTGCTGCGGCGGCATGCACTTCTGGCCACGGCAAAGTGTAATCTACTCGTCCGATTGCTTCATCAACGCCGACTCCAAGGCCACCAAGCGCATAGAACAAGTCTCTTGGATCCGAGGCGCAGTTGCGTCCCGTCACAAAGAGCCAGATAAGTGCAGCCAGCAAATCTGTATGCCCAATTTCTGTCCATGGTCGGACAGCGCAATAAGTGCGCTGCGTGCAATGGACCAGAGTCCAAATGATCTCGTTCCAGTCCCGTGTAAGCTCTTGGCCGCCCATTCTTGATATTACCGATAACCTTTGGACTGAGCCGTAGAAGCAGCCGAACCACTTGTAGTCTACTGCAGCGTTCCTACCAATTACCCAGGCCTGTTTTCCAACTGCCACTTCTTGAATTACCCATACTCGCTCCCACCACGATTGTTGATACACATGTTGAATCGAGCTGAGCGTCGAGTAATCTGAGCGTTGTGTCCTGAGAATGTTAAGAATCTCGTGAAAGTCATTGATATCTTCTTCACAAGGGAAGGAGTTGTCGAAGGGACGGCTCATCCACCTCTGTGCGCATGATTGTGCTACTGTCGCTACAGCTTCAAGGCCGTTCTGGAGCTGTTTGTCTGCGGGACCAAGGCAAACAAGAACCTGAACAGCACTGCCAAAGATGTTACGCATCATCTGCACCTGTTTTGATTTTTCTTCCTCGTCGTTTTGGTTAATGCATAAAGCGTCAATCCAAATGAGATTACTCCTCTGAATCTTATCCAGTCTTGAATCGCGAAGTTGTTGTAGTGCCGCAATAAGGTTTTTGGTAGCCTCGAACCTCGACGCATTAACGACTATTGGTTCTGTTTTCGTACTATCTCCCCATGTGTAGGATAGAGCATCGTAATGCAAATCAGGCGCGCGCCGGAAAGACTTTAAAGTGATTGAAATGACATTGGATGAGTCGCCGTCTAGAGGCGAGTGGATATGTGCAAGTCTTATCCATTCCGACGGGTTCTGCAAAGGCTCATAGGTAAAGGTACGCAGATCAACAGAAGATTCAATCATTGCATAGGACGCTGGATGTGGAAGTAACTACATCTGTCCGCTGATGTCTTATCCATGGATGACATTTGCCCCGCTGACAACACCAAGGCCGATTAGCGAGCAGCCTTGCGAGTATTCAACGCATCTTCACGGCTTGATCAAAATTTAAGGCTGGAGCAGCTCCAAGCAGAGATTTGATCGACCTCATACTTGGATCTTAACGACATGAGTATAAGATTACTTGCAAAGCTGCAAATACACTTCAAGCAAAATCGGCTGGGAGTCATTCTGGGCATCCATTACCGGAACAGGAAGGTACATCCAGACCTAGCAGGAGGAAGCATCCACGCGCCAGTGGAGCCTGCCAAAGATAAGATGTGCAAGTTGCGACTTCCAACATTGAAATCAAGTAAAGAGCTTGGCATCCCATCATGGACGAACGGGCACAGATCAAGCCAACTTTGCCTCGCGACAATCCTACTCTGTCGTACTGGCAGGATCCGCCAGATCGAATCGCCGACTTTAGATCTGGCAAGCAACTCCCGGAATCAGCTGACTATGTAATTGTCGGCGGCGGAATCACCGGTGCATGCATAGCCTTTAATCTTTTGGAGCGGCAACCGCATGCGAAGATTCTTATGTTGGAGGCTAGAGGCGCAAGCAGCGGAGCTTCAGGACGAAATGGTATGAGCTTCTTGAGAGGTTTCTTCTCGGCAGCCCTACGGGAATTCCCGCCTACGAAACTGCTGTATCGCTGTGTCAAGTATTTGCTGATGTAGCGTCCGTGAAGGTGGCCACACCAAAGCAGCATCTTATCGCGCCTTTCCGGAGCATGCACATGCTCATGGGATACCCGAAGCAATCAAGATAGCGAAGCTCGAACTTGCCAATGTCCGCGCCACGCATGCTTTTGCTGCCAAACACAATATAGTGTGTGAGTCTAGACCATGCGAGACCGTCGACATCATCTACGATGCGGATGCGTATGCCTCTGGAATAGCTTCCATTAAGCTAATCCGTGAATCAATGCCTCCGAATGACCCAGCAGCGAAATACGAAATCTTGGATGCCGAAAAGGCCAAGGAGATATTCCTCGTAGACGGCGACGATGTCAAAGGCGCATTCAAGTACGAGGCTGGTAGCATCAGCGCCTACAAGTTCGTTATCGGAGTCCTCAAACTTTGTCTCGCCAACCCAAACTTTCAGCTTCAGACGTTTACACCTGTAGCCTCAATCTCAAAGTTAAATGACATGGGAATATGGGTCGCGCAGACATCACGAGGGGCTGTCACGACGAAGAATCTTGTCCTTGCTACGAATGGGTATACTGCACATCTGTTGCCTTTAATGCAGACCAAGATTGTTCCTCTGCGTGGTCAGGTAACTGCTCATCGTGCTGGGCCCAAGATTCAATCTATGCATCCCGATGGCTTGCCAACTACGTACTCGTTCATCTATTCAATTGGTTATGAGTATATGATCTCGCGGCCTCGCTTAGCTTCTGTACCTGATGACCTCGTCGGTGATGTTGTGATTGGGGGTGGCCTTGGCATGCTGCCTAACGAAGGTTTGTCTGAATTCGGAGAAACAGATGATACTGTTCTTAATAACTTGAATTCGGGATATTTGCGTGAGACGACGAAACGGTATTTTGGATCAAACTGGGGAGATGATGACCCCGCCTCAAGGGTACGCAAGGAGTGGACTGGCATCATGGGTATCACAGGGGATGGACTGCCGTATGTAGGGCCCGTGCCGGAGGAAGAGGGTCTTTGGATCTGTGCTGGATTCAATGGCCATGGTCAGTTTTCATGGAGCGAGTCAATATGCGAGAACTGAGCTGATGCATTTATAAAGGAATGGTTCTCTGCATGAAATCCGCAGAGGCCTTGACACATATGCTATGTGGGGACAAACGAGAAGTATATGACTGGTTCCCAGAAAGCTTCGTCATCACCAAGAAGCGTTTGAAGGATACGCTGTTTGAGGGACGCAAGGGTATGAAAGCCCCGCTAGAGTTTGATGGCATTGACTTCAAGACAGCTGTGCTAAGAGGAACGACACATTGCGGATGAGGCAAAATATCAAAATAAAAAGAAGTGCTGACAGAAGTGTGCTCTTAATGTTTTGGATATCTGCCTCTCTTGATCTGAAAGAAGCTAATCGAGCTTTTGATGAAGCCTGTAATGCCCGCACAAAGCATTGGAGAGAATACCATGCCGCTCATGAAACGCCACTGATTGCAATGCCCGTCCCCGTCGTGATACACACATATCTACTCCTCCTGGATGTTGCCGCGCTCCGAGACGTAGATACCATCCAAGAACTTTTGCACCGGTCAGCACTGTACGCACTCTTCTTCTTTAAGATATGGGGTGATCTCCTACCTTTCGGATATCCTTGTTTCGCACTCTGCAAATCTGCTGGATGTCTGCAGCGCTCTGCGACACGTTCTCGAGTGAGATGCCGGTCAGCTGGATCTCGTCCTTCTGGTTCTTGCTTGGTTCCACATCGACACCTGGGTGCATGGTAACCTTGCGCACGATTTTCTCGCCAATGAAGTTACGGATCTCGACTTCATACAGACCCGTCTCCTTGTTCTTCTCAATGTTGACGTTGATGGGAAAGTGGGCATAGACGTAGCGCATCTTATACTTGAAGCCCTTGGTGACGCCGATGATCATGTTGTTGATGATGGTGCGGACTGTTCTCTGCAAGGCGTGGCGGCCCTTGGTTAGTACACTTACTGCTGCTGGCGAGCGAGTTTTGCTTTTATCGTACCAGCGTAGCCACGTTCTTTCTATTGCCATGGTGCAGCTCGATCTTGATCACGTTCTTGCCTTGGTGCTTGAACGAGACAGCCAAGTGACCGAGGTTCTTGACCAGCTTGCCGCGAGGACCCTCAACGGTGACATTTCTGGTCTTGATGGCGACCTTGACGCCCTCCGGGATGGTGAGCGTCTCTTCTGAGTGAATGTACCTAGATTTGTGTCAATTGTTGAAAAAGAAATATATGCGTTGAAATTATCGTCGATGTTATCGTGCCAGTTTAGATGCGCTTCGATTTTCTTGCATGATAGGGATAATTGTCCAGCTAACACGACAGATGTCGGCGTTCAACTCTTCTTAGACAGATTCATCTTTCCAAAACGCATGCATTCGGAGTAGCAGAACTGAGTAGATGCAACGAAGACTGGCCGACAATATCGAAAGAGAAGAATCAAGGCGTAGGAATACATACAGCATCTTTAACGACCTGTGAGGGCAAGTTAGCAGTGATCAAGAAAGCAAAGCGAGTGCTATGTGGCGTGCAGAGGTGAGTAAGCTCTGGACGAGTCACAGGAATTGAATCTAAGTATGATATCGCAAGTAAAACGTACCGGGTCTGGAAATTGTAGCTGTCGTTAGTTGTCTGTGTGGATGTCGCAAATAATCAAAGTTTCTTTGTATCAAAATTGAGTGTGCACCACCCATTTTCGCCAAGACGCTAGGCAACAAGGCACAAAGGCACCAATATCCACGTCCTTCCAGAGCTCAAATTATTTGAGGGCCAAGAAGTCAGCTATTCTAAGTGGTAGGTAATGCTTCACATGAATAAGATGCATAATGCTGAACAAACCCGTGTTTCAGCTGAAGGCTACACAAACTTCTTTTTATCAAGTACATTCACTATGGAAGATACAGAGAAAGCGAAAGCAAGCTGCGTGAAGTACGCATTGCGCTTTGAACCCGACAGTATCTCCATTAAGCTAATCGTGGACAAAAACCACAACCTCTGGGGAGGATTTTACCTTCAAGGTTGCTAACCACAACACATGTATATCCAGTGCTTCTTACCATAATACATAATTCACATGTCATGTGACTCACAAGTTCGAGCCAAGAATAATGCATCCCTATCCCAAACCGGTCCAAGGGTATCCAGAAAATAAATGCCGAAAAGGTGTTTTCAATTTGATCAGGACCAAAAGTGCCGCCTCCTGTTCTTTTCAGCGACTTCCGCGTCTCTTTTCCGCATGGCGTCCCTCTCCGCTTCACTCAACACCATCTCTACCTGCACTTGCTTGCCACCCATTCTTCTCAATGTATCCTTTAGCTTGCCTTTCTCGTCGAGTTCCTGCACATCGTCACCACCACCTATGCTTTTTGCCCTGACCAGGATGTTAGGAACGGTCTTGCGACCAGTGATGCCGCCGAGGTAGGACTGCAACTGCTTGCCCAATGGATGGATGTCGAGTTCTACAACATATGGCGAGGGCGTGATCTTGTACTTTTCCAGGAGGATATGTTTTGCCCGGCGTGAGTAGGGACAATAGGTTTTGGAGAAGATGATGACTACATATTTGTTAGAAATGGCTCATTACTCAATATCCCTCATTACGCACTTGGACTTTTCTTGAGAATGTCGTTTAGCTCGGCATGTGCCTTGCGTTCGTCCTCGGTTTCTTCATGAGGTGTGTCTGATTCATCCTCATTCTCGATCTCCGCCTCTTTATCAACCTTCTCCACGTGCTTGTCCGATTTGGACTCAAAATCATCCTCATCATTTGCTTTTAGCACACTCTCTTTGGGGTCTTTCATAACTATTCTCCCTGCAACAGCCTTTTCTCCCTCTTCAGGGTCTCTCCTTCCACCGGTGCTAGACTTGGAGGATTTGCCGGACTTTGATGACTTCGATGACTTAGAGGACGCGGTTTCCACGTCTTCGTCCTGCTCCAAGCGCTCCTTCACCTTGAGGGCCTTCTGCTTCGTTTCCTCGCCATGAAACATCTCGGCTTTCTCGTCGGCCTTCCGTTTTGCAGCCTCTTCAGCAGCCTTTAGCCGATGACTGACCATGCTATCCTCGCCAAGCGCATGCTCCATGTCTGCAAGTTTAGCTTGCTTTGCAGCCTTCGCAGCTGACAACGCATCTTGAGTCGATGTATAGAATTCTGACGACCGAGTCTGTCGGCCAGAGGCAGTAATGTAGAGTGTGAGAAGGATAAGTAGAACGGCCAGAAGGAAGAAGCCCTTCAGGCGGCGATTGGATGGCATCATGGAAGTTCTATTCCACGCTCCTGCACACACAGAGAGCGACTATGAAAGCAAGGAATGTCCAGATAGATAAACGGAGGGAGAACTATGCGCGACCCGTATCTCGGCGCGGTGCGACCGATCGAAGTGGTAGAGACAAAGTCTAGTACATCGCCCGCAATTGAATAAGCGAAAAGCTTGCGAATGGCGAAACGATAGCCGAGAACCAAAGCCGCAAAGTAAAGAAGGACACAAGCCCGGCGAAAAGAAGGCTGCTACGAAAGAGTAAAGGATGTGCGAATCAAGATATCAGCGATGAAAAGCACCAAAGGAGCAAGGCCGATCGCAAATGGGATTTCATCTCCACACGGTACCTTACACACGGAAGCTCCTTTTGGGTGCGTGAGTGGAGTTCTCCGCCGCGTGAGGCCACTACGACCTTGCCGGTTCAGGGCACGGTTAGCCCGTTTTCGGCAATCAATACGGGGCGTGGCGTCGCGGCTGGTCCAAGGCGCGGAGCCTTTCTGACTGGGCTTTTTGGGGGCCTGCCAAAAACCTTGAGGAATGCCCGCGTCTTTGAGCGATCGATAGCTTGAAAAGCGCGTCCTTTTGTTCGTGCACGCTGCTGTTCAACGCAGCCTGATCTTGTCCGCGATTGATTCAGTAGCCTGTCTGGAGATCAACCCGCCTCGAGACCGCTGTGACGCGTGTGTCGTTGATGCGTTCGGTGTGTCGGACGCGGGAAAAAGGAGTCCTCATGTCTGTTCTGTCAGCATCCTTGTGAACATCATATTGACCATTTCGAGAAACTGTCCTCTCATGCGCACCATTTGCACCTGTACTGCCAAAACGGTGTCGTAAGATGTTTCTTGTCCGTGCCGACGTTCCACTCCGCCGACGCGTCGGCGAGGCGACGAAATTTCTGACTGAGGCATTGATAAATCTTGCACGTCACAGTCCGGGCACCACGCGTCTATGTATTACAAGTCTCTACCAAAGTGCGACTCAACTTAGGATTAACCAGTCTGACCCGTATCGACCAGATTCTTGCACGTTTGTTTCCTTCAAATACGCGTGGCAGAGCTCTCTGACGCCTTTGATGTTACGCTCAACATGTCACTGTCTGACCAGTGTGGATGCATCAAACACCCTACCCCCACCCCCCCGGGTGTTCCGGCTTCTGACTGGCGTTGTGTAAAGCAAGCATCACTAAGCTCACCCCTTTGATCCTCAGCGTCAAATCGATGTTAAACGGTACATTATCTATGGTACAGGTGCGCGAGGAGACGAGAATGGGTGCGCAGCCGCAATTGCAAAGTGCATTTTCACATCCGTTTGAATATCAAGGCGTTCTCAACAAATCAACTTTGCATCAACTACCATTCTTTTCAACTTCTTTACAGACCGTGTACTCGGAATGCTCATTGGGACGTCCTCGAATTCGATGACTGGCTGTTAATGTAAGGCGTACACCGTGTGAGCTGGATAGGACTTCTTGTGGTAATTTCCCGACTCGCAAAGAGGCCCATTGGTTTGTCACACGAAGCGTGGTATTGCTTTGACCTGTCCACTATTCGCATCGTCCACAGTTCAAGCCGTCACTTATATTAACCAATCTCGAAGTCGCTTGCAGAAGTAATTACGGGATAGCCGGATCGTATCGTCCAAATGCTGCATTTCACGAGCTGGGAAGACTTACCAAAGATAGGTGAACAAGCACAGTGTTTGAGTTCTTATCATTGCTTGAATACCCTTGATGCGTTCAAGCAATTGTTCGTGGCAGCAAGTAGAATCAACATCGTTACGGCAACTGCGGAGCTATGCAATAGCCTCTCCGTCCTCCGTCAAAGTACTTTATAACTACATTACAGCAGTAAGATATACCTTAGAGGGACGGAATTAATCTACACGTCACAAATTTTTAAGGATGGCTAACAGTCTCAAGTCTCTAGATATTGTTGGTAATCGAATCTGCGGGGGAAATTGGTCGTAACTATAATCAAAGATAACTTCAAGCGAGAATTGCTAATGATAATTCTGCATCTGAAAGCAGGAGCTGGTTAGCTTCTAGACGCACTCCAAAACATCTCCGATCGTGATTGGAGTTTTTGATTCACTTGCATATTTACCACACATTCGTACATCTCATGTTTCTGGGCAAAATGCAGAGAGCTCCATTATAACCTTCTCTACTTAGAGACAAGAGCATTTGGGGAAATATGAAGTTCGATTACGTGACAAGATAAATATATTATGCACTATCTTTGATATGAATTGCGCATTGATTACATCTCTATCGGATAGATATTTTAAGGGCACAACGGTATCAAGAACTTAACTAGAGCAGTGGTCACCTCTTGTGCAATGGATAGTCATAGAGTGTCATTGTCTCTCTGCTGATGCAGCCTTGCTGATTCGTAGGTCACTACTCATGCGGCTAATGATATTAACAGATTGATAACACGATGATGAAACTTCCTCTTACCTTTTATCCTTCAGGCTTGAACTACCAATCTATGCCCTTTCTTGAGTTTAAGTATTTACAAATAATCTTCCGAGGTTCACCATGGATATACTCGCAATTTCATTTACTGTCATAAGACTTGCAGCTAGATGAGTGAACACAGCGAAAATGCTATATAAGCTTAAAGATGGTTATAACATTGGTACTGTCACCACAGTGGTGCAATATTTGGAAATCACGACAATATCAGCATTAAAAAGTTGAGTCCAGAATGGTTTTTAATTAGATTCTTTCTACTTTCTCTTTTTATTGCATTGCACCTCTCAGGTCCTCGTGCAAAGCTCGATCTAAATTCCTTTCAAATACTCGCATGATCTCCACGTCCTTCTAACCATTACCTTCCCAAACTCTACGCAAGACGGTTTCGTTGTTAACTTTGTTTGGTGGGATATTCGCTACCTGGTCTAACAGGTTGCATGCTTGTTCTGTCGATCGTTGATAAAGAGGTTCGGAAATCAGGGCCATTTGGAGTTAGCACTGATATGCGAGTGGCATGGAAAGGAGGAGAGGATGAAGAACTGCTAGAGTACATACGAGGGTACCATTCGGCATCAATACTACTCATAAAAGTGCTTTAGCTGTGGTAAATTCTCAGCGCAGGCCCGAGTGAAGACTGACAAGTCCCTGGAAATAGTTGGACGACGTTTGAAAAGTTCGTTATAACAAGTGGGCCCCGGTTGGCAAAGATTCGGCGGGATACGCTTGCGCTCCGGCGAAGCAATTCGTTTACTGGGCCCTCAAGTTCATTATTATATCTGGAAGGAAATGATGGAGGTGAATGTTCAGCTAGGCAGGTTTCTTTGTGATCTCCACAATTGCTGATTCTGACCAAGCCGAGAACTCGGCAGTCTACCGACGGACACTTGAGTGCTAGAAAAGCCCGTTACCAGTCTCGGTCTGGAATCTTGAAGCAATAGAGGAGAGTCAAATACTCGCCTGACGATAGTAAACAGCGGAAGAGAACAGGACGTATTCAAAGAGATGTGCAGATAGTAGGAAGCCAAAAATTCAAAACAACAGCTCTTAACGAACTTCCGAATTTGAAATCAAAAAGGTTAATGCTCTTGGTTCAATGGCAAAATATATCGGCAGCAGCATCTCTGTTCTTGAACCAAAGGTCAAAAAATGAAAACAAATTCACACGTGGCGAAGACAGATGACTCGTCTGCGAATTTCGACGCGGCGTTCAACTCTCTTATGCGAAGATTAGAAGATAACTTACCATTGGTCGGCATCCCTAATAAGTCGTTCAGCATACAACGCTCAGCACTGTTGCATGACCGGACGAAGAAAAGGACAATGGTCAGAGTGCCGAGAAAGAGCTACGAGAACCGGCTAATTAAGACGACCGACAAATTAAAGTCTCAGAGCCGATGAGGTGAACAAGTGCTTGCTCACAAGTGAAAGCCAACGTTCTGACGACACTTGATCTTTGGAGTTGTTCACTCAACGATGCGTTGGAGGAATTGAAAGAGAAGATTTAGCAGTCAGACCAACGAAATCAGGAACGTCGCGAGAAGCGCGGAAGGCAGCGCGGAGCTGCTGCGAAGGAGGAAAGAGCAATTTATGGATTATCAACTTTTTGATGCTCAGCAAGTCAGCGTCATGTACACCTCTCTCGGGGCTGAAGTGCTGCGAGCAACCCTCGTAGTACAAGTTAAAGCCGTATCGGGTACCGCCAAAATACGATGCAAACACATCAAATGGCAGAAGCCCGAATGAGAACAAGCGCTGTCGAGGGTACATGTATGTGCTTTTCACCGCAAAGGCGCTCTGCTCGCTCCGGGTCTGAGATAGGACTGTTGCTATGAGCGTTCATTCTCAGCCGTAGGGGCGACTGGCACAGAGCTCGTAGGTCATTTACGGGGATACAGCATAGCCAGAATGGGGTGGTGATAGACAACAATGTAACGACGGCAGGGAGTTGCATTTATATTGTGAGGTTTTGAAATTTCCGAGCACTGGACAATGTTGGCATGCTCATAATAAGGAATCCACGAGGGACAGGCTGGTCTCTGGCCATGGAGCGTACCTTGAATGTACCCACTTCTTATGTGAGCTTTGGCATGATGTGGGCAGTGCGAGGACATCCTTGTTTGCGAAGTCTCGGCTTCGACCACGTCCTTCATTTCGAGGCCGGAGAGTGCACACAACGGCGGCGGGCGAGCAGAATCTTCCGCTGAAGGAGTTATTCGCGACAGCGCCCCTCTCTTTTGGACACACGGCTTCTCAACAATGCGGTGCTTCGTGTGCCACCTGTGCGACCAACCTGCAGCGCGATAGGAGGAGTAGGGGCACGGTGATAGGGGGGGCTTGCGGCTCATGAGGACTTCTTCAGCCATTCCGTCGGCTGGCGCGACGGCGTGCACGCCAATCGATAGGAGAGGCGGGAATGACGGAGGCGAGAACAATGGGGGCGCTGTGACGTCCTTTTTTTTGGGGATCGAGCGCAGGTGGATCTTGACTTGTGGGACGCCTTGCTCGGCCGAGCACGCGCACAGAGTCGCGGGAAACAATTCGTGCACAAGCTTTCTGAGCGTCTTGACGGGCGAAGAACAGCGCTCCCCACAATGGCCTCGATGACGGGCAGCGGGCGTTGACGAAGAGATGCTTTGTGCCGTTTGCAGCACGGCGTTTCGTCACGGCACGCGGCCAGGAACAACGACACGGCGCACTGGCGCCGATCCGCTGGGCGGTTTCCAGCCGTTTCAAGGGGCGACGCCGCCTCGACGGGCGCATCGCGACTGGTGCAGGCCGCGACTCTCCGCCGGCCATTGGCTCCGCGCGGCCGTTTGCTAATCATAGGCTGCTCTTGTGCCGGTGGACTCTTCCCCTGGCGCTGATGGAGGCCCGTGGCACTTGGTGGCAGATCCAGGCACAGAACCTCTCTCTCTCTCTGTGTCCACCTCGCCCCCTGTGCAGATCGAGCCGCGGCTTCTGGGCCTCAAACACCTCATTTCCAGCTTCCCGTGTCGCTGATTCGTCCGTCTTTGTTTCTTGAGACCCGTCTGCCAGTACTCCTGCAATCATAGCCTGGACGAGCAAGAACCCAACGGGTGAGCGCATCGACCGTCCACGCAGTTCAGGGCACACATCGCAATATCAGTCTAGCATCCCTGGGCACGATGGCACTTGGCTCGCTACAAAGGGACTGCTCGTCTCTGTCTCCTTCATCGCCGCCCTCTTTGTCTTGTTTCCTCGCCGTGTTTCTTCCACCTCCGCTTCACAGGCCGGCTCTGTCGCTCTTTTCAGATCCAGTTCACTCTTTCTTCGTTCCGCCCTGCTTCTCCTCCGTAGCCGACCAGTCATTCATTTTATCATTCAGCGGATACGGATCTCCTGCTTGATCATTGTGCCTTCGCCAACAATAGAACGCTCGCGAGATCAATACCCCCGTCCTTTTGAGAGCACTGCGTTTCGCTGCGCTCTTCAAACCCGGAGATCTCTTTAACAAAGCTCTATTCTTTCTTTCCCACCTTTACCTTTGCCTTCACAGCACCAGCAACAACATGAAGTCCTTCCTTGGCGCGTCTGCTGCGCTGCTTACTGCCGTGTCGGCCCACTCATGGCTGGAGTGTACTGACTATGACAACTCTGAGATCCTGCCCTGGATGCAAAGCAACTCTACACTCAACCCTCCCGTCATCGTCGACCCTGGGTGAGTTGCAGAGCTTCAAACGTGTTGTGGACAAACTAGCTGACGGAATGGCAGCATGCCCTGGTTTGCGGACGTTTACTGCAAGGCCTACCCGCGTGCGAAGCAGTATGGCGGCAATTGGATCGATGAGTCCACAAACTACGTCTGGAACATCGCCGCTGAGAGCTTCAACATGGGCCCGTCAAAGCCTGCCGACACACACGCCTGCCCGCCCGAGCAGCGCACGCCCACTTATTACCCGAACGCGCCAATGAAGACGGCCGCTCCGGGTGACACGATCAAGCTCTTCTTCGGTGGTAATGGCCATACCCGTGGCTTTAACACCGGCGGTACTTCGAACCCGAATCCACTGGGCCCTGGAACCGTTTCTGTCTACTGGAAGGGCGCCCCAGAGCAGGAGATCACAGATATTTCCGAGTTCACACCTGAGAACCTGCTGCAGTCCAACGGCTTTGCCGAGGAATCTTTCAGTTATCCTGCAGATCCTAACATTAAGACTCCAGACCAAGGCCTTGTCGACAAGGGCAACTGGCAGTCGCTGAAGCTGTGAGTTATCTGTCTGCTTGAACAGGGCGAATAAGATGCTGATCCACAAAAGCCCAGCCGATATGGCTCCTGGCCGCCACATGTTCGTTTGGGTATGGACATACGCTGGAAGCGATGCTCCACAGTGGAGTACCTGCTTCGACGTGACTATTGAAGGCTCGCCAAGCTCTGGCTCTAGCTCCGCCAGCGAAAGCTCGTACAGTGCATCACCTGTTGCCAACGCCGTCAATGCCGCTGCTGAAAGCCCGGCAACCACTCCTGTCCCAACGCCCGCAACTACTGATGCCCCAACTCCCGTAACCACCGTTTGGGACAACAGCGTTGAGACTGTGTACACAACAGTCGATGTGTGGACCACTGTGTGGGACTACCAGAAGCGCAATCACGTTCGCCAATTCAAGCCGTGAGAGTCTTGACGGACGCCGTCGCACTTCTCTTTACTTTGGGCATGTAATTTTCTATTGCATATGGGTTTGCCAAGGTTGATCGGAGCATTTCAGGGGCAGCGGCGAGCACCTTATGCATCTTCGTTTGTCGAGGGCTTTCATGTTCATACTTTGTACAAGGGTAAACAAGGGCCCTAGACAAGACGGGATCTCGTTTAGGAACCTTGGATATTCTGCTTTTGTTTGAGGAGCGGGTCACAGCTGGGGAATGGCTGCAGCATAAAATATCACCTCGTCATTCTTAGCAACGAATACACAAGAAGAAGGCGTTTAAAATCCACCACTGGCCTATTCCAGGGGTTCACTGACCAAGGTGTCCTTGCTACGCCCCCTACGTAGCAAATCAATGATCATGATCAAACTAGTCACTGAGCTCTGACTCTTTTGACGCAACTGCATCCACTCTGATTTTCTTAGCGGTCACGTGAATCAAATTGTGATGAGCGTATGATTCCATCACTGGCGATTACAGACGTCTAAGCCACCAGCATGTACTGTAGACTACTTTGCCACCTATACAAGAGGCTTCCTCAGCCGTACTACAGCCATTGAACCCCCAGGTGCAAGGCTCCGTCAGCCACCAGCCTTGTATAAAATGCACCTACAGGCGTTAGCGTGCATACAGGAAAAAAAGTGGGTGCCCCTGCAAAGTTACCTTCGTCCGAGTCGTCTCGATGCAGCCGCTGCGCATGCACGTGCGAAGGCACCAGCATCGTGCAGAGAGCACAACGATGCGGCAGTCGAGAATTAATTTTCGAGTGGATCCACTCTCGTAATGGCGGAGGCCGTGGAGATGAATGCCAACCTCGTGTCCAAGGATAGGCTCGGCGACAAGATTCTCGGTCTGGAGAACGGTGCCAGAGTGGAAGAGATTGTGCGTCGTGTGCAAGACTGGCAGATCATCCATGGCTCCCTTCTGAAGGTTGTGCCCGCCGATGAAGACGAAGCGTCATCAGCGGGGGCGAAGGCGCACGCCGTGCCTGTCAGTCTTGTTCCGTCGCCTTGGTCGCGACGGTGCTTCGACCGGGCCGTGGCTTTGCAAGACGGCTTCAACGAGCTTTACGCCCGGCTCGCCAGCAACGAGAAAGGGCTCGAAAGAATGCTGAGGCCCTTGATGGGAAAGGACGGCTTTGCAGAGACATTGTGGAGCATACACCAGGAAGCGAAAACCCTAGGCATAGCGCAGAAATGGTCTCTGGGCATCTTCCGAAGCGACTACATGGCGAACAGCGAAGGCATTCACCAGGTCGAGTTCAACACGTTCGCGTGCTCGGGGGCGACGCACGCAACTCGCATCTCCAAGATGTACTCGTACCTTCATAAGATTGGAATGTACGGCGACACGTACGGACCTCAATCTGCGCCACCAGCCAAGCTGCCTTCAAACTCAGCGACGACAGGAATCGTCCGGGCCTTGCTCGGTGCTCATCAACAGTACTTGAAGTGTCGCTCCTGTAAGTTGTTTACTTTGCAAATAGCATCTGACAAGGTCGTTGTTCCAGGTACCGATCGCGGAGATGAACCTTATCCGTTTCATATTCATGACTATGCAACCCTGTGGCTGATTCATGCCATCTTAGCTTCAAACTCGGCATCCACAGGGATTTTGATGATTGTCCAGCACGGCAACTTTAACGTCAGTGACGAACGCCCTATCGAGTATGCACTGTGGGACGTTGGGGTACCAGTATATCGTCTTGAGTTCCGTGCGATCCTACAGTATTTGTCCCTTGGACCCAACAAAGAATTGCTTTACAAGCTACCATCGTGCGAGCTGGCACCACTTGAAGTGTCCGTCGTCTACTACCGCGCGGGTCACAAACCTGCCGAATACCTGCGCGATGGTGCTGAGGCGCGATTGTTGATAGAGATCTCCCAGGCAATCAAATGCCCTTCGATCCTGAGCCACCTCACCACCTTCAAACATGTTCAACAGGAACTCGCGAAGCCTGGAGCTTTGCAAGCCTGCTTTCCGGGCGCGAGGCAAATCCCTCGAGTTGATGAAACATTCGTGCCCATGTTCGTGCTCGACAAATCCGAGCGAGGAATTCATGCGCGCAATCTCGCCTTGAACGAAGAACAGGCTCGACGTTACATCCTCAAGCCATCGCGGGAAGGTGGAGGTAACAATGTCTACGGTCGCGACATCCCGGCCTTTCTACAAACGGTGCGAGAAGAGCTGTGGCCTACTTTCACACTGATGGAGAAGATTGAGGTGACTCCCCACAACGCACTGCTCTTGTCCCAGAATGGGCTGTACATGGGACCGGCCGTGAGTGAGTTGGGGATCGTCGGATCTATCCTGTGGCGACCTGATGATCGTGATGATGGGATACCGTCTATTGAAATCGATTTCAACAAGCCAATAGGCTGGACGTTCAAGACGAAGCCTTCTACTGTAGACGAGATGAGTGTGGTCAAAGGCTACGGGTAAGTTGCTGTGACTCCAAACGATAAATGTATGTATTAAGGATATCTAGTTTTTTTGATAGTCCATATCTGCTTGATGACTGAAAGAAATAGGAAATCGCTTCACCCGTCTATGTAACCGTAAATGAGGTCTACTGAGCATACTCAGCACGCCACAGAGCTAGCTGCTCGAGAGTCACGTTGCTACCACCGCAGATAACGACAACAATCTTCATATCTGGAGTAATCGGCCGGCCAAGCGCCTCTGCCAACTTGCCATTGTAGCAAAGTGCAGCATTAACACCGCAGGCAGGCTCGACAAGAAGACGCTCGTCATCTGCTAGCCTGCAGCATCCCATAACAGCCTCTGCATCGCTGAGCACGAAGCTATGTACGTTCTCCCGTTGCGCAAGCTCATAGGTTCGCTTGGAAACGCGAACGCACCCAAGAGAGTTGGCAATGCTCGTGATCCCGGGCAATGTGATGTGCTCTTTGGCCTTGAGGGCGGCATTGAGAGAGTCGGCACCCGCCGTCTCAAGCGCTATGACGTGAGTTGAGTTCCAGCCGATTGCGTCGAGGCCTTGCATGATGCCGTTGAAAAGTCCTCCACCGCCGACACTGCACACAATGGCATCAGGTGCCTTATTGCTGGATCCATTGAGCAGCGAAGACGTGTTGTGCAACTCGGCAAGCTGTTGTTTCAGCTCATACACCAGGCTTGAATGACCATCCCAAATATCCGGATGGTCAAATGGAGGCACATACACTCCACCCTTGTCTTTGTGCAAGAGATTCTCGCGCAGGTAGGTGTCCGCTTCCTTCCAGTTTGCACCGGTTTGAATGACCTCTTTCGCGCCAACGGCTCGGAGCTTCTCCAGCATCAATGGCTTGGTAGTGGTCGGCACGACGATGGTGGCCGGAAAGCCTAGTTGCTTCGCAGCAACAACGCATGCAAGCCCGGCGTTGCCGCCGGACGAGCAGTAGAAGTGCGTGGACTCCCTTCTACCGTTCTTCTTGATGTGTGTGGCGAGGTAGTTGCCGATTCCGCGCGATTTAAAACTGCCCGAGGGTTGCAAGTTGTCTAGTTTGAGAAAGATTCTGCTTCTGCGATTTAGAATGTTTTGGATTTCTTGTGGAGGGGGGGACTGGGGAGGGCAAGGGAAAGACCGTACCATCCTGCAGCTCTGGAGAGAGGAGCGGACTCGATGAGTGGTGTCTCGATCCAGGTGTCCATTTTGCGTTGTATCGACGTAACCGATGGAAGGTTTACGCGGACAGGCAGAACAAGGAGAACAACAAACAGGTTTCCGCTGTCAAAGTTGTGTTCTGCGTTTCGAAAGCAACGTTTGATCTTTTGCGTTCGAAATGTTTCAACGATGGGAGAGCCCGAACAGGGTTCCTTGAGGAGACCGTATATATATCACTTCTCCAAACAACATGGTCGTCATGCCCCGGAAAGAAAAAAAAAGTGTCTTATCTGCTCAACGTATACCTTCCGTCGCTAAGCGCCCTACGACATGTTACCATAACCGCTTTGGGGTAACTGTTACCCACCTGAGAGTTCCCGTCCATCCAGGGTCGTAGTGCCAAAACGTTAGATCGTGCTATCTTGGTTCTTCCATTACCCCATAATATGGTTTTGCTTACCCTATAGCGCTAAAAGATGTCTAGGAGGCGTGGTTCCGCGATCGGCTGATCGTCATCATGCGCCTTACTTGCTCGGGAAGCGCAATGCGTGGAAAGTCCAGAAGCTTTTTCCAGACCATGTGCTGACAGCTTTGCGCTGAGAGAAGCATTTGCGATCGGTCGTGGAGGCTTTTTGCTCACGATGCTGGTCCCGTACGTCACAGGTTTCGTCCTGTTCCTGCGTGCGTTCGTATTGGCCGAACGAAGCCCGCCGATTCCCGACTTCAACGACGGATTGCAGCTGGCCATCCCTCCACCACCAGCCAGATTCTCCACAGACGAGTTACTATCCCTCCACAGGCAGCTCATTACGCACAGTTCCATAACCGGCAATGAAAGTCACATAGCCCACTGGTTCTCGTCCTACCTTTCCGATGCAGGCCTCCAAGTCGAATTGCTGGAAGTCGCCAACGGCCGCTACGACCTCTTTGCGTACCCTGGAAAGGCGCGCGAGTCCAAGATTCTCGTAACCAGCCATCTCGACACGGTGCCTCCGTTCTGGCCGTACGAGCTGAGGAACAATGGAACGGAGGTGTGGGGGCGAGGTAGCGTCGACGCAAAGGCGTGCGTGGCCGCGCAAACGATTGCCGTGCTAGATCTGCTCGCTCGGAAGCAGATTCGCGAGGGGGACGTCTCGCTTCTCTTCGTGGTCGGCGAGGAGACGACAGGGGACGGCATGCGATTCTTCTCGGGCGTGAAACCCACGAACTACACCGCCGTCGTCTTTGGCGAGCCGACGGAGGGGAAGCTGGCAGCGGGACACAAAGGCATCCTAGGCTGGACGATTAAGGTGCGCGGCAAGGCCTCGCATTCCGGGTACCCCTCCCTGGGACTCAGCGCCAACAAGATCCTCCTCGAGGCGCTGGACGAGATGCTCTCGCTGGAGCAGGAATTGCCGAGCAGCGAGAAGTATGGCAACAGTACCCTGAACATTGGCCGCATCTCCGGCGGCGTCGCGGCCAACGTCGTCGCCGAGACCGCAGAAGCGAACATAGCCTTGCGCATCGCCAGTGGGAGTGTCGACGACATTACGCAGATGATCAAGGATAGGTTACGTCCCATTGCTGCCCGGGCGCAAACGGCGGGGGGCAATTTGACGGTGGACTGGCCAGGCAGAGGCTATAGCGTCGTGGACCTCGATCACGACGTGGACGGCTTTGACACCATCACCGTCAATTACGGAACCGATGTTCCAAATCTTGATGGCGATCATAAAAGATATCTCTACGGCCCCGGAAGCATTCTCGTTGCCCACTCAGACCACGAGCACCTCAAGGTCAGCGAGTTGGAGCAAGCTGTGATGGACTTCCAAAAGATCATCTCGTCCGTCCTGGACAAGGAACAAAAGAACTTAGAACTATGAGAGTTTAGATTCAGGCAACTGTGATAAATACCAGCATACATGAGCAAGTCCAACTGGCTGCAAATGCTTCGAGGGTATCTAACTCTTAATGTACTCATCATGCAGCAATAAAACAAGATTTGAAAAGAAGAACATTCCAACACACATGCCTCTATGCGAGTCCTATTTCTTGGCTTACAAATCTGGAATCTCAGCAGCGATCTGTCTAATCCGCCAATATCTGCCCCGTGCTTGATGCGGAAGCTCTTTAACCAACGCCTTGAACCTAGATGGGTCGGTCCATTCGAGATCACCGAATTGGAGACACTCAGCGACATATGCAGCGACCGTAGCTGTCTTTAGCGGCGGATCGCGAAGCAGAGTGCCAATTTTTTTACAGTCTAGTTTCTCCTTCTCCCAGAGAAAGTATGCCCGCAGCGCTGCCACGGTAAGAGTATTTTTAGGCTTTTGAGATGTCTCCGTTGATCTGACTAGTTGTGTCTCCTGGGCCCAAACGGTCGCTTGAATCGCAAGGTCTTTACTTTCCTTGATGGATCGAACGTCTCCCTCTGCTTCAGTGCTGACATCCAGTAGCACATCATGTTGGACATTAGACTGTTGGGCAGTGTCTTTGCAGAGGACAGAAGGCTGAGGTTGCTTTTTAACATCCGCTTGGCAGACCATGGCTCTCTCCGGATCCTCGTGGTCTATGGGCAAGGCTGGATACTGCACGGTATTTTGACTTAAAGCGTCGAAAGCTCGTGAAGGAGAAAAGCGTCTTTTGGGAGAGCCGTTTGCGTGGTCCAGGGTGCTCGAATTGTCTAGCTTCCTCAGTTGTTCTTCTGTGAGAGAATCAAACACGTTTTCTCCATAAGTGTCGACGCTTGCTGAATCACCAATATCGAAATCTTCCAATTCACTTTTCACTGAACCGACATCTTCGTCTAGTGGATCAGCAGCGGCCATTGAGTGATCTTCAATTTCGCTAGCTTCTCTGGATACCTGCGGAGCAAGCTGTATGGGCATGCCCAACTCTGCCCAAGCTGGGAATGGCGGTCTTGGATCCATCTTGAACCACTTTTCTCTCAGGGCCTCATAAACTCGGTAGCTTGCGTAGGCATCGTCAGCAGCATATTTGCACTGCTTCATGTTGAGAGCTTGACTCCAGTCACTAACTCTCTCATCGCCTTTGTACAAGGGGAGACCGAGCAGTGTCTGCGTTTGTATAGCCAAGCTAACAAACCTCTTGTTGACCAATTTAGGGTTGGTGTTGCCAAAGTGGACTAGTTTGTACAAGTGGCTCAACTCAAAGGTCCCGCTGACTTCAATACCCAAGTGCTTCTGCAGACGCTTAAAATCCCCCAATATAGATACACCACATTTGAGCACGTCCGTTGATTCGAGAATTTCTTTCAATGTTGGGGCAAGAACATCCTCTGCTCTGTCACCCTTATGCAATGCGATGTGAAACAGCGCGATCCGATCTTCGCAGGCTATCTGTATAAGAGAGACGTTCGACTTTAAGCCGTGGGAGTCCTTTGCAGATGATTTCCATTCAATATCGCATCCAATGACTGGTTTTCCAATAAACAGTCTCGCAACTGTCTCCGAGGTTTCCAGCTTCTTGCAGTAGTGAAGCATGACCGAAGAGCCCTCGGGCGAACGATACTTGTCGTACGACCAGTAGGCTACGTTCGACGAAAGCGGAGATTTCAGCGCCTCAGCCATCTTGTCTTCGGGAATTTGGTACGTCAAAGGTTTGTACACAACTTCATCCTCGTCAGAGTCGGATAGAGTCTCTTGTACTGCAGCGGTTGCAACAGCAGCTTGCTTCGGCAAAGTTGGCGTGAACGCATTACCTGTTGTTGCAAAATTCGTGGAATTGGCTAAAATCGGTAAGTCTGCAAAGCCGCATGCGTCTTCTAACAATCCATCTGACGGCGATGTCAATCCAAAACTCTGCTCCGTCGGTTCTCCGCTAGGTGTGATCGAATCCGTCCCTTCGGTTTTAGACAAGTCGTTTCTTTCATTAACTGGCATCTGCACTGGTACTCGAACTCTAGCCCAAAACATATTCACGATGTTGTTGTCCTTGCTACTTTGATCAGCCAGCTTCGATACCTCAACAAGTTTATTGCCCTCTCCTGCTAGATCTCCTCGCGGGGTGTTTCGAATTCGCAACCCTTTAGAACGAGCTCTTGAAGCCTTAACCTCTGCTGAATTTTCTAACGTTGCAAGTGTTCGTAATTGATCCGCAACTCTTGGTAGGTTCGTCGACCAAGTCTCCACTGGACAGCCAAGGCTTGCCAACAATTCCGCGGCAGAAGCAAACAGTGTCTCGAGCTCCTTAGAAAGGTGTGTAAAAAGTGACTCAAGTGCGCCATCGTAAGAATTCACCCCGTCGCTAGCGCCAGCTGAACCAAAGGCAGCAGTAGCACATGCTGGCGAATCATTGGCGTGGCTCGACGCGGCGGGTGTTCTTGGCGTTCTGATTCCTGCCAGCCCCAGCCACTTCTCAAGTTCAAGGCCATGCTGCCATCCACTCTTCGTGGCCAACCATCGAAATCCCTCTGAAAAAAACTGGAGTATTGTATTGATGATACGCATGACTTGCTCATTGTGAACAAGCTGATTGGACGCCAAGCCTGGAGCAGTTTCAAGTTCCTCAAAAAAAGACGTTCCCGGAATATGAGGGCTGCTGTTGATCTTTGTCGTACTTCGAATTTCTCCCAACGTTTGCGTGAAGTAGGCATAGTTCTCATCTGATAAAACATGCTCCAGCCATCTGTAGATGTACTCAAATATCGCGTGAATCGTCTCTGATTTCACCAAATATCCGTTGTCTGCTATCCACTTAACAAACGGGTGCTGAGCAATATAATCTTCCAGTAGCACATTGTCTGGTATGCCTCCAAGGCCCAGGCTGCGAATAACATCCTCGAAAAACCGTATGACAGAGAGCCGGATATCATGAAATGGCCTTTCTAGATCCTTGTCAGCAAGTAACACCGCCAGTCCTTGTGCGTCTAATCGTTTCCGGAGGTCATCAAGAGAGGGTAGTTCATCACTGATTTGATCTAAAGCGAGAGCAAGGTCGCGACATGCAGCGAACAAATCAATTAGCATAATCAATGCTTGGTCTTCAGACTCCATTGAAAAACGCGCCTCTTCTCTGACGTCCGGGACCTCCTCGCGCCATTTGTCGGATCGGAGCTCGTCGACTTCAACCGTTGTGCGTAAATCATCCGATTCAATTTCAAGTGCCGAAGCGGTGCTATCGTGAGACGCCGTTTGCTTCTGCAGCTCTGTTAGGCCTGAGTGCTCTTCTAAGCTGTGTCTCCTAATTGTAGGCATCTTTCGTAGCTTCTGCAATCTGAAGTTTTGACCATCCTCTTGATTTGTTTGTTTGCTCCGCGTGCTACGAATGAGGCATGGACTGGGCGTGGTCGCGAGTTTGACTCTCCCCTTCTGTCTTGCATTCTGCTCGCACCGAAAGCTTGTGACTCCAGATATTGTTCCATATGTATTGCAGAAGTCACCGCAGTCGTGTAATACGAAGGGATACCGCGGTCTTCGGATCCGCCAGCCAACTGCTTGACTGCCGAGCGCTGTGCTTAAGCATCGCTGTCTGCCCATTGCACTCCATTTCTGGCGCTGCAATTCCGTTTTCGGCCCGAGGTTTATGAGAAGCAAAGAGCTCCGTGATACATCCCAAGTCAACAAGAATGTACCTCGCGAGGTTCCGTGGTTTTTTTGTCTCCATCGAGCGAGCGAACACGGGATGCAAATAGAGCAGGCAAGCCACACACGCCACATCACGTGAGACTGGTTTGGTTCGCAAACATCACGAATCGAAGGGTGAAGAAACACATATCGAAGAACATATTCCGAGACTCAAGATGGCTGCTCCGCAGCTTTTGCCGCTGGGTAAGACGGCTGAAGGCGCTCGCCATCGGACTCCCTGCTGACGGTTTGAAGAACTTATCGACAAGTGCGTCGGCTCCAAGATATGGGTCATCATGAAGAACGACAAAGAATTCGCGGGCACGCTGCTTGGCTTCGACGACTACGTCAGTACGTGATGGACTCTGAAACTCAATCGTAAACGCGCATCATCTGACACGCGCACGCAGACATGGTCTTGGAGGACGTGACTGAATTGTGAGTTTTTCTTTTTCCTCGCCCTTCAGTTCAAAAGCGTAGTGCATAATGCGTGCGAGTTTTTCGGAGGTGGGCTGACACGAGCCTCCCGTCGCGAAAGCAACTATGACGGACAACACACGAAGCTGCCGAAAATTCTGCTGAACGGGAATAACATATGCATGGTACGTGTTGAATGCTTGTGCGAATGACGACATATTGACCGCTCTTTTTCGAATTGTAGCTTGTGCCTGGAGGTGAGGGACCTACTGGTGTATGATCATGGTGCAAACGTTCTTGTGTGAGCATACCTCATGATTGATCCGTATGAAAGAACACAGGTCTTCTTTTATACTCTAAATAGTGAGTATAGTCACTATTCGATCACTTCGATTGGCTCGAGGAACTGAAATGCGGAAATTGGCATCAACAGAAAGCAATGATGAGAGTACTTGAGAAGGAGACGTCATAACTTTAGATCAAAGTTCGCCGATTTCAAAATGCTTTTAAGCCCAAACAGGACGCGCTATAAATGCGTCGTTATCTATAAACAGGAATAATCCTATCCATCGTTCAAAAAATGAGGCACACACTTTTCCCTTCCTTTTCCGCTCTATGACGCTCTAAAGGAAATTCTGCCCTCCCATCTGCCCCAGCAGATCCAAGTCTCCACTCACCAAGAACTCATTCATGTCCAGGCCGAAATTCGCGGGGTCATTCGGGACCATGTATCCCCAATCCTGGGGACTAACACCCTGTGCATCTCCATTCCCATTGGAACTGACCGGATTAAGTATAGTATTGGCGTAGTTGGGTATACTGCTAATGGGACCCAAGTGCGCCGCGCCATTCAAATTACTCGGCAGGATTGGTGCCGTCTCGAGCTGCTCAAGGATGTTGTATAGTTTTGAGATGTAGCGCGCACATTTTTCAACCATACGGTTGTCGTTGTCGAGAGCCATGAGAGTGTCCACTGCCTGGCGGAGGAAAGACTTGGACAGTTCCGAAGGTGGGTAGGGGATTGGACGAGCACTAGAGCGAGCGGAAATGTGCTTTATTAAGAGGGCGGAGAAGATGACGAGTGCAGCATTAAAAGCTGGACATGATATTAGCCTTAGCCTAGGATCGAATCTTGAAAGTTGCACTTACTGTAGTATAGTGTGTACCACCATGCGCCGAGCAGCGTTCTACGCATCTCGCCAGCGTTGACCAAATAGCCAACGATCTCAAGAATGGTGCTTGCGCTGTGCACACAAGTCTGCACGCTATCCATGCCGACTTGGGTCAGCATGCTAAGTTCTTGCGTATCACCTTCAGATCCGCCAATGACGTCTAAGAACTTGACGAGAATCGGCCTATGCGCTAATATGCGAATGTTGTTGAATCTCAGTGTTAGAATCACTCGAAATCTCAGTGGTAGCGAGGTTTCAGTCTGAACCCTTTTAAGTTCCGGATGAGTGACCAGCGTCATATCTGGCGGTAACGTCCGCTGCCACTCCAATAGTTCCTGTTCGATGTGTAGAAGACGTGACGTGATATCAAAAACGCTTGATATCTCTCCGCAGCCCAAATTTCCACCGTATAGCGAATCTATGATATTCCAAATACTGTTGAAAAGCCGTCTACATGGGCGTGTTAGTTTGCTCTTTGTCATCAAGCCTTATGGTCGTGCGCTTACATTGTGGCCCTGAAGAAGTTGAGGCTCTGCGGCGACGATGAAATTGAGGACATGACCCCAAGGGGTAAACTCGCATCCATTTCATACGGTTCAGGAAGCGGGACTCTAATATAGCTTGCAGGAATCACGAATGGCCTCCCAAAAGTCATGCTTAGCGTGCGGTCCAGGAGAATGCACATGTACCAGGTACGCTTTCTGATCTCTCTCTCTAGTGGGGGATACTGCTTCAGTGCATCGGTTGAATGTAGGCCCAGCTGATAGGCTGATTTGACCGTCAAACCATGTGCGTTCCACGTCTCGGCGCCCTGAGACGTGCCTTGAAGGTACTGGCTGAGCAGCAGAAGGAATTGAACAATCTCCAGACTGGGAGAATATTTAACTTGCTTTTCGCAGAGACGCCAGCCGCGCACGAAAAAAGTGTCGCTCTGCTCTTCCCTTTCTTGTGCTGACAGCTTGCTGTTGACAGCAGTCCGGGTTGCCATGGCAAGTATCATGTTCAGCAAGCCAAGCCACGATCTTCGCACCTTGCGGAATTGAGTTGCCTTGAAAGAGTTGTACGTAGCAACGAAGCTTTCCTCGTGTATGTAAGGAAACAAAACGCCTGTCCTGCCAAAGTACTGGTGTACCAATCTCATACACTCGTCTTCTGGTGGCAGTGCCATCGATATCGGGTTTTCTGTGCGCCAATCGTCCGTGTCAACGCGCTGATGAAGGGGCGACGGCGGTCTGGATACGTGCAGCATGTGGCTCTGCTGCTGTTGGTCATCGACACCGTACCTCCTAGGCTGCAATGGCTGGTTTCTCAGGGTTGCCTTCACGGCCCTCACAATTTGCCTTGTGAAGGCAATGTTTGAACTGGGTCCGAAAAAACCGGTGTTCTCCTCCTCCGAGAAACTCACGGCGCCCATGCCATCCGTGGCATCGTGGAGGATTGCGCTGTCGTTCGCCGACACATCGTGGGGTGTCGACGTGCCAGCAGAGCCGGCAGTCACTCTTCCATTTCCAAGTATTGCATCCCGTCTTGCGGCTGCAATTTGGGCATCGTGTCGATCGACTCTCGACGTGAGAGCAAAGAGGGCTTCCTCTACGGCTCCGAGACGGGTCGCCAGCGTGTCTGTGAACGAGCGTGGAAACGGCTTGTTGGTTTCAATGGAGCTGTATTCACACTCGAAGCCCAGGTCCTGGCAGGTCGAGCATTTTGGCCGGATTCCATCGCACTTTGACGCGCAGGTCGAGTCAGCAGGGAACGAAAATCAGAAAGATAGATGCGTGAATGTCTTGCGTCAGGTGATGTGTGCTCAGGCAAAGCAGACGCTCATGCAAGGACGAGATAGCCGGAGGGTAAGTTTAGTTAGTCGAGATATCATGACATCTGGGGAGGGGGGACACTAAGCCCACTGGGGGCGATCCAGAGCGTCGGGAAGCCAGACCACACATGCAAGATCTTTGACAGGTGCAACACCTAGACGGCGACGAATGCAAGTCTCAACGTACCCTGGACTTTCTGTAGCGGCAGCTCTTGCAAGCGACAGCAACGCGTCTGCGCTTCGCCTTGGGCTGGGCCTCGGCGGCGTCGTCGCCCTTTGCGGACACTCCTCCGTCGCCGACGGTGGTGTGGGGCGAGGCCGTCAGTTCTTGGGCGTCGCTTTTGGCGGTTGGGGATGCCTGCGATAACGACCCATCTGCTCCATCCATAAGGCTGGGAAAAAGGAGAAGTGCCACCAAAATGCTTGGGTATGCTGGCGTCCGATTCGAAAGGCCCGCACAACGACGGGGAGACAACGGGGAGGAATGCTGCGGTTAAGAGCTCGCCGGGTGGACCTTCGGCAAGTCGAACGATCGTCCCGGACGTTGGCCTGCGGGGTCCAAAGCCCGCCTGGTGTGTTCCCAATCCAGTTGTTTAACCTTTTTTTGTCCGGATGGCCTTCATGGGCCTCTGGGCGCAATGCAAATATCTTCGGTTCTAGACACGTCCTGTCTCGCTCGGCTGGGAGATGAAGGGGAGTGTCAGAACAGAGCCCTTTGGCAGAGCAAAAAGTCTAATGTATACCCTGCTGCGTGTGGCGCACACAAATACGGTAGTGAGCAGCGCTTGCAAATCGCTTCTGTGCCTCTCTGGGGTCATCGCCATTGTTGAAGGCAGAGTTCAGTACCATTATATTAGATATATGCCATATCAGAATACGCTGTCCGCCGCGTACCACATGTACTCATTACATACTTGACCGCTTTCCCTCCCCCTTGAGCCCTCCACCGTTCAACGTAAACATAGTTACATAGATTCTTACATTCTTCCGACCGATACCTTACCTTGACCAATGTTAGATGTCCTCGTGGAACTTGCTGTCTCTGACCGGGCTCTCCGAGTTTCCGTGCTTTTTACTCAGTATTCTTGCAGGCGGTGCCAAATCGCCGTCGAATCGGTCTCGCGCCTCCTCCCAGTCGCCGTCCGTGTCCTCGCTGTCTCCAGCTTCACCCGCTGACTTCGTTACGTCCTTTGGAGTTGCGCTTCTTCCTCGTTCCTCGTCGTGAGAGTCACGCAATGCTTCCTCATCCGAGCTAGATGAAGACATGGAAGAGATGGACGGTTTTCTTACTATGGCGCCAGACCCTAAAGCCGGTGTAGCTTTGTCAGCTTCCCTTGCCGGGTGAGGAGCCTCCTTATTACTGCGCTTCTTGTGGAGCTTAACACCGCCGCTGAAGGACGAAGTCTCCGTCGCGGCATCGTCATCATCGTCTTTGTCTTTTTTGTTTCGTTTGAACTTGCCGAGAATGCGGGTGAACCGTTTCTTCGTGGGACTAGAAGCTGAATGCACCTCCTCAGACTCTCTAGGAGCGGTGCTGCGCGAGCTCGTTGGGCCGATGGCTGCATGGTGCTCTTCTGTTGACGTTGTGACTGGATGGTCAATTACAGCCTCGGTCTCAGGGAGTGCCGCTGGAGCAGCAACCGTAGCTGGCGTATCGCCTGCCATAGTCGCTCCAGTCAATGTACCTTCGGCTACCGGCGCCGGGTTAGGTTCAGGCTGCACAGCGCTGGGCTTCGCAGATACTTCATCTTTTCCCCCTTCTGGGTGGTCTGTAGCCATGATTTTGGAGATCCGTCCAGGCTCACGCTCGTGGCGATGAGAAATTAATTTCTTCCACGGACTCTTCTTCGGTGTCTGAAAGTCGTCACTCTCTTTATGTCTCTGCAACTGCGAAGTTTCCATTGCTGCCGATTTCTGTATCGCTGCCGTTTCTTTGCTTCGTTGTTTCTCTTCCTTGGCAGCTTCCTTCTCGCGCTGGCGTTCCTCTTTGGCCGCTGTCTTCTCGTGGGCAGCAGCAATCTTTTCATTACGCCTCTTCTCACGCTCCGCATCTCGCTCTTCAGCTACGTTAAGATGTTAGCCCCTCGATAGCCCAGGCGCTTCGGATACAATTCAAGTTGAACTCACCCTTAATTTTTTTCTGCAAAGCCTTAGTTTCAGCATTCCGCTCCTTCTCCTTCAGCATCTGCCTTCTCTGCTCCTCTTTCTCCAACCTAATCTCTTCATCCCTTGCTCGTTGCTTCTGGGCAGTTTCATTGATCTCGTCAAGTGTAGGCTTGATATTCGCGAGAGCAATCGCATCAATCTCGCTCTGGTCCAAAAATTTGCCACCGCCTACGTCCACCTTGCCGTGATTTTCCATGCGTAAACGACTTGCAGCAACAGCCTTCTGCCGAGCACGATTGTCCCACTCTGCCATCATGGCCGGCGACATCTTACCAGTTTCATTGAACACTTTTTCATCCATCTTGCTCATCTGCTCTTGCACTTTACGCTCGGCCGCTGCGATGAGAGCTTCGCGATCTCTGAGTCTCTTCTTATCTGCTGCTGCTAGTTTCGCGTTGAACGCATTCATCTGCGATCGTACCCTGGCCGCTTGCTCTTCGTCGTCAGAATCAATGTCTAGATTACCGCGACGATGTGGTTGGGGGCTCGTGGGCTCGCTCTGTATCTCTGGCTCGTCCTGCTTGAATGATATTGCCCCGTCGCTAAATGTGCGCCTTCGGTTACGGCCTTTGAACGAGAGTAGTGATTTCCTCTTGCTAGGATAGCCATAGTAGTCTCTGAATGCCGCGCTCTCGTGGCGATCTTCGATCTTTGCAAGTCGCTCCGCTGCCAATCTCTGCGCCGCATCTTGAAGTGTGAGATACTCTAGCGCCTGTTGCCTTAAGTCTTTTGTCGTCTCAACAGAAGCTCTGTCTGCTTTACGAGCAGCCACCTGTCCAGCGTTTAATCTGACGTGCCCCGAATCATCGACCTTCTCAATAGCATATATTTGCTTCGCCATAGAAATGGATGCACTCCTCAGCGCATCTTGATGTGCCTTCTCTTTCTTCTCGATCTCCACGTTGGGGTGTTCGGTGTACATGTCACGCGACAAATTTCTCGCATGGGTAATGCGTGATTGTTCGATCGCTTTTGAGCTAAGTCCGTCAGCGTGTGCCAAAGTGGCAGCCTTGAGTGAGTTCGATTGTTGCGTTCCGTCCATTCGTGCCGCGGGAGCGGGCGTAGACTCAGCGCGCTTCCTTCCTTTGACAGAGAGACGGGCTGCAAGCAGCGCCTTGCTCTTTCCATCGTCTGTATACCCGTAGTCCAGCTGCGGAGTCAAAGTTTTGTTCTTCGCCGCCAATGTTGCAGCCTGTAGTCCGTCCTTTGAGGCAGTAGGCTGCCACCAATCTCTTCCCTGGCCATGATGGGCGAGTAGAGCCGCCTTCGATCCCGCAGCACTGGCTTCCGGTTTCCACTGGGTTTCCATCTTATAGTTGTTCGCCAGAAGCGCAGCTTTGCTCGCATCCGACGACATCTCCACCGCGGGGTAGCGGATATCTTTCGGATTCGAATGCGCTAAGGACGCGGCCGTCAGGCCGGAATTCTTCGTGTCAATACCCACGATCGGAAACGAAGGAAGATCTTCTGCGCGCGCGTACTTCAGCGACGCAGCAGCTCCTGATTCGCAGCATTAGCATTTGACATTTAGATACGGATATCTTCACGGAGAGACAGGCGAGGAGGACGGATACCTGCGGCTGACAACTTGCCGTCTGGGCCTAGCGGGTTTATAGGCTGGACATTGATTTTGCGCTCCGGGTGCGTTACATAAAGAGCTGCCGCGGCAGATTGGTCCTGCAATCGCTTTTGCTGGTGCTGTTGATCGTGCTCGTGAGCAGACGGGTCCGGACACAGGATCTTGCTGACCGAGTTCAAAGGGGGATCCACTACTGCAGCCATGACGTAGCACGATTGGTTGGCTCGAGTGAAGTGCGCTGTTCACAGTGGCATGCAATTCATATCATGGAATTCAATCAGAATTCAAGCATCAGAATCAGCGTTAAGGAAATGGTGAGTCGAGGTTGAAAATACAGGGTTATATCGGCGGATCTACATCTGCTTGTGATGTCATGGCTGAGGATCGCGTCTCTCTTGGACTACGCCGATCCGCCTGCGCTATAGTTCCACCTGCGTCATCAATTGCGACTTAGCTGCTGCGCCAACTCGTCGACGCTGCAGTCCCTTTCTGTTCTCGGCCGTCGTAACGTTGACGAATTTGATGACGAGCCATCGTGTCCTTTCTTTGAATGGAAATCATGTGCACAACAACCCCAGAATCTCGCGCCGATCCGATCCCAGCTGATCAGTAGTTGGAATCCGCGCCTCCGCCAAACTTGAAACCATCGCAGTAGCTCTTCCATCTGTTTTCAAATACTTTATTCTTTCAGAGCCCCCAGCGTCATCCATGCTTAAGCTTGACCTTGTGGAAATGATGTAATTTTCTCTGATGGAGTGCGCTTCTGCGTCCTTTTTGCGATGACAAAGCCTACAGCCATCGTATACTATAACGTCGAGCTTAAGCTAAATTTCTGGAATTTCCATTTCTTGTACTACGACAGGTGTTGAACACTCTATCCATTCTTAATTAAAAAAAATACTTAGACCTGGAGGTATTTCTCAGAAACTTCTCTAAAACAAGTAGCTTTTCTTTGGGGCTGGTACCCGCGTGTACAATGTAAGTAACAGTCTACAGCTTATGTGTCACGCGCCTGATATGCTTAAACTGCAGTTATAGGCCATAGTATCACGTGCTTTAAGCAGCGGCACCGACAGCTTTTTTCGTCTCTTCCTGATTCAATCGTCGATAATCGAGTATCAAAATAGCCGTCGCTACCAGAAATGAAACACCTGAAATAGCAATTGCCATAGTATATGCATCGGTCAGACCATCCATATACGCATGTATAAGGCCTTCAAGCTGCTCGGCTGGAAAAGCCTTCCTCAAATCAGTAGCACCAGTTGCCACCACCTTGGCAACATCCACACCTGGCACATACTTCTCCGCTGACAAAATAAGCTTGTTGGTGAACAGTGACTGTCCCACTGAAACGAAGACCGCAAAGCCGACTGTCTGGAAAAACATCATAATGGCCGTTACCGAAGACAAATCTTCTGCAGTCGACAGTGCCTGAGAACAGATGATTGGAACTTGGATGATCAACCCGAAACCAATACCAGCTGCGATCTGGTACCCGATCCATTCGGATGAAGGTGTATTAACACCGAATGTGTAAATCAGGCCGGAACCTACAGTTCCCAATATTGTGCCGAACAAAATAATAGGAATGAAGTGTCCAGTGACTGTTATAATACCGCCGCTAATTATCGTCATCATGCAGATGGAGATGATAAATGGAAGATTGCGAACTCCTGACTTCGCTGCGCTGACTCCCGAGACAACCTGAAAGTATACGGGTAAATCTGAGGATTAAAAAATTAGCCTGCTTTCTGATTCGCGATTTCGGAACGAAAAAAGGCAGATGGCGATTTAGCCAAACCAGGACCAGGTCATTTAGGTCAGGCAACCTGCCCAATTTTTCTACTTACAATACATGAAAATCATGAACGAGGACGAGCCAAAGACCTGAAAAAGACTGAAGAGGATATTCGACTTTTTTTTCATCAGCCGTGGAAGCAGCAAGGCACGCTCGTCCTGGTAGATCTCGACAGCGATGAATAATGCAAGGATCGTGACAAAGCCCACCAGAGTGCCAATGACATCGGCAGATCCCCAAGACTTTGTTACGCCGCCCCATTGGAGGGTAAGAATCAAACAGACTAGCGCGCCCATCAGGATAAAAGTGCCTGGAAAATCCATTTGCAGAAGTTTTTCCCTGAATGTTGCATCTTGCGGCTTAGCTTGTTTCGGGGTCTGGAATATCAAGAATATGATGCCAACTGATAATCCACCAATTGGCAAATTAATATAGAAGCACCATCTCCACGTTGCATTGTCTGTGAAAACACCGCCTATAATAGGTCCAATCACCGATGCAATAGCATAGACGGCCCCAAGAATTCCTAGAGTTACGTTAAAAGAAGCCTCGGAAATCATAATGTGCGAGTATAGACGATCAGAAACTGGGGAGGATTTACGAAGGATTTGCGAAAAGACACTACTGGAACTCCTGTTACGATATTAGCTCATTGGCGGCGTATATGGGCTGGTAATGATGACTAACACCTGTATATGCCGCAACTTGCTTCGGAGGAGCACTGAAGGCGAGAATGGTGTATGCTCCTGATGCGATGCTTGACCCTCCCATACCTGCGATGGCTCTTCCGACGATAAGCGCAGTAGAGTTTGGGGCAAGCGCGCAAATCAAGCTACCAACCTCAAAAACTGCAATTCCAATTATGAAGACCACTTTAAGGTCCCAATACTTGTAAGCCTTGCCCCACGTTGATTGGAAAGCTGAAAATGTTAGGAAGAACCCGGATCCATACCAACCAACGTCTTGCAGGCTATGAAATTGATCGGTGATTTTAGGAATGGCTGTAGCAACAATGGTCATGTCAAGTGAAACCAAAAACACGGCGAGACTGACACCTATGAGGATGCTGACGAGCTTTGTTGTCGTTGGATAGGGGTTGGACTCGACACGTTGTAGGTTTGGGCTGTCCTCCTCATAGTTGGAACTCAATTTTCCTTGGACCTCGCCATGTGTCTGATCTTTTTCTTCAAGTATGCTGAAGGTGGAAGGTGTAGCGGATCGATTGCTCCCCTGGACTTGCTGAGTGTCAGGTAAATCTGCTTTCTCCGGTACGCTCATTTCGACGACCAAACGCTCTCGAGAAGCGCCAGCAAAAGAATGGATGGACTACGTTCTGATTCTGGAACAAAGGCTTCAATTGAAGAAAAAACGAGCTTGACTTGGAATACAAAGTCTTGCAAAAGGGACAGTTATATTGAGGGCAGAGATGCGCTGATAACACCGTCCGGATCTTTCCATGATCGTGTTTCTCAGTTCTTATACTAGAGCAAGGCACAGAGATTAGCCGTTAGACTCTTCCCTAGATACATACTCATTCTCAGTGTGCTGCCAAAGATGTCGGCCTTATGACTATCTCCGCGTAAGCAAAGGCTTATTGTTTTACTATTGCCAGCTTTGTCCCACAAAGTTGCCAGCCCATTTGGTTACCGCAATATCCCTCAAAACGCAACGCGGAAGGACGTTGGCGCTAAAGGTTTCGTCCGGAGGCATCATGATGATTCACGACATCTGTGCTGAGTCCCATCATTTTTGCACCTTCTGCTAACCTAGTTAAAGGGGCAGGCGGTGTATGTAATCCGTTCACCAGATGTCCGTTCGGACGGACTAAAATCACCGGCGACAGGTTCTACCAATCTGATTCATTATTACCCAACCAATAGACATCGCAGAAGCAACATCTCCCAGGCAGCAAGTAGGCATACTCCTAGCTTTGAATTTGGACAAAGTAGATAAACGGACAAAGGAATTCCGTCTCCTAAGTCAGCCAAACCCTGAGGTTCAAATACGAAGAGTACTTAACGTGGATCATTCTTGAGCCGGATGTTGAGAAGATGCTTTGAGCTTCTGCATATTTGTGTCTCTCCTGGACGTGTCCAATTTGATTTGACGGTTTCGTAGACGGTGACCAGTAATAGCCTAGTAATAAACTTATGCAAAAAACCAAAGAGTGGCACACTCACGTGACTTATACTTATTCCAGTCCACTTTCGCTTTGATAAGGTGGAACACAGTCAGAATTTCTTGAAATTGTGTCACAAAATCCGTTCATCCTTCTTATGAGACGTTATGTCTTGGACTGCTCTTGATGCTGAGGTCGAAGCCTTGTCACATGCGGGGTGTACATAAGATAAGTTTAGAAGGCTGTCTTGAATCAATGTGTCATGCTACCATCCAGGGAGCATGCGCTTCCCTTGCCATTCATTCAGGAACAGTAATAAAATGTAATCTTATTTCTGCAAACATCGATATGAGTGAAACTTGCTTATTCCTTGCGTTACCCCGGGAACTGAGGGATGAAATCTACAAGCTCTGTCTCCACTATCCCGACCTAGGATCTATGCTTGATAAGCACCTTGAAGAAACGAGGAAGGCACTGTCCAAACGATTCAAGATGGAGGTTCCTGTCGATGCCATCGAAAAAATGCTGGAATGGACTTCTCTCGAGGTGCCCCGTCGACCGCCTCTGAGATGTGCGGGGCTGCTGCTTGCGAATCGACAAATCTCGAGCGAAGCGCAGATCATATTACATACCAAAGTGCTTCGCATCGATACCCCAATATCATCAAATTTCAGTAGAGACGTTAGGGGTCTTCAAATAACAGACTTCATCGGAGACCAAGCGCTTGCACGTGTTCGTTACGCGCAGTTAATCTTGCAGTTCAACGATTTGACCGAAGCGAACAACTGGTACCGAACGGTAAACCAACTTTCCAACATCTGGACTCGGAGGAATTCGTTGAAGCTATTAAAAGTTCACATTCAGCCAAGCAGAGGCTTGGAGAGAGATCACGAAAGAGCGGTTACGCGGAGGCTGGTTTTGGTCAAGGTAGTTCCGAGATTCCTACTATCAGACGTCTTGAAACTGACCGATGAAAAGTTAATGGACCTATCCCGTGTTGTTCCGACAGAGTTTGAAGGTGAAATGCTAAAGCGTAGAACTGAAGTGCAGTAACTGAGGCCATCGCTTCCTGATCACGACCATATCGCCGTCGGTTTTCTATCCTCTGCTCACCTCATCGTTTCGCCAACGCCATTGAATCTGTGAAGACTCGCAGACAATTTATTCAAAAAGTTAGTGCATTATCTCCCGAGTCCTATCCGTTGTCATCTCTTTTCATGTACATTATAAAAACTTCTTGCTCGCCGTTTACGTGTCGACTTCGTTTCTTGAACGTAATGCCCCCGGATACAAACATGATGTGATTCAATTCGCAGAGCCCAACTGATGATCCATGGCCTGACATGTGATGAAGCGCATCATTTGGCTAGACCAGACACGCAGATACTATTCCACTAAGATTTCCAACGCCTACCTTACATCGTGAACGGGGTGCGCAGAATGCTGTTTCCAAAGAAACGGATTATAGCTTGCAGATAAAGCCCCGAACTTGCAGATATTTCTATCATCAATCGATCCACTGTGAGGTGAGGGTCGTCACAGCCTAAACAATGGTCTCAGCATAACAAATTCAGATTATTCAGCATACCTGGAGCGAAGTGACGCAAACGCCGTCGCAAAAAAAGTAAGATACTGGTGGCTGCTGTCGCTTATACTTTCACGCCCAATGATCTACTGGTGAAAATTTTTTTTCGCGGAGATGCTCGAAGCAGAAGGGACAGCTGAGCAAATGAAGAGAATGCGCCGAGCCTGAACTTGTTACGAGCAAACCTATGAGAAGATCAGATGTCCATAGGTTCAGCCGCACCTGACTCTAATAATATTGGCACGTCAAACGCCGATAGTGATCTTGTAAGTGCCGTATATTTATGGAACGCTGAAAAGACGGAGTTTGCGATATACGTTGCTCAAGGCTTGCATGAAAGATTGGCCTGCAAGTTAACATACGCAGACCTTGCCGTATACTTTAGCGGCTGAAGCATAACATTGTCATGTAACTGGTCGACTCAGAAGGCATCAGCTGTAGTTTGAAGCGAAGCAGGCTCTTGACGAAGATGAAGAAATCGGCTTTAGCGGGATCCAATTCTCATTGTCGCGCCACTCTTGTCAGCACTGAGGCGGTCAAATCACTGAGTTTACAGCAGATTGCATATATAAAGACTCCGACAAACTGTCCCTTAGTATCACTCTTGTCTCATATTTTCTTTTTTTAGTCTACCGGTTGAAACTATCACGGGTATCAGACTCGTTCAATATCTGGTGTTAAATCCTGGAGCTGCGTCCTACGCGCACGTCCGCCGCATTATCAAGTCAAAAATGTCAATTCCGTACAAAACAGCGACGCTGCGCAGCACCGGCATTGGGGGAGCTGGAAATTTCAACAAATCACCAAAGCTTCCCACTGTCGAGATAGGTCCCGCTCGAACAATGAAATTGCGCAACTACATCATGCGCGGTATAGGCGGAGCTGGAAATGCTTTGCCACGAGCAGAATTCGAGGCTCTTCCACAAGCAGCAGCCCCTTTGGAACGCATACCGTGTCTCTCTCTCCTCAGCTCAGGACACCATCATGGCATTGGCGGACGCGGCAACTGGTCAATGGGTGAAATTTGCAGAAAATCTAGTGAGACAAAGAGGAGCCTTATTTAAGTTGGTCGCAGTGTTTGCAGACGACCTTTGGTATAATGGCGGATCTCGCCAACTTTTAGTAATTCTTCTTCATCTTGGAATTGATGGCTTGCTTCGGAGTTAAAGGGATGCGCGAAGTTTCAATGCCTGAAAAATGATAGCCTAAACATCAAGAACATCCGTTGCCGCATCTCTTGATCTTATAACAACTCAGGTTGGCAGTTAGAGATAGTTCTATGACCTGTGTGCTTAAAACGGCATGCGTGTGTGTGGCCGACACCGGATCCAAGTTCTGGAGACAGGTTCAGAGCACTCAGCAAAATAAATTCATAGTAACGGACGTAAAGCCTGTGACAACATGATTTTGACGGTGATCACATTGGCTTGTCTTCTTTCAAATATAACATCTGCTCAGAATATCCATTGCTATGATTCAGTAACCACTTTAGATAAGGATGCCCCGCTCGGGTCAAACTGCCTCGAGATCACCGCGGAGGGTTTGATATCGCGCGTTTTCCAAGGGCAAAAAATATCAAAAGGCCATGTCTACCCTGGGCTTTGGGACGGACATGGTCACTTACTTCAATACGGCGAACTTCTGCATTCTGTCAATCTGTTTGGGTCAAGCTCCCTTAATGACACGTTAAGCAAGGTCGAAAAATATGCCGCTGCGCACCCTCAAGCAGGAACGGCAAGTGAGTGGATTCGAGGAGTGGGATGGGATCAAGCTGTATTCGGTAGAATGCCTATGGCCGTAAGTGCTTAGTTAGTCTGGTGTGGTCACGGGTCGTTAATCCCTCTTAGTTAGATCTTGACAGTAATCAAGATCTTCAAGGCAAGTATATCATGCTTGACCGTGTTGATGTGCACTGCGTATGGGTCTCTTCTGCTGTATTGGAATTACTTCCCTCGCCTTTCCCAGATGTTCCTGGTGGCGACGTTATTAGAAATCCAGGGCCTGGTGTTTTTTGCGATAATGCGATGGACGTAGTCATGCAGTACTGGCCAAAGCCGAGCAAAGAAAGGAGAATCGAATTCCTAAGGACGGCAGAAAGGTCTCTAAATTCTGTTGGTTTGGTTGGTATACATGATGCTGGCGTCATTTCAGAGAACTTGGATATTTACCGGGAGCTGACCGATTCGAGGGACTGGAAACTTCGAATTTATGCTATGGTTGAATGTAAGAAGAGAAATACGTTTTGCGGGGATGATGTAACCATATTCAAGAATGATCGGGGAATGCTACACATGAGAGGCGTCAAGTTGTTTGCCGGTATGTCTAATGTAAATGATTTCTTGCAAGTTTCAACTAATAAAATGAAGATGGTGCGCTAGGTTCTTGGGGGAGCGCTATGATCGAACCGTATTCAGACAAACCATCTACAACAGGCTCCTTATTAGTTAATGCATCGACGCTTAATCAGCTTGCCCTTGACTGGTCACTTGCTGGCTATCAAGTAAATATTCATGCGATAGGCGACCTTGCGAATCGCTATGCAATCGATGCGTTCGAGTCGGCTTACGCCCAATTATGTCCAGATCAACCAGCCGATCTTTGCCAGGCTCGCCATCGCTTTCGTATTGAGCACGCGCAGATTATTCACCCTGCTGACCAAATTAGAATGTTCGACATGGGAATCATCCCATCGATCCAGCCAACTCATGCTACGAGTGATATGGCTTATGCTGAGGATAGGCTAGGCGAGAGACGAACCAAAGAGGAAGCTTACCGCATGCGATCGTTGCTACCCCTAAACCTGACTCTTGGATCTGACTTTCCAGTTGAACCTCCAAATCCATTTGAGGGCATCTTTGCTGCGATCACTAGAAAATCTCCAAAGACGGGACTTGGCAAAGATGGTAGTGAAAACGGATGGCATGCACAAGAAGCTCTGGACTTACAACAAGCTCTAAGAGGGTTTACAATAGGACCTGCTCGTGCCGCTTTTCTGGAAGGTAAAGCAGGGATTCTTAAAGAAGGAGCTTTTGCAGATTGGATTGTGTTGGACAACCGATTAGAGGATATCTCGTCCGATGAGATACGCCACGTTCGTGTCCGGCAGACATGGGTCGGCGGGCAGCTCGCATACGAACGGAGAGCTGAGGAGCCAGGTGAGATAAAAGAAGAGCTCTAGGAAGCCTACAATCATATATCTCTGCAATGAAGAGTGTGGAGACTCTACCCCTTTCTGAAGTCGAGAAAGTCATCCCACGAACGCGTTTTCTAGAAGGAGAGTCATAATTTAATATTATGCGAAATATAGATAGCAAAGTTCGACTTACACCAGTAATTACCTAACGCTAATCAGTTCAGAAGTACTTCTGGCTCTTGATAAATCCTGGCCCCAAAGTGGTAACAGAAACACCAGCCATATTCTCACGCGCATCCCGTACATTAACCAAAAATTAACTTCTTTCATTTGTCCGAAGCTGCAGTTCGTTGTGATTTGCCAATGTAGCACGCGACGTCCGTCTTATGATTTATCTTCTCCTAAAACCGTTCAAAGAAAGTGCTGTGGATAATCGTGAAAGATTGCGTAGAGGTTATCTCAAGATCCGTATGCTCTTTTCGCCTATCCTTAATTCCGAAGCGTCTTATGAGCTTTGCAAGACATAACTGGCATTGCGGTGATAGTTGATGTTCATAAATTGCATGTCCGATTTTTTTCCCGGCTGTGTAGATCAAGTAACTCCTAAGTCGTAATAAGTAAAATCGTTGACTGGCTAAATTGATAGAGATCCGATGAGATCTGGCAGACTAGAATCTTCGGCTGCAATTAAAATTTGTGATTCAATGGACGAGCATATAATGCTCGTGCTAAACAGCTGGCTAACATTCAGCTGGTATGGAATCTGGACAGTCGCAGTTAACATCACTTGACATGAAGCGCCAATGTAGAGTGTCCAAGTAGTGCCATGTTATAGGATATGAGTCATTGCAATCGTGATCCAAACTAGCTTCATTTCAGATCTTAAATGCTACCCTAGAATGGCAGCTCATATAATCCGGGTTCCAGTGTTCATCTTCTGAAAAATTACATGTTGCTCCATGGAGCTTTACTCCGCATATGCCCAGCCTGGCCCCGTCTCGCTACATTAACGTCACTAGAACGTATGAACACGCGTTATAACCCAAATTTTTCCTGAACTTGCAATATGTCGCTCTTCTATCGGCTTCTTCACTGGGAAAGCTAAACTCCGACCATGAAACTTACAATCTGCATTCTCAAGTAATTGTTAGTTGTGATATTCAAAGCGATGTAGAAACGATATATCGTAGTTCGTCTTTGTTCTATGGAAGACAGGACAAATTATGCTGCTACCTAAGGGGAAAGAGGGTGCTGGCCAGATTACCTTCCGATAGACTAATGTGCTCATGTCTAAAATTGACACTATAATTTCACGAGATCGTGCTATGACAGAATCTTGTGGGCAATGCTGCTCGCTTTGTCAATGAGAGATTAGTTTTGCCTTGAAGTGCTGCTTCAATTTTGTTCGGATTTCCGCAACTAGACATAGGAAACGTCACTGATAAAGTGTAGTGTCAGTTGAAACAAATTAGGACAATCCCAAACTCTATATATCACAGAAGATCATGGCATAATGACGAAATATTGTGCATGTTTGAGAGGTTTGAGTTGGCTTGAGTTGAGGAGGTTTGCAAGACGTGATCATGTGACTATCGCGTCCTCGACGCGCGCCCCACTTTCGACATTAGGTTCTCGCGTCATGTTCAGATAACTGCTCCAAAAGCAGTCATCGAAGAAGTTAATCAGCATGGCCAAGCATCCAGCCAGTTTTCTCCAGGCTCCAAAGTATATACCTTTCTAGCGCCGCCATGATATCTGCTAATTTGTGGAAGACAAGATGGCTTCAGTTCTCAGGACCGCATATCTTCGCAGTACAGTCCGCTCAAGACATTCGAGTTGCCGAAGGGCGAGCAGAAGCACTACACCCAACAATTCGCTGACATGTACTTCTTGAGATTAGCTATGTTGAAACCGGACATTGTAAAAATTGCATCTGAAGCCTGGCGAGATTTCGAGCTCGCTGGCGAGAAAGCGACACAAATGGAGCGCGTACTAGACGTACGGCAAGGCGAACTGTGCTGGGTTGTGGGCACTATATACATGGAAATGCCATTAAAACCAAACGTCCTTGACGATCTGGCGAAAGAACATTGGATAGCAGCGCCACCAGCTCGAGAGAAGTACATCTCACCCGACGGGAATGAGGAGATATTTATGGAAGACGAGTCGGGGCGATTAAGACTGACAGGCGATAATCTTCGGCGCCATCTTTTGGTAACAGGATGTATTATTGCTGCACTTGGCACAGAGAACGCAACGGGTGATTTTGAGGTTATCGATATCAAGGTTGCAGATTTGCCCAACCAACCTAGCCGGACTCAAGGATCGGGAAACTCAGGCAAGATTGCCATTGTCAGTGGACTGGGAATCGCAGGAGACGGAAGTGATCCTGTAACATTGGACTTGCTCAGTGACTTTCTACTAGGCGAATCATTACCTGAGAGTGATAGTGTGGCACAAATCTCTCGTTTAATCATTGCAGGCAATAGTATGGCCCACTCCAGCCCAATACCGTCACGAGAAGAGGTAGCGGCCCGCCCAGCGGCTCTGAAGCGATATGGCCATGACACATCAAGCTACAACGCCTTGCCCAGCGAAGCGCTCGATGCCTTTCTTGCGCAGCTGCTGCCATCTATCCCAGTTACCCTGATGCCGGGTGCCACAGATCCGGCAAGCGTTGCAATTCCGCAACAGCCGCTCCACCCAGCGCTATTTCCACACAGCAGAGCGTACTGCAACCCACCGACACAGCAATCAGGGCCACCGAACTGGTTCGATAGTGTCACGAATCCCTGGGAAGGTGACATCGATGGTTGGCGATTCCTTGGAAATTCGGGTCAGCCAATAGACGACATGTACAAATACCTTAGCGGAACGAATCGACTAAGAATGATGGATCATCTTCTACGGTGGAGGAACAACGCGCCAACTGCGCCAGATACACTTTGGAGTTATCCATTCCAAGAGAGTGACCCATTCATTCTACAGCAGTGCCCTCATGTATTTTTTGTTGGCAATCAGCCACACTTCGCTACATCTCTTATTGAGGGCCCCGCTGGTCAACAAGTCCGACTCATCTCTGTACCATCTTTCAAGGAAACTGGGACGCTAGTTCTGGTTGACGCGGAAACTCTTGAACCTGAGACCGTCACATTCAGCACAAGACAGCCAAAACTTGCTACGAATGGAGTATGAGCTTGTCATCCCCTTTGACAGCTAGAACACATCCTGAATTCAAGAACTCCCATCTCGCGGAGGCAGTCGCGTGCGATGATGTGCATGAAGAAGCATGCGTTACATCCCATCTTAGACTGTGTGGACCCTTCGGTGAGTTTATAGACTCGTTTTATTATGCACGACTGATTGCTATTATTAGAAAAAATGAAAAGACAGAACGGTTGACCTGTTTATGTGTACAGCACACATAATGATAAAGAAGTGATCGATGCATGATGTTGTAGAAAATCGAATCCTGATTTTTTCCCTTATTTTTCATCGAGTTGGAAGTGAAGTCACTGCTTGCGTTGAGTCTGCTCTTACGATAGCCGATTCTGGATCATTTCTGCTAGCTGATAACACCAGGGGCTTATAATCAAAATGTGCATCTGCGCGTTGTATCTTTTGACGCAAAGTGTCAATACTCAACTTTGGCTGCGTATTATTAATTTTTGTTCAGTACATCAAGATACATTTGGACAACGCTGACAACCTGTGGCTCGAACTCCTGAAAACTCCACCCAAATGTCTTCTCTGTCTTTGAAATATCGAACTCTGACTTGATTGTTTTTTGAAGACCGTTGTTTTTCAAGATACCGCTCTGAACTTGCTCAGGGAAATGCTTAGCGACAATCTCGTTAATGGTCTCCCAGCGAGTACCATCCAAAGTTCCTCGAGGCGAATTCGAGCTCGCAATATACGAACCAGCAGGAATGCGCTCCTTATGTAGTGCCTCTACGTGCAGACGAGCTACGTCGTCGTTGTGCACGCTATTTCCAGGAGCTGGCGCTGCAGCAACGTTACCAAGAACGACGCGCAAAATGACGCCGTTGGTGCCAACCATTGCTTGCTCAGGTGTTTTTACAAGAGCATCACGACCCTCGATGAACGACGGGTGAATGTAAACCAAGTCGAAGTGAGGTTTTTGCTGCTGGTACCAGGCCTCGGATTCATTCAGCGAAGCTACCTTGGATGCGGAGTACGCGGCAAACTCGTTGATATATGGCCCTCCTTGGAATGAAACTCTATCCTCAGCTTGGTACACTTTGTTGGAGCCGCTTATCCACTCGATAAAGTTGACAATCGCGACAACGGACGACGTGATGACAACACGCTCGACAGATGGGGCTTTGACAGCTGACTTCAGCAAGCCTAGCGTGCCAGCTACCGCAGGATCAATGAAATATTGTTTGTATTCTTCCTGCGTAAATTGACGACCCGTTGTGATGGGCGAGGCGATATGTATGATGTACTTGACATTCTGGACAACCTCGTCGTAAGCTCCCTCCACAGCTAAATCTGGGACAATGGAGAAGGTCAATTGGCCTTCCGAGATGTTAAGGGCCTTGTAGTCCGGGTTGGAAACGATCACATCGGCTCTGGCCTCGCTTCGTACCGCAGCGCGGACACGATATCCAGCTTTGAGGGCATCTGTGAGAACCTTGAAGCCTAGATGGCCGGTAGCACCGGTGATAAGGACAAGTTCTCCATTGGTATCTGCGAAAGAGCCCATCGCCAAAGATTTTGTTGGAGTTGATGCTATGTGAGAAGCGATATATGACGGAGAAGCGAAAATAAATAGTATAAGCTTCTACTGCTGTCTAAGCTGAGATTGCAGACTGTGTTGACTGTGTTAACGACTTTGCTTGAGTATGCCTTACGATTACGCTCGAGTCGCAAGTATTTATACTCGCCATCGCATGCTCGCAGTTCACCACGTTGGCACAGTTCCATTTGCGTTCACAGTCAGTATAGACAGGATATCGGTACACTAGCCTTCTCAAGGAGTTATTAGATTCCTAATAACGTATTCCAAAGAGACGAGCATCTAGTTGGCTTTGAGCCGAGCATGATTACTTTGCCATTACCGACCGATAGCTTAGATTCGCGAAGCCGAGCTTTGCCTATAATAGGATATTTTTGTTGTTGTTCCTGCGTCTGGGATAGTGGCTGACTAACGCTAGCCTGCTCATTGCGTCGCCTTCGCTTGAGTTCGTTGCATTTGTAAGCCGGGCACCCGAACTCAATTCGCATACGGCTAAGCTGGATGGATTTGTCGAATCATCCGTCTTTGATAGAAAAGAGCAGAAAAAGGGCTGCAGACTCTTTTTTTGTGGAGAACAGCTGAGCTTCAGTTCGGCGTTAGGAGCCAACACTGTCGACGCACGATTCTGCACAATATCATTTGTCCGAGTGCGTAACAGGAGTTGCGAAGTGATCTGGCAACGACTCAACGAGTGCACGAAGAAATATGGAGCGAATGTTTGAATCTCAAATACCAAGAGTTGGTCCCAAACGTCTTCCAGATGCGAAAGTCAAAGCTGTTGTCGCAGCACTCTTCTTACTAGCCTCTTTCGTCCGGATCGACACAGGTATAAGACGACTGCTAAGACGTCAAGTCCATTTTTTGCTACATTTCCAAGAAAGCGACTTTGGATTGTGCTACACTTCATGTCCAATGTTTGTGAACAAACGCGCCTCCGTATTTCGACCCTGAGCGTGAAGCTGCAATGGATTCGTTCATGCCGGCTTGGCTAGTGAACTTGGCGAGCGTCCGGAGCAACTTTGCGAGCGCTCCCCTGATCTCATATGCTTACGACGACTACGCCGTTCCGTCTATGCTGTCGTCCCTGAGGTCCGCACGATGGTTCTTTGAGTGTCATAACACGGAATCTAGGGGTTGGCCCTTCATTCTGCTTCGTTGACTTTGCGGCAAAGCATACTCTTGCATCGACTGTCCGCGGAATGAGTTGGATAGCATGAGTCGCCTCTTTCGCTCGACGCGATTCGTTCGCTCTTTTCTGCTTGGTGTCCTTTCTACCGTCGTCCTATGGACCTATCTAAGTTCCCATACCATTCTTCGGCTCGTCTTTTCGCATTCATACGATCTCAATTTCCCTGCTATCTACCGTGCACAGTTCCAGGTCTACATCCTCACGCACGACTGCGGCCGCTTCACCTCCGATATAGCGTCTGCCTTCGACCCCGAATCCGTCATACTTGTCCCCGATGTGGCAGATAGTCCAGCATGTGCGGCGCTTGGACTCCAGCAGGTGTTTGTGGAGCGAGTAGAAGGCAACAGCACCGACGACACGTACCGGTTCAAATACGCCTACACGCTGTGGCACTGCCGCAATGGCGACAAGATGAAGTGTCTGTTCCTCGAGGACGACGTGGTCATGTTGCATGATCGGCAACGCACGCAGGAAGTTCTTGTAGAGAACACGCTCACACTGTTCAATCACGAAGAGAACGCCTACGATTGCACAAAGCGCGGCTTCGGATGGATACGGAGCAAGACAACAGGCAACGGCAGCCAATGCAGGATATACAGCAAGCCTTCTACGGAATGTATGACATATTGTCTAACTCAATATGAGCACAAGCAGTTGGACTATGGCTTAGCAGCTTGTCAAAATTGGTGCGGGCTCAGCCAGAGGAGATTTCTGTTGGCCGTCCACGGTGGACTGAGTTCGACAATGGAGAGGAACCGTTCCTTGGTTGCGCAGAGTAATCAACATCATAGACCGGGTTAAAGGTATTTGCTGAATTTGCATTGACTCACTTTTTAACTATGCATTGATCATTTAGCTCTATCCGGGGCTAGTACAATATACTAAGGCTTCTGCACACAAATCATACAGGCTGGATCGTGCATAACAAAAATACTAGGAGTAGTGACTAAAAATGAATAGGAAGAAAATGTCTTGTATTTATTAGATTGGGATCCATCGCGGTTTGGTGACAGCAGGTAACATACGGATGCGTTCTATCGCATCCTCGCTGTCATCAATATTGCCACAGCTGTCACGATCACAGTCTTCCTGCTTGCTACATGAACAATACTGTTTTCAATGAACACAGGCCAGGCAGATCATCTGTTAAAGCAGAAAATGCATGGTATTTAAAAATGGCAATTTATAGGGCAATTGTCGTCCTCAATTACCTGTTGGAAAGTTAAAAATACGTTCGTGAATTAACGTGCGTGGTATCTATCAAACGCAAACTCTTGTGAACGCCCTGTCCCATGCTTTGCGAATGTTGCGGAGAGGCCACAATGTCGATCGGCTAGAACTGTATTCTTCTCTTCCTTCCCGTGTATTTGCTGGTGTTCTTCACAACCTTGCCTTTCCGCTCAAGCCTAGCCTTGGTCCGCAGGATTTCGTCTCTCTTACTGAGCTTCGTTTCCTTCCTCTTCCCGCTTCTTCTGTGATCTTCTACGTTCACATCCATCCCTTTGACGAGGCTGGTGATGTCACCCGAATGTCCCACAGTCAAGACCAAATACGTCTTCACCTGCTTCGTGCCCGTTCCATCCTCCAACAAACCGGCGCCAAATCCAGCTCGAATCGCTGCTTGTGAAACCATTTTCTTCTGCTTGTCGTCCTTCGGATAAAACTGGCACACGGCTCGCCCGCCCCTCCTCAAGCACGCGTACAAGCTCTCGAAAAACCTCTTCAACCTGCCTTCAGCACTCTCCACAGTGGACTCTGCGTTGCAAAGCCACTGTACTGCACTGATACTGACCGCTGCATCGAACGTGCCTGGTCGAAATGCGAGACCCTGTCCCGCGTCGGCTAGGAACAAATCTCCCTCAACTTCCCGTTCGAGTGCGAGCGCAAGCATGGAGGCGGAGATATCCAGACCAATCCACTGATGTCCCTCCGAGGTAAGTATGCTACCGGAGAGACCGCTCCCGGCTCCGATATCTAGGATTAGAGAAGGTTCTTCAAGAGAGAGAAGGTCGAGAGCCCGGTGGGTCATCGAGGCTTGAATGGATTTTATGCGGCTATTTGTGTCATATTTACGAGAGACTGTGTCATTATAGTAAAGATCGGGAGGCCTATAATGTCATGAACATCTTTTCTCACAAAATACACGGATATAGCGTACAATTGGTCCTCCGGCCGAGACATTTTGGAGCTCGTGCGTGGGACTCGACAACGTGGGTGACAAGAATGGAAAAATGACGACTCAGCTTCCTTATAGTCTAAGTCTTCACCACGACTTCATCCTCTCAGTTCTGATTCTCAGAAAAGTTAAGTTAAACACTGGAAATGTGAGGTTTTGTAACCTTCGCACACGCAGGGCGGATGCACGTTATTAGAGGTTCTAAAAATCTTTATCGATAGTGCAGTTTTCACCGCCTTCCATATCAGGAAACGTGATCTGCTCCGCAAGCCGAAGTTGACACGCGACGTGGAGGAGAGCCACAGTGCAGACTTTTGTCCTCATCAAGATGTCTGGCAGATAGCAGACGACCTCTCGTTAGACCAAAGTACCACAACTGAGAAGCAAAATGTGGATTCTTCCCCTTGTAGGCTACATTGGCCTCATTTTGGGCTTCTGCTTCCTTACCCTTGCAATAGGTACGGAAAACGAGTATTACCTGCCTTCCAAGCTAATCGTTATGGCAGCGTCGGGCCTCTACTACCTCTCCGAGCTTGTGGAAGAGCACACAGTTTTCGCCAAAAAGCTTCTCCAGCGCTTAATCTATTCGGTCATCGCTCTCCAGATTCTGCTTTGCGTTGTGGACCGCTTCCCGTTCATGCTGAGCATGCTTAGCGTTGGGAGCCATGTAGTATACATGCAAAATCTGAGAAGGTTCCCTGTGGTGAAGCTGACGGATCCAATGTTCCTTCTCTCATGCGGTACGTCGAACGTCTTGGTCTGTTTCAAGAAAACGCAAGCTGACAATGTGGCTACGCAGTGCTCGTATTGCTGAATCACTACCTATGGTTCAACCACTTTCAAGCACCGCCAAAGCATACATCAGGGACGTCTTATTACTATAACGATCCGATAGCATCGTCGTATCCGACCTTCACAGAGATATCGTCGTATTTCGGACTCTGCGTGTGGCTAGTTCCCTTCTCGCTTTTTGTAGCACTCAGCGCAGGCGAAAATGTTCTTCCAAGCATGGGTAGCGAATATGCCACTGGTGAGGGCAGCAGTTTTGTGACTCCCGGAAAGGACCCTGCAGCTGCTGCGAAGGGGTTAAAGGGCAGAGAAGGCATGGCGAAGCAAGCTGTTAATGGTGTGAGAGAATGGTTCTCAGAGGCTGGGGCAAGCTTAGGCCTCTGGAAGGGCGAAAACATACGGAAATGGTGATGACGAGTCTCGGCGGTCAAAGTCTGTATGAGTATGTAAAACTAGCAACAAAGCGCGGTATTGCGTTCTATGTCACTTCTCTGGTTGAGACGCTCTAGATTATGCCTTAGGCCAACACCATCCTGTGATTTAACAATTTCTCTTCCCAGGCCTAACATTCTCCCACCATAGAAATTAAAAATCACTCACCATACTATAGATAGTAGTCCCTTAGGATGGGGTCGAATGTCTTTTTTTTTTTTCTTTAAGTTTGAAAGTCTTTGCGGGAGGGGATGCGAGTGCTTTCGGACGCGACGTGCAACAGTACGCGCCGTGGCAACGAACTTCCACAGACTGCCGCCCGCAAAGCGACGCCGTACGTGATGACACTCCACTGGCTTGCATCGTTTCGAAATCCCTGCAGCTTGTTTTGAAAGAATATGCAGAGCGAAAGTAAGGAAAATTAGGGGAATAACCTCATGCGCTTGATGGTTGACTATATTTCCATATCCTCACGGGGAACATGATCGTATCCAGCTCGCAGAATTTGAGCTACGGCTTTGCATGAGTCAGGTACAAACAACGATCGGGTCTCCTTCTTCGAGATTGGTTTCCGTCTCAGCGTTATGTCTCGATTTTGACCTGGCGTGAACTCGTATAGAGGCCAAGTTGCCTTGATTCCTATACCGGCGGAATGGTGACCACCAGTGTATTCGTCACAACATCCGCCATCTCCACATCAGGAAAAGAGCGCCTGTTCCCAGACCGCCAATGAACATTTGCCAGTATTATTCGCTCAAGCGCAGCGACGTATTCGGTTACCTCGAGAATGCACAACTTGTCCTCGAAGACCTGGTGCACTATCTCTCTATTCAGCACCTGAACGCGGTACAAGTGCTCCATGGCAAGTTTATGGGTACGGTCAATGGCCTCTTGTAGTTCTTTTCCCTCCCACATCATTATGATCTGGACAGTGTTGTACGTGGCATTCTCGTTCCCAGCGATATAGTCTTTTCGAAAGCTGAATATGTCTTTTTGGCAGGATATGATGTTGCCAATACACTCTTCCATCTCTACCAATTTTGGACCTTCGATCATCTTGTTCGAGAGCTGAATATCGTTCATCCACTCGACAAGACGGCATATGATACGCCCTCCGGAGGCTCTGATCTGGTGGGAAGTCCATTCTGGAACGTTATGAAACAGATCAGTGTGCACCTCTTTTAAGTAGCAGCTTAACATGGACTCCATGTCCGTTCGAAAACGATCGTGGAACTCTATATTGCATCAGCAATGTGCCACATCTATTCACTGCATTTCACTCAAACCAGGCTCGGTTGTTTCGTACATTCTCTTTCGAAATGTATCGTAGAAAAGATAAATCTTCCTCCACTCCTCCGTGCCTTCTATTTCCGGCTCTTCGCCTCTAACTACAGCGTCCATTCCGTTTATACATCCCAGAGCATAGACACTGGCGAGCTCACTAGACTTGATGGCGCAACGGCAGGCCTCTCGGAAACGACAGAGCCAGTGACTCCACTGGACTGCAATCTCGAGCCGTTGGATGGATACACTCCTGGGGATGATATAAGCCCAGAATACTGCATAGACGGTAATTAGTTCGTTCTCCCGATCGTCATACAGAATCTGGGTCCATCGCTTGTCTGTGAAGTGGAAGAACTGGTTGTGCATAACCAGTCTTTTGTAGTTCTCTAGATAGTCCGGTATTTTGTAGCCAGCCATGCCGTCCGTGGTCTGATATTGAACCTTGTCAGTAATTCTCACTCGCGAAACATGAATATTCATAGAAAGCAGGAGTTCAAGGCAGAAATAATGCTAGCTTGAAGATGAGGATGAATGCTAGACCATCACCGGATGTGATGTTGCCTCAGGGGAAATTCGCCTTAAGGCGAAGGGAAGGTGCCTAGTCAGTTCAAGCTAATTGCTCTATCACCTCGATTTCTAGCTCACAGCTCCCCATGACAAGCCCACTTGGAGCCATTCTGGCCAGCACTTACGAGCTCCGTAGAAGACGGTCATTCATGGTTCTTCGCGGTATATATTCGCACATTCCCTGGCAAAGCACCATTCCGTTGGCGGTCAACAAGCTGGGTACGGATCTGGAAACTTTGGTAGCGCAGTGAATTGCTAGCCACGCTTACCGAAACATTTGTGCGGCTTAGATGCTGGACGGCAAAGCTATTAAAAGTTCCCGGACAAGCTTTTCTTCGTGTAGGCATGCATGCCCTGAGTTCCTGCGATACTTGGAGTCATTCTAGATGAAACATCAGCGACGGTCGGGAATGCATCTTTAGTACGAGGATTGACCTGATTCTCGTCCATTGCCAGCAGCACCAAGCGTTCAGCAGCGGGAGGCGTTGGTGCAAACGTGATCGTTGCCAAGACGATCTTTCCACCGCAGAAAATGCGACAAAAATAACAGCATTTCTAGCCTAATCGAGATAGAATGGCTGCTAATAGCGCATTCGGGGTGCAGAACATCGAACGCGTCGATCAGTGATTGCTTCAACACAGCACCAACTGATTCCCTTCATCATGTCCAGCATCGCTAACGCATCACGGTCCCCATCCTTGTAAGGCGCAAAGAGCTTACGCTGGAGGCGGGTACAACAGGTGGAGACGTGCGGGTGACGAAGGCTGTCATTCACAGAAGCCAAGTGGTGCGGATGCGGACGAACCTGGTCTCAGGCACGGTGAACAGCCGACGACACCCCTCACACGATGGGAGACAAGGAAATCGGCTTTGCATGAGAGCGCTGCTGACATGCCCGCTGGTGCAGGTCCTCCCCAGAAACGCGGTTTTGGCGTGTGATTGGCTGCACACCATCACAACGGCGTGAGATTTGAGAACAAATCAAAGCGGCTACACCCTTCGCTCCCGTCTGCACGACGCCCCGCCACAGCGCTTGTGCCTTTTATCGACACAATCCCGGACTCGACAGCACGAACACGGCACGATTTCTTCGTCCATCGCATGGAAGATTGGACGAGTTGCGTCTCTTTGATTCAATTCATTCTGGAGCCACGACGGACTTCGGTTTAACGTTCCTCGGAGGCGGTGCTGACGATCTCGTCACCACGAATGCTGTGCGTGGAGGCGAATCTGAGCTTGCCGGCCCATGCCAGCCATGCAGGCGCTTGCAGGGCCTTGTCCAGCCATCCTAGAATAGATCGCATTGTCTTCAGCCTATCACAGGCCTGAGATCATACTGCGCATACAGTGACCAACTGAGACCCTCCAACTATCTAGCCGCTGAACACCTGTGGTCGTAGGTGTGCTCTGATCCGCCTTCCGCCCAATTTGCTCTTTGGTTTCCTCATGGTTGTTCGTCCTCTTAATCCCGTGCTGCAGAGAAGCCGCAGGTGAATGCAATCCGTTGCGCCATAACGCATATCCACCGGCGCCAAACCGTAGCGCCTGTCCAGACAAAAGGCTCCCATCTCCTCTAGCTGTACGTTCGTCTTTTCCTTCCACCAGCTGGTCTCTAGTAAAACGGATTGCGCATCAAGCCGTACCCATTTCCCATTGTCCCTGACTTTCTTCTCTAGCATCGCTGGGCTGGACCTGAGAGCAACATTAACTGTCACATTCTATATTCGTTTGCCTACTACTCCTCACCTCATAATCTTCAGCCGTTCGAAAGGTCTACACACTAGAAAAACTCGAGATGCCAACGGATCGCCAGACACCTCCTCCACAAGTAGTCGTCACCCAGCCCGACACCTCCAAGGACATTAGAACACCTCGCACAGCCAGATTCGCCGAAGCTACAGCAGTTTACTCTCCCATCGAACCATCAGAAAAGTCCAATCCATTCGCTGATCCCCCAACAAATCATTACGTACCACAGGCACAGCCTTCAGACATAGGTTTTGGATACCTCCGTGAACAGCACATATCAGTCGAGATGGAAGAAACAGACCCGAAATACTTGCCGCCTCCGACGCCGAAGGAGCCTCTCAAAAGTCCTCTGAAAAGTGCTTTGAAGTCTCCTGGTGCGCCACCAAAGAACATGAATGCGATCCTCAGCCCAACATTTAGGGAGGAGGAGATCTTGGAGAAGGCGGAAGCAGACACCGAGAAGGAGCAAGAACAAGATCTGGTAAGCATCGCATATTCCCAACATGCAGACAATTTCTTGTTTTAACAACATCCGCAGAAAGTCAAGACGCGAGTGCGCGTCGCAAAGTTTGTGCTTAGAGGCGTTAACTTCAGCTGCTCTCTGATTGTCCTTTCAATGCTTTCTACAACCTTTGCAATCTTCAACGCTACAAAGTCATTACCACCTCGCAATAACCTTCCGCCTTGGTCAAGCGTCGGCAAAGTCTGGCCTCAGGTTACTCTTCTAGTCATTGCTTGCATATCGCTCTTCCTGTGTATGGTCATCTTCTACGGCTACTGGAAAGGTGGCCACCGGAGAGCGGAAAAGGTTGCGGTCTACTACACTACATTTGCTGTTGGGTTCTTCATCTTCAGTATCGTCATGTGGGGCGTTGGCGCAGTGATATTAAACCAGAGCAAGGCCAACGGTAAAGGACAGGATATTTGGGGGTGGAGCTGCAACGACAACACGCGCAGAGCTCTGTTCCAAGACGATGTCGCCTATGCACTCATCTGTCGTCTTCAGAACTGGTCTTTAGTCTGCTGCATCATCGAGGTGGTCGTGGAAGTTTTCACCATTGCCATCTATGGTGTTGTCTTCTACCGATTCTACTCGAAGCGCAAGCTGCGAAAGTCGATGGCCATCCGGGATAGGGCTCGATCAGACTTGTACCTAGCTCAACTTCGATCGCAGTCCGTACCCAATACTCCAGGTGGGCCACTTTCGCCCCGCGATGGCGGCTGGCGTCCGCCAGTTGGCCATCCGCTCAACAAGGATTCGCTCTCTCAAGCAGAGAAAGGAGAAAGCGAATACTTCGCTCGCAAGATCGCCGAGCCACAACCATTCCAGCTAATGCCTGCACCGACAAAAGCCAAGCCTGCTGCAAAACCAGCCTTCGCAGTGCCAGAAGAGACACCTTCACCGTCCAGCCCGTTGCCGTTAGAGACACGGCAAGCTCATGCCCCAACCGCCGAAGGGGAGACGCAGTATGGCGAGGTGGCAATTCCAGGTGCCTATGCAACTCCGTCCAGTCCAGGGTTTGCACCAGCGCAGCCAGCTATGGGAGGATTTGACTTTGGCCTGCAAAACCAGAGGTAACAATATACCACATGGGTCATTTTTTTCAATGTCTTTTGTAATTCTTCTTCTGAGACATTCGCTCCGAAGACAATGAAAAGAATTCTTGGCTCGAACGTCTGCTCATTGATACCTAAGAAGCTTGGGAGTGGCGTACGTTGTCCAGAAAAACGCTGTGTATAAGACGTTAAAGGAATTCTGGATCTGCATGATGCCACGTTGGGAGTTATGAGGTGGGATAAGTAATATACCAAATGCACATATGACAATCTTCAATTAATTTTATTCTTTTTTTTTTTGTTTCAAACGATGAGCACTACCGTGATTTTCCTTGCAGTCCTTTTTATCGTTGCAACTTGATTGACAGTGGGTTCAACACCTGTGCGCCAATCAGACATCAGCATGGTTTACGTATAATTGCGACCCCTCTTGCGGCTGGATGTGCGGCACAAGTGCTTTCTCAACCACCAGAATGCCTCGACGTCGCATAGATACACATTCACATTACTTGCCGGACTTCTACAGAGAAGCGCTTGCAGCCAATGGCCATAAAAATCCCGATGGCATGCCACGTATCCCTGACTGGTCGGAAGAGGATCATATCAAGTTGATGGAGGAGTTAAACATTGAGAAATCGTTTATCAGCATCAGCTCGCCCGGCACCTACCTTTCGCCGGCATTTGGAAAGCAATCAGTTGAGCTGGCAAGGCGTTGCAACGAGTTCGCGGCGGACTTGAAACGGAGACGACCTGATAAGTTCGGCTGGTTCGTAACCACTCCGTTGCCCCTCGTCGAGGAATCGCTTGAAGAGATCAAGCGTGCTTATTCGGACGGGGCAGATGGCGTTTGCCTCATGACCAATCACGAAGGTATCTATCTTGGAGATTCGCGCTTCGATCCTATCTTCGCCGAGCTGGACAAACGTAAGTCCAAGTTGTTTATACACCCGACCATGCCGTGTTTCTGTCCAGCAGGTAGCCACGGTGCTGGCACAGATGCCGTTGTCAGAGCCAATCCACTGAAGGAGCGCTTTGCCGCCCCCGCGATGGAATTCCTGTTCGACACGACTCGCTGCATCGCGAATCTATTCATCAGCGGCACGATATCAAGGTACCCAAACATCGTGTATCTAATCCCGCACATGGGCGGAACGATGGCGCCGCTTCTATCTCGCTTCTTGGGCCATTCGAGGTTCCTCAACAAGCCTGATCACGAAAAGTGGGAGGAGAAAGATGCCATTGCGGTCTTGAACAGCCGCTTCTACTTCGACATGGCCGGATGGAGTTTTCCGATCATGGATAAATGCCTTCTAGACGGCGTTGGCGTTCGCAAAGATAGGTTGCTGTTTGGAACCGACTACGCATTTGTACCCGCTGCGGCTGCTCCAACGTTCGCCGCGTTAGTGGATGGAGGCACTGAGGCTTGGGACGAGAAGGACATCGAGAACGCCTACTACAATAATGCTAAAAAGCTGTTCAAGCTCTAGATTGAATATATAATTGGCTGTAAGGCTGAGCATTATGATCGAGAATTGGTTTAGCCTTCTATGACATTCATCTCGAACTTGAATCATTGGCGGGATTCATCTCGTACCCGTTAGTTTGTCTCTAGTTCATCTCATAACGCAACCTTGCAAGCACATGTTCATGCGTGTCAATATCGCCTTGTGATGCAGACTATTGTCATCAAAACCTCTCATAAGTCGAAGCAGAGCCACGACCAAAGAGCTGGCTTAACTTTTGCCTTGCAATATAGATATGTACGCGTGCGCTCCAGTTCAATCCGGAACGAGATAATCGGTCGAAACAAGTTTCAGCGCACGGCCCGACGGAGCGAGATTTCTGGATGTTCTCCAATGTGAAAAATCGCCTGGTTCTCAAGCATGAAATGACTTAGACGGATGTGGAAATTTTGGAATCTCGAATACGTGCATACTTAACCGACCTAATTGGCTGAAGTCGTCCTGAATTCATTCATGCTAATAAGTCGAGCATAAGTCTGGTATTTTCTATATGTTTGGTGACAAAGATGCGTTGTACAACGCAGATGTTGACTGGTCGAGATTTTGGTCTTCGCCTGCGTCGCTTGCACTGCAAGCTTGTCATCAGTCATTTGACTTATACGTATTTGACTTTTACGCATGTCTATCGATCGTTAATATCATTCTTAGCAATCCCTGTGACAGTAAGTTCCATCCGATTCTTCAAAGCTGTTTTTACCGATCTCATTTGGAGAACAAATGTAAGTCTGCATGCGAATGACCTCACGAATTCGATCCAGGATTCCTCGTCCCTCTCACTGATAGAATCACCCGTATCTAGGAGATACAATTGAAATCAAGTGGTACAGCTGTGCGCAGTTATTTGCAGCAGAGTCACAGGGCAAGCTAAAGTCGCGTGTCCTAACACAATCATCATGTCCGCCATACCACAGCCTCAAAAATTGCAGCCTCGGTCTTATAATATTATAGCACGCGTCTACTAAAGCCACGAGTCTGCCCTGAGATGACGAAGCAGCCAACCATATCTCGAATTCCAGATGTTTGCTCCTTCGTCTCCGTCCGCGCGTGTAACACTCACACCTCCGTCATGGGACAGTCCGGGACCATGTTCCAAACATCGAGGACTGCTGACCAGATTGAGTAGAAAAGCGGTCAAATTCTCCATATTTTAGCCCCTTTTCTGACTTTTCTGTCCTTGATCCTACTTCCTTTCTTCTGCTTCTTTTCCTACTTTGGATTTCGAAGTCATCGGCTCCTTTATGTGATTCTTTCCAAGCCACGACAGTCAAAAGGATAGTTTTGTATCATTTTCCCCAGCGCACTCTTCGCAGACTCACAAAGATATCTATTTGACCAGTCGTCTTCACTTTATGATGTCGTTACTTCGCGAACTTCCCTGGGGCGAATTGGAGAAGCTTTGCGAATGCGGTCTCGCACATATTTGTCCCGCACACAGTTATGAACCAATCGAAGTAGCGTTCATCCGTCGACCACGAAGAAATCGTCCACGTCGCCAATCAAGATGGGCTCTTCTCCCCCGCGATGACTTCTTCATAGGCCGCGAGCCTGATATATTCTTTGACGGTTCGCGTTCGTTCGATGATCTACATATTTTTTGGTGTAGCCAACCAAACTTGTGTTGCGATATGAAACTACTTATTGAAGACCTTCCATTCGAAGTCGTGAGTACTCGGCCAACCGCATTCTCTGCTGTTTTGTGGCTAATCGGACTTTTAGTATCAATGCGGACGTCGTGAATTACGGCGAATACACGATCTAAATCACAACAGCCGACGATCACAGGCCAGAGCATATCGCATGCTTTATGAATTCATGCTTCACTTTGGGAGGGGAAGATTACTACTTATGGATCGTGATCCTGTATTCGTGGACATATTGCGAGCAGTTGAACAGAGGGCGTTTATTGATGTTCTTGAAGGTGGAGCAATTGATTACTGGTTGCCACCCATTGCTGCATCGACAGCAGCTTCTAGCCGGCTATTAACTGCTTACTAATTTAGAATGTTTCAATGTCGACAGCAGATGTAATATAATGCACTTTAAATCAAGATGAACATAGTTTCGAGTCCACATTTGAAGGGTGATGATAACTTTGTTTGCCCGAACCAGGTCCTGGTGAACTGTTTTCGATCCTCGGACATGCACAAGTATGTTCGCTGCTGAACTTAACTAGCGCGGGATCAAACAAGGTCGGTCTTCTTGACCTGCCCATAAATAGTGAAGGGTGCAAATACTTTGAGGTTAAGAAACTGAAACAAGAACAAATGTCTGGACATCCTATGAACTCTATATTCATTTATGGCTACGTATTGCGACATTAGTTTTCTCATGGTATCATTTCCCTTGCATATATCTAAACTCCAATAAAACGCCGTCGGAGGGAACAGCCAGAGATGTATCTTCGTGTAGGTGCTTAACCCAGGAGACTTCAACCTCTGCAGATACACTAAAGTGCGGATACAGAGGGAGCTCAATCGAGGGGCACAAGCTACGCAAGATTACCAACCAGATCCAAGCAGGCCCCATCCTTTATCCCAATTTTCCGTTATAATCAGAGCATTCAACGTTGATCCACATCCAGATCCCCAAAAAAGAAAAACGCCAGAGAATTCGTCTCTGTCTATGCACAAATCTCCATCAACGTCGAGTCCGCAATATCTAGGCAAGCATGACCACGCCACCTCCAATGGCAAGCATAAGCCCCAACATCTCCGATTGAGGCTTGAAAGCCGCACCGGTGAATACTGGGAGTGCTGTCGTTTTCGATGGTGAGCCTGTGCCCGTAGGGTAAGCTGCTCCAGACGTTGATGAAGATTTGCATGGCGCTCCTGTGTAGTTAGAAGGAAGAGTTGTGTTCGCCCAGTCATACTGGCCGTAGTAAGGTTTTGCCGCTGCGAGGGTCGAGAGGGCAAGAGTGAGGAAGCTTGTAAAATGCATTTTGGAGGACGTACAGGCAAAAGACAAGGACAATAGTGATATGCTAGATACCAAGAACAAACTCAAGCGTAAACTAAAGTGAGAGAAGAAGATCAGGTAGTCAAGTAACGAGGTGAGAGACGAGGTGATGTTGGCAAGATAAGAGAGCATCGACTGATGGTTGGCGTTGCTTATATACGATAGCGTTGTGGAGTCCACGTCCATCGTATCATTCACAAAACTTGTTCTCAATACGGATTTCTTGACGCCCAACAGATACACAAAACACGAGAATACATCATGATGCAGTTGTTGAGCGCCAATCCCGACTTATCGAAGTGATTTTTCAAGTGTTTGGTGGTGGGGATAAGCTCCGCTGCTACGGCAACCGAAGTGTTGTGGCGTCATGAGCAGTTTTCAACAACACGAGATTGGCTCTGTATCCACATCTCTCAACCAGTATTCTGGGAAAAAATGCAGGTCTACTTGCTTGATGCTTTATTTATCAAAAACAACGATGTTTCACTTATACTGCTCTTACCCTACTCGGTACAGAACCTCGAAATCATGCGATTCTACCTTGCGCCATTGGGCCCTAGCGACGTCGATAATGCCAATCAAGTAATACGAATGAAAGATATGCAATAAAGGAATCATTGTTCTTCTACTGTGACTGTGTTATGATTCAATTCGTGTATACTTTATCGTACGTATTGCTTATTGCTAACAACAACGATGCTGTTTAGCAAGTCTCGATTTATTTCAGCTCGTAGTTTCTGTTCGTCCACTCTGAACAGCCTCTGATCATGATATAAAGTCGCGCAACAGTAGTATAGCCAAAGTCAGTTATTCCTATTACTCATCTACTTCTCAAATGTACTCTTGTCGAAGAGAACAGCTGTTGCCTTGTGAACGACCTGCACTCGCATTTCTTGACCGTTATCAAAAAAGACAGCTCCTCTGATAATCGTTTGAAAGAGCGAAGCAAAGCCAGTTAATCTCAAGAGGCGCTTCAACTTCGGTTTACCGTATGCTTTTCTGTTCTCCAAGTAGGACCTCTGGTCGTTGACGTAAAAGCCACAGGAAAAATGTGATGCCTCAGGCGACATTTGATGTTGGGTCGCTATACAAATCGCTCCTCCTTCATGCCAAACAAAATTTAGTCAAGACTGATAGTCCTGTTCACCGCAATTGTACAATGGGATATTTAGACTTATAATTCTAAGCCAGAAATCATGGCAATGTGTGCTAAGGATTTGTCGCAAAGTCTCAATATACAACCTCAGATATGAAGCCTCTGAACCTTGCCAAGGCGCTAATTTCTCCGCCCAAGTCGTCAACCCTAAGATGTATTTGGATCTCTTAAACATTTTATCAGAATTCCTCACCCATGGGAGTACAATACAGATCCGATGCGAATTTGGAGAGTGTAGATGGCGGACTCATCTGACAGTGCTTCAATTCGAAGCACGCCCGCTCCTGTTTCTGTGGGTGTTCCTTTGCGTGTGTATCCAGTAGCAGTCACTAATCGCAGACAGTGCGATTTTTGTAGAGAAAAGAAGTATAGATGCTCGAAAGAAAAACCAAGCTGTCAAAGATGTTTGAATGCGGGCAGAAAATGCCACTACAGTCCTGCTCAGGCGAGAACCCCGTTGACTCGGCTCTACGTTACATCTGTGGAGAACCGTGTCAAAAGTTTGGAGCGTTTGCTGCATAAGCTGCATCCTGAAATGAACATTGAAGATGCTTTATTATCGGTGGACGACATACCCGTCTCCTCTCCGGTATCGACAACGAATGAAAGTCCAGAACAAACTAGCGCAGACGTCGTTCAAAGTGAAGCACTTCCGCTTGCAGCCACCGGCTTCGAATGGCAAGAAGTTAACCCGCTAATGGATGGACTGGCCGATGGAATGGCCTCGTTGTCTGTTGATCCAGCTGGGAAAGGTTACCTAGGCTCCACCTCTGGTGCAGGACTTCTTCGCTCTCTACTCTCTCAAAACAATTTCAATGCAGCCACACAGAGTTCAAGTCGAACTAGACAAGATGTACACCCTTTCAATTCAAGCCAGATGCTTATGAGCGCTCAGGTCGGCGAGCAACTCCTCAACCATCAGATCATCTCCTACCTGATTGACAGCTACTTTGCAAACTACCATACGTCATATCCGTTCATCCATGAACCGAGCTTTCGTGCGGCATACAGTGAACTTCTTCCTCGTCCATCTGGCTCTGTGTGGCACATACTGTTCTACACCGTCCTCACTTTAGGTGCCTGGACTGTAGGCGATGACAATGAGGTCTTCGATGATTATTGCTATCATAAAGCAGTAAGTTATTTTCAGGAGCAGTCTGTGTTTGAACTTGGGTCGCTTCCTTTGGTTCAATCATTGGTTTTACTCTCAAATTATGGTACGAAATCACCAATTGATGCTGATCCAACCACTTACACAATGTAGTTCAGAAGCGCAACAAACCGAACACGGGATCGAATTATCTTGGGTTAGCAGTGCGCCAAAGCTTAAGCCTTGGATTGCACCGAGAGTTGGCAGGATGGAAGATTGGGCTTCTAGAGCGAGAGATGAGACGGCGTGTATGGTGGGGTCTTTTTATTTTTGATTCAGGTAAGTTGTACTCGCAGCTTGCGCACTGCAACGTTCGGTGTGTTCTGATATAATTTCTATATTTATGTATCAATGTGCTCCTTGTGACTTTTCTTTTTGCGATTTTGAGTAGAAAATACATGACTGAATACTGAGCTCAATAGGTGCGGCAACTACGTTTGGCCGTGATATCTTGCTACCCGAGGATATCGATGTAAAGCCAGTCCTGAACATTCCCGACGAGTCGTTGACTCCATCCACTACGATTTTGCCTATGGAATCCAATGTGCCAACGATCTATTCCAATCTAATACATCAATCAACGTTCCATCGCCTGACGAACTCCATGGCGAATAGGCTTCTATCTACTAATCCTCCGTCAACTAACGAAGCTCTAAGGATGTATACAGCTATACAAGCCTGGAAAAAGGCATTGCCGTACTTTTTTGATATAGAACAACCACCCGCAGCCTCAATGGATTGGTATCTATTCGCAAGGTCAAAACTTGCGTGGAGGACCTGGAATTTCCAACTGCTCATAATGCGTCCTTTCCTGCTCCGTTGGGCAAAAAGACAGTCGAGAGATACTACTGCTGAAGATGGAACAGAGGAGAAACGATGTCGGGAGATATGTATCGAGAGTGCTAACTTAACCATTGCTTCAATTCAGCAATATGTATCTACTAATACATTGCCACGTCTTCACGCTTGGTATGCCCTGTAAGTTCTATCAATTCTAAATGCTGTGCTCCAAACTAAGAAGGCGATAGATTTTTCCTTTTTCATGCAGCTTTGGTACCCATGCTGTGTCTTCGAGCTTCGCCCGCATCTCCGGACGCTGGCAAATGGATTCAAGATATCGGCACTGTTAAATTTCTGCTAGAAACTTCATTTACAACTTATTCGCTGGCTCAAAGGTGCCTTGATGTCATCAATCAGGTCTTACCATCTGGTACTTCCAGTGATTGGTCACCAACACAACTCGACCTCAGCTTTACTGATCCAAATCTTGAGTCATGGTTCGAGTGGCCAGAAATAAACAGTAACGCGGCCCTGTCAACCTTCGGACCCCTGGGATAGAGTCGTATTCAACTTTAGCTTTCAATTATTGATTACGAGATCGGGTTTGATCAATTTATCTCGGATTATCCGTCCGTTCAGAAGGTCGTTATTGCGAACCCGCACTTCAGCTGCCGCACGGTCTTTCTCAATACCGGCAGCTAGATGTCTTTGAACCACACGTTCTTTGGCTACACTCTCCGGAGCATCGACGAACCATCTAGGGAGAGGTTAGTGAGGGTCATGGCTCTTTGGTGGATACATACTTCTCGTCTACTAGAGTGGCAATCTCGTTCCAAGGATCCTCGTCCAGCAAGAGATAGTTTCCTTCTAAAATGATCAAGGATTCTGCAGAGGATAACTGTATGTCGTCTTCTACGGGATCTTTTACAGCGTGATCGAAACTAGGTGCTTTGAATGACGACTCCTGGCAGTGTTGCTTTGTAACTGGTTCGTTACGCAAACGCCTAACGAGCTGGATGAATGACTTAACGTCAAACGTGAAGGCAGCACCTCTCCTTTGAAAGGCAGTGTGAGGGTCGGGCATGGTTTGGAGGACTGCACGCGAGTAATGGAAGCCATCCTACAAGCGAATCAACACTGATGTCAAATCAACTTTTGAAATAAGATGAAGAAATACCATCGGCAGGATCGTTAATGCTTTTCCCTCACGGCTTTCATAGAGTTTTGAAAGAGCGGTGGTGATGGTTGTCTTTCCTGAACCTGGTACGCCTGCAACAGCGACCAAGATCCTGCGCGTGCTATCAACAGCATTCTGAGACTTGAGAGCGACAAGACGTTCGTAAAGAGTTTCTGCTATTCGCTCCACCGAGTCAGTCTCGTCGAAGTGTGGCATATTCAGTACCTGGTTCTCCTTCCAAGGCCTTGTGCAGACTGACAAACCCTACCACGCCTGCTCATCGTTTTCATGAACATGTGCCTTGTTCTTTAGGAACATGTACATTGTCCTCTCGGAGTGGGTCAGTCCGCACCCATGAACACAGCCTTTCCGCTTTAGGGCATGTTCCCCAACCCGTCACGGGGCGCGGAACGACACAACTGAAAGCTGATTGGATTCTAATCGCCACTGTCGCACTTCAATCCGCACATCAGTCGTTTTGCTCCGAATGTCACCCGCTTGAAGATGAGCATGGACACTGTCTATCATTCCCCAGGTGGGGAAACCTGGAGAGAAATTTGCGGTGGTGCAGTTATCGTACAATCGGCACGGTCATGCGAGCCTCTTTCAACCGGTCTGCAGTACTCCGAGTCAAAGTTGGGGATCGTAGATTGCGCTAGTCATTTAATCGATTACTCTATATAAGAGTCTTGTGCTGCTGATCTCTCAACCTCGCTCAAGTTGATCCCGTTTTACACCGCGGTTTGCGGATTTCGATCATATTCTTATCATTGACTGATATTTCGCCACATTGATTGAGCACAACTGGTGAACTACTCAATCATGGCAGAGAAGCTGGACCTCAAGGCCGAAACTGCTCGCCTGGAAGATGAACAACTTGCGGGTCAGATGCTGTTTGAGACAGAAAAGAAGCCGATAAAGCAAGTTCTCCGTGAGAATCCATATGTTTTAGGTCTTGCCTGCGTGAGTGCAGACTTAATCCGTAACTCGTACATTTTCTTACGCTCGCGTAGTTTGCTTCGCTAGGTGGATTTCTTTTCGGCTACGACCAAGGCGTCATCAGCGGCATTCTGACCATGGAGTCGTTCGGCGAAAAGTTCCCGAGGATCTATTCAGACTCTGGCTTCAAGGGCTGGTTTACCTCCGTTCTGCTTCTATTCGCCTGGTTTGGATCCCTATGCAATGCTCCAATCTCAGACAATTTCGGTCGTAAACGCTCCATCATTGCTGCCGTAGTTATCTTTGTCATCGGTTCCGCTATTCAGGCTGGCGCTGTCAACACAGCCATGATCTTTGTCGGTCGGTCTATCACGTGAGTTTCCCTTGCCTACGTTCAAGGAGCGGAGACTGATGGAATACAGTGGATTCCCGATTGGAATGTTGACTGCAACGGTCCCTCAATATATGGCGGAGACGTCTGTACCAGCGATTAGAGGTACGCTTGTTGTCTTGCAACAGCTTAGCATTACTCTCGGTATCTTGATCTCGTACTGGCTCGAATACGGAACACACTTCATCGGTGGAACTCGATGTGATCCGTCCACTCCATACTCTGGTGGCTCTCCAGGTGCAAGGACGTTTGATCCTTATAAAGATGCTCCGCATGGCTGCACTGGCCAGTCAGAAGCGAGCTGGCGAGTCCCCTTTGCCATTCAAATTTTCCCAGCCCTTGTTCTCGGTATTGGCATGCTGTTTTACCCCGAGTCACCTCGCTTCTGGCTCATGTCAGGAAAAGAGGAGAAGGCTATCTCGGCTTTGTCCAAGATCAGACGGCTACAGCCGACAGACCAAAAGTTGCGCAATGAATTTCTGGCGATCAAGGCAGAAGTGATGTTCGAGCAGTCTCTCATTGCTGAGAAATATCACGGATGGACTGGCGTGCGTCTTTGGGCGGCTCAGTACGCAGCTTTGTTCTCATCTTGGCCCAATTTCAGAAGGCTTTCGATCGGATGCTGCGTCATGTTTTTCCAGCAGTTCATGTGAGTCAGCTCAAGTTACTCTAGATCTTTTATATTGACACAATTTTTAAGGGGTTGTAATGCTATGATCTACTACGCACCTACAATCTTTGGACAGCTAGGCCTTAGTGGGAACACCACCTCGCTCCTGGCCACCGGCGTTTATGGTATCGTGAACAGTTTGTCGACTCTGCCCGCCTTGTTCTTGATCGACAAGGTGGGACGTCGCCCGCTGCTGATGTGTGGAGCCATGGGGACCTTCGTGTCCCTTGTTATTGTTGGAGGCATCATTGCAGGCTTCTCCGATCTTGCATCGAACAAGGCAGCTGGTTGGGCTGGTAAGTGACACCTTTGCACAAAGCGGAAAGCCATTGGGCTGGGTTGGATGTAGTTGATGGATGATCTATGTTTGATCCACTCCAGTGTCAACTGGTCTACCTTCTAGCGCCTTCAGGCTTGCGCAAAGCAAGATTGCCAATGGCTCATAAGCTAACACATAACCTAAAGGCATCGCTTTTATCTATATCTACGACATCAACTTCTCCTACTCGTTTGCCCCAATTGGCTGGGTCCTTCCAGCTGAACTGTTCAATCTCGGCGTCAGGTCCAAGGCCATGTCCTTGACCACATCCGCGACCTGGATGTGCAACTTCATCATCGGCCTGGTTACACCCGATATGCTCAAGACCATCAAGTACGGAACGTACTTTTTCGTGAGTCTCTCAGCGGTTCCTTGAGTGGGAGAATGAAGCCTAACAAAAAGACAGTTTGCCGCGTTTTGCTTGCTGGCCTTCGCCTTCGTCTGGGTCTTCGTGCCGGAGACGAAAGGTAGGAGTCTTGAGGATATGGATATGGTCTTTGGGGACGAGGCTGCGCACATTGAAAAAGTACATCTTGTACGCATCGCACAGGGTCTTCAATATGAAGAACGGAACCGGACTGAACAAGCGTGAATGGATTGCGAAAGGAAGCGGCTCGTCTGCAATAGAGAAGGGCCTACGCTCTCGACGGGCCCGATGTGACGTAGCTGGATATGACAGCCATAAAATGAACGAGAAAATTTTCTTTCTGAGAGAGGCACAAGTCAAAGCTTTAAGAATATTCTTCATTCAAAATGCTCATCAATTCTTGTCGCTCCAACGCTATGCAATAAAAAAAGCCAAAGCAAGATTCCTTTCGTCATCTCAGCCATATCGACACGGTCCAATGCATCTTTCACTTATTTCTTTGCTCCATTAACACGTCTCACGAATGCAGAAAAAAAAGGGGGGGAGCCGGCTGTAACCCCCCAAACAGCTACCACAACGAACACTCGTTGTCCGCCCGGTGGAAGGCCTGTGCAAAAAATTCTTGCATGGCAACGTAGTGGTACAGAATGCCGCCCAGGACGGCGACGTGCCAAATGTTGTGACTGCCGCCGACGTAGTCGAACATGCCCGGCTGCCACTTCTCCGGTATCTTCATCGCGTACAGACACGCACCAGTGGTGTACACGACGAGAGATTTGGTGATGGGCGCGTAGAAGTACACGGCCCAGGCAAGGCCGCGCGTGTACACGAGTTGGATGACGGGGAGCGCCCCGGTAGCGGCAAGGAGCATGTAGAAACCCACGCGTGCCCAGGCCATGTCGTTGCGGTTGAACGTGGGGTGCCATGCGAGCCCCACGCCGGCGAGGCCGAGGATGCCCGTCACTGTGATCCAGAGCCAGCGGCTCACAGGCTCGCAGTAAAACGCCGTGTATTCGGTCGTCATGATGCTGGCAGCCACGAGAAGCGAGATGCCTGTATAATCCACGCAAGCGAAGCGTTCCATGAGGTCCTTTTCGGCGATGGAATTGAAGGTGTGCCACATGCAGCTGCAGACCAGGCACTTGCAGGCTGCGAAAAAGAAGACGCCGGCGATGAACACGTCCGTCTTTGTGGCAATTGTGAAGTGAGAAGAAGTGGGGTAAAAGTAGAATGCAATGCTGAGCACGATGAACAGTCCGATCAGGTGCGACCAGATGTTAAACGTCTCATTGGAGGGTTTGAGCACTGAGTATAAGCAGCCCATCTTCGTATCGTTGAAACGATATCCTCGCAGGATATGCTCATTTATTCGCCACGGAGTAGGCAGGTCGTGGTAGCGAATTAGGCCTTGCTCCTTTGCCAGTGTCAGGGCCTGCTCAATGGCCACCTCCATCTTCTCGGCAGCTTGCCATGCAGAGTTTACAGCATCCTTGGCCTGCTGTGATATCGAGCCCATGCGCTTGTGCTGTCTGTCCACAAAATCGTGCACGGCGGTGCTGAAACTTGCCTGTGAGTCCCTCACAATCTGGGCTCTGGCTTCGCAATCGGCGAGGTAGGATTCCATGAGCTTGACACCCTCGTACACTTTTTGCTCCAATGTTTCTTTGTGAGCGATTGCCTCATTATACCGAGCTTCGAGCGTTTCGACAAGCACGGAAGCACGACGGCGACCTGCGTCAATAACATCGTCGCGGACCCGCGAGCAGGAGTCCCGAACGGCTTGGAGCGTCGACCAGGCGCGCTCGATGCGGGCATCGATGTTGAGTTGGCCATAGGACTCTATGAATTCGAGGCGACGGTTCATTTCGACGAGGAAGCGGTCGACCTGTGCAAGCTTGGTATCAGCCTCCCACAATTTTCAGCCGAGGCGATGCAATTGTACGAACCATGACTGGGATGTTGTCCGCGTCGGCCGCCCAGTGGTGAGGATGGTACGAGCTGTGGCGTCTCCGCCTCCTCATCGCGTCTGGCGTACGCTCCCTCCCTGACGTCCCCCCCAACACCGGCTCTTCATGCGACTCCGTGAGGAGAGTCGCCGTGCAGCTTATCATGGCGATACCCGTGGCGAATCCAAGGAAATTGCTCGTGGAAAGGCGCTGAGCTTGTTGGAAATCAGCCTTTCAACGTGTCAGGATCGACAGCATAAGAGTCGAGATCGCTTTTGTAAGCCAAATGTCGTCGAGGCGCAGCGACGTGCGGCCAAAGATTTGTCTAGTAGCGGCTACGGCTGCTCGCGTGTGGGTGCTGAGGCCGGCGATTCCGATCTGGGGAGCGGCGTGCGGGAGTTTGGGGAGTCTTCTTTTTTAAGGGAAAGGATACAAAAAAGCAGGAGGCAAAATCACTGTAGAGACAGACGAATACAAGAGAGAGGTCCAAAAAGAAAGACGGGGCTACTTTACACGTGAAAAGGTGAAGAAGTTTTGTGGTTGGCGGAGGAGATTTGAAGACGTAGATCCACCTGCTGTCGTTCGCCATTCGGTTGAGGTCGGAGGTCCGGACGGTCCAAGATCATCGAACCCGCTCGCTCTGGCAACTCAACCCTGGTACCAATCATTGCCAACGCGTTGTACCATGTGAATAGCCTCCAGGACCTCTTTTGCTGCTTCAAGACCCTTATCAGTTCCTGCAGGTGACCACTCTGTTGGGCCGCCTGTCTTTTGGGTCTCTCAATTGCCGTGCTTCCATGTCGACGTGCTCGGCGCAGCAACATTCGATTGAAAAATCTGAACCATCATGTACCGTTCGTGTGCATCGAACGTCTTGGCAAATCAACTCTCTGCTGCAAGGGTTGATGACGACCTCCTCTTTTCTCCGTGCTTCAATTGGACCCGTTCAAACACGCTGGTCGAATCATAGACGGTCAATTCGATTCGTTCAGTCTGATCTCTCTCCCGCAGCTGCACACGGTAGGTCGGCCTATGCCGTCATTGTTCTGTCTAGTGCTCCGAGCTTCGCGCCCTCAGCGTGGACGACGTAGTCCACTGGTTTCGGCTTGGATCGGCCAGCACTCCTCGTGTAGATCATGTATGCATTCTCCGCGATAGATCGCTCGTCACCAAGCATCTCAATCCGATATCCCGTGCTCTGGTCGCGCATCCCGAACCGTGTGTTGAATCTTTCAACTGTTTCCTCCCATTTCTAACCCCAAAGAGTTGTACCAAAGCTGCGAAGTGACCTGCCAATTTGGGCTTGCGAAGAAGGATACAAAACGAAGGATGCGTGCAGATTGCTTTGAGGATTGAAGCCATGTCATGGCTACACTCCACCGGAGCGTGTACTGAGATCTTCGCTAAGGCCTTACGGCACTCATCTTCACATTGTGATGTGCGCTGCTGTGCTGCCTCAAGTACCGACTCTTTCCACAACTCGACTCACGCTTCTCAAAAGTATCCATCCTGCCCGTATATGTAGAACAAGCAAGAAAATTTCACCTGTGTGAGCTCCGCCTTGGTTCTGCCAGCCGCTAGCGCAGCACGGGCAACACAACTCTCAAGGTCACGCCTCCACGGTTCGAGCGACGCCTCTTCGATAGCTTTAGACGTATCAGGCTCGATTCCTATCGTCATTGTGATTTCCTTAAACGTCTTGCTCGTCTTGCCCAACAAATCACCGATACGGTGTCTGCGATTTAACGAGTCTGCTAACTTGTATGTGTCCAGCTTACACAGATAGCTGTCCTCTCGGAAGCCTGGCAGCGATCGTATGTCTGTATGTAACTCGACACGGGAGAGGTTAGGACACTTGGCCATGAGCCGTATGGGCCGGTACACGCTCCACACGTGGGGATACGCACGGGTCTGCAATACCTTTGGGTGGCTTAGGAAGTCATGGAAGACGAGGGACGTTACGTGTTTGTAGCGCGAAGGGTTTGCGTCGAGCCACACTTGCATGTTGTCGCACGCGGCCGTGCTGTCTAGAGCAAAGATGTTGTTTTTGAGAAACGACGCCCACAGCACCTCTTCAGGGTGAGATTCAAGCTCAAGCATGGCTCTGAGCGCTGGTGTGGCGATAAACTGGTCAATGATGGAGGGATTTGAAAGTGCTTCTTTCCCGAGCACTTGGGGTATGATGATACAATCCGGACATCGCAATCGCTCCGCGAGACAACGAGGCTGGAGGTTCGTTGAAGATGAAATCTTTTTCGGCGTAGGCTGCATGATCCCAACATCAGAGATGTTGGTCGCCATACAACTGTTCTCAGCGGCCTCGTTAAACTCGCTGTTCACCTGAGGTTCGCATTGCGAAGTTCTCTGAGGACTATTGCAAGGTATCGTTGCTGGCTGATGCTCCTCATCCGTTTCCTGCGACGATGTAAACGAAGTCTCCTCGCCTGCAGTCAAATCCAGGACCTCAATCTGACTCATGTTCGAATGAACTTCCATCAACTGATGCGGCGTCATTTTACGGCCAGGTGTGTTCGTTTCTTCGCTGTGAAGCACCAAGTCCGAAAGTTCATCTGCGTCATATGGTTTGTCTTGGTCAAGAGAAGTCGAAACATGTCTGCCTCTCTTGTTGAACATCATGTTACCAAATCCTGTGGATGCCGCTGCAAACGCATGCAAAGTCAAAGCGTACGTATTCTGGTGGACTCTGTTGTGGATGCTAGGCTTGGAGAAAAAACTGTGTAGTTTCGTCAAGCAGTTTTATGTTTGACAAGGCTGGAGATCAGGCCGATCTGTGAGGGACAGGCAGCAGTCGCTGCCTCCATTCAACGTCACGGACTAGGGTTGGCTCCTGCAACAAAAATTAGTATAAATTGTGTGAATTGATATGGAAAGCGATAAAATCATCAGCAGTTGACATGGAGATCAACTCATCGCTTGGTCGCTCGGTTTTAAAGCCTTTTTCAAACCGAGCGAACCCTGTCTTTGTCCATACTTCATACGCTCTCCGTGGCGTCACTTTGTGTGGGCAAGACTGTAAATGTCACTAAGAATCGTTGGTGGACGCAAATAAGGTAAGGCATCATGTCTAATTTGTCCTCGCTATGCAGTGCTAAGCAATTCTATTATACGGGTGGGTTAGAAGGGTCATTCAGCTCATATTACAAACCCTCACTACTTAGCAAGCCAAGTAAAATATCACTGGCTGGCCCCTTCAAGCTCTCTTTCAATTCTTTCAATGCCACCGAGCTAGCAACCCTCTTCTCTTCAACAACTTTCGTTCCAAACCCGCCTTGTCGGCCTCTCCTACTTGGTGTGCCAGGTGCAACAGCAGTGAACGTGCCGTTCCTACCGTCGACCCACGAGATCAGCGACAGTGTCTCCAAGCTTGTGAGCACATCCCTGAATTCAGTGCTTGTAAGTGCGTGCAGTAAGTTGTTGGTTTTGCAAAGTGTTGTGTAAGATGCGTGCAGTGCTTTAATCGTAGGCGCTGCATTTGTTTTAGAAGGTGTAACAGGTGCTTCCAGCTCGTGGCGATCGCGTAGGCGCTTCTCAAGAACAAAGAGAGAGCACATTATGGCCTTTTGTTGAAGGTTCAGGGCCGTGAGTCGCTGATTTGAACCATTGCTGAAAACGGCGGCAGTTACTCTCGCCACATGAGCGATTGTTGCCCTTGGTGCCGTTTCAACGGTGAGCTGTGCAAGGGGATTTTTCCCTCGCTGAAGCTTCTGCGGTGACTGTGTAGATATTGGAGAGGACAAATTCATGTTCTCCATGAGGGGTGTCTTTGAAGGGCTCGGAGAGGGCGAAGGTGTGATCTCCGCTGTGGATGGGCCTAGCTTTGTTCGCGTCTCGGCCTCAACAAGATCGATGGCGCGAGCAGAGATGGCAAATGCCTTGCGCAGATCTCCTGTCTGCGCAGCCACTTTTTTCGAAACGAACATTATTGCTGTCGGATGAAGGAACGGGATGAAGTCAGCTGCTGCGGTGGTTCCTTCGGGAAGTAAAGTCTGTAGCTTTGAGGTAAGAATTGAGCTGATTTGTGCCACACTGTACGGCATGAAAGGCAAAAGCTGTGGTTTTAGGCCTCTCGACTTCAGTCGTGGTAAAAAGCGATCGGTGAAATCCAGTGCATTTGCGATGCCGACCACAACCAAATTAGACGACGCTTGCATGGACCAAGTAAAAACTTGGTAGAGCAGTTCTATGTCGACGTCAAGCAAATGATCTACTTCGTCTAGGATGATCAGATGCGCCGTGTTCTTGCGTTCAAACACAGCTTTCAGGGCCTTTTCTTCTGAACCCTCTAATACATCAATCTGATCAAAATCCTCGAGCAGCTTCGCAGACAGATCTTTGGAAGACTTGACGCTCATACAATTGACGTATGACCGCTGGAAAGAGATATCATGGGTCAGCTCATCGCATATCTCGTTCACCAGTGCACTCTTGCCAGTGCCCGGTGGGCCAGACACGTATAGGCACCCCGACTTGCAGTTCTTGAGCCGTGATTGCAAGAAGTCTCGTAGTTCTTCTCTCTCCTTCTCTCGACCAACCAGCCTATCCGAAGCTGTCCCTCGTGCAAAAACTTGACGGGCGAGATTGTAGATGCTAGATCCGGAGAGATTTGGGTTTGATGGCGTCCGAAGCGTCTGTGGTGTTGAAGGCTTGCCTGCAAGGCCAACACGGTGTCGGGGTGTAATGGGTATTTTTTTCGAAGGAACGTCTCGATGCCGCGGCGTCGACGGAGTTGGCGGCGTGCTCGAAATGTCAACAGATTCATCGCCACATGCTTTATTCTTCTGCGGAGACAAAGGTATCCGCCGTCCAGGTTTGCCATGCTTCGCTGGGGTTGTCTTGGCGCGCGCTGTTTTCTTGGACATGGTTGAGTTCTCGAGCGCAAACTCATCGGTCTCCCCATCACCGCCATGATGGGTGACCTTTCGGAGCTTGCTGCGAGACACAAATGGATTCTCATTTTCGTCCGCAACAATGACAAAGTCCGCCTTTCGTTTGGATCGGGTGGAGCGAGTTGTGATGCGGTTCTCCGCCGGGTCTTCGTCTGAAATTGATGGTTGTGAAGCGCATTTCTCGTCGGTAAACGCACTTCGAGAGCGCTTTCCCAAGAGTGCTCCTGCCATTGTTGCTCCCAGTCGGAAAACAAGAAGGAGCCGTCGGCGGATCGCACTTGGGTTGTTCTATGGTGGTTGAAGGTGGTGAGATGATGGAAGGCGCAGTCCAGTTAAAGGAAGGTAATTAGACGCCAAACCCCTGTCAAACGCGACTGCGCGTTCGCTCAGTTTCGCGTTTCTTCGCGCGTTCGCCTTATCGATAGTAACACCAGCCTCTTGAGTTTTCTCAACCAACGCGTCAAAATCTTATGCCTACCATCTACGGACTATGGATCTTCATGATCGAGAGTGCAACACGGCTTGTGTCGTTGCAAATTCGCCCGAATAAACCCAGCTCAGCAGCAAACGCTAATAACTCAAAGCGAGGGCACAACAGAAATACGAAGTTGCTTACAAGCTATCATGCCGGAGGCCTTTCTGCGAATTTTTTCGTCATGGCATGCTTGAATAAACTCACAAGGGCTTGATTTGGCTCAAATCTGTCTAGAAGTCCACCTACGTTAAAATGCAGAGGCTGCCTACAGAAACGTTGACACAGTGATCAGAGAGTGTAGCCAAGGATCGTGGGTGATCCCCGTGGATCAACTATGACGACGACATTTGAGGATGATGAGAGAAGCACACACAGGAAAGTTAACGGGCGACTACACGATACTGTTGCACTTCAAAAAATGGTGTAAGTTGCGCCAAACGACAGGCTTGGGTTTAAAAAAGTGGGAGCGGAGCTCGTGTATTCAAACTCTAACTCACGAGTCGTAATCGTCTGAAGAAAGGCCGCCTTCCTGCCCCTTGCGCATCAACTCTTCGGAAGCTACTTCCTTTTCCCCGCTCTCTGGATCCCATTTCCAACCTTCCTTGAGCCACATCCAGCGCAGAAACGCTTTGAGCTCCTTGTCTTTCGGCAGCACCCTTTTCCACTCGGGCTCAAATGTCCCACTAGTCCCTTCACCATTCCAGGAGTCAGCTAAGCCTCGAAGCTGATCGCGGCAGAAGATGCGCCAGCTATCGAAGGCGTATGCACCTAGCCCGGCTATATGCCCGATTTCAAATGCTCCCTCTCGAGGGTCGTCATCTGCAAGGATCTCGCCTGATTTAATGTCTCTGCTTGCAGAATGTGTGGGATAGTTTGGAGTGCAAATACGCCTCCCTTTAAGCGGTGGGTTTTGTGCCCAGATCAAAGCTAAGTTGATCAAGGTTGTGGCGCGCTGGTTTTGCAGACCTAACGGACGCATCAACTCCGCTACTTGTGAAACATCCGCTGTTGCCAGTGTCTCGAAATCTGGGTAGATGTCAATGAGTTTGCGGAACAACGGAATAGCCATGAAGGCTCGTGTACGATTGAGAAATATGACGGCGATGAGCAGTTGAAAAGGTTTTTTTGCAAGTTCCTCTTGAATTAAACCAAACGTGGAAAAGGAGAGAGGGGGTGCGATGATACATGAGCTCGTGCCTGGAGAGGGTCGTGGCTTTTTGGCGGGTGATGGAGTGAAGAATAATGATTGCTTTCCCGTATGCCTTCGTGGCGTAAGAAGAATCGATCGGACTCGTGTTGGTGTTGCAATGAGAACGTCAGGCTCACCGTTGGGTGACGCAGGTCCAGATATTGATTTGACTTCAGAGACATTTCTATCGTCAAAGCATATATGAGACGTCGAAGTTCTTGTAGCGTCTGGTTCGATAGCAATGGGTGATCCAGAACGAGTTTGCAGCATGAGTGCGGCCGCAGAATCTGTACGTTCATTCTCTTCCTTTGCGTTCTGACCACTGGTCACGTAATTTGAAGATCGATGCGTCGTCAAACCCTCATCGCCTATCACATCACGAGGCAATTCATTGGGCGTCCTAAAAAATATTTGCTGGAAGTATTAGGCGTAATTTCCAGGAGTCCATTGCCAGCATTTTCAGCAAGCTGAGCGTCCGTCAGGCCCTCAAAACCTTGGCTCATTGTGTTTTCATCGCTTGCTTTCCGACTTGAGCTTTTCCGTCGCCTCTTATTTACCCCGAGATGACTTCTCTCCACATCCTCATCGATCTTGTCAACTTCTAGCATACCTAGGGTTTTCGAATGTGATTCTAGTGCCTCAATGGGCGTGAGACGTCGGCGCTTCCGTCCGCGGCTTGTTGGCTGGCTGAAAACTGTACCTCTAGGCTCTGGGGAAAGTATTTTGGAAGGGGAAGTTAGGTTGCTTCGTTCATCTGTAGCCAGCTTAGATACGTCTTTCGCCTTGGAGCGACTAACATCCTTCTTCGACGCACCGCTTTGAGATTCTTGTTTTGAAGCAGTTTTGACAAAGCATTCTGATAACAATTGGTCGATGAGTCGCTGTGTCGTCATACTAGCATCCCTTTGAGTCTCAGAATTTGATGGGCCGAAGAGAATATCTGTTTGTGCTGCTATTTTACAGTATTGTGGGATCTGCCGCGCTTTCGTTTCTCGCCTCCTTTTTTTGTGGGGTGTTTCATCTAGAGCTTGACCATTCGCAGTGCATGATCTGGAAGGTTTGGTGCGCCCTAACAAACTCGAATCGTGAAATTGATTCTTGGTATAGAAAAGTTGTTCTTTTGGGCGGTCGGTTGATTTCAGACTTTCCCTTAATAAGTCGTTCTCTGAGTCGAAACGATAAACGGCTCGTCCAGTCTTCTTATTCAGAACGTCCGCTTTAGATTCCTGCTTATACAACTGCATTGGTGTATTATTTTCAGTCTCTGAATTGAATTCACTGCGGCTGGCTGGCGCGGCTGTTTGGTTCCAGGGCACGCTCTCCATGAGCAGATCATTTTCGTGTCCATCGTATTTTTTCTCGAACATTGGGCCAGGCATATACTTGTCTCTCTTACATTTCTTGCTCAGGTATTCGAGCGGAGCGGGCTCACTTCTTGCTCGCCATTCCTCTTTTGCTACCTTCTTAGGCGAAATGGACGTGAGATTTTGCGACGATTCGGGAAAGGCGTATTTGCAACTTTTCCCATCGAATAACAACATTGATTTACGGCTGTCCAGCGCCGTTAAAGCATTTCCTGGATTTTCTGCTTGTGGATGCTGCTTTTGCATTGAAAGTTCTCGATTCTTCATCTTATCATTCACGGATACTCCTGCATCTGCATCGTATTTCTTGTCTTTAGAAGCCTTTTTCGGATGCATATTGACATCTGTTGGTGATGGACATGTTGGTCGGAATGGCTGAGGCATCTCCATCTTTTGCTTCACTTTGTCCACAGCACGAAGGGCCGCTTTGATAGCCTTTCGCTGAGATTTACCGTTCTCTATCCCCTCCTGGTATATAGCAACCATCTCTGCTTGTTTAGACTTATCGACATGGGCTAGAAGATTCTGAATAGGGCCTAGGTCAACGGCTAAAGTTGCCTGAACGTTATTCGTGTCACACTTGAGTCTATCTTTGAGGACAGAATCATGGTCTTTCTCGCTAATCGTTTTGAGGTCTACCGCCCGGTTGCGAATTAATGCTTGTAATCTAGGAGACAATTGACACAGCTCGTCTGATTCAGCCGCTTCTTTAATAGTTTGTAAAACACTATCTGGTGGGCCTCGTTGAATGAAGCGCCGGAAGTCCCTGAACTCTTGGTCATTTTTGACCAAGTTCGTCCATATCAGACGAAGATCGGGTTTGGTAAGCAGCAGAAGAGCTGCCTTGGACTTGGTTCTCTCTGCTTTTCTGCTCTCACCATCGTCGATAGCGGGCAACGAGCGGATGAAAGGCAAAAGGAAATGATCTAGGTCCTCTCCTTCAGCTTTCCGGACTCGCTTGGAGAATTTCTTGAACGAAAGGCCGTCGGACTTCTGGAACTTCCAGAGACGATAAATTATATCTGCATCCAGAAAGATGCTTGTCGCCAGATAGACGCTTGTGGCACTCGGCATGGCGCAACATATAGAACTGGGTTCAAAAACACACGTGATTGAAAGATGCAAGAGCGTGGACTGCTCGATCGACTCGTAAGTGACAGCTTAGCCAGAAGCGGCCGCAGCGCTCGACGCGTGTAGTGGTGGATTACGTGAAACCACCAAGAAGAAATCCTAAGTCGAATTTGTCAATATTGCTGCAGCTTCAAAAGTCAGGTCCCAAAATCTGAGTACAAAACAAGAAAACGCGATCATCAGAAGATGGTGCATGGTGATCACACACTTGTGCTCAAGCAACGCGTTCGGGTACAGCAAAAACATGTGAGGTCAAGGGCTCAGTGCTGTAAACTGACCAATCACAGCTTGGCGACCAGTGTTCTTGAGTCAGAATTAGAACTAAGCGAAGGCGGAGCGGCGACGACGATTCACTGCGGTGACTGCAACGACATGATGATGAACGTGACATACGTGTATCACATATGAAATCGTAATTTCCTACATTCTTCTTGTGCGCTAATCACTTCCAGCAGGGTTGCGAGCGTAGCTGCACATGTGGCCTCTGAGGCGATAGTTCTAGGATGCTAAAATAAGATCGACCTAGCAAAAAGTGTCTGCGCAGACCAGCTCTGCGCTCGCTCGCTTCCCGTGACTTCCCCGGGCAGAGTTCCTTTTGAATCTTCCATACTCTTGTTTTGATCCGGCCCAAAAGCTGAGTCTGTCTCAATAGCATTGCATAGGTGCAAGTCACGGCGGTAAACAAGCCTCTGCTGCTGCTGGCCTCCAAAGAGCACGGATGGTCAAAACCTCCAAAGTCGGACGAGTATAGAAATATGCTTGAAGCGAACGCTGGCCCATTCGACAGAATCCAGAGACCTCGCAAACCTATCCGGCGACGATATATTAGGAGGGCTTCACGCAATGTGCGAAAGGGGTTGATCCATAGAAGGGAACCTATTCCGGCACCTCAAGATTTCTGCCAGCTTTTAAAAGAAGTCAATATTACACTTAGTGCTCTGAGACGCATAGATGCCCTTGTCAATAGAAGTGCCATAATGCTGCCAATGAAAATTAGAGACCATGGTCGCGGCAACAGTATGGTGAGCCGATGGGAGTAAAGACGGGGAGATAGCCAGCCAACCGTAGCATATATTCCGGAACGCTTAAGACCAGCACGGGCAGCCTGTTCTTCCTTTTCCGCAACAGCACCTAATAAACTGTTGGCTCCAAACGCTGCTAGACTATTCTGCACGATTCGAAATTTCTTCACGGCCTTCTTAAAGGACAGCGGCCGTCGTGGTTCGACGCTTACAAGGTCCACTCGTCGAGTCGGTGCAATGGAGTCACGGGCGGCTCTCGAGAATAGCCTGGCTAAGTCATCTAATTCTTCTCCACTCGGGTCGCGTTTCAGTTCGACCCTTAAAACCACATATGCATGTATTTTTGATTCGTCAAAGTAGGCAGAATCGCGTTCAAGAGGACGGAGTTCGATCCTTCTGCTGTTATTGATTACTCTCGGGTATAGGATGCATTTCTTTCCTTTTCTCGCCTTTTGCTGGTTCAAGGTAGTTTGCAGATCATGCGTCGTGAAAGCTTGTCCGTTTCGTTCCTTAAGGAGATGTTCCAACGACGCGATCAGGGCTTGAGTGAAAGATTTAGGGCCTGCTCGAGGAGTTGTCTTGTCGGCTTTGGTCGCTGCAAGATACTCGTATGTTCGACCATATTTCTCTTCAACTATCGCTGATACACTCCCAGAGAAACAAGAATCCATAATTGTTAGAATGTCACACTGAGCAATGTCGATGAATTTCTTTTCCGTATGGTTCCATATCACTTTTGGAGATGGTGGTTGTCCCTCGACGTCTGCACGTCTGCTTTCCTTAGTATGGTATTCAAAGCCAAAGAAAATTGACTGACCCATGCAGCTCTAGGTGATCACGGTTAAAGTCATATGTGCCATGACCTGTGTGATAGAGGATCACGAGGTTGTTTTCTTTTCCATATTCCTTCACGAAGCTTATTACAGCACGGTCTAAGCGAGTCTGTGGAGAGCAAGAGCATGGCACCGGTAGATTGCATGTACAATTGCTTCGAAGATTTAAGACCTTCACGGAGTAACCAAATTTATTGGTGAATATATTCTGGAGATCAGCAATCTACATGGTCAGTCGAGTCGGTCACGCTTTTGTGTGAACTCACCTCCTTGGCTACAGCTTCGGCCCAGTCACAATCAGCCCAGCGAATAAGGAGTACGTAGACGTTCGCGTAGCCTTCAGGAAGTTTGAGCTCGTTACACATAATCTTGTCCCATCGAACCTGCAGCTTTGATGCAGCATCAAGCTCTGCGAGTGTTCGAGTGGTCTGAGAATTCAAGTGGTTCTCTGTCGGTGACGCCTTGTCACCCTCCAAACAACTCAGGCAGCTATCGCGTCTTGCGAGCGGCGTGCTATCATCAACTGCATGGCCAATAACAACTTGCGAAGACGAGCTTTCAAACTGAACAATTGCCATTATTTGAGAAGTTCAGGCTTGCTCAGCTGGAAAGTTTGAGGCGAGGCCGTCCCAGAATTTTAAATTGGAGCCAGCCTTGGGCGCACACTTAATGTACTTGGTGGCTCAGTGCTGCACAGCGCCACGATTCGGACGTGAGGCGGCTTAGATAGGTATGGGGATTGGTGGTTAGTACAGATCCGGAGGCGCATCCCACCACCATGATACAGATATGTAGAACAAGATTGTTCATTCAAAGGGAAGTCGCCTTGCAGTCCTGGGCGACGAAAATTTGAGCCTGCAAACAGGCACACTGCGAACAGAGGCCGCCTCGCGACAGATCACTTAGCCCGACCAGCCAAAGCTGACCAAAAGGAATTCTCAAATTCAGGCTTTGCCTCCCAGTATTTAACTGCGCCTTGAAGCCCTCGTCCGCATTTCTAACATACAATTCTTCAGCTATAAAAGGCCCTCCACCGGCTGCACTGCAACATTTGATTCTGCCTGACAGCCATGCACGAGGATCCTGCAACAGAATCAAAGGTGCGGGGCTGGAGTTTGCCTCCTCGCTTAGCTATAACTGACCGGTGTCGACAGGGCTCGCTGGACGTCCCCGATGAACAAGACGATGGCTCGCCAGCGACTAAATCAAGTGCTACAGCTAACATCTGGGCTAAGCCAATGGTACCTGTTCTGCTGTACGCACTCTCAAAAATTGGCTGACCGGATACAGCCCGATCCCGCGTATGACCCTGGAGAACAGGTCTTTGTTAGCGCGCTCTGCACGGATGGCAAGATGCGCAGAGTGGAAGCGAAAATACTAGAGCGTCGGGAACAAGGTCAAAGGTGGGAGTACAAGTTGGCAACTCCAGCTGAAAATCGATGGTACAAGGAGAATGAAATAGAGTAGCAAGCGAATCATTCGTTTCGACTCATTGCCACCCGAGCTCAGCCTTGCTCTTAACGACTACGCCCAGGTGGTATGCAGAATTTTGGGGGTGAGGTATGTATCGTGGTAGCTAGTATCAGGCTGAGAATTACGTGTTCAACAACAGGGGGGGGTGCGATGAAGATTCTGTGATATTTGACAATCCGGTCGAGCAATTTATTTTTCGAGATCCTGGCGAATATTTCCGCAATTCATTTCACATAACCATGTCCAAGGATGACTCTCCGATGGACGAAAAATCGTCAGGATGTCCGCAGTTCTGTTCCTCAAATGCAGAGCTGAATGACGATGTTGAGAGTGGAAAGGGGATTAGAGCACGTGAGTTTCTTCACCTCAGCCGAACTCAGGTGGATTGACATAACATCAGCCACTTGGCGACATCGTCTATTAGGTTTCGGGAAGAAACCTGACGTTACGACAGAAGTAGTCCGTCGGCGGAAGAGTATAGTGGCGGAAGCCATCAGTGAAACCGAAACTCGAAGCCTGGAGAGTTGTCCGAGCGGGTATCCTCAACTTTCATGCTTCTTGTCATCAGAAAGTGGTTTCTCGCTGTACCGAGCGTTTGGCTATCTACACTCTCGTGTTCTTCTGCAGCTTCAAGATGAACTCGTTGCGCTGGAAAAGGAGTTGGACGACCTAGATCGGGCCGACGAGGCCGAAGGCAGGAACCAGAATCTCAAACGGCGACGCTACGACGAGAGAAGGCCCCGGGACGCAGAGGACGGGTTCCGTCCCAGAAAACAGATCCTGGCCGACATCCACCAGAAGCTGCTGGAATACGACGGGTTGATTGTGCAAGCTCGAGAAATGCAGACGTTCCAGAAGCCATCGGAGCGCGACTACCGGAGCGTCAGGGCGTACTTCTGGAACGAGAAGCCACTTTCGGACGAGAAGGAGGCCGGTTTCATCAAAAAGAAGGAGGACATCATCTCTCTGCGAAGTGGGCGGGAGTGGTCTGGCTTTGACGGATTCGTGGAAAACACCTTGCGACGCCTCGACGGCAAACTGGTCAGGGTAGGTTATGCAAAAGATATTCAAGAGCCGTCCAAAGTGACCGACCGCTGACTTTTCCCCAGAAGCTCTTTGTCACCCAGGAGCTGAGGGATAAGACAAAAAATCGGGACATCCACTACTACAGCTCGTCCCGGGTTGAAAAATTTGTCGGACTGATCATCACCAGCATCATCTTCATCCTTCTGATTCTGCCCGTTGTCGGTATGTACAAGCTGACGTGCGCAGACAGTAGCCCAAATAGCACTTTTCAAGCCATCGGTGTTCTCATCGTCTTCACACTGCTGTTTTCCGCCGCGATGAGCCTTATGACTAAAGCTAGGAGACATGAATTATTTGCTGCAGCTGCGGCGTATTGCGCGGTGCTTGTCGTTTTCATCAGTAACTTGTCCAGTAACGGTAATGGCCCCGTGAAAAAATCATAATAATGAGGTACTCTCTGCACAAAGTTAGGTCCAGGGTAGATAATCAAGGCGTCTGGTTTTCATCTTGTTTCACTTCGTAACTTCCTTGACAACATGGGCTAACACGGGTGAACAATCGGTCGACCAGCATCTGCGGAAACAACTTTTCCCTCTTCACCCTTTCTCTTCCCAAGCACGACGTCGACGATGATTCCTGCTCCGACTTGTGGATCTGAAGCCCCAGCTTTTCTAAGCTTGTCAGGATCAAGACCGCCTAGTTCTGTTGCATTCCAACCGGGGCACACGACCCAGACTGACACTCCTTCAGCGCCAAGTCGCTTGTGCCAATTCGTCATCGTCATGTTCAGAGCAGCCTTTGAGGCGCGATACATGTAGGACGTCACGCCGTGCCATGCGTTGGAGGGGTCGAGGTTCAGAGTTATCGAACCCAAGGCAGAAGTGATAAAAATCAGGCGCGGATTGTTGGACTTTTTCAGAAGTGGTAAGATCTGATATGTGAGCGCGTCGGCGCCAAACACGTTGGTGGCGAAGATGTCTTGAGCGAGCTGAAATCGCTTCCGGGTCGCTTCCGTGGAAAGATCGTCGGCCGGAACAATGTTGAACGGGTCGTTGTTGATGCCAGCATTGTTAAGGAGTACGTCGATGCATCCGTAGCTGTTTCTGATCCGTTCACCGAACCTTGCAACGGAATCCGGCGATGACACGTCGAGCTCGTACGCCGCAAAATACGCCGCAAAAGTGGCGCCTTTGCTGTTGGCCTTCAATTGCTCCGCCGCATTTTGAGCCTTTTCGAAGGTTCGTGATGTCAGGATGATATGATAAGGTCTATCCGAAAGCAATCTTGCGACCCAAAAACCCAGGCCAGTATTCGAGCCTGTGAACTTTAGTCAACGAGTTCTAATGTTGAGAGTTTCTCATTGGCTACCGGTGATGATGATGTTCTCCTGCAGCGCCATAGTCAAGCCTATCTCTCGACTCGATTGCCCAAAATTACAGTTATCAAACCATCAATTGGACGTTCAATAGGATTTCGATAATTTCAAGAGCCATTTTAGAAGACTAGCCAGCTATTTATCCTTCCGTGCAATTCAAACGTACTCTATTTTATGTAGCGATGTGCGACGCTCAACCTGGTTCGGTTTCGGCTATGCAAACGGAGTTAAGAGCGGACATCCAGTAAGACTTGGAAACTTGAGTTCGGCTCAAGTTCCTTGCCAGAGTTCGGCTCAAGTTCCTTGCCAGAGTTCGGAATGGTTCCTGAAGTAGTGCTTCGCTGTTAAGTTCGTATGAATATGAGCTTGTCCGTGGACAAAGATCGCGCCGATCCAAAGAGGACATCTCGAAGAACCATGTGCCGAGGGGCTACTTGTTGTTAGCTCACTAAGTGCACGAGCAGTCAAGCAAAAGCTCGCTCAGATTCCCGCTTTGATCTCTGAGAGACAAAGATTTCCTCGCGTTAGCAAGGTGGGTATCCCACGGCTAGGTTGCAGGAGCGCGACAGTCGCTTGCGAGAGCTCTCGTTCTGACGTATCTCAATCGCACAATGCTGTATGTTCGAATTCGCCAACTTTCGCGGCGACAAGCACGGATATTTTCTGGATACGAGCTCGCCGCCCCTGTAGCGTGTGATGAATTTCGGTGCGTTATCAGCGACCATGTGTCGAGCAGGCAAAATCTTTCAGCACGATGCGGCGCTGCTAGCACACGACCCAGCTGCCATCGAGCTGTCATTGAAACGTGCAGGGTCTACTCAAGCTTGCTACAGGCTGATTTTGACTTCTGAATTATCAAATCCGGGTCCTCGTAGGGCGTCTGACGATGATCGCGCTGGGTAGGATCACGCTGACATCACGGATTTGGAATCTTGTACGCTTTGTTTGACGACATCAACCAGGAGCCCGGGAACTCTGTCGACCCGTCGCATACATGCTCTGTAGTCAGTCTGTGCCGGCCAAGTGTCGCAGGCAGAAAGCAGAAGTCTAGATCTGTCCTCGGGCGCGATGATTGTAGACATGTCCTCGCGTCGCAATCAGTATCACCACGAAAGAGCGCACGACGAAAGCTGACTGCGGCGGGACTGCGGGCAGCTTTGGATGGATGCCAGGCGGGCTCGATGATTGGCTCAGACGGACGGAAGGACAGCTCTGGCATGCTCGGGCCTGCTGGTGCGCAAGCAGGATGCGGCCACAGAGGAGATGAAAGGACCGAGCATTCTCTCGCACAGCTGCGCGCCATGTTCACCCGGAGCGTCTTCTTCAGACGTGTGGGCCGGCAGACTTCCAGAGTCCGCCATCCGTCACCGACTGCAGCACCGGCCGGGGACAAGCGAACCCAAGCAGCCTGGGCCCGGCGTGGGTGTGATAATCAAGTGGCTGTGCGAGCCGTTGACCAAGTCCGGCCCTGCATCAGAGGCGGCGGCGTCGTCAGCCCAAATATATCCTGTTCCCCGGAGACAGCGAACGCCGCTCTAGTGTGTGGCCAACACTGCCTTAAGCACGCCTGCCGTCGGCCAAGCTGTCGATTCTCTCTTTCATTCTTGGTCGACATCGACTTCCTCGAGCCATTCGCGTGCCCCAGTCGGGTCTGTTTTGTGCGCCATACGACTGCCCCCCGTTGTCGGCAGATCCTGAAAAGCCTCGCTGTCAGCCCCCGATGTTCGTCCGGCAACACAGCCTTCGAGCAACGAGTTGACCACAAGGTGGCACGCCGTCTCAAGAGTTTGCCGTGGCCTCCAGGCCCGCTGCTGCGGCCTTTGCGACAACCCTTTCTCTGTTGAAATCGTGCCGATTCGATTGCTTTGCATTGCTCTCCGCTCGTTGAAATGCTGGTCCCAGTTGAAAGGAGAGGAAGTGTGCTCGGTACACGTCAAACCACGAACGTGGGAAATGGCGGTACTGGGCCCAATGGTGCCACAATTGTAGGGAGCCCATAGACCCTCAAAACACTTAGATAGTCTACTGACGTTTCGGAGGCCTCGATAGTTGTGATCATACTCCTCGCGATCGCTGTCATCATTCTCGTGCTCTTCCGCAACAACCGGAAGAGGGCAACCAATACCAAATACCTACCGGGCGATACACTGCTCTCCAAAGTGAAGAGATGGGGTAAACTCGGCAACTCCTCCTCGAGAGGGAGGTACGGTGCAGAGTTGCAACCTAATCCAAGCGCTCCGAGTCTTATCGGGAGAGACGGGAGAAGGAGCAGAGACACAAGCCAGGAGCCGGCGCGCGACCGGCAACGCAGCGACGACATGGAACGCGGCCCTATTGAAACGCAAGAGGTTCAGAACGAAAGCACGACTATCACGACGGGAGGAGGCATCGATCGGAACACCAGCGTCAGAAGCGTCATGACCCTGCCGGCCTACACCCCAAGCGCAAGAGAGACAGAACGCATCATTGGCCGAGAGGGCGAGCGAGGCGGGATCGACACTGTGATTGAATTCCCCGAGACGGCAGACGAGGAAGAGGCGCGACGAGAGGGGGAGATGGAAAGTTTGTACCAGATCCGACGTCAAAGACGACTCGAGCAGGCAGAGCGGGAGGAGCGACGACGACTACGGCGCGAAGCCAGAGAAAGAGGCGATCATGAGACCTTGAGGAGACTGCAGCAAGAAAGCAGGGCGCGCGCAGAAGGTACCTTGCAGCTGACGTCGGCCGCGCTGATCGCTGAACATCAAGCCACGATAGCGAGCCGCGAACGACGCGTGAGCTCGGTGCAATACGCGGACCTGGGCGTCGCGCGGCACGACGGCTCAAGAATTCGAGCCAATTCGACCGACAGCGACAACAGACCGCTGCTGGACTCGGCCGCCAGCATATCCGGCATGTCGTTCGGCAACCCGAGCCTGCACAGTCGCGGCATCTCGGCGAGCTCGGTGCTATCCGTGTCGACCGCGAACGGGTCCGAGAACGGGGACGGCGCTGCGCACGTCGACAGCGACGGCTTCGAGGTTGTGTCGTTGGCCCCCACGCGGTCAGCAGACCTGTCCGTGTATCGTGCCCCCGAAGAAGCCGACGTGACGACGCTGGGCATTCAGATTCCATCCGACTTGCCGCCAAGCTATGACGACCCGCCGGACTACACCAGCCCGATTCAAACGCGTGCCAGCGTGAGAAGCAACGGCCCGCCTCGTCTTCCAAGCTTGACTACCGTTCCAAGCATCGAAGTCACAAGCGTCGTCTCGCCAATGACGCCGACACCGACGATTGCGGAGTTACCCGCCAACGAGCGGTTTCCCGCCGCGGCGAGCCAGCGTGTGTCCGAATCGCGGTAATGTGACGCGTACCATCACACCTCGAAAACGGGAAATTTGAAGAAGAAGAAGAAGAAGAAGAAGAAGAAGAAGAAGAAGAAGAAGAAGAAGAAGAAGAAGAAGAAGAAGAAGAAGAAGAAGAAGAAGAAGAAGA